CATAGTTCAAGCACAAGTAAGATTCTAGAAGCAATCTATTACGATGTCAAAATTTTGATAAGGTACATGTTTAATGACAAATAGTATGCAACTAGCAATTACGTGCCTGGAAAACTGGAAAAATGAATCTCAGTGCTATATTGCAAGGAAACATTGTCAGGCTTATGTTGTTTAACATCCAAATCAAAAGCCACCAGATGTTTGCGTCAGACAAACACGATAGGTAATGCAGAATATTCATTCATAGTCAATATCGTTAGATTATTTTTTCTACTTAACCAAATAGTTGCTTTTTTACATTTAACGTGTCAAGGCAATGGCAATGATTTTTCAAAGGGAAGCATTAACAAACCTAGCCTTTTCGAATATCTTATAAAACACTTATACCCAGAGAGTAGTAACTTAAAGAATCCAAGTGATTTGCACTCATCGTATGATCAGTTTTACATTTTTTCTTTCTTACATGTTTTGGATTCGAACCATTAACGAGCAATCTGTGGTGCTGTAGGGTCTATGAAGAAAGGCTTTTTCCAAGTACCAAGTAAATTACCAATTTATAAGCAAATTTCTGAAAAAGTGAGTAAACACAAACGTTTAAGATTTTGATTAAACTTTGGATACATTTTCTTCTTTTGATATAAGAAACCTTTTGGGTTAATCTATCGAAATTACCTTGATCTTTTTTCTGAATATTACTCAATGCTGCGCGTCTACTAAATTATGCGCCATGCGTGATAGCGTGTCAACATGCCAAAGTACCGTACGTGCCAACGTACGTGCCAAACCAACGTACGTGCCAACGTGCTAAAGATTGGTACGTGCCAATGTGCCATTTTTTGTCATTTTAATCTAGGGTTGCTGTTTGAGAGCTTTTTTCCATGTTCGAGCTGAAAGCTCTCAAGGTGTTCTAAATTCTTAAAGCCCTCTGGCAGGGATAGCCTAATTCATTTGTTTTCTCACATAATTTTTTCTTTTTCCTTTAAAATTCTTCCCTTTTTTAAAGTAGAAAAAAACACTAGAATAATAGAAAACAGTTTAAAAATCTCTAAAAGAAAATGTAAGAAAAGAAAACACGAAGTTACCTAAATATTTTTGACAAGCTGGCACATTTTTACGTGAAAAAGTACAGTAAGTACCCGCATAAAAGAAACAGCTTTTTCAAATTGAGGCCTCAGAAAGTTCCTTATTAAGAGAGACTTATTAGACGTTGACATTGACCAAGCTTTGGCACGTTGGCACGAAGAAACCTATGGCACATTGGCACATACAAAGCTATTGTACGTACAATCTATGGCACGTTGACACGTAACAAATCTGAACGTTTGGCACAAAATTTAGCAGACTCCAATTCTGCATAATTACAAAATTGTTTTCGAAACTAATGACGTCATCCCTCTAAAAACCATGTAACGGATACGTCACCTAGCTAATTACCCACAGTGCGAAAGCAAATTAAACCAACTTTTTGTCAACTTTTATTGGAAAAGCCGTGTAAAGCATAAGTGCTTTCCCAAAAACTTTCAAACATATTAAATGAATTAAACGTAGCTGTAATGCGATACTTAAAATTCTTCCATTCACAACAACTTTCTTGACAGTACGCAGAAAGGCAACTCTCTTTTCAAGGCTCTGCTTCGTGCAAGATGTCTACATTTAGGCTAATCAAATCGTCTACAATTGTCTAGATCACAATTCTCTAAGGACTTTTTTTATCAATACGTTATATTATAAAATATTCTAAAACGAATACGTCACATGACTGCAGAAAAGTCCGATGCCATGGTTGTCTGTGGAAACGGAGGATCTTCTGAACGGAATCGAAGAAAATGCAGCAGAGCTTCTATTGCATAAAATGCAGAAGCAAAGAAGCCAGCAGTGAGTGCTGTTGTATTTCTGCCAAAATGCTGGCTCCTTGGTGCAAGATTTGCCAAAAGCCCGCTGGCGACGAGGAGCAGAAAGGCTGTCATTGCGGCAAATGTCATTAGTGCCTCAGATGCTTTGAAGATTGGGTGCACCTTCTCCCAAAGCGAAGTTAAATGAAGGATCATATCAATAACAGCAAACGAGAAAGCTATCCAGGCAACGACCCTAAAAAAAGTGTACCTCGTCGAGGTTTCATCTGTCGGAAGAACAACCGCTGCAAGGAATGTAGAAACAATTTCAAAAGCCTTCAGACGACCAGCCCAGCCTTGCTTGAGATACCACGGGTCATACTTGATCAATGGCTCTGTATTCGTGTTTTCCTGTCCTTCTCGCTGGTACTTCATCTTTGCAAAATGGCACTTCACTGTCAAAATAAAGTAGAAACAGGCGAAACTGCAACCACAAAATCAAATGTATGAGGACGTCAGTGCAGTTCTCTATCTGAAATCGCTTATTACACTGTCCACAAAGATCTCTTCAAATAAATGAATTTTAACTTGCTCATGAAAATAACCTGATTCTTTCGCAAAATTGAACTTTCATAGCACATTAACAACCAAACATATGAATAATATATGAAAAACTTTCCATTTGAATTGAAGTTATATTGGAGGGATTATATGCAAGTGAATGGTACGATGCATGTGGTTACCACAGCTTCCTATCTATTGATAATACTCATTCATATCCACCAGCTATACTGATTTAAAACAGAATTCGCCCAAGGTTTGGTAACTACGCAAGATAAATTTTGTGTTTGACAATAATTTAAGGCTGGATGTGGAACGTACCATGTCCTGTTCCAAGTCGCTGGCCGCATTAACCCTTTATCATTTGCAAGGCTTTCTAGGGTTTTAGCGCCGCGCGGAAGATAGATACTTTCGAGTGGCGGGGGTGCGTGTAGGGCTAGGGATAAGGCTAAGGATAGGGCTAGGGGTAGCGATAAGGGTAGGGCTAGGGATAGGGCTAAGGGTTTGACTAGGAATAGGGATAAGGGTCTGACTAGGGATAAGGCTAAGGGATTGACTAGAGATAGATCTAAGGGTAGGGCTAGTTTAAAGTTAAATTTTCGCGGTTCTGGTACCAAGGGTAAGGCACTTCACTTCCTGTTAAGAAAATGTTATATATTTTCCTTTCAAATCCAGGCATTGTTCATGTAGTTCAGTCGACGGAACGGGAGAAGGTTTCTATACGTCATTACTCAGCAAATCTCAACGTCACAACACAACAACAGCATTATTATGCCGTGCAAACGCTCCGAAATAATCATATCATACATCAAGGTTTGCAGATATGTCGAAATGAAAGGGAAAATCAAGTTTAATTCACGGAAAACGATAATTCTAAAAAATTGACGTAAAAACATAAGCAAGTACTATCAAGAAAAGCATTTAAAAATTAATGTTGGATGACTTATTCTCGTGTCTTTGAAAACGAGGCCAATGTCTAGCAACAAGATATGCTAGAAGCACATGGGTTCAGATTGCCAATCAAAATTAATCATCAACTGACGAAGATGTGGATTTGCCATTTATCATTTTATGTCGCAAAATTTCAAAATGCAATAGACCTAGCCTACTTCGAAGTAAGGGCGAATGAACCTCAAAGTAATGTGGTTGAAAATCAAATGGAACAGGTCCCGTGTAAACCAGTGGTGGCCTGGCCTTTTCGCTTGGAGGGGGCAAAATAGCGCCCTTCATAACAAACATTATTGTATTTTTCTGAAAAGCTTGGCAGTCTGGTAAAGCTCTTGTATTTTTTAACCTTGTATGTCAAGGATAGACTGACCCCTACGTGAGCACAGGGTCCCAAATATGATAATTTTTCATGGGGGTGTCAGGACAAGTTTGACCGGCTCACATTCGAAATTGACTATCTCTTCAAAGCCAATCCAAGCAGATAAACTAAATAAAAATGTGTCAAGAACATGTTTGGGCAAATTCCAAGAGTTCCCCCTACGATTTAGTGAAATGAGGGTTTTGTTCTCTTTGTAACTGTTGTGTTCATTTGGCACCTTGGAGGGGAATCGAAAGCGCCAGATAAAATATTTACCTTTGTTCTGCTAAACTTGTACTTTGGGACAACTAAACAAGCTCAAAACATACATATAACACAATTTCACTGAACATCGCTCAACATTTGTAGAGTGCAAATGTTGAGAGCGTTTTAACACCCTGTTCAGTGATGTTGAGTGGTGTTGAGCGGTGTTCAGCGATGTGGAGTTTGAACAGATTCAAAAATGTTCAGCGGGTCGACTCAACATTTCTATTGTTAAAGGTGTTGTTGAGAGATGTTGAGAGCGTTTTAACACCCCCATACAACAATGTTCAGTCGGCGCGAGCGCGCTAGACTTGGATTTGCGCGCCAAAGAAAGGCTTCAGCGCGTCAAGATCTCAGATCAGACCCTGGATCAGACCAAGAGGTTGAGAGAAGTTGAATTTTATAAATCGTAATAGCACACAATGACAAACGCTTGGAAACAGTTGGCAGTGAAAGCAAATCGGATGAAATAGCAATTCAAAGCATGTTGCAAGACCAAAATCCTGACCTTAGGAAATCATCAGGCAGCTACTGTTACAGCGACTGTTAAAGCGAAAGAGTATCCGAAGTTCATCTTCCAAACTTGCCTTGGATCTCTGCGAGGCCGAGGTTCAACGCTCAACGAATGTTGAGTCGAATTGTTGAGAGCGTTTTAACAACCCAATTCAACATCACTAAACATCACTGTACAAATGTTGAGCGATGTTCAGTGAAATGTTGAGAGCGTTTTAACGGGGCTTTAAGGCGTCTTCTTTGTCTCTGCTGACATCCTAGAGACCTAATAACCAGACAAGTCGGTCGTATCGAACTTTTTTCGAGTTTTCGGCGCCATATACAAGCTTTGGCGCCCCTATAAAAAAGTCAGCTGGGCCCTGGCCCCCCCAGCCTCCCCTGCCAGGCCGCCACTGGTGTGAACGCGTACATAAGGACACATTTTGGTAAAAGCTAGCAACAACAGTTTAAACGCAGCCGTAAAACACATTCGCAAAGTGGAACCATTCTTGCAAGCTAAGCGTTCAACAAAAGAAAAAAAGCAATTGCGCATTGACAGAGAAGATGACCAAAATTGACGGTACTATTTTTATCATTTCAACTTTTACAAGAATAACTGACAAAAAATTATAAAATATAAAATATTAGCAGTCTTTATAATTTACATCCATTTCTATAAGTAGCTAGACATACAAAGTGGTAATCTAGAATGATATTGCTGAATGCACAAGTTTAAATCACAAATCCTTGATTTGCAAAAGTAGGTTACCAGTAACCAGATTAAATCATTAGCAATATTTTTCGTGAATATCCACCATGTAATTTATAAACTTAAAGTACACGTTTAGAAGTTCAAGGTGAGGTACCTTGTTATTAACGAGTCCCCTCTATAGAGCCATGCCCATAAAATTATGCCTTAGATACGAACCATAATTCATAAAAAATCAAAAGATTTCCGGAGAATGTGCTTTACATGAAACCTGCTTTTGAAGAACTTGTGTTAATGATATAAGATAAACAACACCGTTTTAGTGTCTGTGGGAGCCTGACCATAATGATGCCCCAATCCAACAACAACCATCTTAACTTGGGACCTGTTTACTACATTAAATTTAATGGACTTAGATGATTAAGGGTTAAGAATGTCATGGGTTCATTGACAAGCCACTCGTGATTTTTTATTCGTGGGCTGTAACTATCGGCTTTCATGAATGTAATTGTGCTTGTCAAAATGCATTGGAGATTTGTCCCAAACATAGCAGTTTTGACTCGTTTCGAAAAGATGGGCGTTCCACTTAAAGGATGAATGGGCAATCACTTCTCAAAACTTGCATTGAAAGCTACAAAATTCCTTGAAAGCTTCCTTCCATGCAGGCTACATATCACTTGATTAATGAGCCAGTTAAAAGCTACCCATAAGAAAGCAAAAAAACGTTAGAGGCCTAGTGAAGTAGAAAAGTTATTCAAAATCGGACTATCTTTCTTAGACAACAAGATTCCCAACACCTAACATATCAATTATACAGCTATATAACAAATACCTATTTATCTTCCTTATTTTCATCTGCGTTATCGCCTTCACCATCTCCAATTTTTTCTAGCTGAATGTCGTCATTGCTGATCAGCTTCTCGAATTCACCTTCATTCCGACTTGATCCATAATTAACATACTTGTAAAAGTAGGCCATGACACTGAATATTGTAGCAACAACGGCCAGAAACGCAGAAAAGAAGAAGAACTCTTCGGCCTACGAAAGAGAGTGCGAAAATATTATCGTGGTTATTGGTATAATTGCAAATTGGAATAAAGTGAATCCGTGAAAGTTCAGACTTATCAAAAACAACAAGTAAAACATGTTTTCCATTGGTTTTCTCATGCTGCAGAAACTACTTTTAAGAGATTTGGAGCAAACATTGTAGTTTTGACTCGAAACAAAGCCCATTGGAGTTTCCTAACTGAAGTTTTCGAAAAGATGGGAGTTTCTCTTAGCGAATGAATGGGCAATCACTTCTGCAAAATCTGCATTGACAAAAGCTACAGAATCCCTTAAAGCTACCTTTCCATGCAGACTACATCTCAGGGAAAAACATCTTGATCGTATGCGTTCTTTTAACGCGTCTTATACTGCATAAAGCTCACAAAAAATCACTATGTATACTGCTGGTGTTCAACCCTTACGTTATCATTTACTGGCTGAAAAATACATTTAGTCTTGGCTAAAGTAAAGATTTTTGCGTCAGTTCCATCCATCATAATCCAAATAAGCTTTTTATTGATTTAAAAAAGTTGAGAAAGTCTGACTTCTGTGTTTGTAGAAGGATGAATCAAAGTTTTCAGGGGTACTAATCAATGTAACCAACGGATATGAAACCAATCAATTTCCGGTTTCCAAATAACCTCAGTCTAGTCGCATAACTTCAATTTTTGGTTAGATTTTGACAGACTGGAACAAAGCACGAAACTTTATGACTCCTAGTGACTCATAATGACTCCTAGGGAGATGGAAACTATTTCCAGAAGGGATTAACCTTTATATCAATTCCAGGGGGAGCTAGGAAAAAACATCGCATGACGTTATACAAAAATATCTGGAAAGATGTTTGGTGATAATTTATGTCTGGTTGTGTCAATGGGGACAGAATAGACCATTACTTAAGCCATAGCATTAATGAAATGCTACTGGCAATGACGTTTCTGCGGTGATTGCTGAATCGTCTTGAAGATTCGTGTCACATGCCTCATGGAATGAAGAATTGACAAGAAACACAGAGAAAATGTTTAAGAAAAGGGTTAATTATCGTCAAATGATGACCAGTATTGGTCAGATTGCACACTCCAGACAAGTTTTGAAAATAGTATGACAACAAGTAATAACTACGTAGAACTTTGAGTAGCAAGTGGTTCTCAGAAGAGGGGACAGGACTGTCACTTTTGTCTATTTCCAAACCCACCCTTGCCTCTAAAATTCGGCGCTACCCTTATATGCCAGTAGAATGAAGGAACAAACATGTCCCTCTTCAATTTTAGCGCCAATTCGAGGTTATCACCCTTTCGCACTGTTCTGGCAGTAAAGTGGCCAATTCCTAAATTGAAAATTGAACTTCAAGAAACTTAGACTAAATTCGAAGTATAAAGTGCTCTACAGACTGTTGCTGTAATTCCAGTTTCCTGTCCTGTTAGACCAAAAACTGTCCTGTTAGACACAAAACTGTCACGGTTCGCCATTCCGTTTACACTAGCACTGTGGAACCATTATGGTGGAACCGAAACGATTTTGCTCTGCTATCCGGAACAGTTTTGACCCTGCTTTGAAAGAGAACGAATTTTGTACTGGCACGGTTCCGTTTATGAATGGGACAGTGTAAACACCTATCCGAGACGATTTTGTCGCGGATTCAAAAAGAGGTCTTTTGTATGGCTGTTTCAGGTAATCGAGACTTTGATTGTGGCGTAACTACGTTGTCAAATTCTGAAGAAAAAAGGAAGTTCTGAAGAAAAGGCGATGACAGAAAAGGTTTTTATTGTTTTCCAGTCCAAGCCTTGACTGGACTTTGCAATTTTATTGCCTAAAGTAACACTGAAAATTAAAGCCACCTCGTCGTTCGTCCAAGTATAGTTTTTATCGGCCTTCCGCTCCATTTTAGCTCTCAATGAAATTTCGATTTTTGACTTCGGCGGCAAAATGAAAGCCTCAGTTGACCAAATACAGCTTCTTCTTAACAATGTTCTACCGTTAAATTAAGGTCCCGGTACAGTGTAAACGGAACGCCTAAACAGAACAATTTGGAACCGCGAACACTTGCGAACCGTAACGGTACAAAATTGTCCCGGGACAGTTACTGTTTTGGTATTTTATTTTCGTTGTTATAGCTGATATTGACGCAGAAGCCACACTTTGGTAATGAGGCGCATACTGACTCAAATGCATTTGTCTTGTAGCTTTATCATTGGATAATCTCTTGTTCTAGTATTTAATTTGTTCTTTTTTATTCGTTCCACCAAAAGCTCAGTTAGTTGACCTTATTTAGAAAGCACATGGTATGACGCAAAAGAATGTGATGCACGATTGTAGAGCGCATGGAGTAGAGCGAACAACCTTGAAGCAGAGATGTGATATGAGGAATGAAATTAGGAACGCTAACAGAAAACTGTGGTTTTTCTTTGTAGACTTCTACGAATGTCTATGAGATAATAGATAAGAAATTTAGACAAATATCTTGACACAGTGCTAAGGAGAAGGGGGGTCAGGGGGGTCACTGACCCGGGGGCCCATGACTTTAAGGGCCCACAGATAAAAACTTAGTCAAAAGTTGATAAGTAGCAATATAGCTTCTCCATTATCAAAACCTTTCAATAATAGAAACAATATTCGCAAAAGCCTTTAAATAAAATAAGGTAGAAGCAGCAATAGTATTAACCCAATTTATGTAACTCTAACAGAGCTAGTAGCTTACGGTAATTGTCTAGATAGTTAACAAAACAATTTTCAAGACTTTGCATCTGTAAAAAGGTTAATTATGGAGCTATAGTCAAGTTTTTCGGCAATTTCATTTTCCATGGATATTGAAACCAGTGAGCTAAGCCTGTTTGGTCAATGGCAAAGCGAAGATAATACTTCATGAATTTGCGCTTACTGGACGATATTTCGTCTGATGCAACATTAGAAGGCAAAGTTAGAGACAAACTTAATGCAATGAAAAGATTGGGAAATGAGCGTTGCAAATTCAAATGCTTAAGCTTGTTCACAGATAAAACTGAACTGATAGTGTGGAGTCCTTTGCGTGGAGGGTACAACCTGAAGTGGCCAGTTATAGACATTCCTGGGAGAGACAATGTGCCTGAAGGATTTTTTAACTTTGAATTTTAGGACATCTTCTTTGGCTCTACTAACCGCCAAGAGCCCTAATAACCAGTAAATTCAGTTGTTTAATCAATTCTTCATACTACAGTCATACTGTTATTTCTAGTCACTTGCAGTCTTGGATGCATAAGATAGCAAGAAAAAATGCTAAAATAAAGTTCATGCAAAGCTAAAACTAAGCATAATCCACACTTTCGGTGTTCTCAAGAAGAAATCCTTATAAATACTAGAGATTGAATACATGTTTCTAAAGAGTAGATAATTTAGGGGTACTCATCGAGTGTCTTTTTAAGGGGTACTCATCGAGTGTCTTTTTAAGGGGTACTCATCGAGTGTGAAAAAACAGGAGCTGTAGTGGGCCAAATTCTCTTTACGGTTGCCTTCACGTGGCTTTTCATAATTTTTCCTTATAGTTTGATCTAATATAGTTACTTCGTCTTGCATCAAAAACATAATATCTATCAATTTTTAGCATTGTTTATTGGTGCCATATTGAATTACAAAGTATGGCCAATTTTAGGCTGGATACAATTCTTTCATAATGTTTGTGCTTGTATTGTAGATTTAACGCAGAAATGAGGCTGTAAGTTGAATTGGTGTATTAGGTGCTTCGTCTATTTTGTTTAAAATAAGAATAACTTGAAAATAAGAATAACTAAAAATGAACAATATCTGTTTAGAGATTTGAAGATTTAGAGGACAGATTTTATCAGCAAATTAATCCTGCAACATAAATGGTTTACAAAACTGTTGTAGTGGTCTCAGAAAGAATTCATAGTATAAAGATGTGGAGCAATTAATGTAGATAAAAACACTTTTATGATGCTATCTGGTATTTTCGTCTATTTTTTGAGATAATATAAGCCAAAAACCATTTGCGGTAGATTCTATGCTATTGGCATTTTTAATCGTGAAGTATGAAAGGCCGCCTCTTTTTTAAGCGCCTCTTTTGAGAAAATGCCTCAAAAAAGTTTGAAAATTTTAAAAGAGCAACCCAGGCGTAATATGGTATCTTAACAGCTCCAGATATCAAAAGTCACTTGATTCAATGCTGTTATCAAATAGATAATTCTAACACAACATTTCATACTGGGAACCATAGTTATTTCATACTTCAAAACCAAAAAATCTAAATAGTTATATTTTCTCCCCGAAAACTTTAATTATCTCATATTTCAGTTTTCCCATATAGACGCTCTTAATTTCGTTGCGGATTGCAGCATTTGGTTGATTTTTGCACGGTTTTGCGGCTTTTCCCCCCCTATAATAGGCCCCCTTTAAATTACCAAAGAAGTAATAGCCACCATCGCAATTTCAGCAACCAAAATAGCCGCAATTTTAGCAACCATTGTCTCAAAAATTTTTCTCGGACCACTTGCTTTCTATCTTTTGTTTTGACCCGGGGCTTATAAATCCTCTCCGCGGCCCTGTCTTGACATCTTTGCTACAAAAAGAAATGCTCAAGAAATGGGACTACCTTGACTGGCCCGAATTTCTTGCATCAATTTGCAGCCCACCAGATAACCCGCCTGCAAAATTTATCCGCCTGCCATTCAGAAACGGTTGACGAAGTAATTGAGTCATGAACAGGTTCCAGGTAAAGCCGCACCCTTCTTTCTTCGAGAAAACACCCTGTTACCGTTCGGAAACGCTAATTTTTTCCGATAGGGATCGTCCATGGTTAATTTTTGGTTATATAACGTCATTTTCAAAAATCATAAAATTGCAAAGCAAAATCGTAGAGCACTGTTTACTTCAGGCCAAATTTCCTAATTTTGGCCTTTTTAAAAGTTGTTTGGCCATGAAAAAATTTGTTTGGCCTATCCTTTAATCTTGGCCTTTTTTGGCCTTTTCCAACAAACAATCCTTGTAAATTTATATAGCTATTGATGTTGTCAAAATTGAACAGCAAGCAGCTGAAAAACACGTTATCCTTTGAGAAAATGCCTCAAAAAGTTTGAAAATTAATGAACTGAAAGTTATTCAAAAAACCAAAAATTTTGGTACAAAGATCGATAACACATTGGATTGGAAGAATCACACTAAAACTATTTATTTTAAGGTCTCCAGAGAAATTTTTTTTTGAAGCATGCAAAATTCTTTCTGCCAGAAAAAACTCTGAAGACTATGTAGACATGTATAATGGAGCCACAATTTTGCTACCATTGTTCGGGATGGGGCTGTTGTGGTCTGACCGAGGCTCCACAATGAATGTGTAATCTTTTAACAGAAAAATCCTAGCTAACATCTAGGAATCTTAGGAATACATCAACTGACCTAAGTGCTAACCAAAGAAAAACTCCCAATTGGACAGAAATGCTTCTTGTTTAGAGGTCCTAGGTCTTGTAACGGACTCTCAGCTGAGTATAAACAGTCATCTTCCCTGAGAAACTTTAAACAAATATCGCCTAATTGTAAATAGGTGTTAACCATTGATCTCTCATCGAGGATGTTTATTTAAAAAACTAAATTCAGGTTAAAGTAGGGTTTTATTCTAATTTGTATAATAATAAGCAAAATCTTACCATATCTTCAGTTAACTTTGCACCAGCCAAGATAACAACAATAAGATTCCCAAAAGAAACTGTTAGTAACCAGGCAGCCATGATACACGATTTCATACTTGGCGGCGCCTGAATTATTGAGAGAAAAAATGATTATTGAGAACAAGGCCATCAGCAAAAAATGCGAAGATGTTACGATACTGAGAATTGGACGGTGCGAAAAACCTGCGTTCTTATAATTTGCTGGCGATATTCGGTAAATTTTCAGTTTTAACCCCCCCCCCCCCATCCAGTTTTAAGTCCCATCGATCAAGGTACCACACTGGATATACAGGAAAATTGGGTGAGGGGGACACAGGGAACTGTTATCGTATATGATTCAAAACTCAATAAGAGTTGACAAAAATACTATAAAAAGAAGCTAATAGCAATATGCAGTTTCTAGAACAAAATATTTTTAACAAGATACTTGTCATTTAAATTAAAAAAAGTTTATTTATGGCATCCAACTGCATGTCCGAGATCTAAAAAAAGGTCACTGCCCAGCCCAGAAATGTTAGGGTACCTGGATGCTCTTATTACTCGCTCTAGCGAGGCAGCCAACATTTGCGACAAAAATTTATTTACATTAACTACGACCCTGTTTATACTCGATGGAAAAATCGAGAATTTAAAAAAGGACACGAATAATTTATACCTGTGAATAAGCAAACTCCAGGCCAGTGATTGAAAAAAGAACTTCGCCAGATGTTATTACGATATATTGAGGAATTTGCCATAGAATAGAAATAGGTCGCGGAGACACGTCAGCGTAATTAACTATTTGCAGCTGTTTGGGAGAAAATATATATTGATTGTTATAAAGAGAAACACGCAATAACTGATATGAATAACAACTACGACTTTCGCTTGCATTAAAAACACGACGCCATTATTATCATAACTACAATACCATTAAAGGAAACATCTTACATTCATATACGCTGTGTTTTATAAAGCAAGCGTTCCTAAGATCCAACTCCAAGTTCACTATCATTTTTGGCGCTCAAGCCTAATCTCATCAAGGTCGATTTCCATTTGACATTTTTCGTGCGCGCGGGTATAGCGCCCAAATTTGAGCATGCGTAGCTAAGTGCTGCTGTCAAGTGGCCGAGCGCACAAAAAAGTTGAGACCCTATCAACTTTCTGGCGCTCCCAGCGGACGCAAAATCGAGACCACTTGATTTTAATCACGCATGCTCAGACTTGGGCGCTACACCTGCGCGCACAAAAAATGTCAAATGGAAATCGGCCTTCAGAGACATTTTTGAGTGCGCGTTTGAAGCGCTCAATCACTTTTAAGAGTCTCAGAAGCCAGTATTTTATAAATGTTTTAAGTGGTACTTCCCTCCTGCACCACGCCAAAAAAAGCACAGTTGTTACAATGTACGATGAATGCTATTGAGAAACTGTACGAATGATGATGACGGCCTTTTAAATTTTAGCCAGTTTTAAATTTTAGCTTCCTGATCGGAGAAATTACACTTTCACCACAATTGAAAAGCAGATAAGAACATCTGAGATAAGCTTAGCATCAATTTCGAATAAGGTGCAGATGTGTTTCCTTGACCTTCTGAAAAAGGATTTATTTGATACCTATCCAATTTCTCTTTATGTTCATTTACATTTTCACAATGCTTAGCTTTTATGAATCAGTTCATTTTTTAACAAGTTAAAGAAGTCCTTGTTCTTAGATTTTCTATCAATGTTGTCCATAGTTTTGTATGTATAAGCACAATGTAATTCATTGCCCATACGAGGCAATTACGTTCCCATTCACTACACTTCAGAAATTACAATTTTTGAGTTAGGGTCAACAATAATTAAAAGATGTGAATCGATCTATGGACACGTGGCTCGTACTCCACACAGGTCCAATTTTTTTATAACTTCAGCACTTCATTGACACAAACAAATTATTCATATTCGTTGCCATAATTGAAAATAAATCTAATTTTGTAGATATTCATTTGTTGATGTCGCCATTTATTCCAGTCTTTATTTTTTGCAAAATCAGATTATAAGCAAAGCGTTAAAAAGATAACATTTAGGTCTATTCAAAATTGATATTAACCAATTTTATCTTCAGCAAGACAAGAGGATTTGGCGTTCAAAGAAAAAATCTCACCGTTCGATGATGTCACCAGGTACGTGACATGAGTAAATATACTAAATAAATCTACCTGGCAGATTCAGAAAGCCCATGTAATCTACTACAAGAATTCGTCAGGATATCAAATGTTTGTTAAGTTATGTGAGTATCTGGCCTGTCTCCATATTCAATGGACTCACTGAGTCAATCCAAACTTTCGGGAGATTAGAGATTTAACCTTACGGATCCAATGTTTCCAGTGTGAGTTCAAGGTCAACATACGGATCCTGCATCAGATAGGCCGTTTTTTAGATTTGAGATACCTGGTTACCTTTTAAGTGTTGGGTAATTCTTTTTTCAGGAGATGTATCAGTTAAAAGGTACTCAGTTCATACGTGAATATGAAGCGGGATAAGGAAGTGACGTCTTGAAAGCTTAAGTCAAAGATAACAACTTGAATGGAGGATCTAAAAACTCAAAATAATGATTTTTTCCCTAAATCTAAGAATATAGAGTTGCCCAAACTGTATCTTTGACTGTAAACTGTTAAAAAAATTTTTCGAGCTCTATTTTAGATACTGCTGCACAGTTTGTTAAAATTCTGGTGTTATAGCTTGCCTACAGAAACCACAAAAGTCAGGCAGCCGGTCTCTATGAAATAAATCAGCTATGAATCATTGTAAAGCTATTATTGCAAACCATTACAGAATATTTTTTGCGATGATCTGGCACGGCTCGGAAACTAAAAAAATCTTGATATCCTTTTACCGCCTGCAATAGTCTAACGATGGTAGCATTACAGAAGAATTCAATAAATAAAAACGGCTTTCTAAAAACCAACTTGGTTGACTCCTAAATAACTGATTGAACAGAAACGTTGCTAACGAGGCCGTCAAAAACGAGACACCTTAAAAAAACGAGACACCTGATTATCCGAAATAATCATTTGTAAGACTGTCTAATGACGTCTCAAATATTATGAAAAATTAAACTAAATTGCGCGAGACAAGATTCAGAACGTAATCGGTAGATTACTCATTATGGTACATTATAAGTTTGATTCCCATCAATAACGGCTTTGAACTGATTTCCAAAAGAGAGGACTTACATTTAGTTTTCATGATAACGTGAAAGCGACAAGAACTTTGTCATTAAAGGAAAACACAAAAAACGATCAATATGCTATGACACAGATAAAAACCTTACGTCCGAGGATAGGATATAGCTTTAATACTTTAATACCGTAAATCCTAGAATTGCTCCCCCCCTCGAAAAAGCCCCCCCTTTCTCGAATAAGCCCTCATCATAGAACTACAAATTTTTAATAAGCCTCCATCTCGAATAAGCCCTTCCCCTAGATTTAGTTTCCACTGCTACCGTAAAGTATCGAATTCGACTCCTCGATTTGATGATTTTTGTCATCTGAGTTGCGTTTGGCGTTTTATTGAATTACCAGAAAAACTCACATTTATACAGAAATTTCTAGTAAAACAGGTCTTATAATAATGTCTTCTCAATGTCTACAATAATTTTGAAAGCCCTCCCTTGAAAAAGCCCCATCTAAAAATAAAAAAATAAATAAGCCCCCTGGGGGGGGGGGCCAATTCGAGGATTTACGGTATCCTTGAATTGAGGTCAAAGAACGCTAGATACTAGACTGGTGCAGGGATTTTCGTTGACACGTGGACACGTAAACTATGAAAACCTTTATACAGGAATTTCCAGATTTCCTGAACTTGTAAGATACTTGCCTTACTTTTGTCTTGATTTGACTGAATTATCACCGAATAGATGCCACCATTGCCAAAGGTCAGCTCTTTCTATAATATAATCAAACAATACTTTTTAAAATACTTGTTGTATGAAGCGACGAACCACGACCAAAATCAGGAGCATTGGTAATTGTAACGAAGATACTATCATTAAAAAACCTCTAAAATGGATAGAAATGAATTGTGATTTTTCGTACAAGAGATGCAAACAACTTCTATACTTGACTTAAGTTGACATTTATTTAATACATCTCTCTTAGGTATAGCCCATAAGGAATTATAGCCTAAACATATTTACTTCATTCCAACGTAAGACAACGTGCTAATGTACAAAATAGGTATCATGACGGTACTAAAGTACCAGCATATTACCAAAGTACCAACACACTGTCTATAAACAAACATACTAACACTGTACCAGCAAGGTACCAAAGTGCCAAAGAAGGACCAACGCACAAACCCACTGCCTATGTGCCAACGTACTTATGAGGTACTATGGTACCAAAAGAAGTACCAACTTGAAAGAAACTCTTTTTCTAGATAATAGCACTCCAGGTGAAAGCATTACACATTAAACTTAACATTATTTTGCATCTAATATTGTTAAGTTTATCTAAGATTGGATTATGAACGAAAAGGCGAGAATCAATGTCCATGCAAGAGTGGAAACTGACTGGAAAGGATAAACGAAAAGCCTGACAATAGGCTCCTTTCTTCATTAAGAGAAAATAGAATCCGTGTCATTTTGATTAATGCAGGAGTTTCGAAAACACCCGAAATAAAAAAACGACCTTTGCCAAATAATTCTAAAGCCGCCGATTAAAAATGTCTATCACCATGGCTAGGGTCAAGAAATATCCCTTTCGAAACTATAAAACGTCTCACTTACCATAGCAAGAGCTCCCTGAGTCCCTTTCGCAGACACTCTGATCTTGTAACTAAGAATTAAGTAAGACAGCAATTTAGAAAAGAAGAATTGAACTTGAGCACTTGATGAATCTTAAAATCATAAAACATTACATGCAAACCTCAACAAGTTGAAAGCACCAGTCATCACTGTAAAACTATGACGTTAGTATAAACGAAAGAGAAGCTATTTTGAATCATGTGAGATATTCACAGATACTTAAAATACAAATATCGAGAAAAACAATCTGATCTAAGGGCATTGTGACTTTCTAGGGTCATGTCTTTTTTGAGTGGCAAAATGGGGTGTACGAAAGGAATGATCAATCATCGATATGAATTTATTGCTACTTTGTTTGCTATCATGAATGCTCCCGATGGCAGCGTCCTTGAAAATATAATTGTGCTTATTTGTAAATTCATAGACCGTGCTTATGAAAATTGAAATTACATAGAGCTAGGAATTGATCAAATCTGGCCTTAACAGTCATAATCAGAAAAAAATACAGACTCGATAGTCTAGACTTCTTTGCTTCAAACCGAGAGGTCAACTTACTGTTTCGCATCAAATTTGTGATATCTATATGAAGAGAATGGACTCAGGTCGTATTGAACAGATTTATTTGCTTTCACGGTTACTTCCTCCATAACAGTACTACCAACATGAACAAAACGAACCAATGCTCTTCCCTTTCCCAATGGAGTTACTTGATCTTGAAGCTTTAAAATAGATGAGACACGCAATTTAATAGTCCTGCTTAGTGTGGTTTAAAGCATATGCAAAGAGAATAAACTATGGTTTGCTTAAACTGACAGTACAAGTAAGCCAGATAGTGCATCTGTCTAACCCAGAAACTGCCGTCGTGTAATCAGCAGGCAGGGGCGGCTGGGAGAGATTTTAAACTGCTATTAGAGAAAATCGTGGTATCAGGGCGTGGCTGCCGCTGTTTTTTACTTCCAACCACACCCTCTTCAATGGTTGTTTTCAATATTGCACTGTCTTTTTCTATGCTCTACCTCATCGTTATATCTTGATTTTCTTGGCCGCAAGTCGAAAACACCTCGCCATTTTCTATTGTAATGCTCTCTTTCTCATAATCATAAAGAGAAAAGCAAAAAAATCAGGGAGGGGGGGCTATGGCCACGGTCGGAGGTTATTTGATCTCTAGAGCAATAAGGCCCATTGTCAGACTTGTCAGACTTATAATTTTGAATTTGATACTAATCCTAAAAATATTGTAAAGTTGCAGCACGTTTCTTAGTTCTAAATAAAATTCAGACATTCTTTCAAATTTCTACTAAAACAACCTTTATTGGAATATATCTTCAGTTCCGAAGTCATGTCTACACATTCAGTCTTTCAATTACGACTGTAGGCTTTGGCTTCGACGGCCTGCGGGCCGCAGATGAATATCATCAGCTTACGATGAAAAGGCTCTCTGTCCGTAGCCGTAGCCTCTTTTTTGTTGCTATTAACGGCCCTCTTTTAATAGCAAAATCATATCGGCAAGTATCGTACATTGAAATACTCAAATATTTCTGATAAATGCTCATTGTTAAAATAAAAAACCAAAGCACCATATTTTTCAATTCAATTTAAGTGCAGATTTGGATTTTCGATGAAACTAACGTAACAGCCTGAGAATAAACTACATACCGCTTCACCAAAATAATAAGAGAGCGCTATCTTTCAAATATTTAAACGAAGTCGCTTTTGGTGTGTTTATTGTTGTTGTGAAGAAAGGATTGTCTGTCAGTATGTCGTTAAAACACCCAACGTAAACTAGAAACGGCCATATGATTTATTTTAAACGCAATATACCACATGCATGGAAGAGTGAACTGGGGAATCTTGCTATTAGAAGTGACCCGGCTAATAGCAAGTCCGCATATATTGGGTCTTTCACAACAGCATGATTGGCCACTTTACGTCAGACAAGGAGACACAAACAAAGGTGGATATGAAAGTTGCTATTAGGATTCACAAACCTAATAGCAAAATTTCAGGGCTGTGACTGTAGTATTTGTTTGAGGCCGCCAGATGAATGGGTCACAATAAGTGTCGCGACAAGCGTAGGAGGGAGGTCTTTTTTGAAAGAATCAAATCAGTTTCAAGAGTAGCGGCTTCTGCTCGCTCTACCATGGCCATATCACGCCATATCATTGCAAAATGGCAGGAAAACAGTTAGCGGTCCAAATAAACTGTTTTTGCCAAGGATTTCCAGTGCTAGTTTTATTTTAAAGATATATGACCAGTAGATTATAAGAGCCTTTGCTGAAAAAAATTGCTATTAGACTAATAACGCTAATACCGCTCCCAGCCGCCCCTCAGCAGGCGAGGAATTTTTCACCAGGGATAGCAGGTAAATATGGCAGGGGATAGAAACATTTTCTTGGACTAGCAGAATAGGATTAAATTTGCAATCATGATCGACCATTCGGGATCAGATGGGTAACTCCCATATTGATACGAAACACCCATATGGAAGAATTACCATGTGATTTTTCGTGTCAAAGAGGGACAAGATTAACTGGGGACAAAAATGTCAGCTTGCAGGGATCTTTGGGAATAAAAAAATGCCCGGGTTATTCGATTACTTGAAAGGGGACTCCCCGGTCAAAAAGCTTATTGTCGTGGACGGTTTTCACCGGGCTTGCTACACAGGGGGGTTAGAATTAAAAAAGGCCACTCATGGCCATTTTCCGTTGCACTTTAATTTCCAAATATTCAAATTACAGGATAATTTTTGGCAATTATTTCATCATTTCTAAGCGTAAACTCCGTACAAAAATTCGGTACAACAAGCGATGAGTCATTTAATACATAAATAGAACAAGGCTAGAATAATTCTATATAGCAGCCCTAAGTATCTGATCCTACTTTAAGAGGATCTCAATTATCCCATCAGAGGAAATGCAAAAATCGAACCCCTTCAATCGTCATGTCATAATTCCTTAAGAGTCGAAGTTGGTTTTTAGGAAACATATCATGATAATTTTTCTACTTAATTAAAGAATTATTCACAACATTCTAATGCCAAATGAAAAGACTACCTGGCACCAAATATAGGGCTAACAGATAATAATTAATTCCTAGTAAAAATTTATATAACACAGTATGACACCATACCTGTATTGGAACTATGGCGCTGTGATTCAAACCAACTACCCAAGAATATGTGTAATGCTCTTTAATTTCGACTTTATCCTTAGATTTCAAGGAAATGGCACAGTTGACTGTTTCCACGTCAATAGAGGTTAGCTTTGTTGGCACTGCAAAGTATTCAGTTGCCTGTAAAATAGACGATGATGATGTTTCAAGACAGTGATCAATTACAATTTTGAATTGTCCATAGCAATAGCAACATGTACCAACTTAAGTTTGAAGAAGGTGAATATATTTTATGATAAGAAATAAGCTTTGATTCTATCGGTTTCTTCGTGGAAGCATAATTTTTTAATTAGATTAGACTGCATAGGTTCCCTGAACAGTTGGAATAAGCAAACGAAGGTTGATATAACAAAGCGAGGAAACAATGGCATTTAAACAAATAAACCTTAAAAAGACTCACCCTTTTCTTTGACAAGATGATGTCCTTTTTAAGATTGGCACTTGAGACTTTAATTTCACACGGAACTGCATTGATTACACGGAAGTTTGCAAAACCAGTTGCTGGCATTTTAGCTACGGACGAGACGTTCTAAAAAGAAAAAGAAGGTTATAGTGTCAATAAGTTACAACAAGGGTCCGTCTCGCATCAAAACAGCAGGGGAGGGGGTGGGGGGTGGCTGGGGCTTGGGCCCAATTAAAAATATGGCAGCAGAAAAGTTCAACCACATATAATAAAGGAGTTTTTGAGTCCGATTGCGAAATAGCAGCTGTGTATGAGTTTTCGAAACAGTTGTTAAACATTTCATCGACTATCTGAATTAGCCTAGGACCCAAGAAACCTTTTTCTCCAACTTTCTTAGGTGCAGAGGTCGGGTAACGGTTGCTTATTTGCATACAAGAAGACCCGACCGGCGATCCTTACTTTGCCACCAGTGCCTGTTTACAGGTTAAAATCCTTAATATCCTAAAGTTGAAAATTAAGAGAGATATCATATCTTACTTTACCTGAATAAATTACAAACTGTTTCAAGGTTATCCTTGGTTTCTATGGTAAATTCATTCTAAATGATACTGAATGCATATTTCAAAAGTAGATAGACTATTCTCACAGCTTCTGGTCGTTATCAAGATATAGCATAAGTTTAACTGGTAAGGCTAAATAGTTAACTAAAAAAGAGTTCTTTATATAACCTCGCTTAAAGGCATTTGACACAGGTAAAAGTGGCTTACAGCCATTCGTCCACGAGCGGTTGACCAATCAAATTGCGCACAGAGAAAAACACGTGAACAGTTTCCGCCTTTCTGCAAATCGGTGAAATCCTAGAGCAGCGCGCAGTGGTCTCACGTGAGCGGTTTTCAATACCTTTCTTGTGCGCGTGCTCTGATCAATTTGGCTTAAGTTATTTTTGGATTCGCTGTACTTATGCTTGTCAAATGTCTTGCTTATTTACATTGTACATCGTACAAATAGATCATTTATAAGCCGTAAGAACTAAAACCTAAAGCAAGAACTAGAGTTACCTTTTCGTCTATAAAAAGGCACGCGTGATTGTACAAAATCAATTTAGTCTTACTGTTATTTCAAGCCTCCAAGATTAAAAATGATTTGGGTTCCTTTATGGGTCATTATGAGTGGCTTAAATGTCTTTCGCTATTTGCCGCTCTGACCTCTGCACTTCTGAGATTTGTTTTTTACAGATTGCTAGTGCATAATCATAACTGCAAACAAACCTCCATCCGGGATTGAAGAATTCCAGCGATAACAAATGAAATGGCAGCAAGAAACATGCCAAAGCTCATTCGCTGCAAGGGCCTAAAGAATAAAATAAGTTTCATGTCTACTGCTTAAATTTAAAGCATAAAACAACATGACACCTATAAGATTAACAGGCTGCAACAGCTTATCCTCGAGAAACATTACACATTAATGGCAGAATTATCTCTTAACGATTTAGATATTCAATCGGTGCATCTCTACAAATTTCTTACAGCTAAAACCCGCATTTGAAACTATAACATTAAAATCAACACAAAACTTTGAACTTCTTTAGCATATAAGCTTTCAAGAACATTAAAGGTCTATGTGTTATTCCTTTCATATTGAAAGGAATAAATGCTTTACATTGATAATAATGGAACTAGTCTACAAAACAAATGCCAGCAATGCCTATTTCATTTGCCAACTTAAAGTCATCAAAATCCTTTGAGAAATACGTCAGTTTCAGTCCTAACATTGTTAGCCAGCGATATGAAAATCAAATGGTGGACACTTCTAAACTCTGTAAAAGTAATTTTAAGCTGATGGAAACCACTGCATAATTAAGGGAATCCCCCAGTTTGATAATGGCCAGAATAGACTTCAAAAACTAATATTAGTAGTTCTAATCAATGCAACTCTAATAATAGACAAATAAAAAGTTAAAGCAGCTCACTTTGTCAGCAATCTGCACCTCCTTGCGAGTGGGTAGACAATAGTCTCAAAGAAGGGAATCAAAATCATCACAAACACAGGGTTCAAAGCCTGAAAAAACCAAAATGAATGAGTAAGTCCTCGTTTGAATACAAAGTCAAGCAAGGTTCTATTGAGTTGAATGAGCGCTGATTCGTTCACTGGATGATTAAAATTAGTCTACCAAAGTAAAAAAAACTGGACAACAAAGTATTTAGTGACGGTTCAAGTAAGTGCACATGATATCGTCCAAGGATATTATAAATCCCTTGGAAAGACATCAACAACAAAGAAAACTTTCTACAAGATTAAGGAAGGTAGTAATTTTCCCTAAATTTGCACTTGTCTCCAAATAAGCCTCAAAAGGCTTCAAATATGAGGCAATCAATACAAAAATCCAACAAAACCTAGATATCGGAGAAAAACTTTGTTGAGCACAGCAAAATAATTTTTTTTAGGAAATTTTAAAAATAGAGTGTATATATATTTGTCGCAAGTACCTGCATTTGATCAGGCTTCAAAGTACCAAGTGGTCCCTAAAATGTAATGCGATAAATTCATTGATTGATTTTCTGTCATGGGTTGGTACGAAAAGTGAGGAGCTTTGGTTTTCGCAATGAAGCTACTAGAAGCAAACAGCATATGTTTAAAAGTGCCTTCAGAGGACAATATCAACAGTTAACAAAAACACTGACTTCTTTTAGAAAAAACAAAGGAGAAAGAGAAGACAAATAATGCATAATTCAGGAAAACTGTCCACGTTAAAAAGACAAAGAATAACAACACCACAAAACAGACAACAACAAACAAAAATGATGTAAGATACCATGTCGACCTGAGGTATAAATCTTTAAAAAATATAAAAGACTAAAAAGGAAATGGCGCTTACAATATCGCCGTTCATTTCTATTGCTTGCAAAGTCCATCTTGATCCCTAAAAGATGAAATAATCTTAACATTACCAAACATTAATCATTCTCGTATACATTTTCAAAGAAAATTTTTATAGATTGAAAGATATAGTAAACATCAACAAATTTAACCATAATAACAGGGAATGTTTATATTATTAAAAAGGAGGATAGCTACAATTTACTGAAATCCTTAAAAACCAATTACTACAACCATGAGGACAACGTTGGTACAATGTCATTTCTGTTTTGTGCGATAACCAGAAAAAAACTGACTATAAGGAATGCCACAAAATGCACTCCAATTCACTAGCCTATTTTTTTTATCTATATAAGGTAGTGTGTGACCGACAATGATTTCAGCTTTGTTCAGTTAATGAATGAGTAAAAAGTGATTATCCAAGAAAAAATGTAGGACTGCTGGACTTAACGAGTTTGCCTACCTGTTGATCAAAGAGCGTCCAGAACACAGGGAGTGGCAGAAACATAAAAAGGACTTTAAACAGTGCTTTTATATCCGATATTAACATCTCCTGTGAAAGAAAGATGAACAAAGACAAATATATATATAGATATAAGTACCATACAACATTGATCAAAATTGCACATTCAAAAGATTTTCAATTCTGGAAATTATTGCAACTATATACCTCAGTGACGTAAACAAGATACAAACCTGGTGAAAAATTCTAAAGGAATTGGGCTTTCAGAAACAGACTAATACCAAATTCAAAAGTACAAACAGATTAATTACGTCATATTTTTCTGCTGCCCAGTCCATCCAGTGCTCTTTCTTTTCACCGCGACCACAATTCGCTATTTTTCTTTTCAATGCAAACTGAAAATGGATAGAAGCCAATTGTATAAAATGATCGTTTCTTGAATAAGATGTAAATTTAAAGACTTGAAAATATTAGTGTTAGAAAATACTGAAAACTTAAAGGATCAAGGCAGCCCTTACTTTGAAAATGTTTTTGATCAAATATTAATTTTCCTATCCTGATCCTTCAGGTTGATGAAAAAATAAAATGTTTAGGATAAGTACAAAAACTTACGCAAACTGCTTTGGCGACTTCAACAACGATGTTGCCCTCAGGTGGATACTGTTTATACATGTTTCTTCCGCAGACGAAAATCACGACAGAAATTATCATAAGAATGGCTGGAACGCCAAAAGCAAGTGGATAACAATCATGCCCAAAGCACTCAACATCACCTGAAATGCACGGATTTAGTAGATTAGCAGTGATTAATTCATAATTCTATCTGAGAGCATATAAATACAGAACGATTATAGTGAAACCAGGCCCTGGAATGAGAGGTGCTCGATCGAGCGCGAGCGCCTCAGAAATTTACGGGCTTGATTGCTCGAGCGCCTACTAGCTGATCCTTACAACTTCTTTTGTTCATTTGTGAATTTGCGAATTTACTTGATATAAATTTGTAGCCAATATCTTCCTTCAATACCTCTAAGAAACAATAACAATTTATTCAAATTCTTTGTTGAAAACGGAAAGTTTTTAATGACTTTGCAAATCCCAAGTAATGTTCAGATCACATATGCTATTTTCCGTTTGCCTTGCTTCTGTGTTACAGGCCTTTTCGTTTAATGCGAGCGATCACTCGCGATCGCGTCAGCACTCGCGCAAACCCAACCAGGCAAAACGGGAAATTGTGAGGAATAAATGTCTCATCAATTAACACATTTCTAATCATCTTTTGTGGCCCAAGCAAGTGACATAGACGATACAAAACCGGTATACCAAAACATTTGCCATATTGATCGCAACAGTTCGTTTTCATTTGGTATTACCTTAAATGAGAGGGTGCCTTATAACAGGGTCATACGGTTTTAATAAACATTACTGATGCTTTTGGCATTGTTCATTATTATCGTTTTTAGAGCGTTCGCTCGCGCAAGAGTTCGGATTTCTTACGAACGTTGATTGCGCACATTTAATAAAGTATGATCAAAGACAAAAATAATCTTGGAGCTTGATCAAAGACCTGAGTGAAACCTAAGGGTTACTTAACAAGGCATTGCTTGCAGGAAAGATAATGATTGTACGTTGTTAAGAGATGCACCTCATAGGTAGGTATACAGGTTTGACTGTACACTAAGACAAGAAAATGCAGTGAGTCGAGAATGTTGTTAAACTAAAGGAATAAGCGCAATGAGGATGGAAAGACACGTTCTCGTCAACAATCGAGTCAGAAGCGACTTCTGTCGTACTTCATCAGAAAATAGGACATCTCACTGTAAGAAAACATCAGATCAAAAATAAAATTCCTCCTTAGTCATCTACAGTTAAGGCCAATTTCAATCGATGATAAATCTTCCTTGAATAAAACCTGTTTAAGGCTCAACAAAATTCGTCACATCAAACGTACCTCTTAAAATAGGGGTTAACAACATGGAAGTCAGACTTCCCACATTGATTGAAAAGTAGAAGATTGAGAAGAAGCTTTGTAGTTTGTCTTCCTGTTACAATAAAATAAAAATCTGTTAGAATAAAATCATAATATGAATAGAATCTTTAATGATATGAAGGATAAAAATTTTAAGTATTTTTTAATATGATTCTTGACTGTAAAAGATTTCGCTGCTCAAATGTGAACTTTTGTCAGCTTTTTACTAGTTTTGATAAAATACTAGAATTGTTTTGTAGAGCAAATAGCCAGGCAAGTTGCAACATAGGTAGCATTTTTAAAGATAGTCAGACAGACAACAGGCAAAAAAATAGGACAACAAGTCAACAATCCAGCAACATTATCCACATATCAGTCAATGAGGCCTTGCAGAAACTTTGTGGTCTCAGTATCTGTCATGACATGACACATTTTTCCACAATTCGAACAAAGTTGTGTCAAGAGTCCAAAACAAGATCTTTTTAAACTTTGTCTCAGCAAACAATGATAAATTTTGAGAAAGAGAAAAATTATGGTTTTCAAGAGATTAATCAATTTTCCTAAGCAGTCTACTCTCAACATGCCCTGAACATTTTCCCATCTTCCACCATGTCACTCTGATGATGAACAATAAGAAACTTAGTCTTGGTTCAAACTTTAAACAACATTATCCCATCATTAAGTGTAGATTAACATAATTGAAGACAATTGCTAATAGAGCAAGAAAAATGCAAACTGAAAACGCATGTATGGAAAATGATAGCATCCTAAAGGGGTATTCAGTGTTTAGAGGAAAGTGGAAACTTAGCACTATCCTTGTGACTTGTTCCAGATACCTAAAAATGCATGCATCATTATAATACAAACCTGTCCGGCTTCGAACTGATCACCACCAAATGCAGAAACACACGGTTTTATCCCACCTGTTCCAATAGCAATCAACAGCAACCCAATCATGGGACCAACCCTGAATTAGAAAGGCACATATACCTTTAGAAAGTATACTTACTTAGTCACCTACATAAAGTTATTTCAAAGAATTCAAAAAACTTTTTATGTAGATGAAATTTAATTTCTATCTAAAAGTTATAGAGTTTTTTCCAGGTCTATTTTTAAAAAATATAAGCTAAACTGGTTAATTAACATACATAAATGAAGGAGCAACATTGCCCCTCTTATTGTTCAAAAAATATGCCTATTTTTTGCAATAGGTAATCTTAAAGCTACGACTTTTGCTGATTCCTAGCCATACTCAGTCTCTTTGTATATTTTAAAATCTAGGTTGAAAGAAACATATATATCATAGTTGCAGCCCATGAAGCCTGCTGGCTCATTCTTTAAATAAGATACAATTACTGTAAATCCTCAAATTGGCCCCACTTCAAAAAAAAACCCTCTCGAATAAGCCCCCACCCTAGAACTATAAACTGTCAATAAGCCCCCCTGGAATAAGTCCCCACTGCTACTGTAAATTCTCGAAATGGACCCCTCAATTTGATGATTTTTGCCATCTGAGGTTGCCTATGGCATTTTATTGAATTACCACAACAAATTCATACTTTTGGTAATAATTAATTAAATTCTCATAAAGAACTTCCTACTAAAATAAACAATGTCTCCTTAATGTCTACAACAATCTTATAAGCCCCCCCCCCAAATAAGTCCCCATTCAAAAATATTAAAAATAAATAAACCCATGTCTTTTAATAATGTCTCCTTAATGTCTACAATAATCTTATAAGCCCCTCCCCCCCGCCAATAAGCCCCCATTCAAAAATATTAAAAATAAATAAACCCCCAAGGAGCTAATTCAAGGATTTATGGTATCTTGAAGTTGCGTTTTCTAATTATTCCATTTTTTACTAAAACTGACTTACAGGCCCTTTGATGTGGCACTTTGCCATCCTATTTTAAGAAGTTTTAAAGGTTCTTTATTAATAGGTTTTAATATATAAATATATAGCTATTTTTTAAGTACCTTCCCATTAAAAAAGCCCCACTGTCCCTAAGACCTAGGCACCATATTTTTCAAGTGTCTATTTTTTATTCCTTGAAAAAAGCTGAACTGAACTTCTTATCTTTCGCAATTGAAGCGTTGAAAGGAGAAAAGTTGTCAAGCATTGATTATCAACAATACATTTGCCTAACATTTTTGACAGAAGAAGTAGAAAGTTAGTACTTTGCTCATATTTATTATTTGCATCAAACATATTTTGCCTTTAGCTAAGTTACAAAGTTAACTTCAGTTAAGCAAGAAAAGGTATGGAGCAAAACTGTTTTTACTTACAGTTTGACTGCATTTAAAAGACTTGGAATTGCTGTAATGGCTACTACAATATTGCCAATTGCATACACAAGAGAAATGTACAAAATGGTCCTGCAAAAAAAACATTCTCATTCAAAATTAGAATAACTGAGATAAACTTTGATAATATATTTTTTTAAATTAAAAGAAAAAGTAAATCATAACATTCATGAAACATAAAACAAGTTTGATTTTGATACTTTGTATGTCATTTAGTTGGCAATCATCTTTGTACTTGAATGCAATTGGTACAACAAAATTTAGGCAATTGGTACCACAAAATTTGAAAATAGCACAGAAAACAAAAACATGTCATACTAAGGTGAAAGGTATTCTGGTTACCTTTGGATATTACCTGACGCATGTACTCTGACCAGTGTCGGAAGAAAAGTACATTAGTATGACATGTTTCCGCCCTTTCCATGCCATTTTCAAATGCTATCATTATTTTCCAGAAAAACATACTTCACAAATCAGGGAAAACAAACAAGTACCAAATAAATTACAAAAATACACATAAATATAAAACTTACTTGTATTTTCCCCAGAAGCTATCTGCAATTATGGCCCCAAATATGGGACTGAAATAACATAGCATATTGAATGCATGGTAAACTTCAGTAGCATGATCCTTGTCCATCTTCAACATGGATGTGAGGTAAAGTACAAGAATGGCTTGAATGGAAAAGACATAAAAATCCAAAACACTGGCTTCTCATAGAACAAGTTCTGAGTAAATACAAAATTATTTATGCGAACCAAAAAATAGAAAACTTGATTGAAAAGAAAAAGGATTCTCATTGAATGTGCTAAATAATAAAATATCTATTTTTGGGACACTAAAAACATCACTAATAAACTGAGCAATAGCATGGACAATCATTTAGAACTGTCTCCTCCCGTTTACAAGAACTATGTTTTAGAGCTGAAGACTATGGAAAAGAGAATTTGGCTGAACAAGGATATTGTTTAGAAACAACCTAAAATAAGAGTATCGCTGGGGGAATAATAGTATTAAATTTCTTAAAACAGACATTAAAAGCTTTCATGATTTGAAAATTTAGATAGGTATATATATCAAATAATTGTTTACCATCTGGCTTTCTGACTTACCATGCATCCCATAGTATGAAAACCTTTCACACAATTCATTTCCAAGAATGAAATAAACCTGGACAGGATAGCCAATTTTCTCTTCAAGAAAAGTCTAAAAAGGAAACGAAATTATATATAAATTTCATGAAATGTGAAATCAAAATTTGTTCATTGAAATAATGCTCATTGAAAATCAAGTACAAAGGGTGCTAAAAACTATGAAGATTTAGGACAATATTGTGTCAGACTTACCCTGACTTTGCCCCTTGATTTCTTTGGAGAAGATTCTACAAGAAAAAGCAATTTGGTTGGCAAAAGGATGAAAACAAAATTTTGTATTACTTTAACACAATTCAAACACAAACTGGATTGTTCTTTATTTGTTTGCATTCTTCACTGGCACAAGTGCAGAGAATCTGAGAATTTGTTAATTGGTGTTACACTTGGTGCTATTGGTCAATGGCAGAGGTTTTTTTGCTGACTGACAGTCTGTCTTTAACCAGTAGCATCGGCCCAGGGTGGACCCTACCCCAGTTTACCCAGGTCAAATTTCTAATTTTTTTAAATCCATTGAGATAACTTTGAGGGTGATCTGATCAATTTCGTTTTTAATTTTGTTTGCAAAAAAGCCAAGGGATACGAACAATGAGTGGCTAAGTGGCAAAAGCCAAGGGATTGAAGAAGTGGCTTTTTGAAAAATTTTAAAATAGATCAAAAACACTAAAAAAGGCCTTTTTCCACATTTTCTGAGGGTCTGAAAGGCATAGTCAACAAATTTCTTTTGTCCACCACAGTTTTTTTTATACTCTGGTGACTCTACTGTCTTTAACATCTACTCAATCTAACATTCCACCCAAACATTCTTTAACATGGAGGCAGTACCGAGGAATAGCATGATGGTAAATAAACCCCAATTTCTTTCACCCCAATTTCTTTCACATGGTCCACACAATTTTTTATGAAATCGAAAAAATGCACTGGGGAGGGGTAGGTAACAATCTTTTTCTAAAATTTGCCTTAGGGGGATTCACCTGGTTTTAAAACACTGAAAGAAGGCAGAAAGAGAGTTGTCTTAAAGGTCAAGCCAATAACCCTCCAACTTCACAGTGGCTGGCACTACCACTGCCTTGGCAACTTTTTAAATGCTGCAGATCTACCAAGTACCATGCATTTTGTGTGAGTATAACCTATTAGAGAAGCAAGATACAAAGAAAATGCAAAAAATAACTAATTAATTAGAGCAATAGACCTCATGCATCTGGGAACATAAAATTGACAACCATGATTTGGGTGTACATGTGCCAAGGCTTTCAAGCGACAAAATATTTTGCATAACAATCAGGTCTCCCAAGAGGTTTGGGAGGCCCTAGGGCAAAATCAAAGAAGGAAACCCATTACAAGCAGAGACAGCAGGAAATTTTTATGACTTTGTCCTTTCTCAGTCATTTGTTGGAACTGTTTAAAACTGTTCACTACTTTTAGGCATACTTTTATTATGTTTAATTAATTCCATTCTTGAAATGGAATTTAATACTTTATAAAAACTTCTTGACCATGAGGCCTTGAGGGAATTTGCCCCCTCCCCCTCTTTCCCAGGCTGTAAAGTATTTTTTCTGCACTGGGAATGCCAGAACAATAGAAGATGCAACTTTACTGGCCCCTATCCCCTCCCAGAAGCCTAGGCAACAATTGCACCCAAAATTTCGTCACATTTCATACAAATTATTTTCTGGGGCAGAATTTAATTGATATATTGACAGGGCTAACAGATAACTTCTAGGTGGTCTTCAAGAATCGCCCCAGAATTTCATTTAGAACTACCACTAAGTTTTGTCTAGTTATTGTACCCTTTATTGTATCCTTTATTGTACCCTCAGTAATCACTTTATCCTGAGCACCGGCCTGTTTTAAGTTTAAGTCTACCATAGACATAGGAACAAGGGGGTACAGGGAGAACATGCAACTAAATTTTTTTGAAACAAAGGTGTTAGTCTCTAATTTTTTGGCTACATATGCAACCCCCCCCCCCCCCTCCTCCAACGTCTATGGAGCTAACAGAATTGATAGAAGAGTTGTTGTTGTTTTGTGAAGTGAGCAGTGGGCATGGGCTAGCCCCCCCCCCCTTTTTTTCGCTAAAGGATGGTATCAAGGTTGTGGCATCAAAGATGATGGTGGCAAACTACAAAAGGAGCCCCCCCCCATTCTAGAGCCCCTCATTCTTATATGTGCTCCGTCATCCCTAATATTGGCAGGAGAGCGTTCACTGATCCTAGGTGATCTTGTTAATACAAGCAAAAACAGGAAATATTTGAAAACGGAAGAGAAACTGGAGATGAAGCACCGAGGAAGAAAGGAATCCTGTCCTCCAAATGTCTCGGCCTCGTTGCTAGGTGTTTCTTGAGGTAGTGGAAACTGATAACATAATATGGAAACTACTATTAACAGCTTATCTAATTTCTTTACTCCCGTCTTGACTTAGATCGAGTTACTAATAGCTGTTTGTTGCACAAAAGTGCACATATACTGCAAATCAAGGCGGGAGGACGAAAGATCACGACTTTGTTACCTCTCGATCCTTCACCCTGCTCATTTGCATTCGGATCTTCAGCTAACTCCTGGTAACGATCCTCTTCACTGCTTAACTGTTCATAGCCGGCAGGCTTCGCCATGTCTTTTGCTTTTAGCTCGGCTCGAGTAATTAAATTTTAGGCCAATTGGCCTTTTGCTTGCCACGATGAGATTATTACAAATTTTCCTTCCTCAAAAAGAACATCGTCATGTTATTATTTTCCTTTCCATTTCCAATTGGTAATCTGAAACGCCGAAGTGAATTCACAGCAAATTTTTCGAGTAGATATACTGGTAAAACTTTCCACTTCGACTGATATCTGGCGAATTTCTTCACCGGAAGATTCCTCCTCACACACACAACAATCCGCAATTACGTATCAATAACAATAGAACGAAAGTGCCGTCATGTTAACCAGAAAAACCAAACATTTAATTGCCAGTTTTATACAGAATCTTGAGTAGGACATCAAATACCAAATGAAATTTTGGTTGTTATTTTTCCATCTAAATCCGCGTAGGAACTTTTTTTAAAAGCCCGCAAATTATTCCCGAGTAGCTAAGAGGTGCTGTCACCGCAAGGTTGTAAATAGCTCATGCTTGAACGAGCGGAGTTGCACAAATCGAATGCATGAGTGAATCTTAATAAACCTCAAATAACCTGCATTTGTCAGGGCGGCTAAAATGTTTATACGAACATATGTATCCATCATTTTTTGGGTACTCACAAAAACATGTAGGGAAACTGAGATAATTAAAAAGAAAAATGAGACGCGGATTGTGGTTTGTAGAGCCCCCTAAAAAGGGGGCAATTTACATAGGGCTAAGAGTCAAGATGGAGCCAGGAAAATTAGATTTAGACGAAAAGGAATGCCAAGCAGCAGCAGGGGCGGATCCAGAGCAAACTTGAAGGAGGGGCAGTTGGTAGTGGGGGTGCTGACAAATTTTCAAAATTGATTACAAGAGTATGCTGTATACAACAATTTCAGAACCATTTTCGAAATAAACAACATAACTTTGAGGTAACTAATCCTTGAAGCAAATTAACTCGTCGGTTCCAGGAACTTTTTCACCTGATTCTCATTCTTCAAAAGGGGCGCACAATTTCCAAAAAAGGGGCACCAGACTTGCTTCAACTCGTTAAGGGAGGGGCAACTACCCCTAGTTTATCCCCCCCCCCCTTAACCCGCCACTGAGCAGCAGTGCACGTAGATCACTGAAGACTGGATCGAGCCTCCTATTGTCTTGAAACACCAAAGTTTAAAGCCCGTTCAATTTCAAAAGGAAGAGGGCCCCAAACAATAGCGAGAAGCCATTTCTCAAAACCAATACTTCAACGATATGGATACGCGAGAGCTGCAATGCTGTGTGTATGATTGCTAAAAAAGAACAAGGCCAAAGCAGCTGAAAACATTGCAAGGGGTGACAGAGAAGGCCGTCTTCTCGCATGGGCTGTTCTGGGGCCCTCTTCTCGGATGGCGACACTCTGGTCGCATTCAGGGGCGAAACTACCGGGGGGTGTGGGGGGTGTGACACCCCCCAATCCAAAAAATAGTCGATTTCGCAGGGCAATCGAAGGTTTCGCAGGGCGCCAAGAAGAGCTTTATTGCAACGCAGAAATGCCACCTCTGAAGTTCATAAAGAGCTGTTAAGGAGTTTTGAAATGGAAATATCATATTTGTTATGAATCTACCTTCCTGTCATTGCATTTTAGAGAACGGAACAGGTATGTAAGGAAAAGCTCCGTTATTTGCAAAGCGAAAGCATTTCTTACCGAAAGTCATAGCCAATGGATGCAATGATTGATGCATATGTTTATGAGGGCAAGGTTGAGTCATGCAAATTAATTTAAGTTGTAAATTATTTTCATGACAAGCACGGCCTCATTGGGCGTCACTGGGGGGGGATAAGAGGCTGAAGGCCCTCACTTTGGTCAAGATAGGAATTTCTTTATCATTTTTTCTATTACTTTTGAACAGTGCATGGACTAAAACACATAATAAATCGTTAAGATACCGATTTTGTTTCATCTAATTGCTAACTTTTTCACGTATATTTTTATCATTTTTCTTTTATTTGCATTAATTCAGTAAGTCATTTTCTGTTTCATTGCAATTTTGGAAGTGTAAACATGGCCTTCTAGATACAAGAAACTGCACTTTTCTGTTCAGGAAATAAAATTATCCCAATCAAAACAACATCTTCCTCTGTCATTCACAACTACGTGCAATCTGAAACGAAAGGTTGCCGTTTCTTTCCTTCCCCAACGTCTAACACTAGAGTTTTAGCATGACATCCCCCTCCCTATTTTTCCCAATAAACAATAATATTTTCAATAAACAATCAGTTCTTTTAGCACAATAGCATTTTGCTAAATTTTTGTCTGAAAGATGCTTTTTAGCCCTTTTAAAAGGTATAATTTCAAAAAATTTCTTCACGTCGGACCCAACCATGGTGGGTCCTCCTACCTCACTAAACTTGACTCTTAGCCCCACTGGGCTAAATTTCGTTGCGCTGTTTACATCATGTATCCCCCCCATTAGCTATTTATTAGCTTAATTTTGCAAACCAACATTAAATGAAGTGAATATAAAAAAAGGAATTTACGCTCACGTAGAGAAATAGAAATTTCATAGGCAATGAAGTTTCAAGTTTGTTTTCACTGCTTAGAAGTTTGTCCTTGGTAAAGACCAGTGTACACTGGTAAAGCTTTCACTAGTAACCTATAGACAAACCGTTACTACGAGGTCTGCAGGGCACCACTCAGTTTTGCAGGGCAGAAAACCTTTTCACCCCCCCAAAACTATTGGCCAAGTTACGCCCCTGGTCGCATTAGAAGCTCGATCCAGTCTTTTTTATAGATCAGTGACGTAGATCCATTCTCCAAATCCAAATCACCCAAATCCAAATTATCGGTACATAGTGGGCCCTTTGTCGAAAGCGAAACGCATTTGAAAAGCCTCGGTTAAATTTGAACGGTTGCAGGAGGAAGAAGTCTTTTGTAGAGAGCAAGAGAAAGAGAGAGAAAGAGAGAGAAAGAGAGAGAAAGAGAGAGAAAGAGAGAGAAAGAGAGAGAAAGAGAGAGAAAGAGAGAGAAAGAACCTAGAAACGGCGGGACAAAGAGCACGGAGAGCACTACTGATCGAAATGATTTTCGAACGAACCCGGGAGAAAAACCGTAAATATCGAAGAAACGGAAGCAAAAAGGAAAAAAGAAATCCAATCAACACAAGTTGGATGATCGAGGATCATTGGGAAAAAAGAATTTTGAAAATCGGCCGAGCTGTTTGGGGTGGTAGGCGTCTTCACCGCCGGGCGGTGGGGATCCTTTGTCTCAGGCTCATTTGCATAATAGAAGATTAGTATTTAGTTTAGACTTCAGACTTTGCCTTGATCAAGCTGAAGGTGAAATGTTCTCTCTTCATCAAACAAGCCCAGAGTACCCAGTTTGAGAACAGAAAAAGTGTCAATAGTTTCTTAAATTATTTAACAAATCATCAATTTTTTCAGTGAGAATCACTTTCATAATTATCTTTGAAAAATCTATCTTTGAAAGTTTCGAAGACTTCATCTTAGCAGTCGCTTGTCCAATCCTGCAGTTCATTATTGTGGTTCGTTATTGTCAGTTCATTATGATTCCTGGTCCAAATACTTTCTTATCATTGATTAGTCTGTTTAAAAATGTGATTACCGAGAAATACCTATATCAAGAAACTGAAGCTACGAACTGTGGCAAATTCCAATAAGCTGTCCCAAGCTACTATTTAATTAACTGGAAAACAGAAAAGCCACGTTTTTATTAAATTTGGTTTGATTTCAATCCAAGTTTTATTTTCACAGCTTTGTAACTGTGGTCATAGATGATATTGCTAAAAATGCCAGAGGTATTCATTTGGATATAATTCACTTACTATGGTCTGCATTACAACAAGACATCAAAAATATGGTTGCTACTATGAACAAGGAGAATCCCACAAAAAGATAACAGCAAATTTTCAAATATACACATTTCAATAAGATGCTCTAAATGTTACGATTTTACATAAATAAATTCTTTATTCTATTTCAATTCTTGTCTAGCTTTTATTCAATACGAAGAGGATTAGCATACACGTTGATACATGATAAAAAAGAAAGACCATAGAGAACTAACGGATCAAATAACACAAATCTCCACCCAATAAAACGCTGATTGTTGCAAGGTTGTTGCAAGGTTGTTGCAGGGATTCTGCAAGGTATTGCACATGCAGTGCAATAACGTTGCATGGTTTTTTATTGATTTTCAAAGCTTTGGATAGCCAATAAAATATTGTTTCGGTTTCTATGTATTTCGTTTTATTAAACTTTGCAATTCTGTGCAGCAGGGGATCATAAGAAGAGGCTGGCGTTTACTATACGTAATTTAAGTATGACAGGAAAAATCAATTGCTCGGCAATATTTATGTCTCTACCATACTGATAGTGGAAAGTTGGTGTTTAAAATTCACTTGGAATATTCAGATTTTTGTAATAAAAGATACCAAGTCACAGGATCGAGGTAGAACTAGAACACAAGATGATATTATAAAAATGGGTATGACATGGTGGTAAACAAAATCTTAAGCAGATGTAGTGATGTCGACCCCATAAAAGCAACATTTAAAAGAGCAAAATTTAAAGACCATTGTCGATACGAAGAAGTCTCCTTTAAACTTGGTCTAACTTGGGGTGTTTGGAATGAACATACATAAATCTGGAGGGATTCTGCACCGGATGTAAGAATTTAAAGGAAAATGTGAGCAAGAAAAGCCTAAAACATCTGTTCAAGCAGGCATTTCCCTTGAAGAAAACTCATGTTTAATAACAGGATGCCTCTATTTCCCTGCAAAGTTTTTGAGCAACGATTCAGAATTAAAAAAATAAAACGTCTTACTAAGAACCTCTAAAAATCTCAAAAATATGAAAGCCTTTGATAAGGAAAAAGATGAAACTGTAAAATCAGTTTGCGAAAAACGCTCTGGGATGCATAATTAGTTTTTTCAAAAAACTAGGGACAGTATCGAGAGACTGAACCTAGGTCTTTGGGCAACCGTCAGGTGTAGAACATCGGAAAATTGTTCACCTACCATTGGAGGCTAATAAAAACATAACGATAGTTCACACGTAAAAACGTAAGATTATTAAAATCAAAGACCAGTCAACAAATATCAACGAGCTAGAAACAGAAGTAGAGCCTTGAAAGACACATGACAATTTATAGTCTTGAGTTTGAGATAAAATGTGGTTTGGAGGTACACAAACATCAAGAGCACACATGAGCTTCATAATATTTAGCTTTGAGTAGACCTTTCGGTGGCATTAAAGTCCAAACGAGGCATGAAAACAAAAACAAGAAAAGAAATCTCATGTGTAATAAAGGTTGATCCATTTTTTAGAAGATAGCCCTATAGGTTTCGAAATTCTTTTCCAAACATGGGTTTAGAATATTCCTGCATTTTTTTTCAAGTTCGTTTTACCTAAACCATGCTAATCCAAAGATATTTCAATAAAAGGGGTTTTCAGCTGATATAGCGTAAATGTTATGTGTTACATAGTTTTGCCATATAAAAACTTTAAAAATATAAGATTGTTAAAAAACATAACATAAGACGATCTACGGACTGGGAAACTATGAGAGCTAAAAAGGTTCCACGGAAAATACACGGAATAAAATGAGCTGGTATTCAGTGGGAGATCTACTGAAAATTCAGTGGGAATATCAGTAACTCATTTAACATTTTGCATACAGTCGTTTTTTAACAGGGATTTAACAGACAGTTTAACAGCTGTGTGATATTGATTGCTGTATTGCTAAGCCTCGGCTCCCTGTTAAGCGTGACGTCATAAATCGATCTAGAGGCATTTTTCAGGGAAGCACTGAGAAAGAGTTAACGTGAATGTATAAAAGAACTCAAAAGTCTATAAGTGACACGCGCGCAGTATCAAATCCAAAGCTGGTTGCATTCACTGCATTGCTGAGGAAGGAGATAATTAGTGCTGCCATCCCACGGTTTCACAGAAGCTTACCGGTATCAGAACGAAAAATATTGGGAAATTTGAATCTAAATTGAAAAGTCGCTGAATACTGATTAGAAATATCTCTCAATATTTGGAAGTAATGTAAAAAGTCCTCTTTTGAAATAGGATACGTAACGTTTTTCTAAACGGTGGACAGGAACCATTTCTATCTCCATACCCAGTAATGCAGCTCACGGTACAAAACGATCTAAACACACCTTTTATTCTGATGCTACATTCTATTCACTTTTCTGTCCATGTATTACCTCTAGCTGTCTTGTAGCCTCATTTGCTAAACTCAAGAGGGCCTGTACTTCCATTGAGACACCCAGCTTACCGTCGCTGCGGGCTTGTTTCGCTCTCTTTGGCGTCCTCGAATACGAATGATCAGACATAACAGCCTGCCTTCCTTCAACGTATCCACTATCACCCAACGTGTCTCTTTCCACCAGTTTCTTCATATTATTATCAATCTCTTCGTCACTAACATCATCATCATAATCATAATCTGAATCATTACCAAAATCATAGTGGTCATCAATGTCTGTTTCTGTTTCAAAAGTTTGGTCAACACTAAGTCCATTTGCACTCCTTTTCAGCTTCTGTGAGGAGTGCAGACTTACATCCGTCAATAAATTGGCTATTGTGTAAGTTGACCCCGATTCTCCAGCAGACCTGAAATACAAATGGAAAATCTGGTAATTATGAGAGGCAAAATTTACCAAGAAGTAAGGAATGCGCAGATGCGATTTCGTCATCAATACGAAAGTTGCCTGGCAGGAATAAAACTAGAAGCTTCAAAAAGTTGAAATTAATCTACCAAGAATTCCTTGATAGATCTTCAACGTGGATTACCATATGACCAAGGAACTCTTTTCTCAAATACTTGAAAATCCATATTATGGTTGGGGAAATATTACTTAACCCTAATGATAACAAAAGAAGCGTGCAGTTTGTCTTATTAATGTGACTGTAAGCTTACAATGGAACTCTGAGTATATTATATTGCCTAGAAAACAACTGAAGGAGTAGGAGCTCCGAGTTGAAGGCCAGAAGAAACCTACTCATTCTTTGCTCACCCATGCGAGCATGAATATTATGGCTTTTGGAAAGCATGAAGATAGGAAGATAATTTTTTCTATACATCGAAAAGTAACGACTGTGAAAAAAAATAATTGTCTTTTTTGATAGACCAGAGTCTTTGTTAGCATTTCAATAATTGAAAGAATTGAAGAATACAGTAAAAATCCACAGAAGTGACCCTATCTTATAAATCCGTCTGAAAAGTCATATTCCGCTTCTTTGCCACCCACCTTATCTTGTGTCGTCGAACGGGAGTTTCTTCTTGAGATCCTGTGCTACTATCACTGTCCGATAACGGCTCTATGTATTTTCTCCATCTGTTCAATAAGGCCGGGTTCGAATGTATATTTTCAGTCGGAGTGCTTGTTTGGCTTCTGAGTCTCTCGTCTAAAGAAAAACCAAAAATAAAAATGTTAAAGAGTAAGGCCAGTGGATTAAATAAAGAGAAAAAGATAAAAGTGAACTGATTTGGTGAAGCTGTTACAATTGTCCTAATGATGCTCTTTGAAGGGCATGGCTAATCATTGCTTGATCTAGCGCTTTGTGAAGAATTCGTGAAATCTCTGTTGGGCACTTGACGTCTCTATACGTTATATGTATACGACAGAGGCAAAGTTTCAGAGGCCCCTGCCCCGCTCGTTGTCTCTTAAAAATGCTGATCAACATGACTTTAAGCGCCTCAATAGCAGCCAATTTGATACATACCAAGGGTAACTTTTTACAAGGCACTTCAGTGCTTTGATGGGCGGGGGAGGTGTCTATCATTTCTACTAGGATCTGTTATCAACCTTTCAAAACAGGTAACAGGGAAGAGGCCCAGAAAAGTTTTGAAGTATGGGCAAAGTTTTCCTAACATTTCATATAAGTATATAATATAAAGTGCGATTATTTTACAAAAAATGCTCGAAATTCAATACTCTGATTGCGAAAATATTCAGTTCAAGGCCGGCTTATATAATCTCTTCCTATAACCGCGGTTGAACAACAATAGTTTGCTGTTAGGTTTTTGAAATCGTTATGATAAAAAATTACGTACTTCTACTAACGTGAATGTTCGGGAATTTAATGTAGTTTTGATTAGAATATAATTGCAAATGAGAAGCGTAGGCGGTGCAATCAACTACCGTTGCAACCACAAACGATGCATAAATGTGCCATCTATCATTTTTTATCATAATTCTAAGATAAGCAATTTAGGAGATTTACAGATATAATTGTTTATGCGTTTCTAAAAATATCTCACTAATTACAATAATGAAATACACCTAATACATGCATTAAAAAAGAACACGCTCAAGAGTTATCATGTGTATTTGTTTATGTTCAATCTAAGAAGAAAACATTATTATTATATTCCTAGCAGACTAAATCCTAAATATGGCATTACCAAATGCAATCATACAATGAAGAAACCATAAAAAGTAAAAAGCTTTTCATAGTGGCCAGGCCAAAGCGCATGAAACCGTTGATAAAAAAGGGAATTGGAAAATTAAATCAGTGGCAAGGAGGACATTGCTCAGTATATGGACAAAAATACATACGGACTATTTACCAGAAACAAACGTGACATTTTTCTGAGAGGTTAAAGACATAATTCGCAACAACAATCCCCTATTCTAGAAACTCTGCCAATCATGCAGATAAATTTTTGATTAATCGAAATCTCTTAGAAGATCTTTTGGAAATCTGAGACTGCCTGAAAATACAAAATCTTTTGAAATTTGAGACACCTGGATTTAGAAAATGTTTAAATCCGATCAGCGGACCTGTTTTTCCGGATCTTATCTTAGTGCGAACCTATTTCTACGTATTTCTATTCTCATTCTACTTTCGATTGTATATCATAGTAGTTCAAATTCTGATCGCGTTGCAGACTGCTGTTTTAAATCATTACTTTAATACGCTATAATTTAAATGCGACAATGCAATATGACAAAAAACTTACGTTCGATTGCACGGAGCTCGCGTGGAGTGCTCATTGTGCACATGGCTGCTGCTGCATCGAATTCTTTATCGTCTAAAGCAAAAATAAGAAGGTCAAGATAGAGAACAATTGCAAGAACCTATATCAACGTTGATAAAAGCATACAAAGTTGCCTTAGTTCCTTTATTGAAAGTATACCATAAGCATACCTTGTGGTCTAAATTAATTTTGCACGAGGAACTACAATGACTGCCAAAAGTCTTGGAACATTGACGTCAGTTTGCAAGGTCAAATTCAACCATACCTCTCCCCCGCGGAACAATTTTGGTCAACTATAAAATAGGTAAGGGACTTAGGAAGTAATTTCTTTGGCGTTTCTTTTATGATATTTGTGTTAACTATCAACATTGTCCTAGTAGGAAGGGGTAGGAAGTAGTAATTTTTTGTAGAAAAAATTTCTAGGTGTTCCAAGAAATTTTGGCAATGACTGTAGGTTTAAACCAATCACATACAAGAAACTAGGTGTAAACAAATCCCGAACAAATAACTTGTCCAATCAAATTACAGAACAGCTGAATTCATGTCGGCATATAATCAGCAGACTTAACGTTCATGCATGCAGCTGTAATCTATACGGACACGCTGCCTTGAACCCAAATTCTTATAATTTCAAAAGATGCCCGTATCCGGCCTGGTATAAGTCGATACTACCAATTCTGATGAGCTGCAACTGAAATTTAATGCCTGATGATAGCAATACTCTGGCCCCCGAGACAGCTGAAGGTGTGAAGAAAGCGAGTTTTAAACCATTGCAAGGTACAAGCAAGATTAAATTGACAGCTGTTGTGGTTCATGTGAGAGGAGAATTGATTCCAGAGAAAAACACTCACCAAAATCAGGAGACGTGCCTCTGCCATAAAATGAATCTATAATATAGAAAAAAATAAATGAAATTCTATATAGAGATTAACGGTTGGTAAAGAAATACATCTAGTGAAAAAAAGGAAATGCAATACCAATGACGAGTTGGACATAAGTGTTGCGACAAACCCCTTAAAAACATAATGGAAAGCATGCATCTATTGTCCAACATCTAACTCCATGCCCTTTTACACATTATGCTACAGTACTGTAATACCAAATACAGTCGAATCCCGTTAAATTGTATCCCAAATGACTCAGACTTTAACTAAGCTGGACTGATTTCCCATTCCCATTGAGTTTCCCTACCTTATTCAAGTTAAAATCGTACCCCGAATAAGTAGGACATTCGCCACGTCAGGTTATTTTCATATCCCCTCGAAGGTCCTACATAATGGGATTCAACAATAATTTGTTGCAAAAATTTGACGTTGTCTGGCCTGAAATGTAGGGTATGACAAAAAGCAAACAGTAACAATAGCCTCGTACTGAAACTCAAAGAAGGACGCCATATTTGCTTATTGTGGCATGTCCTACTAAATGAGGAATGCTTGAAACGTAACCTGAGTTACTAGGGAATAAAACAGCTTGTACTGTGTCTGTTACTAACCGTGAATTTTTCTAAGAAAGCATACATACCTTGCCCAAAGCTACCGTATCCATCACTAGGGAAAACAGAGATAAGACGTGCTTAGAATCACCACCAAAGCAAAGCTAATAACTCGTTTGAATAGAATGTTTCTAAGGCTGAATTTGGGATATATATTTCATTCTAGTTAACACAACAAAAAATTATGTATGCATAGGTTTCCATAAATTTTAAAAGATGTTCTGGAAAGTCATTGGAAAAGTTAAGACAGCTTTCGAAACCACAGAATAAACTATGATGTCACCTCTTGCGTAGTTTTATGCTAAAAAGAATTGGATTGGCTGTATTGCTCTGCTTAAAAGAACAATTTCAAATGATTTTGCGCTTATTTCGACGAAATTACACTAAAAACCAGCCGCTTAAAGGGATGGCTAGACGCTCGCGGCGAACGTTTTTTCTCAAATTTTTGCAAAGCATTGTGATTATCGATTTCCTTAAAACGTGCTTTGATTAACCATGGAATAACATCTTTAGATTTCTTGTTTTTCATCTAGATCAAAGAGCGTTTCAAGCAATAATTATGACGCAGACGTGATTCTCGAATCTTCCAAACGCAATTCATGGCATTTATGCTGGCGTTAAATCGAACAAAGAAAAAACCATGACTGTGGAAAAAATGACTAAATCCATGAAGATTAAGTTACATTAAGCATGAGAGTTGTAAGGAAAGACCTAGAAAATATTTGAGCAAAACCATTTGTCAACGAGGACCAAAATTGCAAAACTTTAAATTTTGATTCTAAATGAATAGAAGAACTCCTGGGAGTAATCTCCTGAATATGAGTCAACATGTAAACGAATTGTTGGGGGCAAACAGAAATATGTTACAGTCAAGCTTTAAAGTAGAGTTTAGAAAAAAGAACTGAGCTTTTAGATTAGCCTGCAGAAAATTGAAAGAGCCCCACGAATCGTCAAAGAATAAATGAAATAATCATATGGAAAATTTAAACACTGAAATTAGAATAAACAAGAGACTTCGGGGGATAAACCATTAAAATATTTAAATGAGGAGCACGAATAGATCTGGGCTTGCAAATGTTTTGAAGCAACTCTCAAACTTACCTCGATATTACAAACGTAATGTATCAAATTGATATGCACATTTCAATTAACGGAAGACTGGCTCCCCTACGAAGCCCGCTACGCCGGCAGCAAGTGGCCCTACGGTAGGGTACTTAGATTAGCCTCGGAAAAGAGAAGAGGTGTATTAACCTCGATTTGAAAAGCATTTGCTCCACACAGGTCACGTGATAAGAAATTGCTTGCACTCTTGCGCATTTAATTCGCACTCCTGTGACTATCGCTAGGAAGGGGGTCGCCTTAAATAGAAAGGGGGTAGAGGCTTCCCCCTTCCAAGCGATAGTCTGCAGCCATTAATAAAAGTGTCTGATGCTACCATGAATTTTAGTAATGTTCTCAACATATTGCAACAAATCGAAATGCACTCACTTATTTCCCGGGGATGGTGGTGGAGTGGTCAAAAAAGACGAGGGTGCATTTGGATCAATCTTTGCCATAAGTACTTGATTTTTCCTCATGCCTTGAAGAAGTGATGGTCTTGACTCTGGGTCTATGCACCACAACGAACCTTTGCCAACGCCCTGTTGTATAGGACAGTAAAACAGGTTATACAATGTATAATGCAAAATTTTGTGGAAATCGCTGTAGGTTTGTAGGCAACTGAGGCCAGTCATAATGGAACTTGCATTAAGAGCCAGTGTCAGACTGAAACTTAAAACAAAAGTTTCATCCCAGATGCAATCATAAGACAACCCTGTTCATTTTAGATTTATCCTGAAGTTAATGAGGCTTGATAAGGTGATAAACATGGGTAAACAGCCAATGCTTCAACTCAACTTTTTTTTCGTTCCGGTAATCGCAGTTGGTCTTTAGGAATTTTTTCTTAGTAAAATAGAAAATAATATCTAAGTTTTACAGAAGTTGCTTACTGTGATGAATGTAGCATTGAGTATGTTGTTTAGCTTTTTATGCTTGAATGTAATTTTGCTAATATATTGCTTTTTTTACAAAAAAATGGTTAAGAACAGGGTTCACCCAAGTCGTATATTTCGAAATAATTTCTCACCGTTGTCGAATGTCTGATTGAATAACAGTATGAGAAAAACAAACAGGGATTGGTTAGAGGATTTTTATAAACTTGCTTACCTGGCTCTTGTCTCGATCTACCTTCTTGAAGCATTTGTTAAGAGACAAGTTGTGCCGAACAGAGTTTTTCCAGCCAAGAGGTGCGTTTCTGAAATATCGAAAATTGTCCATAATCCAAGCATAAATGTCCTTTACTGGTAGCCGCTTGTTGGGCGCACTCTCAATTGCCATGAAAATGAGCATCGAAAAAGAATATGGCGGTTTACCGTAACCACTGTCTTTGGTTAACTTCTTCACAGATAACCCGTTCTCTTCTTCAATAAGCATTTCATAGTCTTTTAACGTGATTCTATGATTTGCTTTGTCATCTGAACTCGCGCTTGTCTTAGATTTTGGCGTCGATGTTAGGCTTTTGAGTAAGTTGTTGTCTTGAAGCCAACTTAAGTTTGTTAAGTCATCTCCTTCGGCGGGGCCTTTCTCTGCGCTCAGCGTAGCAAAGCAGCTACTACTTAGGTTGACTTTTACCCTGTTTAAAGCCGTGTGTAATTTGTGACAACCAGCGGAACGACTCAAATTGAAGCGATCTAAACTGTTTCTAGAACAAGGACTTTGGTCAGGGGTTGTTTCATTCGATTTCTCGTGGACTGACATCTCCATCTTCATCATGACCTGAACAAAACACAAAAAGATATCAGTTGCTATTAAAAATGAAGCAAATTCAACACAGATGAACAAGTATCTCTTAAATACAGTTGACGTCTACAGAAGATTAATATTATTGAGTAGGATCAATCTGATCTAAAAAAATTGATCTCAAAAGAGAAAAATTCATCCCACTGTAACCGAATCAGCCTTTATTTGCATTAATTTTTCCTATGTAGACTATTCAAATTACAAGATCGAAATTTTCATTGATTCACATACCATACTTTGACGTATGGCCGGTATAAAAAAAAGAAATTAATGATGTTTGTTCCTCAAGACTTCACATCTCCCTTACACCTTGTTTATCGACGGACAGAGGGATACTGATGACGTCATACAAGAAGTATCATTATTAACGCTTTTTAAGGAGACTTGACCATTGCCTTTCGACAAGTATAACAAAACTTAACGAATCCTCTTTTTCAAAATAAAGGGTTGGCTTGGATATCTTTAAATGCCTTAATTGATTACGAATAAAATCAAAAGAAACAACAGTAATCCCTTCAGGTATTTTTGTGGATTTCCTTGCCAGGTACCTAAATAGCTTTGCAAAGGGAAAGGGGAAGAAGGGCATTCATCAGACTAAGGGAAGGACTTAGTTTCCCGAGGCAACGGAAAACGTCTAGCTCTCCAAAAGAACCCTTGTCAGCAGGAGAACGTCTCTGACCATTGCTTCCAACAGCAAGAGGATGAAATGTTATCATCAGACATCAGACAGTACCCCCTGTTATTTGTGACCATCCCAAGCCGCCTAGCCTCCCTTAAAGATTAAAAAGTAAAAAAAATTCCTAGCGAAAAAGAAATCAATTAGAAATGATAGGCGAAACATATGCACCTTCATCATTCATTAATTTTTTATTTATTTGTTTATCTATTTTACCTGCATTACTTTGAAACAGCGCATTGCATTATAATCGGGGCAAACTCCCCCCTTAACTTCACTTTTAAAATAGCTGATTGTGATTGTGTCCAAAGAATAATGAATGATCTCTGCTAAGTAAGCCAAATGCTGATGAACCAATGAAGCACTAACAAAATCTTGAAACGACCTGTTTGAGGACCCAAATTAAAAGTGATTCGTGCCCTTATGAAGAAATGCGGCCGGGGAAAATGAAAATGCCATTACGCAATAAATTAGGCAATGCAGCCTTTTATCAACGACAATCAACTCATAATCACAGATATTGAACTATCATTTCGTGGTAATAAAATTTCTATCGCATGGTCACTAGGGGCAACAACAATGAGAAGATGATTAAAAGCAGAGACACCTTTTACATGCTTTTGGAATATTTGCCGTCATAAAGACTGTTGCGAAACAAAGAAGCAACAATGTTTAATCAAGGCAAAAGATACATCTACAATGCTTGCCCCGAGGGGCAAATCACTCTAAGAAAATCTCGTACACCTTTTGTAAAAATCCTATCCTTTTGTTTTAGGCAAAATCTCGGACGCTATTTGCAAGAGTGAATCGGCCCTCGGCTTGCCCAGCGTTCTTCAGTAGCATTCCCCTCTCCCCTTTGAAACAATGTTGAATAACAACAGCCTCGAAGCTTGAAGTTCATCCAATGTTATTGTTTTGGGGGGAGGGGGGTAATTCTGTATCTTACGAACGGGAAACTTTCATTTCATCAAAATCTTTCATTGACTGCAGGGTGTTCCAAGGACTTCTGGCAAGGATTGTAGCAGAGCTACAAATCTGTCATCAAGAAAAAGTTCTCAAAACATGTATTGCAAAAAAAGAGTTTTTACGAACGGCATTACAAAAGCTATAGGAAAGGGCGAGTGAGCAAAACCCAGCAGAAACAAAACGTCTTTTAACATCCTCCATGACGAAATGAAACTTCAAATGATCAATGGGACAAGCAAATTCAAACACATAAACAGAAATCTTATAAACTTCAAATATATATTAACTTACAAAAACACTGAGGCATTTTCGACAAGCAAGTACTAAAGACCAATTAAGATTATTTTAATGATTATGAGAGTTGGAAATTCATGCTAGATTCTAGTAAATTATGAAAGGGGAATACTAAAAACGAAGGGTCATTTACTCTTGTTAAAAAAGTCAAACACTACAACCGAACAAAAACGTTTCTCGGTGTTTTTCTGATTAAAACAATAGGTTTTTCGCCAAAAGTGGACGATATTTCCATGAAGTAATTTACCACTTGGGGAAATGATAACCGCCAATTTTGGGGGTTTAGCCCTTGTTCTGTAAACATACAAGGAATACACTTGTATTATTGAAAGTAAAAAAGATCAGCAATAACGAGGTTTGGTGTCATGTGTGCATAAACACAAGTTGTGGGCATGGAAACTGATGCCACTAAAAAAGAAATATGGTTAAGATAAATAATAAGCGTCGAAGAGTTTTTTGACAATATTTTTGACTGGAGGGAACGCTCTCCTACCAATATGACACCCTGCAAAACATATACCTTTCCGTATTCTTCATGCCCGTATTGACTTTGGAAAAATAAAAACATTGTAAAAAATAACAAAGAATAAAAATAAGGTATACGACAAGACCAGTTCGGTTAAGACAGACCCTTTCTTCAAGCTTCATCTCTCCATTCCTGTCTTAGTTCTGCCCATATCATAAATAAATGCCTCACGATAGAAAATGTGCAAAAAACAGCACTTCCATACAAAAGAAATTTGACTGAACACAGAAACAAAGTTAAGAACCACCCTTGCGCTGAAATACCGAAAATAATGGGAAAAGACAGTTACAACATAGTTTAGAGTTTCAAAAACAAGATACATATAAAAAATACCAACAGTACATCGCCTTTTGATGAAAGCAATTATATTTAAGTCCTGGGGGTACGTTTTCGGGGAAGAAAACCTGTCCGAAAAAGAGACAATCTAGTCTTGGAACTCTATTAGAGCGTGTTATTTGTTGAAATGAGTAATTGTTAAATAATTATTAAGAACGTGCAACTTGCAGCAGGCAGCCTTGGATGGAAACAGTAGAATCAAGACATAACGATTCGCATTTTCACGAGCCTAAATCTTAATGGATCAAGGCCAAAAGGCACCAGATGTACCATCAATAGTCGGAAGACAGTCAAAAACTGTGAAACGCCAAAGTATTTTGAAAATGTTGGGTTTGTACTCAAAAAATTTGAAGCGTTGCTTAATCCAACAGCTGCTATTCGCACGGTCGCTGTTCTCATCTGATAAGTTCATGCGGACACGATTGTTTGGAAAAGATACGAGAGAAACATGACATTGGTCATTTTTGTTTATACAGCTGCCTTGGAAACGTGGTAGCCGACTGATTTCAAAGTTTGATTCGGTGAATCTCTCACTTCAAATATCCGAGATCATAAGATCTGCAATTTGCAGAACTGAATAAAATGCCGAAAAAAAGAATGTGAACTTCCTTTATGATGTTAATCGATCTTAAAAACACTAAAAATTAATCGAAAAGTTTTCACGTTCGGTTTTCCAGAATATCAAACTAGAATGAAACGCTGTCTGCTCTATGCCTTATGTATTTGAGGGGGGAGGGGGGAGGGGGGGTAATGACATATCAATAATCTGCGCAAGACAACGGAGGGCTCAAGACAGCTTTTTATTCCTCACAGTCAACTTTTGAAGACACTAATACGATTGACCTTACTAACTGCATGCTTTGCGGATTATTTCAAAGTTAGTGATTCAACTCTTTGGTCGTGGCATACAAAGACAGAAATGACAACGAATGGGTCGACACCATCGAAGTAACGCTCATTCCTTTCAATTTGATTAACATAACAGTGACTATTCAGCAGAAATGCAACTGTTGCTATTGAAAGGTGTTTTGCATAAATTAACATACAGCGGGCAAACTAAGCATGTTAGGCGAAACAGAATTAAAATAATTCAAATAAAGGGAAGTTACCCATGAATTTGCGCTTTATTAAAGTTTTTTTTCTGATTGCAAACTTTCCACGACAGATAAATGACAGCTACGTTTAAAGAGATATTTCATATCGCCAGTAAGTTACCTGGCTTAGTTAATGGTAAGAGTGATATAACGAAAACCGGGGAGGGAAATAACAGGATAAAGCTTTTTAAAAACGCGAATGAGCTTAGCTCTTTAAAGGATGGTTTAGATAACTTTAATATCGCACAAAATCTTGCTTTATAACAAAGCACTGAGGACTTACGGCCGATTGGATTTAGGAATATGCGGTCAGAACTCCGGTTGAAGAATACTTTCCGCTCATGGTCTGCTACCCATATTATTCTAGACAATAACTCTACAACAGATGGACGAATTACTACCTTGAAAGTTTATGGCCTAAAGTGGATTTCGAGCAATTACCCTGTTCACTAAAGTCTGGCAAGATACTATCTTGTGACGCCGTCTTTTTAGATGAGCGGTTGCCAGACAAAATTAGTCTAAGGGAAAGGAAATTGGCGGGAAAGTTGTATTGACAAAATTATGGCGGGGCTATAATATTTGTTCAGATGTGTCTAATTTTTTGGGTTCTTAAGCCAAATGATTACAGGATAATTGGAATGCAACAGGAAAACAAACTTGCTTCTGACAGAGTAGGATGGGATAAGAGGGAAGGGGTTCAATGGGCAGCCACCAGGGCCAAAAAGTTGATTTTAAAAAACCTATTTGAAAATGTGGTAACATTAATAAATATGTCATTTTTGGATGATTTAGGAGCCACAAGATAAGGATACGGAAGCGGGGAAATTTTTTTATTTACGAACTGTCAAAAAGCCAAGCATTCACTTTGGAAAGGAAGATGTTGTGGTCAACGCACTACACCACATGAAAAAAATTGAGGATAATATTGACAATTTAACAACGAACCACTGAATGATGGCCCTGGATGATGGCCAAAATGCAGCTAAATTTATGCCTGCTTGAAACTAAAACATTCCTGACAGATTACAATATGCTGCAAAAAATAGGAGGTCGCTTGGGAACAAGGTGCACAAGACCCAAAACTCTAGAACGGAGCAAGCCACTCCCCCATATTTCCAGTCTTGCTCTATACTTTTGCCATTGTAGAAACGCAAGAACGTCATCCTTTCCCCACAGTCCCATATTTGAGGTTTTCTAGCATATGCCATAAGAATGACCACACCAAAATTAATCATAGCCACTATCTTGACATTAACAAAATAGGCTAATTAAAAAGGACATATTTCTGAGATGCATTGTATTTCCCTATAAACTGATTAATCATTTAGGGCTGATGGAAGCAAATACACTTAATAACAACATATTACATTTACAATTAATGGGAGCAAGTACAGCTAATATATGTGGACCTGTGCATTGTTTACAAAACGCAATAACTGGGTATTGCTCGAAATAAGATAAAGCTAAATGCATGTAATTTACTGAAAGCAGAAAAAGCTCTTTAAAAAACAATGATCATAATGATAAATGACACTGAGATACCATAGATTCTAGTTTACCAAATAATGGCTTAACTTGCAATAATACTTTGAAACAAATTTGTTTTGCGTCTTAACAAACATAAACATTTAGACAAAGAGCCAAAGAAAAATTCATCTATCATACTTACTAGCCTAATGTTTGAAAGAAATTATCTTGAAAATTTTTTTAACTTGTGCCCACAATTAAATATATACCAATAAAAATTAAATTGGTAATAAAATCTTTGAGATATACATGGACCTGGATTTTGGCTTTTGTTACATCAAAAATCCTTTTGAAATTTTGTGTTTGATTATATCACATCATTACAATATTAAAAAAGAATTCACTTACGTGTAATTGATTTATCTTTAAATACCTTTGCTGTTTTTAAAATCAATTTTTATGGCCCATAGCAAGTAACAATTACATTTGAGGATATTTGTATAAAAATGATGCTCTGGTACAATTCTTCATTTACATATATTTTTCTGCCATTATTATTTGGGTCTAGCAGAGCTGGCATGCATCATTTTGTTTTTGCCGATTACAGGCTAGATCTCTTGATGAAACTAATATCTGCTTTCATAAACATGAACAAATTAGTTGACAAACATAAACTATGTGACCCAAGGACCTTTTAAGTACAAATTGACTATTACTTGTAACTGTTTAATATGAAGCTAAACCTTTAGGAATTTTTCAAATTTTTAGCAAAATTATAATTCCAAACTGACTCTCTGATCATGAGGAAAATTTTGTCTTGTCTTATTTTCCTTGAAAATTGATAAAACAGCTAAAAGCCAAGCAGCTAAAAGTACAATATTGTTGTCCACAAATTGAGGGGCCAACTAAACCTCTTGTCTTTGTATGGACTAGGGCTATGCAGAGGCAAAACTCCAAAAAATTACTACTGTTCAAATAACCTATATTTTACAACAGTGAAAGGGCTTGTTCAAGCTCTAGCAAAATGAAAGCCTAAAACTGTTTATGGATAATACATTCTGGTTTGGAAAACTCCTCTTTTAGCAATGTTGCTCAATAAGCATTTGATAACACTTCAGGAGCTACTAAGCACTGGTTAGTTTAATGAAGGCAATCAGTTGCCTCTTCTTACTTACTCTCTCACTCTCATCTTTATTTGGGAATGAAAATTACAGTAAACTGTATATTTTTTGCCCTACTTTTGGAAGGTAATAAAATTCTTGTTTTTTAAAAGAGTTTTGTTGAATTTAAAGAGTCATTCATTATTGTTTAAAAATGGTGTTCACTTATTGGCGCATATCAGGGAGATGTCAAATTGTATCAGGGAGATGTCAAAGTGGAGCCTCTATAAAACCTACACTGTTTGAACAAGTGCCACTTTCATTATCCAAAGGTGTCTGTTGCATAGAGGTCCCTTCAAGAACGTTTTGACCATTTGGACCAAAAACATCTGTCCATTGTTTGAGAGTTATTCGTTGTATATGAGTTCCACTATATCATAAATTTATCAGAAATATGTGAAAAGTTTAACATATAATTACTTTGCATATTCTACTTTCTTTTGAAGAAATGAATCCTATTATTTCTGATAAAATCTCCCTTAAACGCTTTGATTGTCTGATATAGCATTTAAGATGAGAGGGATTCATTTTACATAGCTGAGAAAAAAAGGGGACTGTAATTTAGAAAGGGCTTTTCAAATAATGTGTAGTACCTACTGTAGTCTGCTGGAAAAAATTTCAAACAATTTGGGCCAAAATATTCTTAGTAGGCAAACAAAATTTTATCATGTTTTTATGAGCCTAGAATTTTTGATTAATTATTTGATGTGATTTATGTATGGAGAAAACACCTTTTGCTGTTTCAGGATTTTTTATAAAGATATTAAGTGAATAGGTTGGACACTTTTTTTATAAGAACACGAGCCTCAAAATTGATCAAAAGTTAAGAACAAATTAAGAACAAGCTGAGGCTGAGCTTCTGCAAAATGCAAATTTTGAACAATGTATTTTCTCAAAATCCAGGATTTTTAGCGATGTGTGGGTGGTTTTTCGATGAAAATTCAAATCTGCCAGCAAATTAAGGCTGTCTCACTCACTTTGTTGGCAAATGAGGCCTTTACACCACCCTAAAGCGAAAAAGCTAGCATTCGCACTGCTTACAACTTATTAGATTAAGAACAAATTAAGAACAGTCAGCCTCAACTTAAATTTACTGGTTCTTATAAAAAGAGTGTAATTTGAGATGATTTTAAAAGTAGGCAAACCATGGCCTCCCTGGCCACCCCCTGTGGCACGTGCCCTGGTAAAATAAGTGCATGGATTTTAGCCAGTATATTCTAAAAAGTACTAAGTGATCTACAATATAATTTTGATAAAAAATTTTGATTTTGGTTTTTATGGGACCAAGAGATGTGAATGAGGGGATGTCTCAAAAGTTTTTAGAATCTAGCAGAACCAGGGAAGTTGGCAATTTTTTGTTGAATGTTAGTGATTCCTAGCTCTATCCAAAACATATTATGAGGTCTGGAATATGTATGTATAATAATTTTGTTGTGGGCCTACAAACTATCTAATTAAGGTTGCTTTGATTATTCTCTGAAGCTCAGTCTCAATTTCCCAAGATAAACATTGTTTAAAAGAGAGTAGCAGGGCAGTGAGCTGTGAGAACACTGCTTTTTGAGCTGTAGGTTAGCTATTGGTGAACAGGTATAAATCCATGTCTTATCTGTGAAGTTGTGATGTCTCAGCAGAAATCAGCAGGAAATGAATTATCACCTTCGTCTCTCAAAACATACGCATCGAACAATGTCACGAAATAACACAACTGGCAGTTAACGATATTGTGTGATTATGGACAGGCCGGATCTTGGCTGGAGCTTCCGCCTTTCACCCACAATTTGAAACTTGCTAATACCACGAAAGTGTGCAAAGGGCTATCACTTTCGTCCTTTTTACAACAGTTCTTTTAGAATCAGCAAAATCAGACTAGCATAATGCGAATATCATCAAAAAAGAAACCTATTAAAAAGTCTCTAAAACTAATGAAAATTCCGCTGAATTTAAATTGGTCCTATAAACATACTTTTGCGAACGGCACTCGGCATAACAACAGGCAAAAAAGTGATCATTAGAAACTCAAAACAAAAACTCAAATTAAAAGGAATCTCAATACTATGATCTAGGGATACATCTGATAAAATCAATAAAGAAGATTCCAAAGTTTGTTGAATTTTGATGATGCGGTATAGCTTTTGATGGCGATGTTCACTTTCTTTGAGGATTTGGTATGTCTAGGCCAATATACGCCACAATGACTGGCGCAAAATGGCAACCAGCAAAAACAAGTTTTTGTCTCAAAATAATAAATAAAACTTTTAAAAAAATTAGCTATCGTTTAACTAATGTATATAAAAAGAAGATCGATATTTTTTCAAAAAGCGACGGGACAGGAACAGACATGATGGCAACTAGCATCGAAGGCATGGTAACCACATGTGACATCAAATCGAACTGGACATGACGCGTTGCTGTACACATGGCGATCGACTATTTACGAACTCAGAATAATTCAAGAAGGTGAAATTCAACTTACCACGGGCACTATCTGGCAAATTTTTGTGTTTTACTAGCAAAAACGGAGCACAGTTTTTGAAAGTAGCTTTTTGTTGGAATTATCTTCGCAGTATACATGCCATGGCTATCCTATTATCACAATGGCCGACACCACAAGGCATTAAAAGGGTCGTCATGGTAACGTCAACCAGCGCTGACCAATCAGAGAAAGGATGTTTTCATATGGCAGAATCGGTCATGCGTTACGACTTTAAGATAATGAGTCAACTATGCAATCAACAAAATGGCGGTAACTTCGAATTTCAAGTAATTATCATTGGTTAGTGACCTGTTGAAATTCAAAATGTGTAGGAAGTCGATTAATGTTTCCCTTACAAGCTTTTCAACGAAATCGACACAAGAAAAAGTTAAGTAAAGATAAGATGAAGGGCCATGGTCTCCTGAACTCATGGTCTTTGACGGGTAACCAGCACCATAGCAACTGCTGGACAAGGCGATAATAGGGGACACACGCCAAGCGCATGCTTGCTCTAAACTAACCAATGAAAAAGGGAATATTTTGGCGCTACTTTTCATGAAAAAAATTCATTCTATCGTTCTCCCTCAATCCATTCAATTTCGGTTTTGTGGTAGACAGCTTTGAGTGACGACGACTAACATCAACCATCATTGCGATGATGATTATGATGATGGTTAGAAGATTGTACACCAGTGGTCAGTAAAACAGTGTTAACTGCATTGCTATTTGGGGGACATGGCACAAAATAACTGTGACATTTTCTCTTGATATGGTTATTTCGAGCGAAGAGAAGTGTATCCAGCTGCCAAAGAGCGAATATGTTTATTATATGTAGGTGACAAAATGTAGTATAAAGTTAACTTCAAATGTTAAAAATCAACATGAAATATATTGACATTCAATACCCCAGGAACAGTTTTGCTATTTACATTAAATTATCTATGATATAACAGAGCGATTAAACCACTTCCAAAAGCTTCTTGCTATAAAAAAACCAGAAGTGCTTCAGAGCCCTGAGAAACATGGGGATCACATGGTCAAAGATCGTGAGGAAGGCCAAAAAAGAAAGAAGTGCCTCAATCAAACCACACCAAACATTAATTGTTTTCTGATGAAGGTTTGTCCGGAGAATCATACTTTGTTAAAATTAAAAAAAAAAAGATTTTCCTCGTGTAATTCCGAAACTTGCATCTCTACACAAAGCGAGAAGCAAAACTTGCATCTCTACACAAAATTATATCTCTGTTTAAGATGCACAATCTTAAATCGTAAAAGTAGTCACTTTTCATTGGTTTGTTGGGCATTTCACAAGAAATCGGTGCCTAGTGGCGTCTTTTACCCTGACTCAGGCCCACTGCAATCTGCTAGGGCCAGTTGAACCTTCTTTAATCCCAGACTTCAAAGAGCCTTATTCTATTATTCCCCCCCCCCTACTTCAACCCCCCCCCCTTGAGTAGCACGACATAAAGATTAATTTGATTTTCAAGACATTTTATACATTATACTACCGTCTAAATCTATATTCATTGCGCTACCTTGCAGTTCTAAAGCTAAGAAAACACTTATGTTCTCATCGGTTGCTTCAAACAATTCCTTTATGCAAAATTGGCAGCTGAATTTTTCTGTATGATCAAAGAGCACTGAATTAGGCAAGATTTAAGTGACAATTGGGTGTTTGGAAAAACAATCGAATTTTTTTCCAAAAAACTAACAATAATTGAAAGAACAAATCTAATTCAGACAGACTTTGTTACGTCTGGATATAATTTTTTAACTCAGTGGCCAAAATCTGAACTCTGAAATCAAAATTTAAAAATACAGCAGCCTGTGATATTCGATATTCTAAAAGATGCGAGAGCAAACAAGAACCATTAAAATGTACAACAATACGTAAACTAACAATTATGAAGTAAAATGGCTTCAGTAATCGTGTTGAAAAAGGTGGATTCAGCAGTTCAGCACGCCTCAGTACGTTTTTCCCAACTTTTCGAAAACAGGAATCGGCGAGACAAGCCTTTGGAATGGCTAGAAAATAAAAAAGTCGTTTAGATAGAACATATATAAAACTTGCCTTTAACAAAAATTACATTTGAATGTCATGATAATGCATTTGAATGATGCTTGAAGTTGCATTTCATAATTCTTACAAGACGGAGAAAGATCTAAGGCTGATTAAAATTTTCAAAATTTCAGTTTACTGGCCAAAGACATAATTATGCTTGTAGGAGAAAGTCGCCACAGTGTATTTGACAAATGTTAAAATCAGACTTAGAAAATTCAAGAGCTGCAAAGACGTTTGTTCGCATACAAGCATAAACATTTTATAAATTTACATTTAGCAATTGGAAATATAACGGGTGGATAAAACGTGGGAATTTTTTCAGCTTCTTCAAATATTGCCTAGAAACCAGTCTCTAAAGAAGACATACCTAAAAATCGATAACATCTCTAACGTTGTTGGACAATCTGCACCTTACTTTGATTTGAATGTAATTTACTAACTTTTTGATTTAATATTAGCTTTTATACTTAATATTGCTTTAATAGTTGATTTGCAAGTGGTTCTTCATTGATAAACTTGCTCTAGGTTCATACCTATCTTTACAATTATTAGCAATTTTCTATCTTATTAGATGTTTTAAAGCAACATACAAGGATTATAATGGTACTAATGTCATCGCTTTGAGTTAATCTTTATCTTAACTATTTGTTTATTTAATTTTTCTAACAGCTTACCTCGGATAAACAATTGAATACAGCTTTAGATTAGCTTCTTAGTATTTTTACTAACTTCTTTCATTCTTACGTTGAATTTTTGTTGCAGTCTTCTCGGCAGTAGAACTGGAAGTCACGTGATGCATATCATAAAAGGGTATTGGGGCAAAACTTATATAAGACTGACCATGTTCCAAGAATTAGAGTTTCTCATTTTAAACTATGTCTGTATTTCTTTGCATTGCAATAACCTGGCTATTAGCATTGAAGCAGGCATCAACTTATTCCGAAAGATTGAAAATCTAAACAGGCTTCATCAGATTTTCTCAGATTTTAGCAAACTATCCTAGATTTTTAATCATTACTTATTTTAAAGATTTTTTAATTAACTAGAGCATTAATTTATAATTGCCACTTCAACGCCTTGATGTTATCTGCTCGATCTCCAGAATGGGTAATTTGCGTTTATCTGCAAGAAAATTATTTTTTGCAAAAAAGCTCTGTTAAGGGTAGTACAAAATCTGACTGTTTATCGACTAAACTTATGCCTTAAAATTTCGTCATCAACATTTAAGCTGCAGCTATCATTAACGATAGATGAGTTTACTGTCAATTATTGGGATTATCCAAGAACGTTCAATGAATAAGAGAATCATCTACGCAAATCTTCAAAAATGTCTTACTTTGAACCATTTAAACAGATATAATGATGGCCTAAGTTGATATCTCTCTATGCACGAACAACGTATCGTACGCGTCTGATTCAGTTTTTAATCAGATATCAATCTTTGCATGCTAATATTTACTAACCAGTTACGTAATAATCAGCCTTTGTATTGAGACCTGTGTTTATAATCTGAGACAAATCTCACATTTGCTGCCTTGTTCTGTTTCAATTTAGAAAGGATTAAATAAAAATCTGCTTGAAAAATTTTGCTCCAGATTTTCATTTGAGGAGATTTTTCTCGTGATTTAGATTGCATAGGGAAATTGCGAACGATCTTTCCAATTTTAAAAGTACTCGAAAAAATGGTAAATATTTTGACTACAAGTGTTTTCCCACAGATGATTAATCCCAGGGAAGTATAGATAAGAGAAACTTATGGGAAAGGGGCGTGAAAGTCAAAACAAGAAAACAAGTATATCGTATTTTGTATTTGTCATGATAATTGAACAGAAAAAAGTCTGAACTATTCTCTTGCTTTAGTTCAATGCTTCCAAACTATACAAATTTTAACAAAATCGTATATTTTCTTATTCTAGTGTCTTTACATTGGACGTGAAATAATGTTTTGCATCTTTACAGCACATGGAAGGTAGAAATCATGTAACGACATTTAATTTGCTTGTTAAGTCAATTTCAGATATAAAATGCAGCGACAACTATTTTGAAAAAAACTGGAAAACCGATATTAGTAAAAAGTAGATTCCTTTGTTACTTCTAATTGTTTAGTCCATTTGCTCTACATGGGCCGAAATAAACTTGTTTACTTTTATATGCAGGTAAATTTGACTAAATGTTTGATTTTTTAGAATGTTTGCATTATGAAAAGCATGAATAATTCACAATCACTCGTAAGCTCATTTAGAAAATCTGCCCATTTAAATACGTAATGAAGAACTTTCACTCATTTTCTAGATGTTTACATTGTGTTTAAGTTGATTCATTTAATAATTCGTCTTCTAAAAGCACCTGGGACACTAAAAGCCAATAGGGTTGTTAGAAATTGAAGAAACTGTCTCGGTGATCATACCTTCTCGGTGATCCTTTTCCTTCTATCCTCTTCTCTAAAATGCTTTGTTCCATACTCGGGCCTGTAGCATAAGAACAGAAAAGTTATTCTATGGTTTGATGTTATCATTCAATGCGAGTAACTGGGTAACCTTATATTTCCACCCGATCAGATCATAACCTAAACCTATATTTATATTCATACCATTCGTCGGCAAGCTGTTAATTATCTACTTTACATACAAATTTCCAATTGGCAAATTCCTGGCAAAAAAATATTTTTATTTGGTTTAACTAAATAAATAAAAAAATACTAAATCAGGATTTTCTTTGTTTCTACCATTAGATAATAAATGGTGGCCAATAGAACTTTTCAAAGAGCAAACATGATTGGTGGTTCTGTTGACGCTGTAGCACCAGCCAAAAGTCCTCAAAACATCTGAAGATCCTATTCAACTTTTAAAGTTAGACTCCAAATCCCACTATATTCCCTAAATGGTACGCGTATGAATCCTGTTCTCGCTGTATTGAATGATTTCAACTTTCCCCTTTCCAGATCGCAATTTTCCGATTTTCACGGTCCGTAAATTCCATATCTTACATTCTAAATCTTAGCTACTCCTTGACAATATGGCTCTCATGGTTGGCCTGAAATTCAGTTGATATTGATAATTTTAGAGATAAAGAGTATCAGAAATCATTTATAAAGTTCAGGAACCAACAAAAGTAAAAATCCAGGGAAGAGCAAATTAAAGATAGGAATACAAAAAAGATTAAGCAATGCTGAAACACAAAAGAACATTTAAAGCAAGGAGGCACAAATTTGCTTCCTCCAATTTTTTATTACATTATTATTTCAAGCTCCTTTTTATGATGTTTAGTATAACTAATAATTAATAATTATAACATAACAAAATCTATAAAAAATGTCCAATAATAATGTTCCCTGTTAGTTGTATTTTAAAACAATACTGACTCTACTTTATATTGTCCCTTATAAACCGAGAGTCCTAAAATCAAAATTTGAAACAAAAGGCTCTTCAATCTTAACCTAAATTATGAGCATAAGATACCTTCAGAGTAATATCTAATAAAAAAAAATAAAATGATCCAAAATGTTTTTTTCCATATTCCTTCTTGAAAAAGAATTACTTAAAGAGCTGTTTGAATAATACAACATTGTTGCTTTTCTTTACATTTTCTGGTAGTTCATTTTATACTGTTGGTGCTTTATACGCAAACGTTCCGTTTTCAAAGACTTTTACTTTTGTTTTTGGTACTCTCAATGAAGGTTATTTTGAAAATCTCAGTTGTCTTGAACTGTTACATGGCAAACAAAAAGATTCACTAGATACTGTGGAGCTAGTTCGATTCAACCTCGTCCTCCTATTTCTATGGATTCAACATTCGCAAGTGACAAAGGCAATCTTGGAGTCTATTCTTTGTGAAACGGGAGACAAAACATCGATTCAAGAATAGATTTGACACGTGAACAGAAAAATCAAAAACGCCCTATTGCAGATGTTGTTCAATTGATTTTCAAAAGACATGTCACTGTCAAAAATAACTTCTAAATTCCAGGTGTAAATTCCAAACTTTATCACTTTAGCTAGCTGTTGTTTCATTCCTATCAGCAACAATTCTGTCTTATTGTCATTTAGCTTCAAGTGATGGCTGTACACCCATCTCTAATTATCTTTATTACAATCTTCTATTTCCCTAGGTGTCTTGTTTTCTGCCTCCGGAGAGGAGAAGCTCAAACTGAGATACATTTCGTTTGCATACCTTGTTACGCTTAGAGCATGTCTGTCGATAATGCAACGTAGAGAACTTAAATAAAACAAGAAGGGAACTTGGTATTACAAAATGGTAAAAAAATTTTCTCAAATTTTTGAAAAAAAATAAAACTTTCTAGCTGGAGAAACGCCCCTTACCTGTCAAAAGGTCGACTTGAGTCCAGCATAGGCTCATATTTTTCTTTCTGTTTGGTGAATGGCAAGAATCTAGAAAAAAGGAAACACGAGTGATGGAATCTCTAATTTTCCTTTCATGACAATGTTTCTTTATTTTGTGTACAATTTCAATGATGTATCATCTTACGTTTATTCTTATTTTTCAGTGTAGTTTTGTTATACCAGACATCATATTTTGCTTTTGCCTTCAAAGAATCTAGCTCCAACTTCTACGTAAGAATTTTCAAATACTGAATATTTTCTAAACCATATCTAAATGCTATCGTGGCCGCTCTTCTTTCCCCCTGAAATGTGATCAGCAGCCATGTATGTTCTAGGCTATCCTAATTTCAACTGTTCTATTCTAACAAACGAACAATTTGTAATCAAGAGCGTTTTGATAAACGTTTCCACAGATTTTCTGGCAAAGAATAATGATTTGTACGACAAATTGTTTTATGAGGTACTTTATAACCCCAAAAATCCCCACGATGCTCCGGTTACTGATTGGTTTTTCATTCCTTTAACTCGATGTACTTTTTCAGTTTTTCAATCGACATTGATAAAGAGACTCAAAGAGAACAAAACAACCTCTTTTTTCCAAACTATAAAAAATAGGTTTGCCAAGCAGAGCCAAACCATTAGCTAACAAAATGAGTCTTAGTAGTTAAGTGTCTTTGAATTACGGTAATATGAATCCCACAATCTATGGTGTATTCGTGTGCCTGATCTTTTTAATCAAGTATCAAACAAAGAAAAGATGAATTATACCAAGCAATACATTTGGCTAGAAATTCATATACATTAAGCCCTGGGAAAAAGCAACCGGAAGCTGACAATACGTAGCATGGGCCCATGTTGATTCATTTGAACCAGCCCTGTGATTCCCATGGACAAGCATATTCCCTACCATGGTTGCCTTTCTATCTTTTCATTTACAGAGGCCAACTAAGATCAAATTTGGAAGAATTGCATGTTAATCAAGTACAGCCTGTATCAAACTTTTTGCTTCATAACTGTTTGTTGCCTTTATCCGTTCCAACAGTCTCATTTTGGTACAAAGAATGACAGAAATGGCTGGAATGATAATCAAACTGACAGTTGATTCGAAATTAATCTTATAAATAAATATATAAACTTATCAATAGGGCTGTTATTTTGTAACTTACTTATCTTCAACAACGGTCCTTGTCCATTCTTTTGCTTTAAGTTGTGCCCTACAGAAAGAAAAATAAAACCAAGCTATGAAGATCCCCACAAAGACCACAAAATTTCCTTTAAAGCGAAAATGAAGTTGGAATAAACCACAAATGTATAAAGATTGCTGCTATCAATCAATGATATATATAAATATACACGTCAGTTGAGATATACACGCTATAGTTCTGTCATGTCACATTCACAAACAAAAGAAGAATGCCGGATGTTGTAAAGATGGTCTTTGAAGGGTCATTTCTTTGGTTAATGTTCTTAAGTAAGGCTTTAGCACAGAATGATAAAATTGCCAAATAAAACACGTTCTATATTTACTTGTGCCTTTTTTGCTGCTATTAAGAGAGATCTCATAAACTACTTGCGCTCACATTGCATTTTGCATTACTACTTTCCTGGACACATGGTCCAATCTCAAGATTTTCCACGAGTTCTTCTATTCGCGGAATGGAAAAGGGGCTTGACCTCTTATTGCCACTATAGGGGCTTGAAACACTGATCTCAAAAAAAGACTGGATCGAGCTTCTCCAGGCCAGCGTTGATTCCACATTGCAGCGTCCATCTTGAGACCTCGCCGTGTAGTATAAGACGAAAGTGCAATCATATTGGTTTTAGTTCAACTTGGTTTTTCATAGCAAAATTCAAAGTAACCGTTGAAACTAAAACTTGCAACATTCGTAAGTGACGTTAAAAATTTTTGACGTGGTATTAAGCTTATGTAACGGAGAATCAACTGTTCACTTATTTTCCTAGGTCTTTTGTCTCTTAGAATGATTAAGAATTTAACGATTTATGCACAATTTAAAGCGCAGCACTGTCTGTGCACCATTTTAATAAATGACAGCCCAAAGCTTTAGGCAGAAGAGGTCTCAAGATGGAGAGACTCGACTAGCTTCCTCGTGCTTATGTAGGAGAACAATAGGTTGTTCGATCCAGTCTTTTCTAGATCAGTGGGTTTGAAAAACAGCGGATTTTCCTAGTCTTAGCTGCATTTAAAGAGAGTCCAGTCGTTTCAGGAAAAAGCCATGGCCTGAAACCTTCTGAAAAGCTTATTCTGATTAATTCATTGGAGGTGACTAAAGAATTTTTTCGCCCTAGAATATTGTGATTTACACAGAATTTTTAATGTAAAAGTTTGGTGAAATGCCCTGCTAGCCACTTTCGATATATCATCAAATTGCCACTTTACAAAGTTTTTCAACATTTTCCAAACAATATAGCTTCGAAAATAGCACTGAAACCCTAACGGGCTCAGTCAGTTGATCAAACGTATATCGTGTGAGTTCCGAAAAACTCTTTGCTCAGTCAGTGGAACCACAAAAAGGGCAGGAATTTACTGACATGATGTTACAAATACTTTTTTGGCAAATCAATGGCATATTGAAATACAAAAAAATTTGCAGTAGCATCTATTCTTGTTTACTGCTCTAATCCTAGATAAGAAATTTGTTTAAGTCTCGCTAGTTTGCACTTGTTTGAAGGACAATTTTTCAATTTCTTCATGAAAACATTGAACACAATGTTGTGAAGTAAGAAATAGGTTGTGCTATTTATCATATTGTGTATGTATATCAAGAGCCATAATAGCCAGCGCCGCAGACCCAATCCTCCTATTTTCTCTGAAGGATTGGGTCTGCGGCGCAGGCTAGAGCCATAAGGGATTGTTGTTAAAATCAAATTTAGTGAACTCTGCTTTTTAAGATGCCTTTAGACATAAATTTAAGAATTAGAATGGTTCTTACATAAATTGGTTTAAAAAATACCTGTTCAAGCTTGAATATTCTTAGTGATGGAATAGGGGAATTTTGGCAAAGTCACAGAATAGGGTACATTTTACGCAACTCAGAATCAGAGATTAAGGTCCAGTTTCTTCATTCAGGAACACACATGATATACATTGGACCAACTGACTGAGCCCGCCGGTACCAAAACTACAAAAATGTGTTTCTATGACGGTTCATCTCAAACAACAGTTCATTTCAAACAACAGTAACTGCAAATAACAGTTCATTCCGAATCTACCAAAAACATAGAACAAAAACAAGATTGCAAAAAAAATCAATAAATCAATGCAGCAGCTTCGCTTCTGAGTAAGATGCAAGGTTGGACGCAACAGCAAACGTCCCTCCGGAGGAGCAAATCATTATATACAAAGATAAAAATGTGCGAGGTGATTGCGTGGCTAATTGTACCATAGATGACTGAAAAAATCATTCAAAACACATATTAGCACAAGTTAAACGATGATTGGAGTAAGGCTCATCGCTAATGATAAAATATTGCTAAGGAGATCATCCAACAAAGAGGCTTGACCCAATAACGGCAACGTCAAGCCAATTAAACGGAAAATGCGATTAAATAATCCTATCTTATAATTACACATTTAAACATATACACACCTACAGATACATAAACATATCTTACGCAATGCTGTTTCTACTATCGCAGCAGGCTATCATTGCTGGGGAAGAGATCGCAAGAGGGGGGGGGCAAAGGGGCAAAATTGCGTCCCTTACTGTGCTGTTCTAAAACGTCCCTGCAAAGTTTCGGAAATATGCAGCAAAGTACAAGAGTTGGGAAGCACGGTGATTTATATTTATTTATCTATGGCGTACTGAAAGACCTTAAAATGAGGTGAGAGCGGGTAGTCAATCACTGACAGGACGTGAAAGAGAATTTTCAAAATAAGCATGTTATTTTTTGCAAAACCTGACAGTATGTTTGAGTATCGTTGTAGCACTTGTACCCAGGGGTGCTGTATCATAAAACTGCACATCAATGATAATTAAGGATGTCATCATTGACGGAGGTAAGGAGTAAAAAGACGGGGTAAACTGTTCAAGAGTTTCGTGAAGGCCGCCACAATGGTTGGCGGCAAAAAAGTTGCAAAAAGGATGTTCTAGGGATGTCCGGAAAATGCATCCAAATAACCACAACATCGCCCTAGACCCATGGAAGATCTTGGACAATACCCATGAGCTTTCTTCAAAATATGGTCCCAAGGCCGTTTGAGGCAGACCTGGGTTTACTACGAATTTGCCTGATTTAAAAAAATTACCTGAAATTCTTTACCTGCTGACACCATCCTCCGCAATTCAGTGTGTCGATTAAAAAAAATTAGCAAAAAAATAATTATCATTAAAAATAATTAAATTAATAATTAAAAAAAATTATCAGACCTTCGATCCCTTTAGTCTGATCTATATATCGGAACAAGCCCAAGATATAACTATACTGTCCGAGGCAGCATCATGGTTGCCGCCGAGGGAAAAGAAAACTTTCGAATTTAGATGCTTTCAGATTGCTGGAAAACGCACTTTTTGAAGCAATTTTCAACAATGCAAGCTTTTTCTTAAATGAGTATCTACAAACTGAAAGTTGTTTGATGGTTTTAATCGATTTTCTTGCGTCGTTGTTAAATTGTTTAGCTTATGCAACATAATTTTCTTCAGATTGGTACATAATATCTCAGCTTTTTGTTCCTAGCATTTCTTATCATTTCAGTAAATCAAAACGCCTTGCACCTCCCCAATAATTTTATGAAATGGAGCCTAATCTGGACATTTACCGCCAAGCCCAACATTATCGGCGGGTTCCTCAAAAACTCCTCCTACCTTGGTACGACCCTGGTATCTACTTTGTGTAAAAATCATTCAGGTTTTGCGTGCGATCTTGAGTTGGTGTTTGAAGATCGTTGTTAAGAACATCAAAGTTAGAAAGAAAGAAGAGGTGGTATGTTGCAAGGTGATTCTTGTTCTTTTCGCCTTTAGTATTGTTGGGTTCTTTCATGTTACATAAAATTATGTAACATATTTACATAAATTATGTAACATATTTACATAAATTATGTAAATCTTCCTCGCTTGCTAGCTATTTGGTAAGGGCGCCTTTGGCACCCTTATAAAGTGAAAGATCATTTTGGCACCCCTGATATATGATCGGCAAGGGGGGCAACTGCCCCTCGCCCCTCTGCCAGCACGCCATTGTTGCTAAACCAACCAGCTGACTATTCCAGAACACGCATAAGTTCAGAACCTGTAGCACATTCATGACCAGCTTAAAAGACCACTTCACTAAAACAACCATCCCTTCTTACTCCTTCTCTAGGGATCTGCCAGCAGGTTTGAAAGTACTGACAACTACAAAGTCAAAGCGTGGTTGATGAAATGAACAGACGCTACTTATACTAACCGTGACTCCTCAACTGATGTGTACGATGTTGCTACTCTTAGAGTTGGTTCGAGTTGTTTGAATCTTTGTGTTGCAACCGCAGCTGGATCTCTGAACGGCCCCTGAAATGAAAGAAGTCAAACAAGTGATCAAGTGGATGCACCTTTATTACACATGCTGATCATAGTAGGATGCAGGGTGTCAACATTAGGGCAGAACACGGCAGCGGAAAACTTTCCCTACATTTCTCTATGTTAGACACCGTCATAGAAAAAGGTACATCTTACCTGTACTTTGAAGCTTGGTATTGGTGGAAGTGGTTCTGGTGATGACTGCATACACGTATATCTTTCCAGTGTTGATGACGTGTCAACAAAGCCGGATTTTAAGGACCTTTCGAGCTTTTCTTTCGCTAATGCGTATCGTTCCTCTTTGCTAAAAGGCTTCGCTTGCCTCAGTTCTAGTTCTCTTTGCGTAACATGGGGTTTCTTAACCGGAGAGCTATAAATCCCTGAACGTACGCTAGTGCTTATCAAGTAATGGTGCCTCCTATCTTCTTCCTCTTTAAACCTCTGAAAAAGAATAAAGAGAAAATAAACCATAGTGTTTCGACCTATTGCAGTAACACCTTTTATACTGTTTAAAATTTGGTATAAGAGATGAAGCAACAAAATTTTTCCAGATGCTAATCTTTGGGGCAACAAAAACAAAATGACCTAGTGGCTTATACACACACCGTGCTTGAAGGACAACTGGATTCATAAATGTGATTTCCTTTCATTTGTTATTCAGGACTTTCCTTTCCAAGTGAAGAAATGGCAAAAAATGATATTGTGCATGCGTTGTTTGGTAAATGCGCAGATGGCAACTATGTCAGCTAATTTCTAAAATGAGAAACTGGCCGGTGCATAGCAGATGCTGCATTGTCTTATTGCACATCATATTGAATCACAAATGAGAATAGCAAAAGAAGGGACATTAAAAACTTCAAATCGAGATCCATCACCTACGTACATTTTGATTATACACTGACATCAACAGTGCAATCAACGAAATATACGAAATGTACGATTGTGAGAAATTAAGGTTGAAACAAAACATTTGAAATTAAAGAATTAATCAAACCCAATTATAGAATTGCCTACAATACGAACATCTCAATGTAATTATCTCACAGTTATTTCAAACAAACTACTCTCATACTGTACACGCTATAATCGACAAAATAGCATGGGCGTACGCACGTTTTTCGTAAGAGTAGTGTTTTATTCTTTGTGAAACATACGTTTGCGTTTGCGAAACACACGTCAGATCGGTATATCAAACAGAGAAATTTCCAACTAATGCAAGATTTAGAAAAAAAATGATGAAACCATTTTCCAAAGGCTCGTAAAGTGTCTTAGTAGTTAAGAGTCTTTGAATTACGGTTATATGAATCCCACAATATATGGTTTATTCGTGTGCCTGATCTTTTTAATCAAGTATCAAACCAAGAAAAGATGAATTATACCAAGCAATGCATTTGGCTAGAAATTCATATTCATAAAGCCTTGGGAAAAAGCAACCGGAAAGCTGACAATACGTAGCATGGGCCCTTGTTGATTCATTTCAACCAGCACTGAGATTCCCACGCACAAGCATATTGTGACATACAGGCAGCAATGTTCGAAGTCCTTTAGGAGAAATCTACGAAAAACAAGGCCGATTTGATCTCGGCTTCACAACTGTATCGCTAATTAGGTTACAACGAAATATAAATGTTTCTTACCGGTCTAAGGAAAACCTTAACTTATCTCTTGTTTTCTCCCCACTCCTTTTTACAATAATTCACTCCTCTCCCTCTCGCATATCTCTCGGGTCTAGTCCCTTTATTTTCCTGTCCTCTTATAAAAAGCTTTATCTAAATAAAGTCATAATGTTCGGACAAGATCCATACTGAGCCCTTCAAAATGTTTGCCTCCGCTACGCACATGATAGTGATTATAATCTTAAAAACTAACATTAACATAATAGAAATAATTTTACAGATAATCAGGTGTCTACATCATTTGCTTTATCGAGCTCTGCAAATGGTTTTTTTATCCAACTCGAAACTGATCATGAAGACGTTTCTCTTATTTCAGAGCTGTCAACTTCAAATGGAAGAAAGCGTTCTTAGTATTATGAAGATTTGTCTTTTGTTCACTGTGCTGTATCTGAAAACCCAGAGCTATGTAGCTCTTTCTGTAGCTTGTTTAATTTTCTTGAGCGTCTATAATTCAAAGCGCATCATCATTAACTTTTCTAAGATGCTCTTCGAGGGCTTTTCTTGTTGGTGTCTCGGGATGCAGTCACATCATTTTTCAACGTAGAAATCTAAGAAAGATTCTTGGAATTAACTGACAAAGTAGTGTTACCAACAACGAGCTCTACGCCACAGCGAAATGTCAACGATGGACTGAATAAATAAGAGCACGGAGACTAACACGGCTAGGTCATCTGATGCGACTGCATGCTGAGACACCAGCAAGAAAAGCCCTTGAAGGACATCTTAGAAAAGTTAAAAGGACGCAGGGAAGACCAAAGACGACATGGATACAAACTGTGCGCTAGGATCTCAACAGTATCGGGATCTTACTAGATCTCTCTAAAAAACCAAAACATTAAATAGAAAAGACTGGCGTAGAATTGTAAAGCGCGTCATGCGGTAACATTACGTGAGACGTTATACTAGTAGTATATGGTGACAGTTGTCATCGAAAATCATAAAAAAATCAGCACAGAACATCTGTCATTTATTTATGTAATATCGAGAAAGGTATATGAAGTTGTATACGTCTTCTACGAATATGAAGACAATTACAAGGCATAGCAGAGGTCTATAGGTATCATGAAAAATTGAAGCCATGACAAGAAAGAATGAGGACACTAAGTGCCAAGCCTTTAGACAACCAGAATATGGATCACTAAGGAGAATAAAAATGAAAGGATTCATTTTCCACGTACGAGTTGACGTCTTTTTACTTTGATTTGAGTAGGAGCATCGAAAAAGAGCAAAGTTGATACCAATTTAAGGATTCCATCATGAATATGATTGGAACGAGATTAGAATAACATTGAAACCTGCCAAATAAATCTTAAAATCATACAATACTTGGCATAAAGATAGAACATTTAATAGAAGGATGGAACTGGGACTGTTGAAAGGCTGGAAATATGAATTTTTGTGATGGCGTTTCGCCGTGAACACGATATTTTCCAAATACCAATGAATAGGAAACCTCACAAATGAATTCGTGCTTAAGTAGATGAGGACAGAAAAGACATTGAAAGTAGATAATTAGGAGGAGAAAACTCAAGTAGCTTGGTCACGTGACACGTCGTCAGAGCAAAGAACCTGTTAAGTCAGGACGATCCACGCAAAAGCCGGAGAGAAGGATTGGTAAGAAAATCAATGTCGATATAGGTATGGACAGCAATTGATCCATGTAAATAAAAAAAAGCGCACGAGTCTATGCTTCCCGCTCCTCAGTTTTTAGGATGGGCGCAATAGTCAAGTCATGTCAAGAAACTAGAAGTGGGAAAGAGGGAAACTTGTGTTTGTTATTGAACAGACCAAACAGGGCCCTCTTTCATTTGACTTCAATTATAGATCTATGTCGATAAAAGCAGGACTTTTGGTTTTCTTGTCGTTGAATTCCATTTCACCATATAACCCTTGATGGCCAGGCTATATGCAAATTCTTTTGACTCAATTTCTCCAAAGCTTTGAAATGCACTCCCTATCGATGGTCAAAAGATCAAAAGAAAAAATGAAGCTAAACATTCCATTAACAGTTTGGGAGAGTTGATGAGCTTTCGCAGGCCGAAACAGCTGGAAAGTTCCTTGGATTCGGAATGGTCAGAAGAAGAACAGGCTTTCAAGACAGATATATCACAGTTGCATTGAAGAGCCAAGATAATCAGCGAGACATGTTTGCCGAATCCTTCAAAAGATCGAAAGATTTTGCATCTGATGAATATACAACAACTCTTGCGAAATCCCAAGAGATTCGCCTTTTTCAAAGGGAAACTGCAAGTTCTTAGAATTACAGTCATCGTGTCGTAATACTTCAACTATGACATCCCACGTTGAATTCAAACGTTAGTCTTTTTGCTAGAAAAATCTGTTCGACATACATTTGATTGCAAGTAAATGTAGAATGACAGTGTTGTGTTTGAAAACCTAGATTACAGAAAGCATTCATCTTGTAATGAAAAAAAAATTGTCATTTCTTTGATCAAAGTGTCATCCTTTTCGTTACTATCTTTAATCACAGTTTTTGGTTTGATAAAAAAACTCAGAAGTGCATTTCGATGCAAATAAACCTTTTAGTCTTCGTGCTGCGTCAAACAGCGTTACATACAAGTTACCAGGCAGTTATTACAAAATTCGTAGTTTAGTTATCTCAAGATCAGCATATCTTATCAACCCTTGGCGATCTGAAGATGCAACAGGTTGAAGCTGAAAATTTTTCACATATGCTAGACAGACATGTAACAGAAAGTGAAAAGGAAGTTTGTCAAATGAGGCTGTTTTTGAGTAGTTCACATTTAAGTTGCATTTAGAGTCTAGAGGAAAAGTTTTCTGTTGATGATACAGAAAGTCGATTTGAGTCGCATTCTTTGAAAATGTTTTGTTTTTTCGTAAATATTATGCTGCTCAAAAACGAACTCTTTTTATAAATTTCAACGGATATATACTGAGAGTCTCTATAAAGGAAATTTCAACTTAGTAGATCGATAAATTTTAGCAGGAGTAGCCAACCTGCTTCTGCAATGAACTGTTTCTTTTGGGGGGGCGTTATTATATAAAAGCTTGTTGAAAGGTATCTGTTTAGATGCTAAATTTCAAATTTACACTTTAAATGCTCAAAAAGTTCTCGAAAATTCCATATATTTTATTGAAACCAAAAATAAGAAGGTAGACGAAAGCAAGATTTAAATTAAAAGTGTGTGAATATCTATGGTACAATCAGTGCAACTTTCACAGACCACCAGGGTGAACAGATGTCTACTTTCTCATGCAGGTTTCCAGTCAAACAGGTTTAAACAAGACGATACAGTGAATCAGGTTTAAAGAAGATAAACAGGTTTAGTAGATTACCTTGGCAGTTTCTTCTTTTTTCTTCCTAATCGCATCCTGTCGTTGAATTGCTATTTCATCAAGCTCTTTTCTAAAATGAGGCATTTTTTAGCTTATGCTAACCTCCAATTATTTCAAAGGAATTGTTTTTTAAAATGGTACGTTTTTAAAATTTCATAAATTACGAACAAACTTTGCAAAAAGAGTGAAAATTACTGACAACCAAGGTTGCCTTACTTAGAATGAAGAAGAACAAAAGTACACAGAGCAGTAAGATATTATTAACTTGATTTTTCTGTGCAGAAACATTAAATCAGTCAATCTTCAAAGTCAGTAAATCTGAGGCTTCTTCAAACAAAAATTATACACTATATATGCATTATACAAAAACCTCAACATATAACATAAAAATTTCTTACCTAACAATCTCATTTCTTTCCATCAGTGCCAAAAGGTATCTCTTACGTGCATAATAATTGAAAATGTATTTTCTGACAAAAAAACCTAAAAGACACAATGTAAATTTTTTATTGTTTTTAATGGCCATTCACATGACTTTAAAGTTAATGTGTAGCAAAAGAAACTTACGGTTTATAAAGACTCTTTAAGTTTATAAATACAAAGCAGAAATGAACTCACCTCTCCACTGGGTTTGAATCTACAAAAAAAGACATCCACTTAACAAAACAAAGTTTGCAAGTACAAAAAGAAAACTTAATTCTGTTTATCATCACAGTACACAAAATGGCAGAAGATCATAATGCCCTCAAAATAACATTGGAATCAGATTATAAATCTCCCTGCATTCTTGCTGCAATTTGAAAAGCAAACCAAACTCATCTAGTATTATTTAGGTACTCAGTGAAAGGGCAAAAGCTACATTCAGATGTGAAATCTGATTTTGTGACATCATCTGTTGCAGAAAAATACTATAATTTATAAAAACAACTTAGACAAAATTGAAGAAGATAGAATTACCTTGGTAGCCATTAAATTAAAATGATTTTGTCTCATTTGTTGTAATCGAATCTATTGTAATGAAAAAATCAGAAATCAAATGTCAAAAAATCAACAAACTAATTCTGATAATAAAAAAGCTACAATAATGATAGATGACAATTTTCATCTTTACAGGTCAAGAAATTGAGCTAAAACACCAAAATTACCAAAACAGATGCTGTAAAACTTTGGATGTTATTAAGTCATCTATCTCATCTAGAGAGCTACAGTTTCTTTCAATGACTTACTTTAACAAGTAAGTTCACAAGAAATGTTATCTAGGTCATTCCGCCTGTCTAGATGCAGTAAACTTCAAGTTTTTAATCAATTTCATCCATATGGTTTTACATATTATGTGCAAACCTTCAGTAAGTATGGAATTAAGTGCAATCAAAAGATTCTTGTGAAAGATTTACCTTCACTTTTTCTCTATATATTGCCCTGTCAACATGGGCTCTATAACTTCGCTGTATAACCAAAGCACAATGATGTAGATGCCTAAAAAAGAAAGTGTCACATCATTCTAGCAGTAGAACATATCATTAAAAATTATGAATGAGCAGTGGAGTAGCGAAGGGTAGGCAAAAGGAGGTGTATGCCCCCCATGGCAAAAATGTCTTTTAAAAGGGTGTTTTCTGGTGTTCAAAAAGGCGTGGACCCCCAATTTTTCCTGGCCCAATTCACCTTTGCCCCCCCCCTATAATCTAACCAATCTGCTTCCAGAGGCAAAGCCAAAAAGATTCAGAGGTGCACAGGAATGCTTTTTTCCAGCAAAGGAAGGAAATGTCCACTCTTGATCTTAACTCAAATACAATTCATTGAGCCTTTCCATTTTGAAATATCTTCAAAATTATTTTGAAAGGATAGATAATTAAATATTGACTGTTTTAATCATTATTTATAATGGCAAAAGAAGCTTTTGCTTTATATCATCTGTGTACATTTCAGTAGACTCAAGGTAAAGACACACCAAATTTTGCTTGAAAAGCTATGGCAATAAGTGGAGGGTGACTGTAAAAAGAGCTAATTTAAACAGTTTTATGTTTTTCAGACTAAATTTTATGTGACCATAAATAGTAGCATGACTTTAAGGAAAGTAACTACAAGTGACCTCACTTGTTTTTGCTAGATATCATTACAAACATGAACAATAATGATAAGTAGAAAAATTAATGATAAGATAGGTAAGACCATTGGTGAAAAAATGACAGAAGAAGAGTCCTGATATGATGAAAAACTGACAGACTATAAAACTTCAAGGTCTTTGTAGGATTTAATTTCAACAATTGATGAAATATGATGAAATAATGGTGTTCCATCTATTTTTCTCTGATGAAGCCCCATATGCTGGGGGAATTATTAGCCTTCACTGACTAAGGTGTATTTTCTGTTGTTCATTCTCGTTGCAATGGGATGTTTCTTATTTGCTACAATTTAATCCATTTTTCACCACAAGAATTCCTTCAGAGTTCTTCAAGCAGCCTGCTATATCATGACCTTTTTTCACACATTATTTTCAAACTCTTTATAATAACTTTGTAATTTACACAAAAATTCATGCCTTTCAAAACCATGCAATGCAATACTCAGTTCAACTTACCTTATATATGCTCGGACTTTTTCTCCCCTAAACCAAGACTGTATTTTTATTGCATTTTTGTGCTCCAAAATCCTGGCCTCTTCTGCCATTCTACAGTAACAAACAAAAAGCAAAAACTTCTTCAAGTCCTAATTTCTTGAATGATCGTAATTTTTAAAGTTTGAGAATGTTATGGACACTGGATACAACTCTATCAGGACTTCTAAGCTTAGAGTTAGATAATTCTTCAGTTCACAATGCTTCTCACTTATTACCATGGTATGTTTTACATGTTGTGATACTTTGTCAACACATTGTTGGGAAACCACACATTGATTCTACAGGTAAGATTCTTCTAGAAATAGAGGAGTAAACTTCTTGATTTAATGTTTAAGTATATGATCAAACAAAATTGTGATTTCTTTTTACCAGCCTGTTACAGAATTGTGAGACTTTAGGTAGCATCGTGAGAGTCTTTTAATACTCATTCAGGCAACTAATATGAACACAGAAACCATAAATACATTATCATGCTCCTAATAAACACAAGGTTTAGTGAACATAAGCAAGGGGACAATGAAAGCACAGAATTTCATTTAACATTATCATAAATCAACATCTGGATATAAATTTATGCTTAGCATTCAGCCCTTGATGCCAGAAGCCTTTTTGCACCTAAAGAATTTGTCCAGAGTGTTGGTCAGTATAGGATTTAGAAACTTATGCTTAGTCTATTTTTGATCTAATCTATGCTTCTATTTTTGCGCAAAAATAAAACATTAGATAAGCATGGCTATAGTTATAACCCATAAATATTCAATTTATGTCAATAAACAGATCTAGAAGGGCTGTTCTTTGAATCTCAGTAGAATGGTAGGAAAACAAAATTAGAAACATTGGTTTACTAAGAATTAATTTTACAGAAAGTGTTCTTTGATCGGGTAATTGTATTTTTGAATATGTCTTTGGTCGACTGTCTCCTATTATCAACCTTTAAAAAATACATAACTAACGTAGGCCAAAAACCCCATTCTCTAAGTCATCCTAGAGGACCCTGTTTAGAGACTTTCACTCTTAAAAAGTGACATTCTATACCTACACTATACTTTAACATATAGCTTATAACAAAATATTGCTAGATTTACCTCATTCGATAATGTATTTCTAATAGAACTGTCGGAGCATCTTTTATTAACCTCCACAGAGTCGCCATGTCTTTTTTATTACTATATTCTTGTATCTTGGCAACGACGAAATAGGTGTATTTTTCAAAACGAGGCTAGTGATCTTGGCTTACTGACGTCAAGGAACGAAAACGCTTTGAAAGATGCGTAATTATTTTATGGTGCTCTTGATTGGTTTGAATGCACTCCCAAGAACATGAGCCTCTTAAAATTAAAAACCCGTGGCTGAGCTACTGTAAAATATAATTTTGAACAAAATTGTGAAACCCCCTTAAAAACCTCTATCTTAAAAACGAGAAGATTTTGCCAATTAGGGACGTTTTGTTGGTGAATTTTCAAACCTGTCGGCAAATAAATGGTACAAGCACCCTTTTTGGCGAATAGAGTCTGAAAACTCCCCTTCAGTACCATTGGTAGTGATTGAACTGCTTACAACCTAGCCTAAAAAAAAAGTATGTATAGAACAGGACGGTTCTAAGTTGCTACTCTGAACTGGCATCAGACCTGACGATCGCATGGAACCTGAAACTTGGAGTAGCCACTTAGAGCCGTCCTGTTCTTTACACGCTTTCTTTTAGGAACACTTGGCTCCTGTTTCAGCCTGGCATTTCTTATTTTTTTCGCATAAATTCAAACTAACGTGTTCCTCATTTTATCCCTTTTTTCTCTAATGGATTATCTTGTGCATAGTAATGCTGGACACAACACGTGCTTGATAAAGTAATTAATGCTATTTTGCTTATCGCTTTCTGTTTTTCTGTTGCTATTCCATTTTTCAATTTTTACTGGTATTGTTTTTCAGTTTTATTGCATTTCTTACTTTTTTGTTCTTTTTTGGGCAAATCTGAGCCTGAAGTTCTTTTATAAGGGTTGTTCTTATAAAAAAGAGCGAGTACACCGAATGCGTGTACAGCTTTGCCTAAATGGCACCGATCTGTTTCAAATACAAATACCAAATAGACATTTAACTCGTTGCCTTTAAAGCTTGTTTTTTCACCATCCTTAGTCATTGTATTGTTTACCGAGTAGTTGGTTGATTCCCAACCGAAAAGAATCTTAAACCGCACTGCACATTGAAACCACACTGCACAATGTCATAAAATGCTTCGTGATGTATCTCCTAAGTTTTATATGACTTCATATTATATATTTCTTCCAAAAAAATATGAAAGGTAAGATTAAAAAATTTTTTTATCCTTGCTTGAACACTTTATGATCCTAACGAAACCCCTGAGAACAAATCCTATGGAAACCAGGACTTGAAACCACAATGACGGAATTCTGCCCACCCGTCAGGTTGGCTTTGGTTTGCTTTGCTTAAAAGTTTATATGACGTATGCGTAACAACTCCAACACGATAGTACGGGTGTAATGTTACGATTCAAAACTTGTTCCTACTGGTGTTCCTACTGGGGAAAAATACAGTAAACTCATAAAGATTGCTTGCTAAATCAGGCCTGTAAAACATCTAGAGATCGTTTTAAAAGACCAATGTCTTTTGATAATTTTTTTAATACAATGTGCAGTATTCTAAATTTACCACACACTCATTTTTTATAAGAAACTGGCTATAAGAAATGAGTACTGGACAGTCAAAAAATTAAGAAACTTCAATACTCGAAGCAAAAATATTAAGAAACCATTAAATCGTGATAAAACTGAGAACAACGAAATTTCGTAAAATCCAAGAACATGGTTGCCCTGATGGCCTAGAAATTAAGACACAAGGAATAAAAATATACTCCCCACATCTAAATACAACGTCAGAACAGAAGCGAATCTCTTGACATGATAAAAAGGTCACGAACATTTCATAACATCATTCATGACATCATAATTAAGAAACTCCTAAGAAACAATGAGTATGGGGTCATCCATAAAGTACGTACGCACTAAGGGGGAGGGGGGGTGCCGACCAAAAATCGTACGCTTGCGTACAAGGGGGGAGGGGGTGTAATTGGTATTTAGTATGTACGCTTAAGAAATTCCTAAACGGGAAATTTCAGCCTTGCAAGCTTGCTCATTCATTGTTCATATGGCAGAGATTTTAATGGGAAGTTTGTTGCATATTTTCATCCTTCCTAAAATCTGCTCTGTTTGAGGAACTTCCGATAAAAACTATTTAAATGGCGTTGCGTTTTGAAAAAGCTGCACACAATTAGCTCAATGTTAAAGAATCTGCTTCAATATGCTCCACATGACTACATAAATAAGACAACTGCATTAACATATATTATAACGAGGAATGGTCAATATGGACAAATCCATGAATTTCCCTGGAAACTTTCAATTATTTCCATTATACCTTGAAATGGGGGGGGGGGAGTGAAAAAGATATAAGCATACGTAGTGTACGCAAAAAGAGGGGGTATACGAAAAGCGCATATGTGCGTACAAGGGGGAGGTGGGGGTCAAAAAGTTGCTCTCAAACTGCGTACGTACTTTATGGATGACCCTTATTGAAATTTCCAGAACATTTAGAAACTGTAGTACTCAACATCGATCTTTGTTTCTAATAAAAAAATGAGTGTAATGGACATTTTTGGTCACTGAAATTTGTAATGGATCTTGGGGATGGATCTAACCTAACTAAAAAAGGTTCACCAAATTCCGCCAGAGTCTTTACCCTTGTGAGTATCTTATTTCTCAAAGAGGCAGACACTCAGGTTTCTTATTTGTACAGTTTCCATGCACAACAACAATTTGATTAACTTGATATTCTGTGTCATATCTATGCAAGTCATCAAAGGGATTTGTCACCCTATATGACCATATAGAACCTTTTGTATGAAATGTCACTGACCATCATTTTACAACCATTCTCTATTCTGACAGGCTCGTCGTTAGCTGTTGTGCTCAAGGGGGGTTTCCCGATCCCTTTTGCTGACAAACTGGGTGAACTATCATTTATTTGCCGACAGGTTGGGAACTTTACCGACTAAGCACACAAAATAACTCCTCCTTTTCGCAACGGAATTTTTACTCAATGAATTGTCTCTCATTGACTCTCATAATAAGGCACTGTAGTCAGGGTTTCATATGAATCTCTTTGATTTCTATTAAGTCCGGCGGGGTGAGAAGGCCGGCGTCAAGCGCACTTCTAAGAAAAGGGCACTTTAGCCCCCCTTGCTTCCAATCAAAAGGCAACAGGGGCGGTTGATCTCTGTGTCCACGTCTCCGGTGTCCCTGCTTACATCTGCTAGCTACTTACATGATTGTTTCCGAAAAAGTAAGAAAAGTGTTTCAGGGGGGCTCAGTGAGCTTCTCTTTTGCAAACAAGCGCCATATTTCATTGGAAACAAGAGCTAAACCGCAAAGATATGTTCCAATGATTTCTTTTTTCATCTAATGAATTTAGAACGTTCCATCATTTCTGACATGAACCTGACACACTGAGAAGAAGACATTGGGAGGCGTCAGTTGACAATGTCTACTATATTCAGATATCCATTGTAGATATAAACAGTTTTACGAAATACTGGTTTTTGCTGTTATTCAGTCTCATTTATGCCAGTTTACAGAGCAATGACTAAGAATTTCCTTGTTACAATACTTCCTGACGTAAAGAAGATAAGAAGTGGGGGAGGCTGCCCGCCTCTTACCAAAGGGACATAAAAACGGTTTTAATTCGATGCAAATAAACCAACAGTTCCTTCAATTTATCAGTAAACAACTCAAGAAGGAGGTGTATTTTGGCTTGGTGTGCTTTGTTTTTACATATGTCTCTATTTCCAAATGACTGTATCATCCTCACCAGCAATTATTGTGAGCAGTAAAAGCAGCTATAACTTTTCATCAAGTTCCTTCCATTGATATTGAAATTCAGTTCAGCTCAATTCAGTTCATTTGTTGACAAATTTTAAAATTCCACTACTACAATTAAAAAGCATTTCAAAAATAAAAGAAAATTTTATTTGTCATCCATAACTAATCTGTATTATATGTTTTGGAAGTTTGCGTCACATGCTTAAAGGATGAATGTACATAGCAGTTCGAGCCCTAACGAAAGTAGAGCACCCTGTATACTGAATGAAGGCATTATATATTTACTGACGGAGTGCTACTATGAATGTATTTATCGACAGAATGTTTATTGGGGCCGTTAAGAATATTGAATGACTTTTTCAAAAGCATTTTGAAGACTTTTTTAAAGGAACATATGATGGACAATTTCTTATTTTTTCAGAAAGATCATCCCAACCATTTTGAAAATTATAATTGATGGGTTTGATGATGAAGATGTTAATGAACAGATGAAATAGAAGAGAGAAAAACATGAATGTATGGAGTGTTAATGTTTTTAAAATGCAGACTTTTCATTTTAAATCTTCTTACGTGTGATTTGAGCAAGGCAAAGACGTCATGAAATTAAAGAAAATTTGAATTCAAGCGAAGACATTATATCGAGGAACACCAGTACTTTAGGCCAGTTCTATTCTCTGTATCTTTCTTCCTGCCTCTCAGTCTGACAAAGAAGACACAAATAACATCAACTGAGCAACTGAGCAAGCGTTCCAGTATCTATCTTACTCCTATCGTGTCTACTTCACTGCTCACAACATTATTGACAAGCTGAAACTTTTCCTAACCTGAAACATTATCCATTAATAACAAAAGCAGCGTTTGATTTTCCCATAAGCCTTAAGAGATTAATGGGGGTTGGGAAAAAGATGAATCATTGAATAATATTTAATTGCAATTGAAGCAAAAATCTGTTTGGTTCTAATAGCGTTTCCTCTTTTCTATGTGTATAATTTTCTCTTCCTTTAGACTCCGTTCTTACAGGAGCTGCTGGATACAGGACATAACCTGTCTCAAGTCAAGATTCCTTGCCCTCTGTTTTAAGGGGTCAATAATGGGATGTCTATTCCTTAAAATCAATCGAATGCTCTAGCAGGCCCTTTCGTGAGAAGGGAGCTGCACCCTCTTTCTTGTACGTTGCAATCTATTTTCTGGCATTATAAGCATTGCAATCTACTCCCTTAGTATCTTTCTTCTTCGAAAGATCATGAAAAATGTTTGAACGTTAACTTTTTCCTTTCATTTCCTCTCACCAGGGTCCACCAAAAGCATGTTTTTATCTTGTAAAGCACAGCACGGTAAAAAGCGAGCCATTAAAATAATGTGCACGAATAAACATGTAAAACGGTATCAAGAAGCCAAGGAAATAGCTCAGAATATCCCTGACATAGATCTGTAGGGGAAGCTGGTGGAAACTGTGCTTAAGAACTTTTTTGATTTGTTTTATTATAAATCGAGATTTTCGCTTATTGAGATCAGGAAAAGCAACGACAAAGACTGAATAATTTTCAGTTACATAACAGTTGCGTAGCTATATAATGGTAGCTAACTGTCAGCGATTTTAAAAAAGCCGATTTCAAAAAGTTGCAATATGATGCAATGGAGTCTTCTTTATTTATTACCAAGGTTCATGCAATGCAACACAACGCAATTTGTGCCTACGTCATCATTGTGCAGCGTTTGTAGATTCACGAACATACTTCACTTCTATCTTCCGGTCGCTTGGCCTGGAATTGATGTTTTATCCATTTTGTGCTGGTACTTAATGTCTAATATCATCATCCAAACATAATTGTGGAGCTTTCCACCCAAAAAAATCGTAAACAAACATTATTTCGAAATTTCTTAATAATTTATTGTAGTTTCTTATACCTTGACCTAGATAATTTTTTCAAGTGCAGCAAACCTTGCTCGTTTTCTCGGATATCGGCAAAACTCACAAAGAATATTAAAAACAGTAGCGGGAGAGTAGCTAAGAAGCAGATGGTTATATTCCATCAAACTTGTAGCGACAGGAATTTCACATTATTTCACGTTATTTCACATTGCTCAATCTTAGACATCATTGGTCGATATTATAGAAAGTGACGTAATGCTAGTAGTCTATTTTTAGGAACAAAGGCATGACGGGATTGATGATAAATGAAACCAGCTCGCAATAATACAAAACAGAAGGCTGAAACTGGTTTAGGAGAAAGTTCTAGTCCTGCCAACAACTCATGTAAATATAAGTGCAAATCAACACATAACATATACACAATTAACAGACAAGACACACTTGGAATTGTAGTACATAAGTAAAAGCTGTTCATTCTACCAAACCGAAGTAGGCCTACGTTACGTTCGCAGAGAACTGTCTTAGTACATGTATATTGCCGCTGTTTTTATTGTTTTACGGGGAGTGAACTTTTGAGTAACATATTTAGGATAAATAAGACGTTCATCCTTATGCTAGCTTCAACGATTATGTGCTCTGTGGCCAGCCAGTTGATCGATGGCGTACGAAGCATTCTGCCGAGCGAATTGGCGCAAGCCCTTCAAGCGGGCAAAAAAGATGTATCCCTCCATGATCTCAAGGAGTTCATGTTATTCGACTGTCGCTCGTTCATAGCATACAGCAACAGACATATAGCTGGAGCAGTTAATGTTAATTGTTCAGGAATTGTTAAAAAGAGACTTCAGCAAGGAAAAGTCGCTCTCGCTGATTTGGTAACACCAGACGTTGGAAGAGAGTGTATGAAAAGCGGCAAGTGGAATCGAGCCATCGTCTACGATGACAATACAAGCGAACTCGAGAAGGCACCTGCCTCCCATCCTGTTAGACTTGTCCTAACATCAATACTCAAGCAAGGCAAAGAGGCATTATTACTAAAAGGTTTGATAGCACAATATGTATGACTACTATTTTTGTAAAGCAAATTTGAATTATGAAGGGAGCCTTGGCCGTACAGCAAGGACACTGTGACTGTCAGTTATTTGCGCTCAGTTATGTAAGGATGGCAGAACTTTTGAGACAAGTCCTCAGTTCTATGAATAAGCTTAGAATAGTTTGTCTTCAAATTTTAAGCTCTAGACGTTCCCAACCGTTGGACTGCAACTGGTGTTATCTTTGAAAAATCTTGTGTTTTAAGGCTTCCAAGCCAAACATTATGCACGCGGTAGTCTGGCGCGAAAGCCACCTGTTTTATGAAAGCTGTGTGCATGCTTTTCGAATGCGCCAGTTTTTTGTTTACTACAAGCCTTCTTCAAACCGCGTGCTTGTAGTCAGTTGAGTGAGAACTGCTTTAGATAGTCGATCAAGAAGCTTCATAGATATGTCAAGCCGAATAACGAGTACTAAAATGTTCAAAAAAACTTCATCGTCAGAGGCCAATAAAACAGTTAGACCAATGTTCTTAAGTATAGATTTAAATATCAGAAAAGGTATTTCTTTTTATATTAACTTCTTTAGATATTTCGGTAGTGAGGTAGGGATTGCATGAAATTGTATGTAGTTTGATGCTGTTGCACGTATTTGTTTTCTAGAACATTCCGGTTTATTTACTTTTTGTGGGTGTTGACAGAGGGTATTGTTCATTAATGTGCTGACGTGCTATAGCTGGCGTTAATCTCGTCATGAGGTTTGCGTCATTGGGCATTGTACTCGAATATGCTGTCATCCAAATGCTTTTTCTAGTTTAACAGGAGTCAGAACTAATTTTGTGACCATTTTTGGAGCTTCCATTTATAACTTGTCAGTAGCATTTAACAGCATTGACTCAAAGGACCCCCTCCCTCGACGCAGGGTTCATACAAAAACCCTTTCGTGATGATTTTTGGGGAATGATTGAAACATCTAACTTCATTGATATTTATCTTCAAATTTCCGGGTTTTTTGACTGATTGAATTCTTTCTCAATTTCTAGGTGGTATAAGAGAATTTGCACAATGCTACAACAATCTTGTACTGGACGTGACACCAAGAAATAATGAAGTTACAAACACGGAAAGGATAGGAAATGAGTTATCAGAGCAGACATCCAGGCTGAATATTGAGACCACAGTAGAGCTGCTGAATGTTCCTCTAACAAACGTGCTGCCGTTTCTGTACCTGGGAAACTCAAAGGATGCAGGAATGGAGAAAACTTTGGATGACAATAACATTAAATTTGTGCTTAACCTCACCTGTAATTGCGATAATCATTTTATATGGAGAAATGATATTAAGTACAAGCAGATTAAAATTGAGGACAGCTGTAAAGAGGACATCTTGACAGTTCTGCTAGAATCAATACATTTTATTGGTAAGTTTTTAACCCTAAGTCTAAAAAATAATCTTTCAAATATTTCATCATGTATTTTCTCACTTTTTGTACATAATTACTGTTATGAATGTTAAAAGCTAGTTGTTTCTAGGTGTCTTAGAGTTGTCTTTCTGCTTTTTTGTCAGATGTTTTTAGACAAAGTACAAAGTTATATTCAATGTTTAATTAGTAAATATTTGCAATGTATTTAGGTTTCTATATTTGCGTCTATTCAGATTTTTATCCAATGCAAACTTTTTGCCACTAAAAAATTACTGCTGGAGATTTTCATAGACAGTAACATTGCTCTGAACACTGTCTTCTATTAGTAACTAAGCGTTTTATATAAAATTTGAAATATGCAAAGTAAATGTGATTTTGTGTGTTTTAATATTGTTTGTATGTATCAACACTGTGTCAAAAGTAAAACTAGATTTATCTGTCTGTATAGCATACCAGTCATATATGTGTCTCTTCTTTTATAGAAACTGCAAAAAAGGATGGTTGTGCTGTGCTTGTTCATTGCCAGGGTGGTGTCTCACGCTCAGCTGCCATTACCATAGCTTATCTCATGTACCATCTGAACCTGTCTCTAAAAGATGCCTACAAATTTGTTAAAGATAAGCGCTCTTGTGTAGCGCCAAATCTAAATTTTATGGGACAGCTAATGGAATTTGAGAAGCAGCTCAGACAGAACCAAAAGTAGGTGAAGTCTTTGCCAGAGAACTTCCTGTCAAACAGGGTCTTCCTAATAGTTGTATTAAATTTGTTCTTTGTTGATGGCTGATGTGCCAATTTAGTTGGGTTTTCAGCATCTACTTGATGGATTTTCTCATGACCTTCTCAAAAGAAAAGGTCTTCTGCAAGTAAGGGGAACCTCAAACAGTGTTGAATGAGGTGTCTTGTCATGGGAAAACCTGATTAAGTTCAGGAAGACTACTCCAAAGGATATAGTATACCGAAAAACATTTGTGATTATTTCTTTGTATTAAATAGGTATATAAATATGCAACCACCACATAACACACTTGAAGTTTACATTCCTTTGTACTTAAATGCGTTGTATGAATTTTATGGCCTATCAACAGATTTATTACAAATTAGTAAAACAATTTCAATTACAAAATTTGGCTAATGGCTTGATGAATTTTTTTTCAACTGTTAATTCACTTTTTAAAGATCTAAAAGGCCCACACAAGCATTTACCCACAAAGGAATTGTAGATACCATGTCATGTCAGAATTTCAGTATTCAAAACCAGTCTGTACTTGTAAAACATGTGTCATAAAGCATACATTTATTTCTTTTGATATTGGTGATGCAGTCATCTTTTTGTTCTCTGATGCATGGCTACCACTTGACAGCCACAGGCAGTGAAGTGGATACAATCTTATAAGTTTTATTATTTAGATGTTGTATATATCTTGTAAAATATTAGACAAATTTTAATTAAAATTATGTAGAGATTTCAGTTGAAATGAAGGAGGGAAAGATAAGACCATTGATATTGTAAAATTTTATGTTGTGTTTTCTTATGTCCTTCTTGTATGTTTAGCCAACTGGACAATATTTTCTCTCCAGTTTAGTTTGCCTCTGGTGGAATCATTTTATCTTTTGCACCAGAGTAGATTGTGTCTCTGCAAGGCTCCATGTCATATACATCCGAAAGAAGATTTTAGACTGGCTTATCGTGAAATAAGGCTCATAAAACACTTGTTTTTGAATTCAGTTTGATTTGTCTTTTGAATTGTATTGTAACAGTAAGGATGAACAGATTTAAGATATTGAAACCCAAAGCCAATGCAAGTTAAACAAAAGTAAATATGTGCTTGCTGCCATGTGGAAAGATAAGAGAGTTTAGGGTGATACTGTTCAGTTTCCTATGAAATTGATATGTGGTACAGCAGTGCTTCTATTGGCACAAACGACTTCTCCGATCTGCCGACTTTTAATCATGTTTTTATCCTCCAGTAAAAACCATAACGTTTTACTATAAGGGGTAATATACTGTTGCATTTGCGGCCCAGAACCATTATATTTGGGTGATAATCAGCATTTTGCTGATGCAACCTTTATTTGAAAGTTTTGTAACTGCAAAAACCGTAAACAAATTCTAAAAGGCAAAACGCGACCCTGGGAGATCGCTCTCCAGCTAGTTGTGAGAAGCCGTGGTTAGTGTAGTATCTCAAATGAGCCGTGAACACAATGGAAATTAGGTGCCGAATTTTGGTTTCGGAGAAAACATTTTGAGCTATGGTGACGTAACCGTGCAGAATTATCAGTTTCTCAGTACACTTGTTTATCAACTTGCCAAATACGGAAATGCTACCTGTTCAAAATCATATTTGATTTTCTATTTCGATGTGAGTCACGCACTCAGACCACTTTAAAAACAATTCAATGCTGGTATAACATCGAAGGTATACAGGTAAGCTGTCAGGCCGCAATCGGAGGTATAACGGAGAAACCAGCCAGTTCAAATACGAGGGGTGAATCACTCCTAAGAATCTCGAACACCTTTCACAAATTACAAAAAAATATCTACAATCTCTTAAAAAATTGCTGAAATCTCAAAATTTTTAAAATAAATCATGATATCTAAGAAATTTCACCATAAACTTAAAATCGCTCAAAAAAATTGACATCTTGAAAAAAGCCCTAAAATCTTGAAAAGAAATCTTGAAATCTCAAAATTTATTGGCAGTGGCTGAAAGATTTTTTCCAAATCCTGGAATATTCCAATCTTATTTGAAACGAATCCTCAGCAAAAATCTTTGCAGTTTATAAATCAATATCTCTTATCACGAGAAAAGCGTTCACATCGGCTTTGGTTCATGAAATTATGAGCCAGGCCAAAATAACAAAACTCATTCGCAAACATGAAATCTTTCATTGGTCGTCTCTCGCCAAATTTTGATCATAATTTTGCATATTGAGAAGTATTAATGCGGTTCTGAATTAGGAAGTTCCAAAGTTGATCTATGGTGTCAGGTACAAAACTTCCATGAAAAAGGTTCTATCTTCAACATCAAGTGTCGAATCACCTTAATCAAATTATGATGGTGACCACTTTAAAAAATTCGTTTTTATTTGGTGCACATGTTCGGAAAAAAATATATTCCATGAAGAACAAACTTTTTACAGTGCACTGTTCAGTAACAAACTGTCGTCTGAAAATCATAAGTTGTATCATAAGCAACTTCCTAGATCGTAGAAATTTCATTTAAAAGTCCAAAATCATAAAAGATCTTGCTTATAACGATGAAATCTACTAAAAAATCCCAAAATCTCCTGTGTCAGCGTGATATTTTTCAATATCCCTAAATCTCGTAAACCTTTTTAGAGTGATTCACCACTCGTTCAAACTTGTATAAAATTTAGCAATACATCCTTGATGTCTACCTTTTATGAATAGTTCATGTCAGTGGCGTACCCAGGGCTGTAGCAGTGGGGGATCTGGGGCTCAGCCCCCAGAATTTTTTTGGGACAACGCCCTTCAAACACTCGCAAATGCAGGGAAACGCCCTTTTTGCAAAATTTCCCCCCATTATTTGATTCATTTTAGCTACGGTAAATAGCAAAGTATTTTACAATTGTTATTGACACAAGCATACAGTATACTAACCCCCCCCCCCTAATGAGTATTACATCGTTTTTGGACAAATCTCGAGGACCATATTTTAGAAAAGTGGGTCGGGCCTGACCCCCCTATTCCCCCCCTTGGGTACAGGGGCGAAACTTCACTATTTTCATTAGGGGGGTATGAAGCTTAGATGCCCGACGAAAGGGCGTGGCATGCTTGATGACAGGGCGTGTCATACATGAACTTCATTTTTAGAGCACATCGCCTCAAGGGCTGGAATCATCGGGAAGCCCGAGAGAGGGTCTTTAGACTCAGGCTGTTTGTTTAAAGTCAAGAAATATGCCTATAGTTTGTCTGGTGTTGGCTATAAACATTTTCACTTTCTAAATCACATAGCTATTGAGAAAGCAATTCAAAAAAGGGGATTGAAGTAGGGTCTCAATTTTATCAAAGAGGAACACCAAAACACAGCTAGGAAATTTCGGAATTTAGAAACAGCTACGCAGATTACATTGTTTCAACAAAAAAGAGCTTCAGTTGCATTTTCTGAGTTTCATTTTCAATTTTCGGTTGCTCCGGAAGCAATTTCAACATTTTTAGACACCCAAGCACAAAGTACGTATCTCTAAATTCACCATCACAAAATCCCTCAAGCAAAGGAAAGTTTTTTATTGGAGGTATTTTACAGGTGCACCTAACATTAAAGCTCAATTTTTGTGTTTTCGTAAGCTTGTTCAGAAATAGAATAAACTCGAAAGTTTTTTGCAATTGATATCTTAACTACAATTTCTTGATAAATTTTATATTATTTTCCGCTTGAACTGATTAAAACTTTCTGTTACTTGTTACGGTTATTCGAATTTTTTTAGTTAAAATACTTTGGCGTCTGTATGACCATTTTCTAGCGAAGGGTGCAATACTTTCGAACTGTAAGTGTAACTCCTTATGAATGTATGATGAAAGTTTCATACATTTGGAAAAGAAAGTATTGATTGATTTTTCTCAACAACGTATTCCGAGGTGGTATATCCTTCATGCTTTGATTTATGATGCTTCTAAAACTGTCAGTGTTCCATGGGCTCCGAGGCAGAATGGAAAGGGGGGCGGGGGCTTGTCAAGGGAAAATTTAGAAATCACAACAAAGAATTTTGAAAAAAGCTCTCTTGGTTTGCAAAAAGTATTAGGGGGGTATGCACAGTGTTCATTTCCTTCTCGCATCAAACACACTTTACTTTCCGTCTATACTTTCGCTGTCGATCAATACTTCAGACTTCATCTCGAGGCGAAGATAAACATGTGCGTGTCGAGCTCGAGACGAAAGCGCTGATCGGTGGACAAAAAAACAGAAATGTATATATGTTGCTGTTCCTAGCCTCGTTTCTGTTTTGTTTTCCCAACTGGGAGGAGATTGAAAAAAAGATGGGGGAAAAGACCATGAATTAAAAAACCAAGCTTGGGCAAAAAATAGCAATAAAAGTGTGACATAAAGAAAATTTCCAGATTTGCCGGACAGATACACTGGCAGCCATAAATTTGCCCGACAAAATCTGCTACCCCCCCCAGTAGTTTCGCCCCTGCTTGGGTACGCCACTGGCTCATGCTAAACAAATTCTTGATATATATATTCCATAACTAGCTCACTGTTTGCTGGAGATAAGATTCCAAGGGCTTCAACATAATTTTGCTTAATAGTTCCATTTTGTTTAGATTGGAGCACAGGCATTTTCTTTGTCAATTGTAGATTAACAATTTCTCAAAACAAAAACAGTTTAAAAATATTTCTACCACAGAGGAACCACAATTGGACCATCTAGTAGGTAGCTCGTTATACTTTTAAAATAACATAAAGAAAAATAACATTTAATCAAACATGGCTCGTGATTCATGAATGTTCATTCAAACATGATTAATCAGCAAGATCATTCTCGATCATACCGTATTATCATAAAAGCCCTATTTCCAACCCTTCGACATTGCCGTCGATGACGCCAGAGTTGAATAGAGCAAACAATTACAACACGGTCCGTAAAAGCTAACTTAAAAGTAGCACCAATTTCCTACTTTGAAATATACTGAAATGTTATATGTTTCTATGCATCTTATATGGCCTGAATGTTAGGATCGTTCAACTCTCCCAACGAACCATTTTTACTATTTGATACTGTTTCACTTCAATAACGGTATTTTCATCGGGTCTAACTAATAACAATTGCAATCTTTATTTCTTTCTACATAAGAGTTGTCTCTCTCTTTGCTTTGCTGAATTCCAGTAAAACTGCTCTTATTCAATTATACAAACTTTGAAATATATACTATAAGCAGCCGTATGCTTCCTGACGCGATTATTTTTGTTTACTTATCCGAGATCCCTAAATCCTATGATTAATAGCAACTCTCAACGCTATAATGGAAAAAACTGCATCATCGAAAAAAATCGTTTTGATCATGCTTTCAATTAGCAAATACCAATAGCTTTTAGCATTTTGTTTTTTCTCCCGCGTGGGCTCTTAAAAACACATCGCTTGCCCAGCTGCAGATGTTGTTGCTTATATCAAGAGCGACTTTCCTGAACGCAAGTTCTACATAAATGTCTAAGTTTGAATTCTACATTTTTCTTAACGTTCTATTTGCAATTACTTTAAGATCGTAACGCAACTTAAATTCTCATTGCTTTGATTATGAGTATTTGAACAGCTTTAACTTCCCTTATAGGGGGTATTGCGAATAATGGATAAACCCTTTTATGTCATAAATGTGATCACAGTAGCAATTCGATTGTGAGCCAAGAAGGCCCAAGCCAAAGAACATCTTCTTATTTATTGACTACTGTCCCTGATTCCCTAATAGCTGCTTAATTGAAAAGATGCAACGTCTTCTAACTTCATGATGCCTTGACAATCACCCTTCAAAGATCGCTAGCATCACGTTGACTTACTCTAGCGACCCCCTTCCCGACTAAACCCTTCAAGCTTGAACATTATAAAATCCAATGACCATGACATGTCTTTTGTCAGTCAGATTTGTACGCTTTCAAATACGTCAATATGGCAGCTTCATTGCTAGGCTCTATTTTTGTCCTAGTATTTGCAGTCAACTCGTAAGTTACTGATTTTTTCAACATTTTACTGCATGTTTTCCTCTGCCTCTAATGTACTTTTCAACTCGCTCTCTATCACAAAACTAACACACTATAGCCTGAAGCATTTAAAATAATAAAAAGAGAAACCAGCGACATACCTAGCCAGAGAAACACTACGTTCAAGTGAATAGGATGCACTCAGTTTTTTCTCCTCCTTTTCATCAATTTGCGAATCATCCGCAGTCTAAACGTGTCTCACCAATCAGGCCTACAGGAATTTAAACTTGTCGAATAGGCAGAATATACCTCTTGCTCTTTGGCACTTGGCAAGACAGCTGGGGACCGTAGTGGTTAACGTTAGTTCAAAGGATAACCTCCAATATTGTAAAATAGTTTGCTATCCCATAGTTTGACTGTTATGGTATTCATTTTGATGCTTTTTAATACTTGCTATAGTATCGTTTACCACTTTTCACGCACGTTTGAAATCTTCTTTGCAGTCGTGGGATATGTTCGAACGACACATTAGTGCTGTAATCTTCTGTCATAATTCTGCCAAGTCAGCTTATGTTCCTTTCATATTCTAGATTTTTGCTGCTAATGATTCTTGGCACAATATTCTATTCCTTTCGGACATTATTTTTGGATTTGAACATGTTGCCTATAGATTCATCAGTACTTCTTGATTCTTCTTTAAATGGTGCCAATGTACTTACACTTTTAGAATCTTCACCAATTCGTCCCTTTCAATATTCAAGCTTGCATTCAATAACCCATTGCTGCATGACAGTATTTTCTTGCCATTTAAACTTTTAACCTAATTAAGCGTTTACACACTTGCTTTCGAGGGCCTATTCTCAAATATGTCGCATCGATCTTGGAATAATTCTTGATGACTCTGGCTCTATAAAACATTGGGGATTTGAGCAGGAGAAAAAATTTATCCGAGATGTAACAAGACAACTTCATGTCTCGTCAAGCAACACTCGTGTTTCAGTGATGACGTTTTCTACTCATCCACGAATGAGAATCTTCTTCCGCGATGGCTCAGCACAAAACTGGAATTCTTTGAACTGGGCTCTTAACGGCATAAGGCATTCGGGTGAGTAGAACGCTTGTTTTTAAGAAAAACAACATGAACAACTTTAAGTTAAGAGAAGTAGATAATTGCTTAATCTGAGTTGGTTCTTTGTTCTCTTGGCACAGATTAAAACTTGAGGTATTTTTTGAGAACTGCTTCTCACTTATCATGCATACAGGGACAAACAACTACAGGAACAAATAACTTCTTTTTGGAAGTAAGACTCATAACGAGAAAGCAAATGAATTGATATTGAAATGCACAGTTGAATACGTCAAGCAAACTCAACGATTTCAATGAATTCTCTTTAGTCGTTGTCTGTTATATCTGGTAGATTGAATCCTGCGGTCCCCTGAACTAACATGATGACCTATACAAAGTTGCATTATGTTCAGTATTGTGCTGTATTGTGCTGTGTTGTTCTGTATTGTGTATTTATAGTGTATTATGCAAAGTTTTGGAATATTTGTAATGTTGGGTGTGAAGGCAACTCGATAACGTTATGTTTTTTGCCTCCATCTCAACAATGATCAACTTGAGTTTTTTGTATTTGTTTTTATTGTGATAAAAAAATAACTTCACCGTTAAGAGAATTCAAAGGATCTTGGAAATTCTTGTATATAGAAGATCCTTACATGCGTTGCTAACAGAAAACTTTTCCGATTGGGATAAGGGGCAATACAAATGAAAACAGAAACAGTTGCAGTTAGAAAACTATTGGGTGACAGGTAATTAGGATCAAAACTGTAAGAAGGAAACTAGCGGATGATATGCCCCCTCCTTCATCTGTAAGACATGACATGGGATTTATAGACAAACATAAAAATAAGAGCCTAGCAAAGTTTCGTGGCGTGTTCTTTGATAAGCTACTATACAAATAAATCCAATTAATCTCGTATATTATTTAACTTTAGGATTAATTTAAAAAAATGCTCAAATGTTGCAATTAAGTCATTAAATTGTTTTAATGGAAGACTACTGTCTTTGCTCTTTGTGTACTAGTCTTGAATATTCATCTACAGGTTATATAGCAAAGATTCTTGAAATGAAATACAAAATTTTTTCTTTTGTAAGCATTCATTGAGTCATAAACGTTAACATAAGCTTAAGCTGTCATGAGCATTCGTTTTTCGAGAAAATGTCTACCACACCAGCCAGGAAAAAATTCCCTTACAACAATCATTTGACGATCCCAATTCTTTCAATACGTAGTTTGAAGGTGTGGAAAACCTCTGTCCCATAATTTACATTTCTAAATAATCATATAGTTATGTAATTACGTTGTGAAAAATCATAAAATCAACTTTGTGCCTAGCGAAGATGCATTCAATGTGCCATTTTTATTGATATTTATGAATCATTCCAGGTGGCTGGACACACACCGACAAGGCTTTGCATTTGGCTCGTAACCAGATGTTTAATCAAGCTTATGGATCAAGGTCAGGAGCACCAAAGGTACTAAAGAATTGTTTGGTTGCTACAATGTGTATTGAAAAGAAGGCCAACGTACACCAACTATTACTTGGCCATTGCAAGTGACTGCAGCCTCTTTCTTATAACTGCCAAAACATGAACTTTGTGCCTAGTCTTGAAACTCAAGTCTTGAAAAATAATCGCCTTTTTTCTTGATCTCCCTTTCCTCAATGTCTTTATGATCGTTAAGTGAATAAAGCAAGCTCCTCCCTACGTAATTTTTGCTAAACAATTAATTTTTGCCTGGATGTAAGATTTGCACTAACGTGAATGAAGGTCATTTAAATGAATGGAAGAATTCTCGATGATCTTTCATAATCGAAGCTCTAGATTTGGTTGTCTAGCATGTCTACAAGCGTTAACACATTTATAGGAAATTCAAGGTTCTTTGAAGATCTATCACAAATTAGATAACTGATGTTCCGGCTTGGCTAATAGGTATTACTGCTGATGATCTGATAGTAAGAAAACCTTTCCTCATTTGGTTTGTCTCAGAGTGGTTTAAATTGATTTAATTGCTTTACATGTAGGATTATCTTATGTTTTTTCGATAAATATTTAATGACGTCATTACTTTATCGCTCTTTTGCTAAATACGGGATGCAACATGGTGTGATCGCCAGCCTACTGGAGGCAAACTCGTTTTATAGAGAAATTGTCTGACTGGCATCGCAAAATGTGATATGCAAATTTTGAAATTAAATGAAAGTTCAAGGTTTTGAGAATTCAAAGAAAGTTTCGGAATCAACATTATGCTTATTGCAAGCAGCAATAATGTGCCCTTTAACTGTCAGTCTCCATTATTCTAACTTCATTTCAATTTATAAATAGACTTTAGTTAAAGAAAAGCTACAAATACATGCGTTCATATTTTCTGTTTACAAATATGCTAGATGCTGCTGCTGCTCACAGATGGCAAAAGTCAGTCTGGCCACTCAAAGCTCTCTTATGCTGCAACTCTTCTGAAAAATAACTTCGTAAACATTATAAGCATTGGCGTTGGCTACTCTGTACGACGAAGCGAGCTGGAGCTGATTGCATCTAGGCCAATCCACCAGCATGTCTTCCAAGTACGAGATGCAGGAGCGCTGAATAGAATCGTCAACACCGTGAGAACAGAGGCGTGCAAACGTATGTAACATAAAACTGGCATAGTCTAGAAGACGTGTAAATTAGACCACGTAACCTGGTGATACATCAAGAGCAAAGCAATGGGAGCCATTAAAAAATTACACCTCTTAAAATTCTAAAAGAAAAAATCCTTTAAACTATTCTCTATACTTAACAGGATCATTTAAAGAAAAAAATTGTTGAATATCTTTTACAAAAAACTTGATCATGTTAAATTTTCAAGGACATCTTTACATATCTTCGTGCCATGTAAAACGTGTTGAATATTGTTCTGATTACAATGTATCTCCATGAAGACTTTAATAATGCATTATGTAGATGACTCAATATCGTTAAAAGTCAGTGCTTTTATTGTCAAAATCCACATTTTCTGGTTCAAGCTAGAACGTTAAATTGTTTTTTAAGAATGCAGTTTTTAACAGATATCATTTGATGTGCAACAAGCACCATACCTGCTACTACAAGCAGCAAACTTTATGCACCTTGAAGGAAAATGATTAAACTAACATTAAATCATATTTTCAATGTATTATGAGTGTTCATATTTGTGTTTGCAACTATCTTGTTTTTGAAGGTAGAATTTAGGACACTAAGAAGCTATGCTTATCGAGCAGTGTCCGGGTCCTTCCTCTCAATGAGACCACACCTCGTGATCCATACGCCCGGAGTTACAGAAAGGCTAGTGACTCCCCTCAGTCTAAGCGAAATTTTGGTCACGTTAGTGAGTCGAACTACAGTCCCTTCGATCTGCATAGCCATCCTCCCATTTATATTTTGCATGTTAGCTTGACTTGTTCAATGAGGAAAACATAACTCATGATACTCGTATTGATCCCCCGTAGCTGTTACTTGCTGGTATATCGAATGCATTTACAATGAATGGTCTGCTTGGAGCAGAACATGCGAGACAGCAACGAGAACGAGGTCTGTGCGCCAGCAAGTCAGAAAATCAAAGATGGTTGTCGGTGGCTGCGCAGGGCTAAATGTGCAGAAATGTCAACCCAAAAGCGAAACAAAGAATCTTGGCTATTGCCTCCGTAAGTGCAAAACATTAAGACTCTGTGTATGTTTATTGAGTTTTGACGACTAATATTATTTAATTGAAGGAAAGAAATTCTCTTCCAGAACATCTCTGGTCTTTGGCTAATCAAAATTTTAGAAATGTTTACAAATATATACCACACAATTCATGAAGATATATTTTCTCGTATATTCTTCGTGTGATTTCCTTCTAGTAGCATAACAAACATTAAGACATATTTTACAGTATGGGATTCCAAGTCCTGTAAGCCCACAACTGTTTGTATTCATTTGTTTCTTTCTGTGCACAGATTTGTTAATGCTCGCGTACTTAATGGCAATCTGTCTCGTTGTGGATTGGTTAACGAGAACAATAGCTGGAACAATAGCCTAAACACGATTCCAGCGCTCCGCCATATTTTTTACAATGCAATGAATTAAAGGGGGACTGGAAACAATAAAAAATCCCTTTGTTCTTATAATCAATCAATGTCGTGACAGATTGCCTTTAATTGTGTAGAAGTACAGAACAGCCAGTTTGGATCACGTTTAACAACATAGTCAAAAATGTATCAAAAGACAACGTCAATTCAACGCAATTTGAAAGATATGAGAACAAAGGCGACGTTTTCAGCCATGCCAAATAGAATAGTATTTCTATCTTTTAAGGGAGAGTAAATTATCCCTTATCAAATAGGAAGGAATGTTTCTCTAACTGCTCTAAAATACCTTTGATACAATGAATTACTGTGCATTTCCTTTGCATTTTTACACTAGTGTCTTTTTACAGAGAAATGCAAGTACGTGAAATGCCTGTGGGCACAATGGAGTCCATGGTCAGCCAGTTGTGGTAGAGCGACAAGGCAGCGAAGTATCAAAGCGGACCCTGCTACGACTGAGAGACGAACCTGCCAAGGATTACCTCAAAGATGCTACGAAAGACCACAAACAGAAAATAAGATTACCAAATGTGAGCTGCAAGAGATTTTCTGCATTCAAGTAGACCTTTGATAGATTTAAATAGCCTACAGATATGCCAAAGTAACCATGGTCATTTACACTTATTTTTTATACAAAACCGTTTATTAGAAACAAAGCCCTAAGATGACCATAACATATAAGAATCTATAGTGCTGACCACCCTTGGTTTCAAGAATCTGCTTGTAAATCGTTTTTTAAACATGGCGTTAAGATTATCACTGATTTCAACAACAACAAAACAATAAACTGAGTGCTAATTCTGAGCTTGGTTTTAGTACGCTCAATTTTAATTTGAGGATTAATTTATCTATCTTACTTCTCAACTTAACTCAAACAAAGCGGGTCTTAACTTTGGCAAAGTCTGACTATAAACACATCTTGCCAAAGATTATCATAACTGTCATAAAGCAAAAGTGGTTTCATTAAAGAAAACGAGCTAGATGGAACCAACTGGCATCTGAAACTAAATGTAGCTCAAGACACAGAGCTGCGGATTACCATAGTTGAAGAGCACCATGTTCCACAACGAAATTGCATGGATACATGCTGGTTAACACATAAAATGTGTTTTGCTTTGGCAATCAACTTTCTTTCTGAGTTACAACAGGATCTGATATTCTTCATCCTTGCACAACCTATGTCCATCATTTCCTCAGACAGCTGACGGAAACTGATGGTTGTATCTTTGAACTAATGCCGAGCAGATGAGATGAATTTAGGGAAATGCTGAGACAGAAGTGTTGAAATGTAAGGAAAGTTCTGCTAAAATGCAAAAAAGAGACAGGCTTAGAAGATTAGATCGTTGCTCTAACTTATGCGCATATTCACTAAATTGGCACTCTCGTGTAAGTGGCTTCCAACCATGTACGGTTGGTGTGATGACATTGTGCCTACTTCCCTTCACAGGTACATGCAAATATGTTGAATGCAGTTATGGGCAATGGTCCCGATGGTCGACGTCTTGTGGAGATGGGCGACGCACGAGACAGATGAATACGATACAAAAAACGACAGAAAGGAATAACTGTGATGGCCTACCTAAAACATGCACAGGAAAGCCACAGGTTGAGACAAGGACCGAACTGTGTATGTATTCGTGCACAGATTTGATGTTTATAGAAAAACCTTCAGGCAGCTGCAGTTTTTGGGAGTGGGAGAATTTCCATTTAAGGAAAGGATCTTGTCGTACAGCACAATGTCTACGCCTTTAGCTTGACATTGTAAAGACTGTTTTGGGGTTTGTTGATTTGATCGGTCCTTTCCTGTGCCTGTTTTACAAATAGTCCAATATGATAAGAAAAGAAACTCTTTACTTTCTCTTTTTATTGCGGTATGATAAAAAATTGGTCGTGGTTTCTATGTTGTTATGTCTTGTAAGTTTGATGCAAAGTTGCCGAACTTTGTCTAAAACAAGTAAGAATCTTGCTGGCAAGCATTTTTGGCATTATTTAGGTACATGCAAGTATGTTGAATGCAAGTATGGATCTTGGTCTCAATGGACCACAAGTTGCGGAAAGGGTGAAAGAGCCAGAAAGTTCCAAGCAATTTCAAAAACAAAGAGAGCTAAAAGCTGTGACGGACTACCTCAGACATGTTCTACAACCCCAGAAGTGGAAAAGAGAACAAAGTTGTGTAAGTACTTGCAATATGTTACTATTTTTGAAACGCCGTCGCGCAGAACTGTTTCTATCTATCCCGGGAATGATTTCTCACAAGCTCAGTGGCAGGCGACGTTCGCTTTCTCAGACCTGTTTTTTCATCTTTAAAGATCTTGGCGTGGTTTCGAAATGTTAGTTTTTGCTGAAGAAGCAAAATGCCGAGAGCATGATTTGCAAAAAGCCAGCTGCCGCTGATGACGTCACATTCAATGAAATGTTAAAGTAAAATTCAACAGTACAACAGAAAAAGTAACATTTCTGGATAGACGAGGCTATTGATGCGTCAATGGTTTTGCAATACCTTGATGACTTGAAAAAACCTCTTAGAAAACCTTCCGCAAGGAAACTCAAAAATACTTTTCTCTAAATTTTGGTTCTTTCTCTCTAAACGTATGACCGGTTTTAGTTATCTGGATCGCTTGGAAAATGCCAAAAAGCAAAGAAGGGCCATGTATATGATAATGCCTTCAATGATAATGGCACCTGCTAAAGATAACCATTTTGCTGAACAAGCAATTAAGACTCGTCATTAAGACTCGTGAGAATAGAAGCAAGGCTGTCGGCAAAGGATGAAAGAGAAATACAAAGAAACCTCCAGGAGCATATTTTAGACAAGAGTGTAGCTTTTAAAAATCAAGGATAGAAAATCTCTTAGGGTACATAATTGTGGAAAGAATTAATCACCTAGTATGTCTTTTCTGCTTTAGTTAGGATTACCCTGACTGCTTCTCTGCTCTTTTAGCTGTACCTGAGAATCTTTAAAATCAACTTATCAGTGAAACATAGACAATATAGCTCTTGTTAAAAAAAGCCAGTGAAATTAATCTATTACCAAATAGGCACATGCAAATATGTCGAATGCCCGTATGGACCATGGTCTGAATGGACCACCTCTTGCGGAAAAGGACAAAGAGCAAGGAAAAGAAAGCCAAGCCCTAAAACAAAACAAGCTGCAAGTTGTGATGGTCTTCCACAAACATGCTCTGCTAAAACTGATGTTGAAACGAGAACAAATATGTGTGAGTCTCTTTGCAAGCTTTCAGTGAACAAATATCAGCAAAAGTAATCGTCATTATTGCTTAAAAGCCGTCACTAGTAATGAAAAGTCACATCTGGAACAACCCACTTGGACCCAATCCGGGAAATGTACGGAGCAAACATATTGCCAATGACATTGTTCCTATTTGTGTGACAACATGTGGTAAAAATGCCGATTCTGTGCACGCAATAGAGTTCAAAAAAAAGAAAAGGCAACATGTTCGCAAATTTGCACCATTGTCGTTGATAAAGTAAAATTAGGTGACTCAAAAATGTATGAGAGACATAGAGCCCGTAATTCGCCTAACTTGACACAAATCATATCTTGGGATATTTTGAAACTTAATGCTAGTTTCTCACTACAGCCACGAAGCTCCCTAAACAAACACTTCCATACTGTTACCAGATGTTTGTTTTAATAAACCAATAAAGCAAGTTTTTACCAATTAGGCACATGCAAGTATGTCGAGTGCCCGTATGGACCATGGTCTGAATGGACCACCTCTTGTGGAAAGGGACAAAGAGCAAGGAAAAGGAAGCCAAGCCCTAAAACAAAACAAGCTGCAAGTTGTGATGGTCTTCCACAAACATGCTCTGCTAAAACTGATGTTGAAATGAGAACAAAAATGTGTGAGTCTCTTTGCAAGCTTTCAGTGAACAAATATCAGCAAAAGTAATCGTTATTATTGCTTACGTAAAAGCCGTCACTAGTAATGAAAAGTCACATCTGAAACAGCCTACTTGAACCCAATCCAGGAAATGTACGGAGCAAACATATTGCCAATGCCATTGTTCCTATTTGTGTCACAACATGTGGTAAAAATGCCGATTCTGTGCACGCAATAGAGTTCAAAAAAAAGAAAAGGCAACATGTTCGCAAATATGCACCATAGTCGTTGATAAAGTAAAATTAGGTGACTCAAAAATGTATAAGAGACATAGAGCCCATCATTCGCCTAACTTGACACAAATCATATCTTGGGATATTTTGAAACTTAATGCTAGTTTCTCACTACAGCCACGAAGCTCCCTAAACAAGCACTTCCATAGTGTTACCAGATGTTTGTATTAATAAACCAATAAAGCAAGTTTTTACCAATTAGGCACATGCAAGTATGTCGAGTGCCCGTATGGACCATGGTCTGAATGGACCACCTCTTGTGGAAAGGGACAAAGAGCAAGGAAAAGGAAGCCAAGCCCCAAAACAAAACAAGCTGCAAGTTGTGATGGTCTTCCACAAACATGCTCTGCTAAAACTGATGTTGAAACGAGAACAAAGATGTGTGAGTCTCTTTGCAAACTTTCTACAGAAATGGCAGAAAGCATAAAATCGTATTGAAGACGTCTTACGTGTTTTGGAGTCGATCTACATACCAACGAAAAAGCCGACATTGAAAAGACAGAGGGAGTTCGTTTTCTCTCTTGGACTCCAGTCGCAATTTTTCTTTATGCTCTGATTGGTCAACTATACTCCTGAGTCGCAATTTTCTGACTTTATGCTCGCAGCACTGATTGGTCAACTATACCGGTCTTGTGCTAGCGTTTTTCTGATTGGCCTATTTCGATCCACAACTGGGTATATATTTTTCATCGTGTTCTTTCGGACCCTGATTCTGACGTTTTATGCTCTGAGGAGTGTCAGACGAAAAAGCTTTTAGTATGTCGTAAACTGTTTGCTTTTTTCAAAACCATTTTCAAAGAAATCCATGATACGTATCAAGTCAATGCCAACTTTGCTATATACTTTGAAAGCAGTGCCCCAGGGCAACGAATTAGACCAATCAAATTCAAAAGAACAACCAATTACTAGTTGGGAGGTAGGTCTTGGCCAAGGCGATCTCAATCAGAAAATGGGTGTGGTTAACATACCCCTACATTGTTACAGTGGACGACTTGTCTGCTCTTCAAGTGGTTTCTATGCCGCGTTACCTCATTGTAAGTGACTCATTTACCTTCATTTGCATAGGTACTTTAGTTTTGAAGACAAGTATGACAATAGCGCTATAACCCTTTACATTTACTATGTAGGTACTTGCAAATACGTTGAATGCCCATATGGACCATGGTCTGATTGGACAACAACCTGTGGAAAGGGACAGAGAAGTAGGAAAATGCAGCCAAGCCCAAAAACAAAACAAGCCGAGAACTGTGATGGGCTTCCACAAACATGTTCAACAAAACCTGACATTGAAGCGAGAACCAAAATGTGTAAGTTTATTTTGGGTGTTTAGATAAGAGAAAAATTATTTTTATCGATTTTCTGTAGTAACATACAGCAATTGATTTCTAGCTTTTACCGAGATGCAACTAATTGCCTTCTGATTTCTCTGCTTCTATATTTTATGTTGATTTTCTAGTGGGCAGATGTTATACAGATTGCGAAACAAGCCTTTTCCAGTTTCTAGTTTTTAAGTATGATTATAAAGCAAGAATTTATTTCATTGTTTGACATACTGGGCATTTAGAGAAAGTCTAGAACCACTTATTTAGAGCAAGTGTAGAAAACCTGCCGGTCTTGTAGGATTACTAATAGCAAATCCAGGACAAGCCAAGGAGCCAAGGACTACTCAGAGCAAATGCTGGACCAGGTTGCTGGTCTTGTAGAACCTTTTCGATTGAGATACTTAAACAATTGGAGTCTACTTATTGATCCTTTGATTAATTTTTGATTGTTATTTTTCTGTATTTTTTGACCTGGCCTTTGGCTATACAACATTTCAAAACCCATGGCATGACAGATGAAATTATGAAAAGATAAGGAGTTGCAATTTCTGATTAAGAAGGAGGTCGTTCTTTCGAAGGTGGATTCTCTCGTAGATTTAGACTTGTTTAGACAATTTATCTGAATGCTCATGAATTGATTTCATCTAATGTCTTTTTAAAGAATTCTATGATATAAATACACAATTTTGCCAAGGGCAACTGTGTTTAATTGATCTTCATCCAAATACAAGATACAGGCTATCAGAAACTTTGGAATGGATTGTCTCTTGGTCACGTTTACCATACACTTTAAAGGCTGTCCTTTTCTCTTGCAATTCATAGTTGAAAATTTCCTATAACATAGGTTCATGTAAATATGTTGAATGTCCATATGGACCATGGTCTGATTGGACAACAACCTGTGGTGATGGACAAAGAGCAAGGAAAAGGAACCCAACTCCTCAAAAAAAGGAAGCTGAGAGTTGTGATGGGCTTCCACAGACATGTTCAACCAAACTTGAAGTTGAGAAAAGAACCAAGAAGTGTAAGCATTTAATGTTCATATGTACAGAGCAAATAGATTGCTTTAAGTCATTAAACTTGACTTAAATGAATGTTTTATGGAAGTATTTACAAAAATCGACGATTTCATTTTCTATATTTATTGCAGAAATTTTATTTGTGCTTTTGGGCTTCCCCTTAGACCACTCTCATTCAATGGATTTGATAGAAACTTGGAAAACCTTTCTGAAGCTATTTCGGGTAGAATATGTGTAAAGTATTTTAGATAACCTTTTGAGGCTATCGTTTTTTGTATCTAGCTATAAAATGTACACGCCAATCATTGTTATCGTTCAATTTGCTTGTAACCTGATACTTCATAAAAAACAGCTTTTGGTATTGGAAATGAGACCCTTCTAGAAGAGATGTGTGGTCTACTAGCATCCACACAAATGCTTTCGTTTGGGTATTCATACAATGTAATTTTGTAACTGTCAATACCTATAGTCAATAAAAAGTCTCCTTGCTGAAATAGAAAAGTTTCTAGGCTCCAAACACTGGACGTATTCTACAAGTAAGATTGCAAACTTTGCTGAGCTGGAGGAAACATTAAATAAATTTTTTAGACCTAAGAATAAGAACCCTACTACTAGTCCTAGAGAAGGCTTAATATTCCCAAACGATGCTACAAGTAAGATATGCTCGTGTACATGCTCGAAACGCTGTGTTTTCAATTATCAAACTAATTTATTTTATTCTGGTACTCACTTTATTTGCTAACTATATTATCGTTTCTTTGGATGAAGTATCATACGCAATGTACATACTTAATATGAAAAGTTTCCGAATTAAAAGGTTCCTCCCAAACAATTTCCCATCGTAGGCCAATGTGACTTTGTAGAGTGCAAATACACGGAGTGGTCTGAATGGACGCCGAAATGTGGCAAAAATATGGCGAGAAAGAGAACTTTACAGACTATCAAGAAGACAATTGAGAAAGAAAGCTGTGATGGACTTCCACAGACTTGCATTGGAGATGCTGAGCAAACCGAGAAAAAGGACGAGCTGTGTAAGAAAATTCTTCTTTTTTCCAATAAATGTTATCTTCAAAGAGGGATTTTTCTTGATGAAGTCAAGTGCTCTATGGGTAGATTACGTTAAACCTTGCTTCCAGTGGTTCATGTCGCAGATTTTTAAACTCATTGTATTTTGATCGACAATTAAGCTAGACTTTTTGTCTTCGAGCTATGCCTAAAACTTCATTAGCTCAGTATGCATCCAGATCATATTTTGTTGCACATCAAGCTCAGAATGCAATTGCAATTTTAACGATTCACAAGCTGCATATTATCTGTCTTTTCAGCACTCAAAGACAGGTGTTGCTTATTATAATACCATCTGCAGATCTGACTCATTTGCTTTGCTTCTTGCCATAATGTCAAACTACACTGAGAAAAGCCAAACATTTTGACTGCATTTTTGGCTACCTTAAGAAACAAATCAAAGTCTCAATTCACCAAAACAAAAAATAATTGACTTTGGTTCATTCTAGGTGAATGTGACACAGTCAAATGTGTTCAACAATGGAGCGCCTGGTCAGCGTCTTGTGGCTTAGCAACAAGAACTTTGAGATTCGTTAAGGTTCCAATCAAAGTAAAAAAAGAATCATGCGAAGGGCTGAAAACAACATGTCCCAACGTGACCGAGACACAAACTGATGACCTTTTCTGTAAGTTTATATCCGAATATGTTCGAAAACATTTTCCATATGGAAGGGAGCAGTCTGTCTGACGAGCAGCGATTAGGATTTGAGTCTCAAAAAAGAGATCGTGTTCTTACATAGCACAAATCTTTAACCCATAGCAAATCTTTAACTAAAAATAAGAACGCTTAATACATTTATATATCCAATGCTGCTTTACAATTGCGAGATCTGGACCTTAACCAAGAAATTGGAAGAAACTCTCGATATCTTTCAAAGAAAACTGCTACGTAGGATGCTAAACATCAAATTAATGGATAAATTAAGAAATGAAGAAATATATAAAAGATCACATCAGACAACCATCACAACCGAAATAAAGAAACGGCGATTAAACTGGCTTGGGCACATGTTAAGGTTGCCAGAAAGAACACCAGCAAAATTAGCTTTCAGAGAACATTTGAAAAAAGTGAAGGATAATCGGGGAAGACCAAAACAGACATGGATCAGACAAATGAATAAAGACCTGAAACCAATGAATAAAGCAGTGGATGAACTAACTAAGAACGATTATGAGCGAAAGGAATGGAAGAAAACAGTGGCAAGGCTAATGTCTTGAATTAAGACGGAAGCGCCAGTAAGAAGAAGAAGAAATCTTTAACTCCTCCTTTGGGGAGAAATTGATAAATCCACTCTTGCTTAAACATGAGAGCTACGCTATTGATCTCTATAGGTTGAATTCACAGTGTTTAGGATAGTAGCGATAAGATTGGCACTGAACCCTTCATAGACCTCTGTCCAAAGGGGTCCCTTTCAATATTGGATCTTGCAAAACGGATCACGCTCCTGCAAATAGAAATTATGATGATTCCGTTAGATATAACTTTGTGCTTTATTGCATGAAATATATTTACTCTAGCAAACTCAACTGGGTACATTAGTTTTATCATAATCCGCTACTTGCAAATAGAGAATGTGATATTTATTTGACACATTAGAAACATGCCAGTAGGTCATTGGAAACACGTGGAGATAAAATTGCAATCAAGGCATTTCTACTTTATGTGTTTTGCATAATTATAGACTCGAAAATTGCTTTGTCTTCAAAGCATTCTGTTTCTTTATCAGGTGAGAAGACACAGCCTCCAGTTACAACAGCTCCTCGTAAGTATTTCCTTTTGATTCAGATTCCCGTAGCAGAAGTTGATAGGGACCTGGGCCTGCTAAACAGGTATCATTATAAAGTTAAACTATGAGTCTTCGAAGTTTTCAAAACTGAAATACACATGATTGTCACGCATCTAATTGACGTCAAAACGCACCAAGTAGTTTGAATAATGGACTTTTGAGTGTCCTATCCAATACTGAAACTTTTTTGCAGTGGCTCGAGTGTAAAAACAGGAAATATATACAAATCTCATCTCCTTTTTCCTACAAAGCATCTACATGATTTCTGTATTAATTAATTTACTTGCTTTCCAACAGCATCTGATGCGATTTGTGGAGCAGGATACAAACCAATAGGCTGCTTCAAAAGCAATAAAGAAACCCAAAATGCCTTCAGTGAGATTCTATTCGTGGAAAGACATGTGAAGAGCAAAACCTTTAGTTTCCACGATTATCTCTCAAGCTTCGTTTGCAGATGTGCAACCAAGGCTAGATTCAGAAAATTCAACTTCTTTGCGGTGTCATCAGAAGGTGCGTCTATGTTTGATATCAGTTAAATATTTAAGGATATTGATATCAGGGCTTTTAGGTAGATGATGTACGAAACAATTGCTTTTTATCTATCTTAAAAGTATGAAAGAAGAATAGAGCCTGTGAGTCATCCGAAATGATGGTAACACTTGATAGAATCTTTCATCTCAGGATATGAAAATGCTTCTTTCTTTTTTAATGTTTCTCCAATCACTATAATACAAAAGAAAGTTGCAAAATGCAAATTTGCTCTTTATAGGTAGTACAGTGCAAGCTTTATCTTATAGATAGCACAGTGCAAGGCTTTTATATACCTTATACTTATATATTACACGAAAATAACACGGTACACCAAATAACGCTGAACAAGTTAATGCGATCACAAATTAACGCGAATAGCGAGATTGGACATCAAAATATATGGTCATTAACACAAATCAAGAAACTCAAACATCCAAATGGTATTTAATTAATGCGAATTTTCAAATTCAGTAATACTTTTTTCATTAGTCTCACTTTTTACAGTTGCATAAAAAGTAAAAGTTGGATGAAATTAATGGGCGTTTATTCAACGCTAGACGTTAAAGAACGCACGAGAAATTTACGCGGATGTGAAATTAATGGGATTTTGATTAACACGGAGTTTTTCCATTCACTTTAATTAATGTACAACTTTATTCTCGTGCAATAAGGTGCTATTTATGCTTAAAATTGCTAAACTTGAAGCTTTAGCAATGACTATAAGGCTGCTTGAATCATTCAGGTCAATGTCTGGGTGGAAAAGATGACGATGACAGTTGGAGTAAACACAGTGCTGTTGTTGCGAAGGAGTGCAACAATTCATATCATCAACAGTGCAGTGAGGCGACACCAATCTGCTTTGGAGCTGAGCAAACCCTCTTTGCGTATAAAGTAACCAATTAAAGTACACTTAAACATTAATATTTACACGATTCTTATTTGATTTAACAATATAAAAATGATTGCGTCAAAGCAATGACTTGAATGCAGAACTTGAGTTTCTTTGCTCAGCGTCGTCTTTTAGGCAAGCAAAAATGTCACTGGGACAAGCAAATAATGAAGGGAAAACTAGAAGCATGATTCTATCTAACAAGCATGAGTCATCTTTGGTCTCAACAGAATCTTACATAGTTTGTGAAATGCAAGTGTAAGAATAAATCGTCACTAGCGTTGCACAAAGATGAGGCATTGTCCCCTTTCTGTTTATCATTTTTGGCAGAATTACAAGATTTGAAAAAGACCAAAATGACTCAATAACAGAAGCTAGTTGGAATTGGGATTAAAAATTTAACAAGAGGCTGCCGGAGGGCAGCGAAAGTCTAAGAACAAATCATGATCATGTATGTGTGTTTCGAATTATGGTTTCTAAACAAAGTAAAGGCAGAAAGTTACCTAAATATAGTTTGATCTAAATCATATAAAATGATTGCAAATCATGCAAAATTCTGGCTGTCGCAATCGGCAACGAAGGTAAATGCATACACGCGTTTGAAATTGTCAAAGAATTTGCAATTAAGTTAAAGAACACTGTTGTTTTGGTGGTGTTCAGATTGACGAGAATTCAAAGTGTGATGCTAATATCCACAAGGTCTGTAAAAAGCAGCCAAGTTTCCGATATTCTAAGAATCTATGGGTGACAGAGAAACAAGGATAATTCTGGTTCTTTTATACTACGTCGTTTTAATTATGACCCATAAGTCTAGACGTTATATGAAAAATGAGACCAGCTTGAAAAATTTGGCGATCAAGCAGTACGACTAGCCTACTCGAATTCTTCGTCTTTGTACAATGATTTACTTGCTAACTCGAAAAAACTACCATAACGATTAAATCACTCAGAGTATTGGCACTGAAGTATATAAAACACGTGGCAACTTTGATCCTAACATTATGATGGGTCATTTTGTTTAAAAACCTTGTTTACATCTAATGTCAGATTCATCAATTATTGCATCAGACCGTTAAGTTTCCAAGAGTCAGAAATCTTTCAGGAATTCACTACCAGAATCAATGTAAAAAGCGCAAAATACCAAGCAGTTGAAAAATGTTCTTTAAACTTGGTCCCTTGAAAATAAACACTCATGTTGCTTTTGTCGTAAAAAATTTATCTGGTACAATCCTTTTGATTGCCTTATGTCTGTGTAAATTAATGCATATTCACTTTTGTAGAAAATAGCATTAAATGGTATATAGAATGCAAAACAATGCTTAACGATACCAGAAGATAAAATGTTGGTTGGAATAAACCTAAGCATATTTTTAATGGAAAGTTTGCCATTTTTACTAGTCGGTGGATGTCAAAAGCTTTCTTGGCTGAGCCTTACAGTCACAAGGATAGCATCTCAAAATGGCTTTCAAAGATTCACTTAAACAACAACATTCTTGGCAAGATTCTTACAGAATTAAAAAAACCAAGCTTTTCTCTACAACTAGATAATCTTGCTAATAGCTTATTCCATATCATGCTTTCGCTTTAAGCGTTTTTACAAAAAAGATTATCCTGGTGTTATGAAATTTCTGGCAAGACGAAGTTTATTAGCAGAAAAGCCCTGAAAAGCTGTCATAACTGTTTCATCTTTTATCTCCAACAATGAGAATACGACGTCTTTGTCATTGCCTTTTTATGTAGTGATTTTTATGATGTCAGACTAAGATCAGTGGTTTGCAACTTCGCGCAAACATCTTTATCTCTACATAAGTGGAAAACTTGCTCTTAGCAGAAGTCCTTAGATCTTGATTCTCTACGTAACGAGATGTAATATTGTAGAAATATTTGTATCATTTTTTTTAATTGTAGACCGAACTATTCGTGCAACACTTTCTTGCCTTGGTTGTGACATATGTCAAGTATTCTGTTATATGCTCAACTCACAATTGACTATGAATTAACCTGGTGTGCTGGTGTAAAATAAAGCATATATATCATTGACTCCAATTATTACTTTAACAACTCATAATAAACTTAACATTATTTGAATAAAACAATTGAATCATTATGTGAATAAACCAGTATTTTTTCTATTTTGCCATCACAGTCACATTTACTTCATTTCATCTCAGTTTTGAATGTTCATTTTAAGTATTTATTTCATTTTATGGAAATTCTTTGGCGATTTTGTTCATACTTTTTTCTAATGATTCCTGAAGTTTCCAAATTCTCAATTTTGTGTTGTCTTAAAAAACACTGATGACACATCATCAAGATGATATCATCTCTCAATAGCTCAATGCGTTGTAGCATGGTCAAATTGTGACCGCTTCCACAAGAATAATCTTCTTCTGATGGTGCTTTCATTTCGAAAAACTGGAATGCTTTAAGTTTTTGCAGAGCTGCAGATGTTGTTGACAGTTTTGAGAGCAACAGTTTAAACCCAAATCATGCATTAATGTCCAATTGACATTTCTACAACCTTCTTAGCAATCTCTTTACATTTACTTTGAGACTGTAACGCATCTTTAGCTCTTAGTGCATTGATAATGAGTATTAAACAGCTTCAACTTCCCTCTCAAAGGGGTATTGCAAATATAGGTTTAACCCTTTCTCTTACAACTCTGAATATTCAAAAACTCTGATTGTGGAATCTTGAAAACTAACATAAGAATGACCTATCATCTGTCGTCTTTTCACTTTCCATGATTCCCTTTTAAACAGTTTTTTGGCGGTACATAATTTGAAAATGGCTTTGAAAAGCAAACATCTCACAACATGTTAACTAAAAGCTTTTTCATCTGACACTCCGCAGAGCATAAAATGTCAGAATGATTCCCTTTTAGTTGTCTAAATTGAAAAATGGAAATTCCTCAAATTTCATTACGCCTTGAAAATCCACCTTCGAAGCTGGCTTGCATTTGATTGATTTGCTGGTGCTACCCCCTATATTCTCATCTTCACCCCAACATGACACTCCAAGACTTGCTTTTATAAAGTCCACTTTCTCATTAAGTCAGCAAGATCTGTATGCCTTCAAGCAAGTCACTATGGCAGCTTCATTGCTAGGCACAATTTTTGTCTTCACATTTGCAGCCAATTCATTCAACTATATCTCTCATTTTTTGTCTATTCTGTCTATGCATATTCTTCTTTTATCCTTGGAATACCATTCAAACCCATTATTTTTTTCACGGCCAAAACCCATTCACCAAGGAGATTCACAAATGCATCTCAGCCGGAGAAATGGGGCTAGTTTAATCAAGAAGAGAAACAAGCAATCTCTTCAAGAGTTATCACGTTTTTCTTGCAGGGCCTACTCTCAAATATGTCGCATTGATCTTGGAATAATTCTGGATGATTCTGGCTCTATAAAACACTGGGGATTTGAGCAGGAGAAAAAATTTATCCGAGATGTAACAAGACATCTTCATGTCTCGTCAAGCAACACTCGTGTTTCAGTGATGACGTTTTCTACTCATCCACGAATGAGAATCTTCTTCCGCGATGGCTCAGCACAAAACTGGAATTCTTTAAACTGGGCTCTTAACGGCATAAGGCATTCGGGTAATGATTTTCTTTTCTCGTGGGTGTAGTGCTATGTAGTTTGTGAAAGTGCAGTATAAATTGAGGAAAATAAAAAGAGGAGTCTTGGGCTTTAGAAAGGCAAAACGCTTTTTTGTTGGGTTTATTCTCGATTCTTTTTTTGACAGTCATTGTTTAAGTCTAGTCTCTGTCTCTTTCACTATTTAATGTACAGCAGTAGGACAATATTGTGCTTATGTGTATGTATTGTATCATTTAGAAAGGATAAGACCATCTTGAATATCGAATAGTTTATGGGCCCTCCTAGAGAACTCTAACTATGCCATTCATATGTACAATATGTTTATTTTGTCTATTTGACAACAATTATCAACTGAACTGCATTTTACCCATCGCAGGCGGTTGGACAAACACTGACACTGCTTTGCATTTAGCACGAACCCATATATTAAATCCAGTTTTTGGGTGAAGACCTGGAGCACCAAAGGTACTGAGCGATTGCTTGATTGCCACCTATGAAGTGGAAATTTAAATAGACCATGCTCCCACCCGTGTATTTTCTGTATTTATACAAACGCTTTTCTTTGACATATCTTTAGCGTAAATCATTGTTTAAGCCGTCACTTTGATAACTAAAACAGTTACAGTTCTTCCTTCTTAACACAGTTTTATCTCACGGAGTCATGATAAAGACAGTCAGTTTGGATGAAAGTGCTGTGTATCGTGCCTAAGGAACAATATGACAGTGGAGACTAGCATTAAGTTGAGACTTTATTGTTGTGGAGAATAAATTTAGTCAAAAGTAATACCATTTTTATATCACATCATTTTTCTGTTTCACTACCTCTAAATCCAGACTGCTCAGCTTGTAATAAATGCCACTTAATAGCACATCAGGAGCCAGTAACTATCTTCATGGCAAAGAAGTATTTCAATTCGATCCTTTTTTTTAGTACCATTCTGTACCTGCTAGCCAAAACATGGTCTTTTTTGAGTAAAATGTCTTTAATGAAGAATGCTTAATAAACTACTTAAAACGCTTAAAATCTTCTGTTTACAAATGTGCTAGATGCTGCTGCTGCTCACAGATGGCCAAAGTCAGTCTGGCCACTCAAAGCTCTCTTATGTTGCAACTCTTCTGAAAAATAACTTCGTAAACATTATAAGCATTGGCGTCGGCTACTCTGTACGACGAAGCGAGCTGGAGCTGATTGCATCTAGGCCAATCCACCAGCATGTCTTCCAAGTACGAGATGCAGGGGCGCTGAATAGAATCATCAACACCGTGAGGTATTTAATGTTTCTATGTACAAAGCAAATAGAGTGCTTCAAATCCTTAGATTTTCTTTATGTGAATGTTTTCTGGAGGTTTCTACAAAAATCAACAATTTTACATTCTATATTTATTGCAGAAATTTTAATTGTGCTATTGGGCTTTCCCTTAGACCACTCTCATTTACTGGATTTAATTGAAACTTGATTGTAATCTGATATTTCATAAGAAACAGATTATGAGGCACTTTCGCACTGGAAAGAAAAGGTATGTGGTCCACTAGCACCCAAGAAAATGCTTTCTTTCGGTATTCAAGCAATGTAATTCTGTGACTGTCAATCATTTTAGCCAATAAAAAGGACCCTTCATTGAAATAGTAGAGCTGGGTGTGTTCTACAAGTAAGATTGCGAAGTTTGCTGAGTCGATGACACAAAAATCTGCAAGAAAACCTTGAATACATTTTCTTGACCTGAGAATAAGACAACCTTCTACTAGTTCTAGAGAAGGCTTAATATAAAAAGTTTTTGAATTTAAAGGCTCTTCCCAAACGATTTCCCATCGTAGGCCAATGTGACTATGTAGAGTGCAAGTACACGGAGTGGTCTAATTGGACGCCGAAATGTGGCAAAAATATGGCGAGAAAGAGAACTTTGCAAACTATCAAGAAGACAATTGAGAAGAAAAGCTGTGATGGACTTCCACAGACTTGCACTGGAGATGCTGAGCAAACGGAGAAAAAGGACGAGCTGTGTAAGAATATCCTTTGTTATCTACAAAATGACTTGAAAACGAGAAAAATAATTTTGCTGAAGGCAGAGGCTCTCTGGGTTGACCTGTGAAGTTCTGTAGGTTGAAAATATTTCAGAAGAACTCAGTTTCTCTCTGACCTCACCAAAGTAAATGAAATTTTGAACCCAAATACAAACTAGCTGCTATTACAAAGTTTTGAGACATTAAGATAATATATGTTTTTTCTATGAGCTATTTGAGTTTAAACATTAAAATATATGAGCATTCAAATGGGTTTGTAAGTACATTCAAATTTAAACAGGCATGACGCTGACCCCACCTAATCCCTCATGAACCTAAGCTGACAGTGTCCCTAGCTTTCTTTTCATGTGCGATTACTGTATAAAATTTCCGTTTTGCGCCAAATATAAGCTAATATCCTTTCATGATAGTTCTTAAATCTGAAAAAGTGAAAGCTCCTTATTGGCTTCAACAATGAATAAATTGAAGTAGTAAAAGTCTTTGCAATGAGAGCACTATATTTGCGTTGTCCTTTTCCAGGTGAATGTGACACATTCAAGTGTATTCAACAGTGGAGCGCCTGGTCAGCGTCTTGTGGCTTGGTAACAAGAACTTTAAGATTCATTAAAGTACCAATCAATGTAAAGAATGAATCATGCGCAAGACTGGTAATAACTTGCCCTAACGTGACCGAGACACAAACCGATGATCTTTTCTGTAAGGTTTACTGAGGTTAAGTTAACATACTCAATTGGAATGAAGGTCTTGATCTTGATTATAGCGATCACAACTTTGTGGTTCAGAAGATGGGTTGTAAGAAAACGAAGAAACGGTCTCAAGAATCAAAGGGGCAATTTATTCTTGCAAATTGCGTACATGTGTCTACGAAAACAAAAGGTCTTCCAGGGATTTTCAGATAAAACCATAGGATTTTCTCCAAAGTTATACAGGTTTGCCTCTCGTAGAATCCACATTTGAATAAAAGCAAGATACACCTTCCCGTCTCACAGGATTGTCGCCACTTGAATCGAGCAAAAGATTTATTTTTTGATCCGATGGAGACACAACGGCCATTTGCTCTCGACTCTACCACTAATAGTTCATTATAGCAAGTTCAAAGTTCAATACATTATGACGAAAGAAGGATTAAAAGAATTGAAATTTCATAGGTCTTTTTTTCTTGAATTAATAATAGCACATTGGAACATTATTGTCAAGTAGTAAATAGATCTAGTTTGTACCGATAGCAGATTTTGAATAACTATTTTGGATTGTCAGTCGAATCAAGAGCACTATGTTGTTTGTACCTGTGTCGGTAGTTAGTGAATTACTATTATTACTATTATTCCTATGATCAGAATTTGTGATCAATAAAATGCAAAGCAAGTGATCAAATATCAATCAATCTCTGAGGAATTTTTTTAAGCTTTATCAGTTTCCATTCATATGATTCAATTCTATACCATTTTTGAACATTTGCTAAATATATATGAAAGGATGTTGTTGAAATCTTTTTTTTGAAATCAGGTGAGAAGACAAAGCCACCACTCACAACTCCTTCTCGAAAGTATTCGATTTGTCTGTACCTTGAATCATTGCTGCCATCAAAAATCTATAAAATGCTACCTCTTGCAAGAGTAATAAAACATCATTTTAGAAATTTTTTTGAGTATACTACTAGAAGCTGAAAATATTTCTCGTTAAGCAAATGAATGAAAATCCCTTCATTTTCACTCCTTGCAAAGAAAATACAATTTAATGCATTTACGCCACCATAATGTTTGTTGCTTTCCAACAGCATCTGATGTGATTTGTGGAGCAGGATACAAACCAATGGGCTGCTTCAAAAACAATAAAGAAACCCGAAATGCCTTCAGTGAGATTCTATTTGTGGAAAAGCATGCTCTCAAGCAACCAAGTCTAGATTCAGAAAATTCAACTTCTTTGCGGTGTCATCAGAAGGTGCGTCTATGTTTGATATCAGTTAAATATTTAAGAATATTGATATCAGGGCTTTTAGGTAGATGATATACGAAACAGTTGCTTTTTATTTATTTTAAAAGTAGGAAAGAAGAATAGAGCCTGTGAATCATCCGAAATGACGGTAACAGTAATATATCTTGATATAATCTTTCATCTCAGGATATGAAAATGCTTCTTTCTTTTTTAATGCTTCTCCAATCACTGTAATACCAAAGATTGTTGCTATGTGCAAACTTGCAGTCTATAGAGTGTATGCCAGGGGTGTCGTAGTGCTATTGAAAGCCCCCTGATCCCTCTGAGCCTCCTTGCAAATACTAAAGATTAGCCAATTTCTACTTTTGGTATTGTTTTTGTGGCATTTTTTGCAAACGCCTTTCTTGTTATTTCGTTAGCACTACGCCCTTGGTGCACGCTTTCACCTAAGCACAATGCAAGATATTTTTTTATTAGTCCCAGTACTTTAGTCATGACTATAAGGCTGCTTGAATCATTCAGGTCGATGTCTGGCGGGAAAAAATGACGATGACAGTTGGAGTAAACACTGTGCTGTTGTTGCGAAGGAGTGCAAAAATTCGTATCATCAACAGTGCAGTGAGGCGAAACCAATCTGCTTTGGAGCTGAGCAAACCCTCTTTGCGTATAAAGTGACCAATTAAAGAGCACTTAAATATAATTAGCTACGTGATTCCTTGTTTGGTTTAATAATGTGAGAGCGAATATGACAAAGCACAGAATTTGAGTTGCTTTGCCCTGTGTCTTCTTGCAAACTGCAAGTAATGTAACAAAGAATGAGAGTAAGAACATGAATTTGTTTATTCTATGTCTCCTTGGATGACAATAAGAATAATATGGGAGTCTCTTTAATAAATTTTTTCTTTACGCTAAGACTGGGAAGGAGAAATATTTTATGCAAGGATGCACCTCTGCCCTCTTTCTGTTGGATATCGTAGACAAAGGCATAAGCTTTTGAGACAGAAAAAGAAACTTATCTAAAGAGAAGCTAGCTTTTGTTGAAGATAATTGGCCTAAGACATGCACAGTATATTTGAAAATATAATCATGTTCAAAGGAGTTATAGAACAAGCGAAGTTCAGAAATCTTTCCAAATAAATTGAGATTTCGGAAGTAAAATCGTTGCCAACACAAAGTACACTATGATTGATGTCAAGGACAGAATAATTTTAGCTTTGAAGTTTGATGAATGCCAGGCGTCCAGTTCCTAACAAGGACCTTGTATTTCGATCGAATATGATTAATGTAAGCAAGAACTCAGAGAGATGAAATTTTGGTAAAGATCTTTGAGAAATTCTCAACAGCTATTTTTGTTCTTACTTGGTTAATATATTTCACTTATAAGCTATTTCAATGCCTCTGAAGTGAAAAATCCTTTGCTGTTTTGCATTAGATATTTCAAGATGGCACAATTAAACGCATATACCTATTACACGTCACAGCTTCAGTTGTTCACAGTTTCTTAAACCATCTTTGTTGTCGTTTCATCTTTATTCCCTGCCATCTTTTTCAGCAAGAATTTTTTTCTTCTTCATGTAGAAAGACAAAATGCTAAATACACGTTTAGACCTTCTTTGGAGCACGTTATAACACCAAAATCGCTGGTTTAAAAAAGGGAGCTAGTGTTACTCATCAAACAAACTCGTTCCCCTCTTGCCTTGCGTCGCAAAGTACTTATAAAAAAGTTGATTCAACTTTGCAGCCAGGCAAGAAATAACAGCAGTTGAATTCTAAGCCTGTGTTGATAAATATTCAATTTTTCTTGGAAATTGAACATGAAACGAGAATGCTATAAAATATTGTTGGATACCCTTGTTACTTCTGACTCCTCGTCCTTTGATATTTTCAAAGCACAAATGATGATAGATGCCTTTCTATAATTCTATGTTAGAAACTTGACATGCATAAAACAATACCAAGAAAACCATTAAAAATGTTTGCAAATTAGAAATCTTTTTATATTTACGGTAATGTTTGTATTTGTTGATAGGTGATAAATGTGAATTATTCCCCCAAAACATTGAAGGTGACAAATGAATTTGTTGCGAATGGAACAGTAACAAAATACCTGGAGGTTGTGCCTTGAGACTGGGTGTATTTAGATACCGAAGTCTATTCCAACTTTGCAAAGATGTCTGTTCGTTGACTTTGAAGCAAATTAGTGGCGATTTCAGCATATTGGGAGATACTGGAATGTAAAAATAAGATATGATGTCAAAAACAATTCGAATGATACAGCAATATATGCCTATTAAACAACTAGTGATGCCTGCGGTTTTTTGTAAATTCAGAAATTGCTTATATAACGGATTAAATCATTCTTCTTCTTCTACGAGTTTGTCCCACTATCCAGTGGGGTCGCTGCGGCGATCATCTTCCTCCAGGTCCTCTTGTCCAGGGCATCCTCCTCCTTCGCTCCAACTGAATCAAGGTCCTTCTTCACGCAGTCCATCCATCTCAGCTTAGGCCTACTACGCTTTCTTCCTCCTGGCAACCTCATCTCCATCACCTTCCTGCCAACGTACGTCTCGTCTCTTCTCTTAACATGGCCAAACCACCTCAGACGGCTTTCCTTGCACTTTTTTGAAATACTAGTAATTTCCATTCGTTTCTGTTGTAGTTATTTCCTACATGATCTTTCAAAGTATGGCCCAGGGCCCATCTGCACATTTTCATCTCGACCACCTCTAGTTTGTTTGTGTCACGGACACTCAGGGGGACTGTCTCCATACCGTACAACATAACTGGTTGTACTAAAGTCCTGTAAATCACCCCTTTCACCCTATGTGGTATTTTTCTGTCACAAAATACCCCAGACATCTTCTTCCAGCTACTCCAACCACATTGGATTCTCCGAATCACTTCAGCTTTCACACCACCTCCTGATTGTAGGGTACTGCTTAGATACTTGAAGTTTTTTGTCACTGGAAGTTTACTATCCTGCATACACACACTTCCCAAAGATGACCCATTCAAGCACATATACTCTGTCTATAATCTGAGTAAATCGTTCTAAGAGAAAATGTGAGCAAGTGACAGAACCAGGGCAGGATTTGAACCAGCGACCAGAAAAACTGTATGTCGTTGCGACACCGGCTGACCTTTAATAGTCTTGTTCTACTTCCAGAAAAAATACCAAATCTTGCAGCAAAGTATGATCAAAACAATTTTGACAAAGGATAAATTTTCTTTGATGTCATTTTTAATGCTTACTAACAACTACTTTAGAAACTATCTAAACTTCATCAGATATTTCCAATGAATTGAAGTATAATATCGAGCAATCAATTAAATAAAACTAACTAACTGGCTTACAACTTCCACCAAGCTTTACAAAGCCCTTTTCTTTTTTAAATTGGTAACTTGATATCTGAAATGATTTGCAGAATAACTTTAGTAGGGAACTGAAGAAAACCAACTAATTGCCACATTTTGTGCAAAAATTAGACAATTTTTACTTAATCAAGCCTAATTGATCTCACAACTTAAGCAATTTACAGGCTTACTAATACGGTTATTGCATTTACAGTATGACATATAAGTGTAATTCTGCCATTCTAGCATATCAGCAGCATTACTTTTGCATGACAAGGTGTAATTGAAACTGTAAAGCCTCTTCTGTTGCCTCAAAACATATCCATTTATTCTCTTGACTGATCATTACTTAAACAAACACATTAGGGTGTGTTTTTAAGCACTTAAGGCATGTAAGCGTTGAGTATAGTGTATTATTTAAGCAGCTTGGGCTCTTCTAGAAACGGGGGGATATAGAAACTCCAAGCTAACTTAAAGAGTTGAAGAAGAGAATCTATGTTCTAAAAGAAAACCTAGGCAGTTTAAAGTCCAAAGGATCCATCTGACACACAAAGATCACAGCAAAAGCGACTGTTTGGTTATATCGTTATCAAATCTCTTGTAAATTTTGATATGGGTTGGGGTTGCACGAATAAATGTCACAAGAATTTGACACAAAACTTTATCAATTCCATCTACGGCTAAGGTCTTCTTTTTGCCTCTACTTCTCAGTAAGCTTTATTCATGCTATATATCTAGTATTAGAGCATCGATACTTAACAGTCTTCTGCAAGTACTGCTGGTCCAACCATTCTTCAATATATTTGAAAAGACATAATAAATGTTTCTGCCAGCCAATCAGGTTGAATGACATCAGCATAAGCTTAGCTTTATCAATCATAGCAATAGCATTATCAATCTCGTTGTCAGCTGGGAAACATGTTATATACTACGTTGCTGGAAAACTTACTATATTTCTAGAAGGCAAATATGTTAGTTACTAAATTAACTTGTAATAAAGGAATGAGTGAGAGAGGCCGAGGCAGCAATGTTACTTCAAAAACGGGGCTGTTGCTAGAAAAATTCTATCGACATTACACTTCGATGATACAATACTTATATGCCCACTATGCAGTCACTGTAAATCGTTTAGATGCAGCTTTCCGTTATAGATTCTATGAATTATATTACGTTATAATTTTTATATAAAAAGAAAAACAGTTAAATAGTGAAATGATCCCAATCATTTATTTGCGTCACTAGGATATTTCTTGAAATCAATGACTGAGGTATTCCTGGCAATGCATGTTACCCCCGGCTGTTCAATTTTCCTATAGAAAGAGTCTTTCTCACTGCCTAAAATAAATTGATTTGGCTTATCTTTGCTGAACAAAATGGCTACGATTTTGATAACACTTTTCGCCTATTCGATTGTGCAAATGTGAGTGATGAATCTATTATTCAATGTAAACTTCGTATTTTAATCTATTAAAACTCTAACTTATTGCTTTATTTTGAAACTCAAGACAGTATTCTAAAAAAACATATCAATGAAAAAAGGCTTCTTTCTTCAGAAATTTCTTCTAATAACGCTTTTTTAAGAAAATCATTTTATCATATGAAAAATTGAGGCTCAATAAAATACATTTCTCTTTAGTAAGGTTAATGTGTTAGATATCTTTGCAAAATCTAGACTGGATTCTTACATAGTAGGAGATTTTATAGCTTGCCTAATTTGTCACTCCTATTTTGAACCTCATAGAACCTTAAAAAGATTTAAAAAATCTTCAGTATATTATTACACTGACTCTTGTTTACCAGTGCACAAACGCAAAGATGTAACATTGATATTGGGTTCATCCTTGATGAATCTGGCTCGATCACTGAGAATGGGTTTCGGCAAGAGAAGGATTTTGTTAAGAAAGTCTCGGGTCGCTTGCATGTTTCTCCAAGCAACACACGTGTTTCAGTGATGACGTTTTCGAGGAATCCTAACATGCGAATCTATTTCAAAGATAAATCTGCACAAGACTGGAATGCTCTGAGTAATAATCTTGACACCATGACACATTCAAGTACGCAAGTTTTACTCAATTTCTATAATAGAAAATAGTTGCTTATTTCACATTAGGAGCTTTGTAAACAAATCTGTCACATTTTGGCACAGTATGTGTCAGATTTTTCACAGAAAGATTATATTATGTATAAAATTAATAGTTTTTTATAAATGCTAACTATCCTTGTTTCATATAAAAAAAGGCTAAGCTGGAAATTTTGTTGAATTTTAATGAATTGTCTGGGGGTTTTTTACGGTGAAAAATCAAATGACATTTAATTCTTATTGCAAAGTCAAGTATGATTTCTATAATTACATGTATTTATTGTTCATAAAAGGAGGGTAGTGTGTACTTGGCTAAAGTTCATTTAATACAGGAACAAATCAATTTGATATGTTATAAATCTTCGGAGATGCTCTTCGGAGATGAGGCCCGATATCAAATTAGAAGCAAACTCCGGTCGAAGGCAGATAGGTCGAAGGCGTTCATTTTTGAACACACGTAAATGCAAGTATAGAATAACACCTGTGCTCTTTACTTTGTGTGTCGTAAGCTGCAGCGATACGAGTCTGCTATGTTAAAATCACAGTAAGATGTATGTAACACACCAGTTATAGATGTATATATTCATAAGGCTGAGATTTTCTTAAAAAACAAATCTTGATAACCTATTTTATCCCCAAAGGTGGCAGAACAAACACCGAAAAAGCTTTACAGCTGGCCAAGACAACGATGTTCAATCAAAACTCAGGTGCAAGGCTGGGTGTACCTAAGGTAAATGGTTTTCTCGAGCAGCCTTCTGTTAGAAGTATGCATTTTGAGCAGCATAATTTCAAAAATGATGCTTGCCTAGCTTTCTTTTACTGTTGATCCTATTTGCTTATGCGTCTTATATAAAGCATCACCAATGAAGGTGCCGAGAGATTGTCACCTTCATATAATGTAAAACGGTGTATGGCTTAACTTTAGCTTTTTTAACAAAACTTACATACTTCCCATTGTCTAAAGCTCTCTGATCTAATTCAAATTACTTTCAAGCATTTTGAAGAGTTTTTTTAAATCGTGTCCTATGATTTCTTTTTCTTGAAAGGTCCTTTTGCTGCTTACAGACGGTTTCAGCCAATCCAGCACTGGAGTACTGTCACGTGCAGCATACGCACTAAGGCATGACGGTGTTTCCATCATAGTTATAGCAGCTGGTCCACTTGTGCGCAGGGCGGAGCTGGAACTTATTGCATCTAGACCAGTCGAGCAGAACATCTTTCAGGTCAGAGATATGACGTCACTGGGGAATATTGTTGCCAGAGTCAGCACACAAGCTTGTAAACGTATGAAATTTCTAATTCTCAATGCATTGATGTTTATCTGAGTGTTTTGAATAAACCTATAGGTTCTTTACTTGTTAATTTACATTGACATTGATATTTTACTTACGACACTGCTGATACTTTTTTAAATCCCTTAAGTAAATAGCTGAATCGCTATCTAACGTTTAGTCTATCTATTAACTCAATTTATCAATATTTTCTTCGCGTGTAAATGCTTGTGATATTTACGTGACAGTACACTATTTCTGATCCAACCCACAAGATATGATATAATATGAGAATGAGTTCAAGTTTTGTATGCATTCTTGATGTCACCTATAAATACGTTATTAACAATCACAAATATGAAATTAATTGAATAAGTTTTCAAATTTCCTATAGTATGAATGTTCCAGCACTGATGTTCTAGAAGGCTCAAAGTTTGGAAGATAAGCCTTCTGGCAATACAGTATTGAACAACTAGAATCTCTTAATTCGTAGTAGGGGTAAACCATTACAACAGTGGATTCTCTTGATTCTAGAATTTTCATCATATCTATCATTGATTTTTGATAGCGGTAACTTGTTTCTACAACCAATGCATCTACAACGAGTGGTCAAAATGGAGCGGATCATGCAACGAAGTGACACGCTCAAGAACCGTTCTCCAGCAAATACGAAGATCAAAGATTGTAATGGGTGGCTGTGCAGGACTCAACACCAAGGACTGTGTAACCGATATCGATAAAAAGGACATTGGGAAATGTTTACGTAAGTGACACAGTAGAAACGCTGTCTTTATGTATTATAATTCATTTGCTTGGTATTTCTTTATTTTCACACCTTTGATTAGAATTGTTAGTTATTTTGACTTGTTTACAATCAGTGTTGTGAAAAACCAAAGTCAATATAAAGAATTATTGCAAAACTTCTTTTGACTTTGGTGAAATCTTGATCGTGAAATGCTCTGTTAATATCTTGCAATTAAAATGTATACATTTGCATCGAAGAGGGGGGGGGATCGAGAAACTTCCCTAGGCTTTGTTTGAGAGTTATCGACCGAGAAAAAACTGGGGTAGTTTTCTCGACCACGCCCTTCAGACTCTCCGAAAACTTTGAAAACGCCTTATTCGGTATTTTGATCTACTCTGAATTTGTAGAAAAACAACTTTTTCAAGCAGCATTTTACGTAACGGGGATTTTTTTGCAAGAAATCGAATTTGATCTGTCCCGCTCCTCTTTTTACAGAATGGTGCAAGTACGTGAAATGTTTCTGGGCTGGATGGGGAGCTTGGTCTGCGTCATGTGGCAGCGTTGCTAGGCAACGCAAGATGATAGAAGAGCCAGCTGTTGCTCAAAGAAAATTTTGCCAAGGACTGCCACAGAGGTGTTACCAGAAACCAGAGATTGAAACCAACAATCTCAAATGTATGATTTGTATACTCGAGTTTAAAGCTTCCTTTTACAAGATTTAGTTATATGCTTCTTTCAAGTAGCACAAATTAGGCCTCTTTCAAAGACGCAGGAACCGAGAGGGATGTGAGGCACGGCACCCTTTTTTTGAAAGCAAACAGAACGCAATCAAAGACACAGGCATTTTTATTTTTCGAAATGGCCCTTCTGTGTTTGTAGCACATCTATCTCTTATGATAATCAATGCTTAATCGAGAGGCCTCTGATAAAAAAGGGTGGGCCAATTTCTCCTTTGCTTGAAAAGACGCAAAAGAGCATAAAAGAGCAAGAAGTATATATTGCTACATAAAGCTCACATCAAGAGATGTCTTGGTACAGTCTTCATATTACCCAAGATACCAGATGAGTAAAGATTTGATGGAAACTAAGTCTTTAAAAGTACGTTGTATCTGAGCATAGAAATAGCAAATGCCCTTTACTTTCAAGAAATTGCTGAATTCTTTAAAAAACCTATGAAAAGTTATATTTGAAGACGATAACCCACTCTTTCCAAATGATCTCTTTTTCTTTATTAATACAAATTGAAGATTGATTAGTTTTGGGTTTTAACAGGAAATTTTGTAAACCAGTTTTTCAGTTTTGCTGAATGTGTTATTTTGCATGCATATTCAAGAATGAAATGAAAAATTAAAAAAATATAACAAACCTTTTTATTCTCGTATTATTGATCTTCCTTTTTTAATAATTTGGCCGTATTCATCTACATAAAAGAAAATATAACTTTAACCAGCGGGTAAATTACCAAGAAGAGGATGGTAGGCTGCCTTGGCAATTGGAGAGCGTGACGAGGCAAATATTATTGCATTCTGAAAACAGAAAATGTAGAATGATGATGAACGAGGGTGGATTTGCCAAGAAAATCAAGACGTATGGTTGTGTTTGTCGCATACAATGTGAACTCGTTTTTCTCAAGACATCTTCATTTTAGGCGTTTCCTGTGACTACGTTGAATGCAAATATACAGAATGGTCTAAATGGAGCCATAGTTGTGGCAAAGATATGGTTCGAAAGAGAACTCTACAAACTATAAAAAAGAAGGGTACAGACTGCACTGGAAAGCCAAAATCCTGCACAGGGGAAACAGTGCAAAGAGAGAAAAAAGACGAACTATGTGAGTGAAAATAAATGAAACCTTTGCCTCCCTTACCTTTTTATATACTTGAGTAGCAAGAATATGCCTGTTGCGATAGACTAGGAAATTGCTAGGAGCATGTATGTAGAATGGTTGAGTTTACTCACTGTTTTGCGTTATCTTTAGGTGAGTGCGATGCAGTCAAGTGTGTTACCCAGTGGAGTGCATGGTCGGCCACGTGTGGTAAGGCCACTCGAACCCAGACAGTAGTCAAGGTTCCCATTAAGGTGCGAGAAGAGTCTTGTGACAAAGTAACCAAAGACTGCCCAACCACGACAAAAACAGAAATTGATGATTTAATTTGTGAGTATTTTTATGGCATTTATGCCTTCAAAGAGCAGTTTGGTTTATTCATAGTCTCTAAGGAACCAGTGTGATATGCAAACCCTGGGGATTTATGCATTGAAGATTACATCAAGGGTGAGACTCGGAGTTGCAGCCTCGAATCCAATTCAAAAACACTTTGATGCGGCGATAGAAAGGGTACAATTGGTAGTTGATATGACTGGAAAGTAATAATGCATAATTCATTGAAAATTCATACACGATGAAGGAAAGTTGCAAAATGTGGGCTATACCTCCCTATTCGTGGGTAAATCTTTTGGGATCCTAAAGAGAAAAGAGCATTTAACAAATGGCGGCCTCTCAAAGGGCTGGGTAGCATTTCTAGCAGTCAGCCGAGCCTGGCATTGCTGACTAAACGTCTATCTTGTTTTTATTGTCGCGGTGTTTTGAATCGTGTTGTTTTGCTTTAGATAGATATTTAAGTAGTCATATCCCCTAGAGGATATTTTTTGTTTGATTTAAGGAACAATAGTGGAGTTGTTTTTTAGTAGCAGTTGAGGAGCAGGTTGAGAAAAGTAGAGTTGAATCTTTTTATGTATAAATTCGTTGTCTTTGGTTTGAATCGCTTTTGCCATTTTACTCGTACTCGTGACAGTTTTTAACAGTAAGACTTACAAATTTTATGATTTACGTATTAATTCCAAGATCTAAATAATGATATATAGTCTTTCAGGCTTTTCACTCCATGCATACTTTATTGTAATTATATGAAAGAAGGTACATTTTGAGCTGACGTTTTATTTTGAAAGGTGTTAAAACAAAGCCCCCAGTGACGACTCCTGAACGTAAGTACCAATGATTTTCAGGATTACAAATCATGAAATCAAAAAGTATATGAGATCTTTTTACTGAATAAACTGACTTTTAACAGATGCCGTATTCATATTAAGCCGGACTGGTTTGCTGTATTGGTTTCAATCTTGCGGCTAGCCAGTAATTAATTTGTACTTTATTCCGTTAAAAGGATGATAAGCACGCTAGTTGGTAAATATGGTAGTTCACCATAGCAAGGTCATAAAGAAGTTTTTTGATCAGAAGGCAACGAAAGGAATAGGCAGGGAAACGATGCTTTAGATATTAAGGTACCCTGGCTGGGTACCAGACCCACATAAATTCGAGAGTGGAAACAGAATATTGGAGTGGAGCGTTTACGCTCCTCCGCTTCTACGCTTGGTTTTCTATTTACGCGCTCGAAATTTTGTGGCTCTGGTACCCAGGATAACATAAAGTAAACTGGTAACAAGAATGGGTGTCTCTTTACTGTGGAGCACAGATTTTGCAATTCAAATCCCTGATCCGATGAAACATTCACTGAGAGCAAGGGCACTTGCATTCTCTATGCAATTCTAACGCAGACACCCCAATTCGTAATCATGTATGTTCTAAGACGCCTCTTTTTGTAATTATAACCAATAACAAATATAAAGGAAACAGATAATGAATAAAAAGATAAAAAAGGTTTCATTAGCCTTGTGAAAAACAGGGGAGGAAAAAGGATATTGCAATTGGAGAGGATTTCAGATGGCAGAAAAAGAGGGAGTATGAAAATAGAAGTAGAAGAGACGAGAATGGCGAGAAAGGGAAAGCACAGCAGGGAGTAGGTTTTATGCTATGGATAGAAAATTGGGAGGGGTAGAAAGGAGGTTGTGGAGGAGAAAATGAGAGTGAAGATATTGACATACGGAGAACACCTTGAATTTAAAAGTCTGTTACTAGACTCAAGTATATATTTTATATTTGTATATATGTATGTATAAAATGCAAATTTTCTACTAAAAGGTTGAAATGAATGCAATTTTCTTGTGATCATTAACAGCTTTTTTGCATTTCTAAATAGCATCAGATGAAATTTGCAGAGTTAGCTACAAGCCTGTGGGGTGTTTTAAGCAGCACAACCATTCTGCGAATGTCCTAAACAAAGTGCTGAAAAAGAACAAGTACGAGAAGGGCAGAATTGTTGGCTTCTCTGATTATCTGCAAGACATTATATGCAGGTGTGCCACGATTGCAGCTAATCGAAAGCTTGAATATTTTGGCATCTCATCCACAGGTAATTTCAGAATTTACTGTCTTTTTATATTCTCCTCCTTCTTGGTTGTCTACCGCGAGGCAGGCTCAGCGCCACACGCGCCAACCATCACGATACAGTTGTTATAATTTGCATATATTTTTCCTATACAGTTGTTAAAATATGGAGATAAACAATTTTGGCTTGAATATCTATGCAATGTCATGGGCTCCGACGCAGGTTGGAAAGTGGAGGGGCCAAGTGAAAATATAACGATCATTACCAAAAATTTCAAAAAAGCCTTATTGCTTTACAAAAAAGTAAGGGGGCCATGGCACTGAATCCTCGGAGGCCCTGAATGTAATGAACAAGTTTTCTGCTATATTCAACTTTTATTATCTGCTTATTATCTAATTATATTTTTACTGCTATATTAAGGCCCCCATGAGTCCATCTACATAAAAATTGAAAACCGCTATTCTGTAGACAGAAGGAGTTCGTTTGAACTCCATTCAAAAGTACCCAAATTTTGTAACGCATAGAAGCACTGCATTTTCACTGAACAACCTTTTAAAGTAAATATGAAAATACTAAAGAGAAATTGCTGGGAGGAATAACTTCCTAGGTGTTATTAATATCGGTTTTTAAGCTGTAATCTAGATTAGTGTTACAAGTCTCTAATCTAAGCATTTCATCTGAAGCAAATAAACATGTGGAATGCAGGCCAATTTTGCCTCACTGCTTGCACTCTTCAAGTTTGTGTTGTGCCTGCCCAAAAAACCTAGTTTTATCTCCATGCACAATATAAAAGAGCCATAGGATAAAAATTTTCCTAACTTTTACTGATTTTTTCTCTCTGAATATTCAAGGCTTGTTGTGCACTAAGGCAGGAACTTATCATATAAACTTGTCGATTCTACTCGGAGAGCAACTGCAAGAAACAGATCAACTGCATCGCATTATAAAACTTCTCTAACAAACTTATTCCAAACTTAAACAACTATCTTGTACTCAAAAAGAAAATCTGTAAACCTGCCCAGGAATTTTTCCTAGAAATACTACATCCCTAAGAAATTGTACACACTAGATGAAAACACAAATTCTTGTTCAGAATTTTGTTTTGCAATGTTCGGAATTAAAACTGCCCATGCTGGCTTATATGTAAGTTCGGCTTGGTTAAACGTGAAACCTCGTTAAAAGACCATTTTTTGAAATTTTATACCTTAATCCTTATACTTAATCTGGTCATTAACCACAAAAAAACTTGTAATATAAACTTCGTTGGTGGGTTAAGTATTTCATACAGCCTTGTAAGAGGGTCATCAACTTAAAAACAGTTGAGTCAACAATTCTTCTGAATCTGACGGTGAAAAAAGATTCTGAGGGTTCTTTGGCCTTTGCATAATTATAATCTTCAGCTGATATTGATTCTCTTGGTTATTGTTTCGCATTTCAAGCCCTGAAATCATCATTGGCACAATATGACTTTCGGAAGGTCTTCTAAATTCACAATCAATTAAGTTCAAAATCCAAAGTATTAGCTTCAATCAAAAGAAAACATGGTATTAGGAAAAACTATCGTGGTGGCAATAATGTGGTAACTGTTGGAAACGTTATAAGATGCATTTTAGTTCCCTTCAAACATTTAACTCAACGACTAAAACGTGTTTCCAAAAATAATCTGAAAAGCAACAAAGCACAAAAAGATGTGAAATAAAATCCAATTTTACTTACAGAAAATACCTGCAGTTTCACTCATATTTGATGCTTTTATCGGAGGTTAGGGAGTGTACTCAAGGTTGTGTTTAGAATAGTGTTCCTTTTCATACTTTTCTTTTTGATCAACTACTTATAGAAAAATGTATACTGCATTTTTATATTTGCGAAAAAGAAAAATATTAGCAAACAATTATAGAAATATGTAAACTCACTCAAATCATAAAAAACGAAAGGAAGATTTTTCGAGCTGGCCTTTAAATATTGGGCTTATCAGGAAATGGTCATGCCAGGGACTGGATGTAAATTCAGTAGACAGTAAATTCAATTTGTAAGACTTTGCTGCAAGAGATCTTTGTAAGAGTTGTTAATGCAAAAGCCTTGAGATATTTCTATCAATTGATCCTTACCAACACTATCATAATTATCAACAGCTACGACAGAATTCATATGGAATGGTATCTAACTTAAAGACAAAGGGGAGTCACCCAAACTTTTTATATACTGCAAGATCCTTCCGCAATTATCAAAATTCACATTAAATCATCAGAGACAAATTTAACAGTCATAAAATTATCAGCTAAAAATTGTTGATAAGACCCAAAAATAACAAACTGCAAAATCTCGCTGTTGAGCACATAAGAGACAAATAGTCTTAGTAATTTTGACTGTTTTCTAAAATAATCAGTTTAAACACGTTTGTTCTTTTATTCCCTTTTTGGATATTTTTATGTGTTAGGTGGGCCCATAAGTACTCAAAAGTATCAAATCACAAAGAAAATTCTTACCCATAACTATCGGATGGGACCCTTGTGTGTGTGAAAAGTTTAAGTGACCCCATTGTTCTTACAATACAACGCTAATGCTGAACTTACTCTCGATAACTTTTCAGGACATTGCCTCTATGAAAACAGTTACCATGACGACAGCTTCCAAGCACATGGCAAGATAGCAACAAATAGGTGCAGGAACAGTTTCCAGCGGCCTTGCCTCAAAGATGACATTCATTGTATGGGTGGAAAGAACACTATTTATGCATATAGAATCGTAGTTTGATTTTGACTATGACGTACAGATAATAAAACATAGAAAAACCCCAGTGTAACAAACTTTTGCATTGATATGCTTTGCTTAATTATTTAGACTTCATCAACTGCGTTGTATGTTTAATTGTAACTTCTTCGGCCACCCTTTATTACAACTGTGTCAATGTGATGTTAATATGATATGATATGAGAATGTAATTCCTGACCAACAGGAATGGGTTTGCATATTAATTTTGTTCACATCATTTGGCAAATGATTTGTGAGAAACTATAGGTCAGGAATAGGCAAATTACATATTTTGCCTCATCTTTTACTACTGAAATTGCTGGTGAGGCATCTTGGTCTTATTCTAAATTTAATCTTCAAAGCCTTCATTGTTCATAAAAAACTGAAACTACCAACGTTGATGTCGTCTTAAAGTTGAATTCAGTATCCAAAAACTCAGTTCGAACCTTGAAATCACAATTCGACAAATCATAAAGAGAAAAAAGAATTGATTCGTCCCGGGAATCGGACTGTCTTGCAAAGGGCTTCATGGCTTTGGATTCGTAGAAATTCAAAATATAATTTTTTAACAGGGTCTCAAATTTTGGTTCATCTGAAAAAGTTTCATATGAATAAAAATTGGAGCTCTTCTCCAGATCCTTTAAAATGGAGAGTCTTTAGAAATAGCACGCTTATAAATTGTGGTTCAGCCGACAAATGTTTTTAGATGTCATTTGCAATTGGGCACCTGCCTCCTCCTGTCCCCTACCACGAAACCCATCAAACATGAAAAGGGGCTTTAAGTTCTTAAGTATTTAAACTTTGTTTCAAACTTCAATCATCTCGTGCATTTTCCAAATTCTGACCCAACCAACCAACCAATATCAAAAGTTGCTGTTGTTGTTCTCAAAATGTTCAAATTTGATGCCCCTAGTGATCAGTTCTGATGCCTGAGGTTGCACCCAGGGGCTTTTTTGTACGGTGGTTGCATAAAGAAACTGGGAAGCACTTCCATAGCAAACATTGTTGGAGAATTAGCAAACAAATAAGCATCCAGCTTTGCAACCTAATCGCATCAGACCACATCCATCAGTGACGGACGAGCCAACCACTCTCCGCAACAACAGTTTTTTAAACTATCAAGTTCAGTCACCTGAAGAGAGCCTGCGTGCAGCTAACTTTGAGATCAAGAAGCAAATAGGAACTAAAGCAGTATGTCGCGTGGAAGGTACGAAGATGAGCTTCTCGGACACCATGGTCGCAATTCTCCTCGTGGCGGCAGCCGCCGAGAGAGCAGGGATGTGCCTTATGATTTTGCATCGAGCCCAGAAATTGAGAGAAAACGGGACAGGCCGAGCCGAAAGACGAGTATCAGGGATAGAAATTTCTTCACTGATGCTCTTGACGAATTGGAAGTTAGCATCATGAAATTTGAGGAAGAGTCAAATGTATTAGTGCATGACTTTGTAAGTATATTTTTAAAGTTAATAAGTATATAATGAATATTTTAAATAGAAAGACACATTTTAAGACTATTGCAAAGTATACCGAGCGTTGCCAGCAGTATGAAATTAAGTTTGCACGTGTTTCTCTAACTGTCAAATAAATTATTAGCATGTCACGACTGCCAGATGTTGATGACCATCAAAATATTTTTCACTTGAGAACGGTCTTGCCCATTACTTTGGTGCTTAAAATTCCTGAAATATATATCATCGGAAAAGAATTCATTTAACGGCTTAGTTACTGTTTGTTTTATAACAGACAGAGGGTTTTCAATGTTTTCCCCATTATCATATTTTGCAAATTTATAGCTAATTCTATCACAGGTTTATTGAAATTTGATGTATAAGCATTCTGCTGAAAAGCCAAAGCAATCACGGTATGGTAATGAAAATTATAAACAGGATGTTAATGGCAAAATCTGTGGTATAGACTTATAAATATAGCAAAGAACATATATTTTGTAGATTCATAGGCAGCATTTCAAAGCATTCTTTCCATTAAGATTTAGTTCTCTGTTAACCATAAAGTGCTGTGATGTTAACCTTGTGATTTGCCTCCTCTAATGCAAGGTAGATTTTACACACATTGGAGTCCATGCTGTGATAAATTCTGTAATCTGAAAAAAGACAGTTGGAGCTAACTCAATACAATGCAACTGCAATGATTATCCTCCACAATAATCTCAATTGTCTGTAGGTTTATAGACAAAAAACCAAATGTTGCCCACTGTTTTTCTTAATAGCCTGAATTCCAACACAAAAAATGCATACCAGAGACTTTCTTTTGTCTATTTAAGTTTACTCAGTAAGGATATGATCCAAAGAAAAGTCAATAAATTTATAATATTATCTTTTCAAATGAGCAGTGCTTCCTCCTACACCCATCTGGCCATCTAAAGGATGTTACCACATATCCTGACCAAAAAATTTTATGATGCTCTGTTCATTGATACTTTCTCTCTGGTCTATGTTTTAAAATTGGTTACTTTTGGTTCCAATACTGTCTCTACTAAGTAAGAATCACGCCTATGTAATAAGCATTTGTGTAGAAAGCTGTCAGCATTCAAATGAACTATGAAGACAATATTGCTTCACTATTGTTAGATGTCTCTGCAAAATTTATCAAAAAGGTGTATCACCCCACCCCAACCTCCTGTCAGATTTGCCTTTGCAATTAAGCTGCTTGATCATTCACCATTCAAGTGTACCAAAAAGACCTTTTTTGTACAGTGACCATAATAAATTTTGATGAACTCAGTGGTGTATCTCAACTAGTTACTAAGTTACTGCTGAGAAAAAGTTGCAAAATTTCCAAATTGATGCTATTCACACCATACCCTGATTTCCACATTAAAGGATTTGCAGTAATGACTTTGCCATAGGTGCCAATACCGAGAAAGAGTACTGAGGACTATTCACCTTATCCTTATTTTGATTCCAAAGATTAGGTCAGAGGCAACACCACAGGTTGGAGTAGGGTGTCCGCCCCACTTTTTTCAATGAATGATTCTGTTCAAAATCTACAATATATACATTTTTGTAATTGTAGATTTTCTTCCTGGTCTTCAATAATTACCTTCAAGCTTCAATGCCTGATAAAATGCTTATTAGACCTGTTCAAATCAGAATAGAATGTGATGTAGGGGCCATAGGAGTTTGAAAATATAGAAATTATGTTTTGATTATATGATATATTGAGAATCAAGCTGAAGATGAAAATGTCTGCATCATCACTGTTTCCCTTGCAAATATCTTTAAACAAGGTGACTTCAAGCAGTTAAATGGATGTGGTATCAAGAAGTTTCTGGGCAAGGCCCTTGTTTCATTGTCCAACTCACATATTTCTGGCTTGTACCGCCTCTGGATTAGATCCCATGCAAGAGGGTGAACTGGACATACCACAAAACCTATCCCCCTTGGTGCAGGATCAGATCAAAACTGATATTCATAATATGTAGTATTAAACAAATTGTGATAGAAGCAAGTGATAACTAACAGATCCACTGTCAGGCATTGTCCAAGGTCTTTTCCAGCTCCATCCCCACGACAAGGCTACTTGGTTCTGTTGAAATCATTTTATGTCTCCAATTTAGGAAGATATATATTTATACTGGTACTACTTGTAAATTGGTAATGTTGATGCCTTGATTATTGGTAAATTGATAGTGAAAAAAGTTCTAATCTTGTTCTGGGACACTTCAAAGAAGAAAAGTTTGGAATTTTGATGAGTTTCCATTGAAATTTAATTTTTAAATTCACAATTCAATGATTCAATTAAGTCAGAATTCAATGAGGTACATGCATGTTGTATTTCGTCAGCTGCACAAAATTAATTTAATACCTCAAAACATAAGAATAAATAGATTTGTAAATGATCATTAGGTTCAGTGATATTAATTTCTTTTTGTATGCCATAAAATAGAGATTTTGATCTTAACGAGTCATATTTACCATTCTGGTTTTTTTTAGGGTATTTAATTTCCCACCCACATTATTTCGTGATGGACATATATCAATGAAACTTGAAGCACAACGAAGGAAATCTGATCAATGAATGATCGTACATGATATTTGCATGACTAATAGCCACTCCTTTCCGCGAAAAGACAAAAATTCTGGAAGTACCTAAATGGAGAGAGAGCTGCTCAATAAAGATGATCCTGAAGGGGGTGGGGTGGTCTTAATCCAGCTTCCGTTAATATTATTCAAAATTCTGTTCCAAATAGACGATTAAACCTCCGTCGCAGTGTGGTTTTAAAAGCTCAATCATTCAATTTACTGGAAATCACAATCCCAGAATGATTCTCCAAGTCCCCGTTGCTCAGTTGTCAGTCCCAGTTGCCTCAATTTCCGGTGCCGAAATAAGCATATCTCATTTCCCCCCCTCCCCAAGGGCCTTTAATAAACTAAGCTGTCCTCAGAAGCCGAAGCCTTCTGTACTTACGCTTCGTAGATACAGCATTGTGTTTCGCAGATTTTGCTCGTGTGTTGAATTAACAAAAGCGTTCGGTTTCAGTAATTTCGCTTAATGATGTGAAATTTAAACAACAGCGGTTTCATAAGAGGAAGATTCGATTGACATTTGCTTCTGGTATTTGCTCAAAGCTTTGTGAGTTAAAAGGTCGTCTAATCGATGAAAAATTGTTTTAGCGATACAGGGATTTATTCCATCATTTACAATGAAAACAAATGTCCCCGTCACTGCCTCCACCCAGGGCACCCTTCTCTCAAGTCACCCAGCGATAATAGTCTGCGTCGCACCCCACTAGATATTGGTTTATTTGCCAATCACAGCGACACACGCGTCCATTCACCAAACACGGGGACATAATTATCATGTAACGAATGTAGCCTGGGATGCATGCAGGGGGTGGTTCGAGTGAAGGGAACTTGCTACCCAGGATAAATATGACAGCTTATAGAATTCTCCTTGAAAATTAAACCACCCATCCAATGATTACATACAAAACAGAAAAATTTGACTAAATTATCTAACTTTAGGCTAGGTCTCTATCCGACTTGACCAAAATGGCATCTTAATCGGCTTGGTGATGCAAAATTTTGTTTGAAACCGCAGAGGTGTAGAGCTAGGGGGCTAAGGGAGGGTCGAGCCTGCGTTTTCTACGTTTTGCTTTTGTATTTTGAAAAGTTTATCAGAGAGCATCTCCTTGTACTTTTTAAAGCAGCACATCGCTATAGAACACCTCACGATGTTAAAGGCAAGAAGAAGTTGCCACTTCATTGACTCAATCCCCTTGTGGCCAATCATGCTTGATTTTTTCGCCAATATGTAATGCACCGTTTCATGCCGTTTCACTTTCAATGAAGTTTTCTGTCAAATGAAATTGAAGCATGAATTTTCTCCAGGTTTCTTCTTTGTGAAATCGAAAGAGCACCGATAGTTATGCTTTGAGAAAACCGTCTTTTAATATGATTCTTTATTGACTTTGCAGAATGTCATACGCAACCAGCACATGAGTCAAGGGAAAAGAATCAACGATTTGCTACGATCCTTTGAAGAGACACGTTACCGTATCGAGCGGATCAATTCACGTGGCTATCGATCTTACGGCTCAGATCATGCCTCGGATACGTCCTCAGACCACCGTGGGTCAGCTCTCTCTCTGGACAGAGGTGAAAGGTCTGGATCATTTAGGGAGGAAAGGTCATCAAAAAGTCATAGGTCAAAATCACAGCGCATGGAATCCCCAAGCGATCGCGAGCGCCATTCTAAAGCTGATGCAGATATTTAGTTGGACATTTGCTCAGACTTTCGTCGTAGTTAGCACCGAAGCTTGTTGTAAAACTGCATAGATGTACACTTTTTATTCGTAGTTTCAATTCTAAAACGGAGGCACTGCTATATTCTTGTTTAGCAACTTTGTATTTTCATATTTGATGAAATAATTCTTGGCCACTGAAGAAGCATTATGATTTATCTGGATTTAACAGATTTATCAAACTAATAAAAATAATCTCATTGGGGTGATGATTTTCGCTGCAAATGCTAATGCTATCCATAATTTAAATGAAAAATGTATGTTCGATCTAACAAGATTTTGAAAAGTACATAATTTTCCAATTACCAATAAACTATTTGACACAGGAGGTTGTGGTTTGAATCTTGCAATCGACTTTGCAATTTTTTTAATCCTTTATACTGTTATTAATTTTTCCCAACATAGCAAGGATGCTTGCAGTTTTTCTTCACAGGATTCAAAGTTTTAACTCATTTCAACCTGGATGTGCTTGTAAAAGAATTACATTCATGAAATTTTGACTGCTGACGGGAATTGGAAATTATTTTCTCTCATCTAGCTGAAACTTGTGCTTGAGTATTGTTAAAGCGGCTATTAGTGGTGGGAGGGATACTTGTGTTTTTTGATTGCGCATAATAGCAGTGGCGGCGCCAGCTACTGCAGAGTGGGAGGGTAATGGGCATGACCAGTGAGTCCACGCCCCTTTGCCTTATTCAGTGCTTTGTACCAGGTGAAAATTCTTTTGGCAAAAATATGATCTACCCCTACCTAGCGCTTTTATCAATTTTTAGAAGAAATATGTGGACCATGTTCTGACAAATATGGGGGTGTAGTTCCCCCTTTCCCCCTTGGCGCCGCCATTACATGATACTTTGCTAAACATTGTCCTCCTATTCATGATACTCCTATCTTTGATGTATGGCTGATCACACGAATACATTATATGATTAGAATGCTCCCTTGTGCCGACCCTCTCTGTTATTTCAACGCTTCGTCACTAAACATAAAGTAGATTAGTTGGTGAAATAGACTTTCTTGTGAAATAGTTACAAAAAGGTTTGTAATTTATGTAGCCATTTTGAAGAAGATTGGTGTTTTCCTGGACTTTTTGGTGATGATAGTAATTTAGGAATTATATAAATTTACAAAAGAATAAAGTTAACTTTCAAAAACATAATTCTTGTTCGTTAGTTTTCACCATTGAAATCTTCTTTTTCAAACGTAACCTCGAAAGAAGAGATGTAACATCGAACACATCTTTTTATAAGAAACTAAACTTGAGACTAGTTCTTATTTTTTTTAAATTTGTTTGGTGATCGTAATACTAAAAGTTTCTTAAGGGTTTTGTAAAAACCAAAGTGCTAAAGAGCTACTTTTTAGATAGAAAAACTACATACAGAAACGCAAGGCAACAAACGTTTTTTATATTAGAGCTTTTTCTTAAATTTGAAGGTACTCAGTTCTGTGGTTTTTTTGTATTTTTCTATCTCTGGAACTATGTCTTATTGACGGAATTTTTACAAAAAATGCATGAAACTTCCTTATTTAGCGAACAAATTATTGCAAGAAGATGGCTATATTCCGCCAATAATGATAGCAAAAGGGGAAGAAAAGATTCATCTAATCATAGACATAACGTTAATATTTTGAAGTTTTTGATGTAAGAAGGTTTAGAAATGATGGAGGTTAGCACTAACCAGCACAGGAAATAAGTCTCTGGTGAGGTGGCCGTTAGATGGGTTTGGAGTCCTGTTTTAGGTTAGACCAATCATACTTCATTTTGGTCAGCTTGGTTTATCTTAGAGAAATATATGCCTTTTGTGCACATGCAGTAGCCACGAGGGAAATTCAACGCAACCGAGATAGAGCTTTTCAGCAGGGCCTTTTGTATCATACCAACTAGGGAAAAATTGTCTCTCTAGCCACAGTAAACCAATACCAAGGTTGGCCCCCTTCTCCCGCTGATTACCCTTCACAAAGGTTATGCTTTCCATATGGCGTATTATTAAACTTGGCTCGGGCTGGAATAAGCACTGAGCAGCAGTGGCGGCCTGGCAGGGGGGGGGGGCAGGGCTCCCCCAGCTGACATTTATATAGGGGCGCCAAAGCTTGTATAGGGCGCCGAAAGCTCAAAAAAAGATTGATACGATCGACTTGTCTGGTTACTAGGTCTCTAGGAGGCCAGCAAAGTAAAAAAAGACGCCATAAAATTCAAAACTTTATTGGGGCGCAAGCCCCTATACCCCCTAAAACATTCTCACTTCAAGGGCACGTCTTCGTGCCCCTTCAGTACTGTATTATCCAGACAAAACATTTGTACTGTTTGCAGGGGCGAAAAAATTAATCAATTTTTTAGAGGATTGTCAGGAAACTTACGTAGTTGAATTCTTTCGTGTGGAGAACACAGCACTCATAGTGCAAACAGACTGTGTTTGGGGTGTCGGGGGACAGTCTGTGTTTAGGGTGCCCGGACTCATGCACCCCTTTCAGGGAAAATTTTGATTTTGGATGAGTCTCTTTGGCTCTACTGGCCTTCAGAGACCTGCTCGTGTGGGGGTCAGTAGATTTTGTCTCATTGCTTCATTTCTCATGAAAGGATCAATTTGTCTCGACGATACCAAGATAGGATGGATTCTTTTCCTTATTACAAAGTAATGAAATGCATTCTAAGACTGGAATTAATTAAACGTGCTAAAAGGAAGCCTTAAAAATAGCAAAATTTTTAAACGATTTCAAGAAAATGACTGCAAGAAATATTTTGAAATGTTTTTTAAACCAGTCTAAAGGGCATGGTCGCAAAAATTTCCTGCTCGCAAAAAAGGCCTCTTTTATTCAGAGTTATACCAAGGGCCTTCGACAACCTCTCGCCGGCCCTTCCCAATGTTGGGTTTTTTAGTCAAATAAAGCTATTAACTCGAGCCCCCCCCCCCCCCCCCCCCCCCCCGCTTTGAATTTCTTGTTAGTTTTGGAGGGCGCCATTTTGATGCTGGCCCCCCAGGCGAAAAGGGCCAAGCCGCCACTGCTGAGCAGTAGAAAACGATAAAGCCCAATCTCCAGTGAGAAAAAGTCTTGCGAAATTTCGCTGCGAAATACTTCACGCGACAAATTCCTTTGAATGCTTTTGTTGACCTCACGACATAGGAATGTAAAGTTTGGAAGCGTGACAAAAGAATACGGAATATGATTGGCTGTTGAAGGATTTCGCAAGCGAAAAGCGAAAAAGTTAAACTCATTTTAACTTTTTTTCGCAGAGAAATTCTTCGCGAGAAATCCCAGCAAAAGATCACTGCGCATGCCTAAGACGTATTTCGCGCGAACTTTTTCGCATTTCGCAGTTTTTTTTCTCACTGGAGATTGGGCTTAAGGTAATTCAGCAGATGGGAACAATTTTCAATATAAAGCCGCGGGAAGTGCAACTTGGGTTTTGACAACTGCAACAACTAGTCCTATGCACCACAACAACAGCGCAAATTTTAGAATTACACACTGATCAGTGGATCATCCAAAAGAATTAGAAGAGAACATGGGTAAAAGAGATAACAGGATAGTAAGTTATATCTTAATTTGTGCGAAACTTTTGTTTGTAAACTAGAATGATTGTGATTTATCCTAGATTTGGTATATGTTGGGTGGGTAATTTTTAGGAGCATAGTTTGCAGTTTCTTAGATTGTTTACCCGATCTATTTCTTACGACAGAACCATTTGCTTGCAGGCATTTGTAAATCCAGTTGCTGCATCTCGTTCTTCTGGTTATACTGCCTCTGGTCCAACCGCAAGGGACTATCTGAATCGACCCAGGCCAACATGGTAATTTGTATTGCCTCTTTGTCCTAAGTTGTTTCAAAAGCAGTGAATGTTTGCCGGTCATGTTTAGAGCTTTGCATGAAATCACGATTAAATCAATCCGATTCTAATGTAGAAATCACAGAAATTTTTGCTAGAAAATTTTACATCACACAATCTTTTGCTTTTTCATTATGAAAGTTCATATCAGTAAAATTCTTTGGAAATTTTTTGCCAATTTTTGTGAAAATTTTGCTTTGAAATTTTGCAGTTCATTAGCAATTTTTAATTTTTGTCAAACATTGTGATTTTGAAAATACATTAGTGAAGGGAATGGGAGCCAATGATGCAATGAGGGCAGGACTTCAACCAACTTTGAACAACACCACATGTTATTGCTCTATCAGCTGAGCTACCCAGTCACAATTTACTAATTTCCAAAATATTTTTAAGGGATGAAGTGAGAAGTTTGATTGACAAAAAGAATCAAGGGTCATCAACATTGGCAAAGTTTGAGGAAGAAATGAATGAGGTAGGCAAATAATAGGTTGATAATATTTCCCATGAGAAATTATTCAGTTATTGTCTGTCATGATATTTGAGGCATGCCTTGCATGGGCTCCGACAAAGGTTGAAAAGTGGGGGGGGGGGGCCAAGGGAAAATTTAACACCCATAACAAAAGATTTTGAAAAAAACTCTATTGTTTTGCAAAAAAGTGGGGGGCCAAGGCCCCCCTGGCTCCCCCTTCACCGGAGGCCCTGCCTTGGCGTACTGCCACCTTCTTCACTGCTATCAAATTGTAACTACAAAGATATCCAAATTTGTATTTTCAAACCACTTAACTTTTAATGGAGACAAATGATCATGGTAGATTATTCTCTAGAGACAGACAGGCCTTTTAAGTTTCACATGGGCAATCGCCATCCCTCTCACAAAATTATGGATGTGAGCTTTCAACCGTCCTTGCAAAAACATGTATCGCCAGCAAGAGAAAAGTAAAACACTTAGGGAAAAATTAGCAGTAATGTCAGATATCCATAATCTGCAACAAATTTTTTTGAAATTTATTGCTTCGTAAACCTTGATTACCCGTATCAAATGTTGGTTACACATGAGCAGAAACAACAAATGCTAATAATATACGACAACAATAAGAACTGGACCATAATGGAAAGAAATGCTATAATAAAAAGAGTCTTGAAGCTCCAAAAGAATCTGAAAACATAGATAATGCAATCAAGGAGGACAAGAAAGAGAATTGTTCAACCAGTTGGAATCTGATTATGATTCATACTCTGAAGAAGAACTTTAAAACATTGAACTTCTAGATGGTGGCTTTGATTGATTTCAAGTTTTATCTTATGTTTTTACTTAGCTGGTTAATTTAAATGTATTTTCTTTTTGTCTGTCCCTAAAAGTTACGGTATTCCTGAACGAAGGGTAAAGTTGTTAATGGAAACAAAGGGTCATTTCCTCACTTTTGACATTATAAATCATTGCATCAAACATTTTGGTTACAAACTGGCGGTAGTCATGCATTTAGAAAATCAAAGGTTAGGCAGTCGTAGGTAGATAATACCCTGATTCCCCCTCAGGTCCTGAATGACTTTGTATAGCCAATAATGTTGGAGGTGGTTTGTTACCCTTACAAAAGTTTCTTCTCGAAAAGGCCTGAGGTATAACACCTCCAGTTTTGACAGTTTTTCATTTTTATTTTTAGGCTTACAGAAAACGGCAAGAGAAGCATAGGAACAGAATTCTGGCAAAAGCTGTAAGAATTGTTTTCCTGAACATAGGACAGTTTTATCTCTAGAAGCAACATTTTAGAAGACTGTCTACATAATGCCTTGAATTCATAAATGAGTATTCAGAACTCCTTAAAGTTCTTTTGAAACTCACCTACATATGCACAACTACTTTTTCTATGTTGCCTAAAAGTTAATATACTAGATGATATCATACTTTTTCCACTTTAAAAGGAGTATCATGTATTATCGTGACTCTTTTGTTGATATCTTTAATCTTATCCTTTTAACCGAGGAAAACAGAGTATATGCCATGATTTGAGGGTAAGGGCTAAAATCTTTTAAGTATTCTAAGATACCAGAGTCAGGGTATTGCAGTGCATTGTTGAAAGTGCTTTTTAGGAATAATTTGGATGGATTAAAGGTCTTTCGCCCAACCCCCCTCAAATTTTGTATTCTTGCTGGTATCAAAGAGAGCATAAGCATGCTTTATTTTTTATTTTTGTCACTAGAACAGAATTTCAAAGAAGAGAAAAAGAGCACGGGTGAGTAGCAAAGTCCAATTGCAAAGTAATTCATTGGCCATCTGTAAAGTTGCCTTGTGATGTTTCAAGAGTTTTATTTAAGGAAACTTGTATTTTATTTTCATCAAATGCAAAAATGGTTGACAAAATTCACAGTGAATAACTTAAGGCACACAATCTACTTCTTCTGTTTCAAGAGCTATCTGCTTCAAATTCGTATTTGACTATATGAAACTGTATTTGGTTGAATTTACATATACAATTAAGTGTAATTTAAATGTAATGCCCTAAAAGCCAATTTTGCTTAAGCTGATCTTTTAAAATGACCTTGCACTAAACGGATTTCCTCTTGTTTTTCTTTCATGTTGTATTCAAGTCATCTTCTTTGTCATCTTCCACTACTGAATCATCAATAGAACACAGAAAAAGAGCAAAGGTGTGAACTATGATAACATTGCCCAATGAATTGATCTCTAATTGCTTGAATTTATTGTTTTTTAACAGGATCATTCTTCCAAATGTAAAAGTCTTTTTGATAATGATCCTTCATAATAAACTAAAAATGAGTCTTGTCAGTCATGATCAGAGCAAGCCTTGTTTGATTATAATTTTACATGTTAAAATGATTCTAATAAATATATAATGTTTAGAATTATATAAGCTTCCATTATAAGAGGCTTCAAGTTTAGTTTAGGCCTTACATTTCTTAATTTCTTTCCTTGTTCATTCTCCGATCTTGTTAAACAGAACCATAAGATCCTATCCATTGAAGTGTTTCCTATTGCTAAGCCAATCAATATTTTGTAATTTTTACCAAACATCGGAAAAAAGGTCTATAATTCCCAAAGACCCAAGCAATGACAAACTGTGAAGCATATTCGACTTTAATTTGTAACCAAAATTTTTTTAAATGAAAATTGCTCTTTGCATTTTTGTCATGAAATTGTTTTTTGCCTTTGCATATTCCTCGTTTCTTCTTTTTAGGCAAATTAAAGAGCAATCGTTTCGCTATGGTTTTTTATAAAAATTCGAAACCTAAGCTTTAAATTTTAAAATGTTTGTCTACATAGAGATTAAAGAAAAAGACGTCAAAGAGAAGAAAGAAGTATCTCTCAAAAGAACGAGAATATGAAACTAACAGTTCTGCAGAGGATACTGACATGGTAAGAAAAGTATCTGAAATTTTGTGATTTGATTGATGCTTTTTCTTTTTAAACCCAGTCAGGTGAAGTCTAGTGAAGTTAGTTAATCAATAGGTTTTCTATCTCTTTACTGGAGAAACTTTCGGCGTCCAAATTTGTCTTTTACTTTAATTAACTGGTTAACCGCAAGATTCGTCATTGCTAAGCAACTTTTAAAGTAACAACATAATCATTTTTTACTTTTGTGTCAATGTATAATTGCTTAGATAATGTTTGAATATAATGATTGTCAGCTAATACGTCATGTAAAGAAGCAAAACAAGGATTAGTCTGTCTCGCAATAGGAGTCTTAAGCATAAGCTTTAACCTCGTTAGAAATTTAAATATTCGGTGACCCAAAATTTGGTTTGGTCCTATATCTTGACGAGCCAACACCCGAGCTTAGTGGAAGAACATAAATGACGTGGATTGGTATAAAGGCATCATAATTAGAACGGGGGAGGGAGTACGAGAAGCTCAATGAATCTGCATATTTCCATTCAAATTTTTTTGGATAGAACAAAGTTGGGATGTTTTGCCGGAGCTCAAGCATCCCCCTCTAGCTCTATTGCTTCGAGGGGCAAATCACTCTATAAAAATCTCGTACACCTTTTGTGAAAATCCTATTGTTTTATCTGAAAATCTCTAGAAATCCTTTTGTTTTAGGCAAAATCTCGTACGCTATTTGCAAGAGTGAATCGCCCCTCGTATTGCTTCCAACTGCCCCATGAAATTAGTTACGGGCCGAAATTAGAAAGACGACGATGTCTCGGTTGAAACTGCTACCAGCGTGAAATTTGCTTGTTGCCTTCATGTGGGTTTAGTATGCTTATTTAATCTCCAGACTTAATCTAAGGAGATTTGTGACCTTAATATCCTGGAATTTAAAAGACAATTACACTAAACTCTACCTCATTGAAAGATGTTAATGGAAATGGGTCTATCGTGTATGAAATGGCCCACTTATGATAATTTTTTATTAGAAATGATGTCACAATATACGTAATAACAGTGAAAATATGGATGCGAACAAAAAGCAAAGTCGTGCAAAGGGTACTAGATAAGAGCATGTATATTTGAATGAATTCTGTCTAGTTTCTACGTTGTCTATCTATTGTGCGTGTATCTGTTCTTATACCTAATTTCAAAATAATTTTTACCACGGCCGAGCCCCTTTTTTTAGAGCCGCTTTTGTAAACCCCCTTTAGTAATTTTGTGATCATCTTCACGATGCAGGCGATGTTCACCGTTTGCCTCACTAAATTTTGAGAACAGGCAAGGTTGTAAATCATCCAAAAAGCACCCCTTCGTAGTGGCAACACATCAGATAACTGTCGAGAGTGCATACGTATTAAAAGTGAAAAGTTCAAATTGACATCTGTCACTTTTTCGTTAGGAGAGGGAAGAAAAAACCAAGAGGCAAAATAAATACAACAAGCTGGGAAAGGAAAGTGACACCTCTGAATGGGAAGAGGTGACTGTAAGTGTTTATTAACATTCTTTTTTTTAAATATCTTGTGCAAAAATATTTACTTAAAAAGGGTTCAACAATATTTTAAAACCGAATTCAATTAAAGCAAATTATACATGGTTGCTTTAATTCCTAAATTTCAATTCTGGTGCTTTGTTTATATATCATTTTACCTTCCAGACAGAGAAGACAAAAACCCGGAAGAAAAAAAAATTGAAGAAAAAGAAGAAGAAGAATCGATGATGAGTTACCTTTTGAGCTTGAGTTTTGCTACCTTAGTTGACCAGCTGTCAGTCTTGTTCATCAGGGTGGCTTTTTGAAAGATATGAGATCTACCACAGGAGAATTCGCAAAGCCGCCTGGTTTTATGAAACTGTTTCGCAGGAATCACGTTGATGAGATTTGTTGGTTTTTGTTTTGCCTAATCATGGACGCTAGGGGATGTTTTGAAGGGAAAAGAGTAACGTAGATTGCAAAACCACTAGGATTTTCCATCTTAAGCGTCAACCTGATATCGCTTTTTATTGGTTCTACTGGAAGCAAGAGAACATTTGCATTCACTCTGTTTACATGTTGTGATCCCTAGAGAGATCGCTGAATTTTATTTCTCTGAAGCACCAAGAAGCACTTTTCAGACTTCTTTTTTAAAGAAAACTTTACACACAATGGATGTCACTAAGTGGAGCTGGTACATCAACGAGATGTTTTCACCACGCCTATGGGACCATATTTTTTTGTGAAGTGAAGGGGATTTCGAGTATCACTCTGAACAAATGAACAGCTTGTAAAAGATAGTCTCAGGGACTGAAACAAACACAGAAGTAGCTTAAGACTTGGGCAGAATCTTGCTTGCTCAAGCTATCGTTCACTAATGAAACATTCTCAACGCATTTTCAGTCCATGAGTTCATTACAAAATTGTTGAATTTAATATTTTGCTATATTTGCAAATTCAGTTGCTTTATGGGTGTATTTGCATGCCTGTTTTCCTTCCCACATAAAAATTTCAGGGTGTTAGTCAAGCTGACGTAGAGCAAATTAAGTTTCGTGGGATTTCGTGAAATTGAAGTTTTCAGTATGTTAAGGACCCATAGCAAATCAACTCAGCTAAGGATTTAAGCACTTTTTGGCATCTTTGTGCTACTTACTGTCGTGCTGGAAATATTTATATGACTCTAAATTCTTTTTAACTGCTGTTCAATATAGTTTGCAGGAAGTGTGTGCTAGAATGCTTGTGAACACCTGACCACTTTTAAATGACAGTAGCTGAGCTGTCCAGAGGAAAACTTCATCTTACAAAAATTCTATTATTTACAATACCTTTCTACAAAACTGGAAACTTCTTTAACATAATTTACGAATCCATTCATCCGACTGACGATTTCGTCGTTAGCTATTTCAAGGTACGTCGAGTGAAATGCTTCTACGAGTTGTTCAAGGTCAAAAATTACATTCTTCATTTTACACTTGATATCTTCCTGCTCAAACAGCAAACCCACGGGCTCAGAAAGTGTTTCCTTGCTGATTTTTAAATGCTCTCCTGGAATACACGTGATTTTCAATCGCCGGAACCAAGCCTCTATTACTTCCATTGACTCACGATGATCAGTCTCACTCCTTCTGTCAGCATTCTCCTTCAACCTTGTAAACGACTTTAGAATTGTAAACCGAGGCTCCATGAGATCAACCAACATCTTGATAAACTGTTCGTAATCTAACCCAGCAGTGCATTTGAGTAATAACTAAAATGTTAACAAGACTCGTTAAATCATCTAATCAGTTATAAAAGGTACAAGCCTGACTCTGCAAGCTACCAAGAACAACACGACCAAAAATAAATGAGACTGAAACTCAAAAAGAATAATATATTTAGAAAAATTACAGATGTATCCGTTGTTTGTCCGTGTGGCTAGAATTTCTTGAGTATGCACGAAAACGATCAATAAATAAAATGTATAGCCATGAATAGTAGGATAAAAGTTTTCAGGCATAACCCTTCATCGTTAATAATTTTTCTTCTTTTTCGATTTCTTATTATAGGGCAGCTGTTATACACTGCGATACAAAAATTGAAAGGTGGTTTCTTCCTGTGAATTCAGGACTTGGGAAATTTGAGATTCCCTCAGATTAATACAATGCTTGACTAAATATAGAAATTATTGGCCAGTTTAGAATCTATTAGAGAGTACTTTTGCATTGAACACGAGTTGAAGATAAACATGGCTATAAACATCAGAAATATTTACATGCTCAAATATTGAATGTTATCAGAAGTCGGATATAACAATATTTCGAACCTAACAGCTTAAGCTTAGTTTCATCAGTACCTGGCATTGGTCAACCCACCCATCTGTTCCTCTGAATTCTGATATTTCCTTCTCCACCTGTAAAAGAAGTTTCTCAAAATTACAAGCAAGCGTTTTAAGATAGGCATTGTAAGATAAGACAGGCATTGTCTTTTAGAATAAAAAGACAAGATTAATTTAGTAATTTAAGTATCTTATAATGAAAACTTCAGACTTGATTATATACAGCAAGGTATCAAATTAAAAAGTGTGGTAGGAAACTGCATTTTACCAAAAGAAGTTCTGCTTTAAGGTGTTGAAACACAAAATTTATTCCATATGCATTTGTCCAGTTGTGGTTTATTGAAATAGTATGGTCCTAAAACAAATAGAAAGATACGCTTATATTTTACGTTTTATAGTTTGGTTACAATTATAGCAGCAATCTGCTAACGTAAATTCTCAAATTGGACCCCTCAATTTGATGATTTTTGCCATCTGGGGTTGCGTATAGCGTTTTATTGAATTATCACAACAAATTCATACTTTTGGTAGTAATTAATTAAATGCTCATAAAGAAATTTCTACTAAAATAAACGAGGTATTTTAATAATGTCTTCTTAACGTCTACAATAATTTTATAAGCCCCCCCCCTCATATAAGCCCCCCTCGAATAAGCCCCCATCCAAGAATATCGAAAATAAATAGGCCATCAGGGGGCTAATTTGAGGATTTACAGTCTAACATTGGTTCACAGGTTCGGTTGGGACTTTGAGACCGAGAATCAGGGGCGTCGTGGCAAATGAATTCTAGAGGGGGCCAGAAAGAAAAGTTTTTCGACAAAATTTCTTTGATCTAGATAAATCAAATAGAATCGCTAATTCTTGAGGAATCATTTTGATTTGTGGAAATCTAGTATTTTCTTTACAAAAGTGAATTGCTTCTCGAAATTACGGGAAGTTCTCCAAGTCAAGTTCATATCTTAAAAATATGTGCACTTAGACTGATGATGAAATGAAGAACAAACAAGCAATTAAACAATTAATTACCAAATTATGAACTTGATGATGCCAGCAGCTAAAAAGAAAATGAATATTGACAGTAAATTCACACTTTCTATTTACATGATCCTTTGCCCGAGATTGTCTCAAATAAATGCTCAAAAGGCACCTATTAATTGGAATGTAGGTTAATATTCGCATAGGAAATAAAATATTACAATGCAAAACTTTACAGAAAGGTTGAACAAAAATGCAATTACCTTGGAATAAAGACAATTTCACCCTCCTCCTGGATAATTTCAATTGGTTTCACTGCCTTGTGAAACTTAGGATATTTCTTATTATCACTCAGTTCATTACAGGTAACATCAAATGGCAAATTGCCATTCAAGTCTTTCAGATTCTCCTCTTCTCCAGGAGGGAATATTAACCACTTCTTTTTACCACATATATTTGCAGACCAACTATAAGATCTTAAAAGAGAAAAATTAGAGGAATTATCATTTGAGACATTCAAGAGGGTGGGAATTAATGAAGAAATTGATTTCATCACTAAAACCCATTAGTTGCAGGGACACTACTGTGTTGGAGCATGGCACCCCTTTTTGGGTGCGTCATCAGGTATTGTCAAGTTTGGGTGCATCATCAGCAAATTTTCAGACTTGGTTGGCAAATACAGGACAGCTCAACTAGCTTGTTGGAAAATGGGATAAGAAACCGCCAATGAGCACAATATCCAGCAAAGCCCCATGTAGTTGAGATGTTTATACTTAACTAAGAGAGACTTATTGACAAAGCTCAATACTAGTCGGAAAAAGTATACCAAGATGTAGATAATAATCTGGGAATAATTTAATAAATATTCCCAAAAATTGCAAAAATAATAGATGTGAAGAAATAGATGTGATCTGAAACATTTGTGGATTATAATATTATAATACATTCTATAGATAACATAATCTGGCAAATGTTAAACACACCTCAGTACATCAGCATGAAATGATGTCCTGTCAGATACAAGAATAAAAAAAGTCAGGTAAATAATATATCTACAATTTTGTTCTTCAATATAAAATGACAACTAGTTTGGATACAAAAGCAGTCAACTGAGATGTACGATATGCAAATTGAGACTCACCATGTACCTTTAAGACTCACCATAAGCAAATTCAGACTCACCATGTACCTTTAAGACTCACCATAAGCAAATTCAGACTTACCATGTACCTTTAGGCCCCATATAAACAAATCTGTAGTCATCAGTTGTTGATGTGTTTTGATCATACCACTCATTCAACCAATCGGCTTGAAAATATTCTAAAACTTCATAAGCTCTGTAATCAGGATATTCTCTAAAAAAATAGTATTTAAAAGTCTGATTTTACATTTATATCTAGAATAACAAAAAGTGTTTAGATATCTCATACCAGTCATTTTAAGATTTCATAATTTTAAAAAAACAGCTCATAAAATATTTGTGTGAATGAATTTCTACACATGCAATTTAGAGAGAAAAAAAATCATACAGTCAAAGAATTGAAGGATAATTATTTTAGATCATGATACAGAAAAATGAAAAAAACATTGAAATTACCAAAACAATCAAATACAAAAAGCAAATAATTAAAAGACATTCTTTATGCAACATATAAAAATATGAAAGACATCAACTGACATTGTTTCTCAAATTCATAGACAAAAACTGATTAAAATCCAAACTTCCATCAAATTTGTGACTCATCACAGCTGTGCTTAAATTTACCTCTGAAAATGCCAGTCTTTTAAATAAAGCAATCTGTCATCTACAACTAAAATAACAATATCAAGAATTAAGTTTGACCAAAGAAAGTTTTAGCTGCCAAAAGAAATTGGTCAGTTATCAAAAAGTGGTTATTTGAAATGATTAATGACATAAAGTTACAGATATAAATGAAAAAATTCTTAAAATTTACTCTTCTCAAAGTGTTTTTGCCTAGCTGCTTTTCTGTGTTGACACTCATTTGAATTGCATAGCCTAGCACTGTTTTTGGATTGCAACAACTTAATCAGGAAATCCAACAAAAAGGGGATTTATTAAAGCTGCTTTAAATTATGAAGGAAGAGTATAAACTTTTCTAAGCTCCTGAAGGGCAATAAAATTTGGTAAAATTTTCCAACCTGAATTTGTTATAACTTGCACCCAATAATCTAGAAACTGCTTGAAAGTCATTTCTTCTTTCTCGTGAGCATTAAAATGCCTTTTGCTACAATCTGCAACTGGAATGATGCAATCCCCTAAATAAAACATTTAAGAATGTTTTATTTGTTTATCATATATGAGAAAAAACTTACAAGCATAAAGCTTAGTAACTTTTACCAGAAAGTATGCAAAAGCAGATGTTTTTGTCATTTCATATTGCATTAGGAGTTTGTTTGTTTGTTGTTTCTGTTTTGATTTTTTTGGCATTTTGGTCAACATTTTAAACGTCATTGATGGGAAGGTTTAACCATATATTGATTAAGGTAATGTGCTCTTTCAGTATGCAGAGCATGGTGGTGGCACACGCAAGATGCAGACATGGTATTGTTAGGGGCACACCTAAAACCTAGCTTAATGAAATTTAATCCAGAAACCTTGATAGTTCTGGCCCACTTGGCATTTTTGCCCACCCGCAACTGAGGTGCATGGCTGTCGGTATACCCAAGATCTTGCCAAAAACGGTCATATTTCTGCAAACTGGGTACTTTCAAAGTTTCAAAGGTTTCGTTATGGAGAAATTATCATGCAATGAAATAAATTGAAAAATTGCTTTTAATTTTATGTCAAATCGAACATAGTCATCAATTATTGTCTATTGACTCTTAAAAATATTCCTCAATTCATTTCTTGCAATCCCTTCTTTGCGAAAACGAAACTAAGTTTAGGAACAGAACTGCTGTTTTGAAAAATCACAATTACCAAAATTATCAGACAAGTATTTGGCATTGGGCTTCCCATCTTTTACCCATTCAATTCTACTGCGCCACCCCTTTGTGAACTTTCCAGAGAACACACAGGGTTTGTTTAAACGAAGGTATCTTTCTTGAAATTGTTCGAGACTTAGTTCCGTAGATATTCGCTCAACCATTTTCCAAGCAAAAATCCGTAAAACAATAAATTGTCATTATCTAGATAGCTATAACTGTTTTGGTGAATACACGATTCATGCGAGCCTTAACATTGTCAAGAGAAGATTTCCACCTTCTTCTCCACAAAACAACTCTCCTCACTAAAGGTGGCAAGGCTATATTAAGGTAGAACAAATCTTGTGTTGGTGACGACTTTCCGGTGTCTTTTAGAGAGATCAGTTGTTGTGCCCTGTATACAAACACTTGACTCAAATTGGTGCCAGCACTTTTTTGAAAGACTTCATATTTGAATATTCAATAAAATTTGAATTAATTTTTCTTATCATTATTTCCGTTATATTGCAGTTCTTATTCTTGAATTAAATAAATACATGGGTTCACAGGGCCCTTGCCACCGGGGGGGGGGGCGGAGTGGCTATGGCCCCCACTTTTTGCGAAGCAAGTAGTTTTAAAGCTGCAGTAAAAGGGGTAAGAAGCCTTGGGCCCTACATTTTAGCCTTGACCCCCACTTTCAAATTCCTGGCGCGGGCCCTGATTCAGCATCAGCACTACAGAGCAAACCATAGAAATAGTAGCGCTAGAATGCGCGGTCTATCACGTGACGCGTGCGAACTATGGGGATCCAAAATGGTAGCAACAAGTTGGCAAAAAAATACGCGGGAAATCACAGCGGACAGTATTGCCTACCCCTGTCACCGTATACGCGCTTGAATTTCTAATTAATCTAATACACTGTTGCTAACATTGAATGATAATCGAACTTTGATAAAAGAAATGGTAGTGTCGTGTGCTGTTTTCGGCTGCCAGAATCGATGGATTCCTAAAAAAGACTTGCTTCCCGGTCAAACAAACATATCGTTCTACAAGTAAGTAGGCCCGTTGTGTGTACTGTGTTTCTCGTTATTCTTGATAGGAATTTGAATAGAAAAAAATATCTTCCAAAAATTCTATGATACTTTTATTAACTATTCGAAATGATTTTCATCATTGATATTTCTACTATGTTTACAAACAGACAGTAGGTACATAAAATCGGGAGGGCAGTGAACCAAATTAAAAGTCATCTTATGGTTCGTGGCATTAATTCCTCAAAGAGGGTGCAATAGGTGAATTTACTCGGCTGCCGAAGATAAATTCTCCTACAATTTCTTATATTGTAGCAAAATTTCCTAACAAACTTTGGTGGAAGGGGGAACATGAACGTATTCTTATGTATTTCAGTAAATACATACTTAAATATGTGGAACCATATATCTCTTTATTTAATGAGTTCATGAGGAAATCCATAGATGGGGTAACATTTCCATTCCTATTCTGTTTTTTTTATACTGGATTATAATAAGCAGGGGTGGGGGGGGGGTGGTTGCGAAAAACTACTGACCTGAAGAAATACCATGGTATGTCCCTATTGGGTACTTTTTAACAAATAACCCTAAATGCAAAAATATTGAAACAGCTCATAAGTGAAGCAATTAACCTCCTTGCTAGAAGGGAAGCTAAAGTTCATGCAGTCATCTTTGATTGTGCTCTTAAGAATGTTAGCATGGATGAGAAACTTGGATGTGATATAAAAAACCTTTGCACATTATTTCCATATCCATCAAACCCCAGTGAAAATATCTTTGTAATTCTTGATACCTGCCACATGCTGAAGCTTGCAAGAAATGCCTTTTCCACCATCAAGATCTTTTGTACCCCAGCTGGACAAATAATATCTTGGTAGTATGTTCTTGCACTCTATAGAACACAAAAAATGACATACTATCAGTGTTGCAGCACAGACTTTAAGCCATTCTGTGGCATCTGCAATAACTTTTTTGAGAAATCTGGGGTTGCAAGAATTTAAGGACAGCAAAGCAAGCAGCGACTTCGTCCTTCTGATGAACAATATCTTTGATATGCTTAACTCAAAAAGGAAACTTGGACAGCATACAAAGAGACCTGAAAACAACAACGCTGTTTACATATATTAATTTGAACTGGAAAAAGTTGATTCAAAACTTCGAAATTTTGTCAGAGACCTAACGGCTGGGATTTGATTTCAAGGTAATTTAAGCTAATTTTGTTATTAGTCTCGAATGCATCAAGTTTCAACAAGACTTTCTAGACACTGAATCGCGCTGTTGTTGACAATTTTGTTTACCAGTAACTTCCGCGTTTCTGCTAGGCCAAAAACTTGAGGAATTTATTAAGTACTACTCAAAAATAATATCGCATACCCATTTATAATGGTTGAAGGTTGTCTAATGATAATAAACTTGAAATTGAATAAATCCATAATTAATTACTAAGCTGCCCTAGGGAAGGAAATTTGGTGAAGAAAGGAGTCCAAACAAAATACGAAGAAAAACCGTAAACGACTCGCTGTGGCGTAAGGAAAAAGTAAAAACGTCCCTTACCTTCTTCTATTTTGGCGCTGGAAAGTTTTCATGAAATTTTTCTCCTCATATCACCACGTAGAATCGGTAAGTCCATAACTTCTTATTTGTGTACAACGTACGCCACAAAAGCTTTTTGCCAACATGTTGCTACCATCTTTGCTGCCCATTGGTATTACGCAGGAAACAATAGGCGAACAATAGAGCGCGCATTCTAGCTCTACTATTTCTATGGAGCAAACCGACTTGTTTTGATCCGGGTTCGGATTCGGTCCGCGCCCAGAATCTGTCTGTACTCCGCTGACCAAATGTTTCAAAGTAAGAGCTTCCCTCTGTTACGCATTAATATGTTGACGAAGTAAGGTTTGTATTGTGTAGGCTATATTAACCGAGACTTGCTTCTAATATCAAGTCATGGAAGGTTGCCCAAAGGTGCTGATGATAAGCTTTGACACAAAAGAGCCGGCTGCAGCAGATTTCACTGCTCCAATTACCAGCGTAAGTATTGATAAAATCATTTAGGCCCATTATTGTGAAAATAGCTTTGACAACTGAAAGTGTATGAGTAATTAAGTGAGATGAACGTATTATGAATGTTAAATTGTTCGTGATATATGCTAAACAAAATGCTTGCTGCATAGAAGTTTTCTAAATATGCAATAAGTCATGATATAAAATAGGCACAGTTCTACCTGAAGTCAAACAAGGAAACTGGTGATCAGAGTTGGGTCACGAATGCCATTGCTGTGACACGACACAGGCTTGCAAATTTGTCAAGGTTCACGCCATTTGTTTGCTATAATAAAACAGAAAGATTCCAAAGTTATAGATCTCATACCTAAAAAAAAGACATTTAGATACTTGTTAATGAAATGAAAATATAGCTATAAAATCCAGAACAGTATTTCTGATAATTATGACTGAGAAATTCACATGGCATAATTTATATAGATGATAGTGTAGTATTCAGGACACTTCATTAGTTATAAAATAAACTTTTGAAGATAGATAAAGGCCTGTGAGATATGGAGGGAGAAATATGTGTGAGAAAGAGAGCTTTAGAATAGCTCAAGAGATTTTTTGTAAATTTAGTCTATATTTTTGGTTGTGTCTACACTAGGTGAGCAAAAGTATTACACCACTTCGATGAATTAATAATGGCATCAGCGTTGAGAACAACATGCCATTCAAAACTCAAACTACTTTTATGAAGCCATTAAGCGTTATTCCATGATTAAAACTCAATCAAACAAAACTTAAAAACCATTGGCAACACTTTCTATTTTAATTTTGAGCAAAATATCTTTTTAAAATATCAAAAAAGTAAACTTTTGACTGGACAGTCTCGAAGCTTTGAAACCCTTGTAGAACTTGTTAAATTCAATTAAAAACTTTTGCAGCAGGTTACTTTTGAATGCCACATGATAGATTTTAATAAACTTTGGCAAGATTACATTTAGATGTTTGTGGTCCCAGAAGATCATTGTTGGCCTTGAATTTAGCGAAAAGTGACACTTTTACAGCCGTTTTCTAATGAGGGTTTTTTAGACACTGTCGAGTCACTGTTTATGACTGTTTATCGCAGAAAATTTGGTATTTTCATTCAAAGAGGAGATGAAATGCTGTTTTGAACATATTGCTGTAATGTTTGTTCCCTAAACAACATTGCAATTGGCTGGAAGAGATGGAGTTAAAGGCTACTGATATGTTTTATTGATGTAGGTATTCTGTTGGAACATGGTATCCGAAATTAGGCCTTTTGCAGTACCTTGATAAATTTCCCATTATTCCCCACCCTAAAGGTCATTTTAAAACGTTAATTCAACTTGCTTTAGCTATTTGAATTTCGATTTGCTATAAAAAGTTTATGACAGTGCAGCCATTTTGTAGGGGGGTAGTATACTTTTTTCTTTGTTTTTTACATTTTGCTTTTAAATATCTAAAGATTAATTTTCTCCATTTTAGTATATTCAGGATTTCTATCATGAAAATCCTGATTCATACAAAAACGAAATACAGCAAATCAACCAACTCAAAAAGGTAAATTTATTCATTTTTCATTAATCAAGACAATCTTGTTGAGTTTATGGTACAGAATCAGTATTTAAAGTCTTTTTTGAGGTTATAGAAACAAGGACCAATAACAATCTGTTAGAATAGTAAAATTTTCGTTTGAGGTTGTTGTGTAGCAAGGTTTCAAATTATATCACAGTAAAGATCCAATCGATAACAATAGTCCATGTCATGGGGCCAAGTATTTTATAAGATATTTATCAAATAAGTTATTTTGAAAATATTATCTGTAGATGTTGGTCATCTTATTTCATGTCAGTTTTATTTGATGTCATCAGAGGCTAGTCAAACATTCCTCCTGTCAGTTTTATTTGATGTCATCAGAGGCTAGTCAAACATTCCTCCTGTCAGTTTTATTTGATGTCATCAGAGGCTAGTCAAACATTCCTCCTGTCAGTTTTATTTGATGTTATAAGAGGTTAGTCAAACATTCTGCCTCGCAAACTTTACTAGGATGAAAAATAACCCTAGTTCTTACCATTAGAATGGGATCTCATTTGAACTGACTCCTACAGCTGACTAAATTAATAGAAGTTTTAATTTTTTAATTTTATGCAAGTTTATTTAAGATTAAATATGAATAATTAACAAGTAATGAGGAGATTGTCTTGACTTCTTAAGAATCATTAGCTTGTTCTTGTTATTTAACTTTCTTAGATTTAGGCACTTGATATTTTTGATGATTTATGGTCAAAGCAATTGCTCTTCATTCTGGTCTTCTTCGATTCTCAATGTGTACATCATCATTAGCCTCAATGTGAATTTGAAACTTCTCAGAATATAAACGCCTGGTTTTTTTCAAATATCAGGCAAACTTGATTTTATATTTGATTATATTAATAGTTGTATTTTAGATGTAACAGTTGAATTTGAATTGCCTCCAGTTTTCATGAGATAGTTAACATCATGCATAGCAACTTCATAAAACTTACCTACCACTTTTCATAGAGTTTTATTCATATTCATTTTTAAAAATCAATACACTGCATAAAGTTACGCCATAATTTCGCATTGTTCCTGGCAACTACTTCTTGATAGTGCTTATTGATTGATAGTCATGTCAACATTAAAAGTAATCAGGTGATACTAGAGGGGCTTAACCATCCTTTAATCAAGAATTGGCCAATCAGGAGGATAATGATTCCACTCACACACTTATTGATTGGTTAATATTGATTGGCAGATGGCTTAAGCTACTTTTGTTGATGCAGTTGCATGAGCTGACAACTTTTCACATACATTATAATGTCTAATCATAATTGATCATAATTAGAATTAATGCATTAGCTACCTCTGACCCTTGAGACTCCAACCAAACCTTTTTAGCTAGTCAGTGAAGTTTAGATCAATTTTCTTAATTTGTCACTGTAACATGCTTTAAGCCCTTTAATTTTCAATGTTCTGATGTTTTGTACTCTGAGTGTCAGACGAAAAGCTTTAGTATACTCAAATGTTTGCTTCTTTCAGACCATTTTTAAACTTTGTACCACAAAAGATTGTTTGCATTTGTTAATTCCAAAACAAAGTAATCAAATTAATTGTTAGTTTCACCTCTAGATTCTGGATCTAGGACGGTTGATGATGTCAGAAGTACTTGTTGTCTCTCTGACAGACTGCAATTATTTTGTTTTGCAGAATATATCAAATGTGACAAGGGATAATCAAGGCTGCAGTGCATATAGAAAATACTATGCACAACTTCAGTTTTTGCAATCAAGGTTCCCTATGGGATCAGGTGGAGCAGCTTCTCTTCCCCTTGTATGGTGAGTGATTTTTGTAGTAAAGTAACCTTGATAAGACCAGTGTGGTTACAGCCCAGCTTGTACTGCGCTCAAAATGAGTTTGTAAAAGGTTTTGTTGCTTATTCATGCATTTAAAGGCTCTTACACAACTGGATTGCTTTGCGATCATAATTCAAAATACCAGCCTAATATCCTATTGCATGGAAATGCTAAACACAGTCTATTTCTCAAGACAACTGCCATTAAGCATGCCATTTGCACAAGAGCCTCAAGTGGAAAACACATTGACATGATCAAGGAGAATGATTATACTGCCATAATAATATCACAAACATTAGTCGAAAGTTAAAAATTTGATGCTTTATTTCCTAATCTACTCATCAATAGATTGATTTTTGCATTAGATCAATTCCTGTTTTAATCAATTTTTATCATTTGCAAATCTTGTACAAATCTGACAAAACTAAGAAAAACTCTTGTGCTATATTTTGCAGGTATGATGTTTACACTGGGGATCCTGTGACGCAGAAAGACATAAGATTTGAGCAAGCTTGTGTTTTATTTAATCTTGGTGAGCCAGCATTTGTTGATTTTTAATATTTCATCAATATTTAATCGTGCTTGCCACTAATGCTGCATATTTACGTTTTTGACCTGTTTCCACAAACCAGATCAAGCTTACTCTGTTTTGGAAATATATATCTTATTAATGATGCGTGAACCAATGTTGAAATTTTACTTGTGGTTTTAAAGTTTTGGAAAAGGGCAGACTTCTCCTTGTACTTGTATTGGTCAGTGCCTTTCAGATAGACTCCAAGGAACTTATAATGGAAAAAGTTAATGTAGGATAAATGCTAACCACAAGCTGGTTAATTGCTTCCTCATTATGTAATTAAAACAGTTTCTAAAGCCCTTCACATTGTGTATACTTTCCTAAATATTACTTTTACTGTAAGCAGTGCTGAACAACAATTTGCACAATGTTCAGACCTTGCCCAGAAAGGCACTGGATCAAGTGCGAGCGCCTAGAGGGCACCCAAAAAAGGTCTTGGAGAGCAATTTATAGAGCCCCTCAAAACGTAAAGAAAATATTACCACGGAGCAAATGAATTTTTGACATTTGTTGAATAAACATGATTATGCATAAACAATCTTCCCAACAGACTGCAATATATTGATTTGCGTAAGATTACCTCTTGAGAAAAATTCAGCAAATTCAACATTGGGCAAGGTCGATACCATTTTGAATCTAACAACCCTCTAATAACCACCAAGGACAGGACACAGGCCATCAAGCATATTCTTTGGCAGATTTATTAAATTCTCAAGCAAAAGTTGAAGTATTACTTTATGTTTTTTCTTAATAACTTAAAATCACCTGTGCAAATCAACAATCACATTTCCGCTCAAATTATCGCATTGCTTCCAAAGCTCTCAAAGGATGCTCTCAAGGACATTTTATTTAGTGGTGTGACATAGAGGCCTGAATTCTTTTTATCAAATGTCAGTTTCAGTAGTTTATCCCAAGTTTTGGTTGCTTTTGGACAATCTGGCCTCTTTGCATCGTTGCCCCTTCTTACATACAAAATAATTTAAAGCCTCCTATTTATTGGCCACCTTTAATTTAAGGTATTATAAATATATATAATTAAGCCACATAACTTGAAATTTGCCTACAAGCTTCTTTTTTTATAAATGTTCTTTTATTTTAGGTGGGCTATATTCACAGCTTGGAGCAAACGAGAGTAGAACATCTGACGAGGTAAGAGGTGCTAGATTTACATTCAAGACAATTTGCATTGTTCTCACTGCAGTTCATTCATTTGTGACTCTTGGTATCTGCTACCTTTTTGTTTGTTTGAAATGATTAAGTGACCAAAAGACCTTTTCTTATTCCCTGTCACCTATTTTCTCAAAGGGCAATCAGGTTTATGCTTTTGTTTTACTTTCAGAGTATGAAAGTTGCTTGCACATACTTTCAGTGTGCAGCGGGTGCATTTCAGTATCTTAAGGTATGTGTTAGGAATTCAGGAATATCCTTGACTGTATCATTTTGATTGATCAGCCCTCTTGTTTCATTTCCTAGTTATCCTAAGAATAGATTTATCAAGAGTTATCAGAAGAAGAGATCTTAACAGGTAGTCAGTAAGGATAAACACAATCGAAACAAGGGATCTTCTCTCCTCTTCCTGTCAGTTGTTAACCTGATAAACTTTGATTAAGCGTCATCAGTAATGGAGCATAAAATTCAACAATATAGTTCATAGCATTCATATGATTTGAAATTCAAGAACATGAAATTTGTATTGAATTTACTGTTGTTTTTATTCCATAATGAAACCAGTAATGTCTTCATAAAATGGATAGAAAGTCTTTTTGTAACTTTTTTTCTAAATGTCAGGTATGTCGTCATTATTTATTCACTTTATTCATTATTTATTCGATTTTTAGGAAAATTTTTCACTTGAGTCATTTCCAGACATGGCAGGCGATGTACCAACATTGAAATCGACCATAATGCTGGTAAGTAGGTTTATTTTGTTACTCAATAATATTCAGTTCCATCAAATTTATGTGATAATAACATTATCCTAGATCTCTGTTCGCATATAACCAATGTGTTGAAACAACACAACAACGTCCTTATGACAGCCAGAAAGATGATGTGAAGATATTGTGTTTGCATTAGCAATTTTTGACCAGTTTTATACCCAGCACCCTACAAGAAAATCCAAACAGAAACGCGTTTCCTACTAGAAAATCCAAACAGAAACGTCTTTATGTTTAGTACAGACAATATTCAGTTGGCTTAGTTTTAGATGAAACCTTCCTCCATCAATAGCAGCTCCATGTCCAAATATGTTTATCTGCATTTGTTTTTTTTGAAAACATTTTTAAGATATTTCAGTATTATTTACTCATCAATTTAACATTATCTTTATTTTGTATAACCATTAAACTGAATGACCCATACAAACAGACTTCACCCTGCACCTTTTGATAAGCCAAAGATAACAGATTATCCCAATTTATTGTAGTGTCAGGCTCAGGAATGTTTGCTGGAAAAGTCAATAAGAGACAATCGAAAATGCACTTTGATAGCTAGAATCAGTATTCAAGTAAGTTATTTCACGTCACTTTGTTCTCTGAATTTTGACGTTTGTATCTCTTGATTTGCATAGCTTAAACTGCTCACTTTTCCTTTAGCACATTAAGGCATTCATTCAGACAATCATTCACCTTTCTTTAAAGGCTCTTGCGCAACCGCCACGCTTTGCAATCATATTTCAAAAGACCGGCCTAATTTCGTACTTCATGAAAACACAAAACACGGTCAATTTATCAAGACAACTGCCGCTAAGCATGCCGGTTGCGCAAGACCTTTTAAGTACACTTTTCCCTGTACTTTTTATTGCATACACAAATACCCACACAACGAGTTTGGGATCGCTTTTAGCTTCATTTTGCTGATATCACCAGATATTTACAGAATATTTAAAATTAAGCAAATAGATCTTTATGGATAAAACTGACAGAGATGTCTAAAATTTTATGTAGAATTATGTAGTAGGAATTTTTAATAGCGAAATTTGGATTTTGATAAACCTAAATCTATAACAGTTACAACATTGGATTTCATTCTGTGAAATATAAAAGGTTTTCTTACCAGTACGAGGTTTCTCATTCAGATTTTTTTTCGATGATTTTATTCTGTTTTTTTCTGCATGCAGATAAAAGATTATTACCAAGATGCAGTCAAGCTACTTGAAGGAAATGGAACCTCTGAAATGGGATCCCAACTGCGAAAGGTATCAATAAATCGAACGTATTTTCCGGATCCCTCCATCTATGCTACCTCTTCTCCACTTTCTTAAACACAACTAGCCAATTTTTGTATCTGTATAGGCTGTTTTTAAGTATATATATCTGGAGAGGTTGATCAATATGTTTTTTTCTGCTTTTTAACTACGAAAAAGTTCTGTTAACGTGTTCCATTGATTGAGGATTTTTTTCAAATCAGAAAAGTATATAATTGAGCAACTGTATTGAGCAATAAGACCTCAGTCTTTTATGGTTCTCTGTACAAATTCGAGAAATTTTAAGAGATGTTAGAGTTCTGAAGGGTGACGCCGGCAAGGTGGCAGGGGTTCCTTGACTTTTGCCATATGCTCCTGTCATATGCTCTAGTAGCTTTCCAAGCTAACAATCTGTTTGCCCCTTCAGATGTCTATAATCAGTCTAAGCTCTAAAATCATCAATTAAATCTATGTTTCTTTTAGTCTTGGACGAAACATTTGCAAATGAAGATAAACATGTATACAGCTATTGCATACGTAAGTCGTTCGATATAAATATATTTATAAATATACAATATGATATGTATGGATATAGAGGCAAATTCATCTTTTATATATATAATGTATTTGTATATTCGTATAATGTATGATGTTATGTATTTATTGTTATGTTATGTCCCAACTGAGATGAATTTGAAATTGTACGATGTCTTCTATGTTTTTGTGAAATAAAAATTACAATATATTTGTTGAGGAATTCCTTTTAATCTGAGTGTTAGAAGGGAAATTAAACCCGGGAAAGCATAGCACCGCATAGCTACGATCTTTGAAAAAATTGTAGAGATAAACTTGAATTTTTGAGAATTCATCCAAGAAGGTGATTGTAACAGAAATAGCCGTAATACCCCACCCCTAAATAAATGTTGGAGATGTAGCCACAGCGTTTTAGAGCAATAAAAAAGCCTTCGACATTGAAAAAGGGTGGCTGGGGGTATTTTGTTCCTTGTTTAAAATAACGTAATTTTTCTCTCGAAAATTACAACCGTTTTTGTCCGGGATTGTAGATATAGTTCAGTTTGTGTATTTTGAAATGAATTGTCGCTTGAAAATTTTGACGACACGTTCTTTTGTCTTTTGGCGTAGATATACATGTCAAACGAGGCTGATGAAGGCAAGAAATTTGGTGAGAAGGTATGTAGTAAGATGTTTTTCAGTTCACTGACAGCATCACTCTAATCAGCGTACATATCTACACTACGATTGAAGCAATAAAATAGCAAACCAAAAGTCTTACATCCGTTTATGCTCTAAATCACCATCAATCAGAAAAATTCAACATTCATTGATTTTTCAGCTGGCCTACTTAAAAGCTGCTTCAGAAAAGATCAACGAAGCAGTAAAAACGACAAAGGTTTGTAATTTATTTCTAATTGGTCGAAACCTCTATAATGTTGGTCAGAAATATTTGTTTAGAGATGTTGTACAAGACCACTATTGGACCTTTGTTTACACCCATTCTACGCTTGCTTTACTGTGCTCTAATCACATGGCTGTGATTCTCAAGCTAAAGCTCGATGACACCCATGTTCACTGTTTTAAATAATTTCTCTTGTTTTGGTTGAGTGTAATCTTTTTATTCTCCCCAGAATCAACCAGATCAGGTCATGGAAACTCTCAGGTTTTTACAAGATGTCGTTGGAAATAAGTAAGTTATTGATATTAATCTTTTGTTTTATTCATAATGCATGTAACCAAAGCTTGAAATGAAGAATATTGAGAAATTTGTGCTTGCAGTGTTTTAGTGCAATCTATTAATGCAAAAATTACAATCAAATCTCTTTAAGTCGCACCCTGGATAACTCAGAATTTCAGTAAGTCGGACCTATTTTCAATTTCCAATGGAATTTCCTACCTTATGCAAGTCAAAAGTCGCAGCCGGATAAGTCGGGCATTCGCCAAGTCAGACCACCTCCGAACACAGCTTGAAGGTCCGACTTAACAGGATTCGTAGTTGATTTCTGTATTTGAATTCAAGAAATGCTTGTTCTCTACTTGTTTACCAGGATGCATCATTATTATTTTGAATAGTGAGCTCCTGGTCCTTATTAGGTTCAATTATAAAATTGGTTTCTCTCTTTGATGCAGGCTTGATGCGGCCGTCAAGGAAAACGATTTCGTTTACCATGCCTTGGTGCCAGATATGGACAAGCTTCCAGAGATCAAAGGTATTCTTCTGTTGCATTGTATGATTTTTTCGCGCCACGATTAACAAGCTTCGGATGAAAGGCTTGATTTGACAAGCGTGATTTCTCACAAAGGCAGTGAAGCTAAACGCAGCCTCGTATTATTATCTATGTATATAACTTCATTGCAATCTTTTCTAAAATAACTTGATTTCCTTTTAACAATTTCCTGTTAGAGTTTGGTTTTTTGTTTCATTTTTTTTATTTCAGGAGTGTCGCTGGTGAAAGCAATGCCGTTTCAGTACAACGACCCAAGCATTTCCGGGCCTGATATATTTCAAAAGCTAATTCCAATGAAGGCTCATGAATCTTCTTCGCTTTATAGGCAAGAAGCTACTGTCTTCTTTTTTAATCTTTTTTATGAATCGTCCTCGCGAGTCTTACTATATTCATATCTAGCTAGCAGCCTCATTCGTGCAACCGTGTCTATTCGTGTCAACGTATCTTTCCCTGTATGTTTCATAACTATTTCCCTGTATGTTTCATAACTATTTCCGTGTATGTTTCATAGCTATTTCCGTGTATGTTTCATAGCTATTTCCGTGTATGTTTCATAAATATGTGCTCAAAACTTTGAAAATTCCTTCAGCCTTCTACGACCTGGGACATTATTTTTGGGTCAAACACCTACATTTTTCTCCTAAACTGTAAACTGACTCAGGTAGATCGAATCTTCTGAATGTCACTGGGCCCCTGTCCCAAAATTTAGATCATCTTCTTAGACTTATCCCTTGGACAATGTGGTTAGAATATTTTTGACGTTTTCTTCTATCTATATTCGCTTTGGTATTGCAGTGTTGTTGTTTGCAGTCTAAGCAAGGAATACAACTTTATAATATGTTTATACAACTATACGATATTTTGATATATGCATAAATGTATTTACGTCTCACCAACCAGTCGTACTTTTTGCTCAATTTTTCTTTAATGTGAATGCTGTTCTCTTTAAGAACTTGTTTTGAATTTTGTTATTATTCTTTCAGTGAAGAAAAAGCAGGCCTTTTGAGAAAGATAACATCTGAAATTGAAGAGAAAAATCTATATTTGAGGTACTTTATCAATTTTTAGATGTCCTGAGATACTTTACCATGCTTTAATAGTTTTGTTTTTGTAATATTCACGTAAGTTTGATGGTTTTAGCTCAAATGCTGATAGTGTTAAAAGAATTAATATCTGCAGCTGTATTTAGAAGGAATTAATTCACTTTATTTTGGCTCACATTGAAGTATATTACCACATTAAAGTATGGCTCACATTAAAGTATTTTTAATTGTTCGTTGTTGATTGTTGTTCGCTATGTTTCTTTAAGATTTAACATAGTATATATTCTCTTCATTCGACATATGAACATGGAAACCCTTTGAATCTTGCAGTGAATCGTTATCATCAATGCATATCGATGATCTGATGAATCCAGTTGAAGAAGTTATCCCTGGTATATATTTGCTAACGTTTTTAAACCTTGGTTAAAATGAGAGTACTCGGCCTGATTTGTCTTTGTTTCTTTGTGTGATTTTTCTAGCTTTCTAAAAAGCTAGCTTCACATAAACCCTTTGCCAATAAACTGAGATATTTTGCATTCTAATTTTCAAAAAGTGGCCTTACATCCGGGTGTGAATTTTCTGTGGATGGTACTCGAACCAGGAAGCGTATCAGCAAAAATTGAATGGGAAATCGTAAGCAAGAACCGCAGTGAAAATATCTCAATATAATACACATCTGATATGGAGCAACACGTCTATGTAGGAACATCGTCTATCTTTTTCTTCGAGCAACTTTACATGAAAATAAAACTTTATACAAATTATGATTAAATTTGATAAACTCATCAATCTCTTCCATCAATAATGTGAATTGAAACATTAGAAAATGTTAGTATGTTAAATGAAAGCTCATTATAGGAAACAATAGTTTGAACAATCATTATCTCTGCAGAAAATTTGAGCCAGAAATGCAAGGAACTTCGAAATGTTAGTGATATTGTTTCTACAACGGAAGATCAAATCAAAGGTATGAGATAATACTGTTTTTTATTCTCATAGAAATGCAGAAGTAATGGCAGCAAGTCGTATAAGCTCTAGATTTCTATCTCTTCATTATCATGTTAAAAACCAATTGTTATTCGAGGTATTCACTGTGAAATCGAACCTAAGCTTCGTAACAGATTCTTCGACCTAAGCTTCCGTAACATATGTATGCTTGGAAATGTAATTTACTAGTTGCATGATGATCAACTTGCAAGCTGTAAGTTGCGTAAAACTTTGCAAGCTGTGAGTTGCAACTTAAGACTGCCTTGCCTTACATACCGCAAGGCGTAAATCCTTGTTTTTACAGCATTGAGGACTTAAAACAGACCTGAACAGAAATCTTCATTGCTTAGTGAAGTATATTGAGTAGGAAAACGTATTTTATCATTCGCAACTGGTATGCTTCTGATCATGCTCAAATATTAAGTAATGTCCTTTTTGTAGAACTAGCAATGCTGTCAGAAGAATTTGAGGTGATTTTCAATGAAATTGCTTCTGTTTTGAAAAATGAAGAAGAGTTCGAAAGGGAAGCGAAGGTGGGTAATTTAAGATCTTTGCTTGTGACTATGTACCATTTCTTACAATTAAATAAATTCATTTGTTTTGTATACAAGCATGTGTAAAGGAACCTTGTGTAATTCATTAGAATTACAATATGTTCGTCCTTTATATGAACAAACACAGGGAAGTTCTAAGTTCTTTAATCGATAACGCATTTTCTTTGACTTTTCGCCTCGCCAGAATAGTATTGAGTACAACATATGAAGCCCAAGTTCTTAGAAATTTAGTCATCGGAAAGGTTTCACAAATCTTTTCCTTTGCCATTGATCTACAAGTCTAACCAAAAAACGTGCTATTAGATACTCTTTTTATTTGTTTGTCATCTAAATGTAAAGCTTTTTTGCATTTTGATTCAAGTTAGGAGACAGTGATCGAGGAACATCAAAAGAACTAGAGGACTTGAAAAAGGAATTCACTCAGTGCATTGAAGTGAACGAGCAAGCCGTAAGTACGGTGATAGATTGATATTCAAAATGGCTTGCGGCCTGGCAATAGCTTTACATGCATCTGATAAGGTTTATTTGTCATTTGCCAACCTCTATAATGATTAACAACTATGGCGCTATGGCGCATTTTGAAGCAAGAAAACATCGCTGATGGCTCGTTTTTCCATACCCTGAAACGTCTAAAAAATTTTGCCTGCTACTTTGTTGTCGATTGTAATGCATCTGTTATTCTAGTATCTCACTTTTTTCGTAGAGAAACACCAATATGACCTTATGCAATCATTTTGAAGAAAGCAAAGAGATCATTGAACTTCTCTGTGGCCCAGATGACAGAATTCTTGCATCACTGCCATCACAAAACTTCATTGACGGTACTGATATTCAAGTCCTTGATTGAATGTGGATAAGTAAGCTAGAAGATCTATTTTGCTGGAAAATCAATAAATTGTATTTAAAGCACTTAGGCTGAATATTATCAAAATAAGCAAACCAATTTAATTTCAAATGAAATATTAAATGCTTTACAGTGTATAGTTTACAAAATAATATCGTTTTGGTGAATGTCTGGCGAACTCCGTTGTCAGATGTCACAAGTCATTTGTGAAGCTGTCGTGAACACGGTACCCTCAATGATCGCTTGTCTTATCTGTCTAAGTTATTTGTTTATTTCGAGAATGAAAGAACTCAAGGCAAAATAATCTACATAAAGCAAATAACAATTGATTATTAACGAGAATACTTAAGACATATACTTTACTAGCTTTACTAAATTTCTAGCCCCAATTGATGAACCTGTGGTTCAGAGGATCAGAGAACTTCTCGTAAGTTTCCTCTTGCCTTTTCTTGAGATTGATATTCTCTGTTAGTATTGTCGTATTTTGGAATTATATTGATCTAATTACGTTACTGGACTAGCAGAGATCTCTTTAAACTAAGGTCTCCCCGAAAGCTAGAGACTTATTTTCTTTAATAGAGGCATTGCTTTAAATGTTATGGTAGGGGAGAGGACATTCCCAATAACGGACGCCTCACAAAAACATGTTAGTAATTGATAGTGTATATCAATTATTATTATGTGCTGGAAGCGAAAATAGTCAATCAGACTTTAAATTCATGCATACAAGCATGATGTTTCGAGTATTTTCACTGCATGGGAAGAGAAGGTGAGTATTATTTAGAGTTGCCAAGTTTTATTCTTTGCATAATCCTTTTTCAAGGGTGCTGTTGAAAAAATGAAGAATCAAAGGGCCACTGTCGAGAAGCAGTTTCGAGATCAGGTATAGAATTTCAGTTGCTATGATAAATTGAAATATTGCGATCTACAGCCCTTCTTTTCAGTTGCCTATTCGACATTTTCTACTTGCCGAAGTTTTTGAAATACTTTTGGAAGTCACTTGTAATGGTATCGGTGTGGCAAGAAAAAATAGAGAAAGGTTATTGTCTCTTATTTATGTACCTGTAAAGAATTTCATCCATCCTCATGGTTGTTAGATATCTAAAGCATTCCTGCTAAAGTTGTTATTTTTTTCTCTTCATGCGCTTCTCTTAGCTGAATAAAGATGACATCACAAGCCTACTCGTTATAAAGGAGGATGGAAACCAGGAAAACTTTTTCAAGGATCAGCTAAAGAAACACGACGAAATGGTTGCTATTATCAGGCAGAACCTAAGTGCACAAGATAATATTCTATTGTAAGTAATTTTTTATATCACCTTCTTTCATCATTTGAATGCTGTTCTTGCTGACATGTTTCTAGGAAATCATAAGCACATGGAAGTGATTACTTAGAAAAAAATAGTTTGGCAAGAGTAGAAGAATTTCCTAATCGAATAATAACAGGGTTTACAAGTATAATCGTAAAGCTGTCTGTCTTCTATGTTTTCCTGTCTCCTGCACATGTTTGTTCTTTTTCGATATCCCTTAATCCTTCAGTGATTCCCAGTAGCCAATATCTTGTCACATGGATTTTCTCAAAAACTTATCCATTTTATCAATAATTTCTCGGTTTTAGGCAACTGACAGAAGAGAACGCAAAATATGCTCCTACTCGAATCGCTGCAGTGGAAATCGCTGCTAGGTAAGTGGTTGTTTCTACTGTAATAGGGGGCAGAAACATGGCGTACTATTTATTGTGAAATAATATCTACTTTAAGATTTTTCAATACTAGAGGAGAAGCTTCTTTGGTTTTCAATATAAAGGCTCATTTAAAGCACAGACTATATTAGAGCATCTGACCCACAAATATTTTTAAAAGTATTAAAGCATAGCTTGAAATTAGATGTTTTCTAGCAATGAATACGCTTCTAGACAAATGGCTCTCAAAGTAAGCTTTCGTAATTTCTATATATATTGTTACTTTTGGTTTATTTGCAAATATCGTTGTCTTTGATAATTTTTCGCTAAAACTTTCTTTCAGACGCAATGTCCAGGTTCAAAGTTACATTAATCATACGACACTGTTCTTGGAAGTTAGAGAGAGGCTGGTGTAAGTTCTATATGGTAACCTAAATTTGTTGGGATCTAGTATTGAGCGATGCACTAGGCCAGGGATGGGCAAAACCTACGGCCGACGCGCCCAATCCGGCCCATCAAAAAGTTTTCAATGGCCCTTGGACCTTCGGAAATGAAAATTCAAAGAATAAGAATACGGAAACCTAAGATTATTGGGGTCTCGTATTTAGCGATGCACTAGGCCAGGGATGGGCAAAACCTACGGCCGGCGCGCCCAATCCGGCCCATCAAAAAGTTTTCAATGGCCCTTGAACCTTCGGAAATGAAAATTCAAAGAATAAGAATACGGAAACCTAAGATTATTGGGGTCTCGTATTTAGCGATGCACTAGGCCAGGGATGGGCAAAACCTACGGCCGGCGCGCCCAATCCGGCCCATCAAAAAGTTTTCAATGGCCCTTGGACCTTCGGAAATGAAAATTCAAAGAATAAGAATACGGAAACCTAAGATTATTGGGGTCTCGTATTTAGCGATGCACTAGGCCAGGGATGGGCAAAACCTACGGCCGGCGCGCCCAATCCAGCCCATCAAAAAGTTTTCAATGGCCCTTGGACCTTCGGAAATGAAAATTCAAAGAATAAGAATACGGAAACCTAAGATTATTGGGGTCTCGTATTTAGCGATGCACTAGGCCAGGGATGGGCGAAACCTACGGCCGGCGGGCCCAATCCGGCCCATCAAAAAGTTTTCAATGGCCCTTGGACCTTCGGAAATGAAAATTCAAAGAATAAGAATACGGAAACCTAAGATTATTGGGGTCTCGTATTTAGCGATGCACTAGGCCAGGGATGGGCAAAACCTACGGCCGGCGCGCCCAATCCGGCCCATCAAAAAGTTTTCCATGGCCCTTGGACCTTCGGAAATGAAAATTCAAAGAATAAGAATACGGAAACCTAAGATTATTGGGGTCTCGTATTTAGCGATGCACTAGGCCAGGGATGGGCAAAACCTACGGCCGGCGCGCCCAATCCGGCCCATCAAAAAGTTTTCAATGGCCCTTGGACCTTCGGAAATGAAAATTCAAAGAAAAAGAATACGGAAACCTAAGATTATTGGGGTCTCGTATTTAGCGATGCACTAGGTATGCATTAATCACTAAGGCAATCTAGGCTGTAAGGATCCACATTTTTTTAGTCAAATGCTTTTAATTCGGTCCGCAATCGACAGTCATGTCTTTGTTTATACTCATCCAATTACTGTATAATGATTTCTGTACAATGAAGTATTCGCTTTCAACCCTACTAGGTTTAACCGTTAAATGATTTTGACGCTCCTCGTGCGTCCAATCAAGTTAGACTAAAATTTGTATCTGAAACATCACGCTCCGACGAGTTTGTTCCGTATCCTTTGAATGCAACATCAAATACTTTGTTTTTTTTGTAAAAGTTTTATGAAACACTTAAGTTAATGGACAAAAAATAGAGAAAATGGAAATAATAATGGAAAAATTTTATATTTTTTAGACGTGGTTTGAAGTTTTATCGTGATCTGAAAGAAACATTAAAGATACTTGAGAAAAAAGTAGCAGAATTTTGCCGCAAGCGAGAAAAAGATAAAGTTAAGTTCAAAGAGATAAAGAAGAAAGATGGTAAGTATTGAGTCATTGAAATATAGAGCGTCTATATTTCGATTTTCTAAGCATAGTATTTTTTAGTTCACAGTATGAGGATGACGATTGAAGGAAATTCAAACTTTTAGAGAGAATTAAGGCTAAAGATAGGACCGAATACAACTTTAACTTATAAGTCCCCCTTACCAGAAAAGAAATTGGTAATTAAAGCTATGACTTAAGGCTTTGAAAAAAGGATAGATCTAATCCTGACAAACTGTATAATTTAAAAGTTTGGATTAGTTAAACCAAGTTTGAGAATTAATTTTAAGACTGCGAACTTAGTTTTTGTTATTTAATGCTTGTTGAATACAGGAAGTGACTATTTGTAACTTGTTGTTTCCTTTCAGCTCCACCTCCACGTCCGACTGCTGCTAAGCCAACATTTGACCGCTCGGCCAAGCCCACTGGCAGTCAACATGCTCCGTCATTAAGTCATGATAATATGTTTACTCCAATCTCACCGAACTTCCTACCATCGCAGCTTCCTGCAAATTTACAAAGACCACAGGGTTCAATTATGCCTCCAGTTGGTCCTTATCAAAACATGCCCCCAGGGGCTGCAAGACCACAGTTTGTTCAAAATCCCCGAATGGTAACTCCTAGCACAGTGCCTAATTCCGGGGGTAATATTCCACCAATGCCTGTCAGTCAATCTCATGTAGAAATGATGATGCGCCCACGAGTTCCTGGAACAGTCTCTGGCACAAACATCCCACAAAGGTTTGATGTTCGAGCGCCTTTGGATACCACCCAATCTATGTTTCCTGCAGGCCCTCAGAACGACAATTTTCGTCAGCGATTTCCACATGACAATCGATTACCACAAAATCAACCCCGTTTCTCAGCATCTGGGCCATTACCAAATTTACCACAAAGTCCTCAGTTTCAACAAGTTTCGACAAATTTTTCTCGTCCTCAGTTTGTTCAGCCACCGCAAAACCAGACGATTCCACTTCCAGGCCAGCCTTTGCAGCCACAGATGCCTCCGCAAATGCCCATGCAACCTCCATCTTCCCAAGTTAGACAATCTTTACCCAATCACATGAATCAAATGAGGAGAGGTTCTGCAGATCAGGCTCCGTTTCCTGTTGATCAACATGGACAGCAGCTACGCCCAGTTCTCCAGCCTCAAGGAATTCGTAGCCCGGATCACAAAGTAATGCAACCCAGGTTTTCAGCTCCAGATCAAAGAAATCTTCCACCTTTAGAACGGCCAGCATACGGTGGCCAACCGCCGATGCAGCGTCCACCGAATCCAAACATGATGATGCCTAGGCAAGAGTTTAGACCACGTGCACAGCAAATTCAAAATTTAGATCAGGCGCATGGTCTATACAATGTGCAGCAACCCCAGAGACAGCAATTACCAGGTGTGGCTCAACAACCCCCGAATATGCAGTACAGACCACAAACCCCACAGCAGGTAGTGCCGCAGGACACAAGGTTTGCTTTTGAAATGCAGAGCCAGTTGCAAGGCCCGCAAAGAGGTAGCAGCCAAGTTGTTGGACCTCGTTTTGGAGGACTGCCTGACAAGAACTTCGTTTCAAACGCCCAGACAGTTCAAGGGCACAGGGTTGCTTTTGCGGGTCCGATGGGCAATGTACCACAGTTTATGCAAGGCCAGGTATCTCCTGGTGACCAGTTTCGTTTTCCAGCCATGCAGCAGCAACAACAACAGCCAAGAACAGACCTGAGGCTACCAGAGCCATTGCTGCCTGAGAAAGTGGTCACTCCTCAAAATTTGATGGACAGGGAAGATAACACAGAGATCAACAAGGCAGTAGACCTACTACCAACTCCAGCTTCTTTGCAGCAAAATTTCCAACAACCAAACCCATTAGATCCAAATCCTACTGTTGAAATGAAAATACCAAAGTCAGTTGGTTCTTTAAACAATCCAATTGCTAGCGGTCAAATGAACCCTCAGTCTCCGTTTACTGTACCAGAAAATAAGGAAAGTCGACCTCCGTCTAGACCCGTTTATAATGAAGTACCAAGTCTTGAAGCCCAACCAGAAGTGTTTAGAAATATGTATGCAGATCAGACTGAGCAGCCAAGATCGTTATCTGGTGGTCGTGAATTGCCAGGAAACTTAGTGCAGAGGCAGATATCTGATAATACAGGCCAAAGTAATTTTCAGCTGAGAAACCAATATGCATATCAAGGACCCATGTCCAGCCCGACACCTGAGTGCTCTCAGCCCAGTTCATTTCAATCCGAGCCAAGTCCATTAACATTTCAGCAACGGCCTGCAGTGACCCAGATTGTGAGTGATAATGCTCAAGGTGGGAACAGGTCTTTGCCAACGGCTCCTCCGTTGGTGGTCAGCTCTCAAAATACCGGAGTGTATAATCCACCGCCACCTTTTTCTTCAAGCCGACCTTTCGATCTAATAACAATGAACAACAGGCCCGTGATGGCAACTGCACAGACCTCCGATTCGGTTATTTCGGGAATCTTAGGTAGCCAAACGCAGGGAGATCGAAACCAGCCGGATATTATGCAAATGGGGTTTCAGCAGTTCCAAATGCAGCAAATGATTCTGCAGCAGCAGCAGCTCATTAGCATGATTCAAAATCAGCAAAGCCAGCAAAAGGCAGCAGAGACAATGCAAATAGAGAAATTGCAGCAACAAATCCTAGACCAGCAAAAAGTTATCGAGCAGTTGGCCAACGAGCAGCACAAACTGCTAGATCAACAGCAACATTCGTCTCACTTGTCACATGACAACTCCCAAGAATACATGCAGATGCAGATGAGGCAGCAGCAGTTTCAGATGCTTGAACAACAAGAGCAGCTGTTACAGCAAAGGTCCTTGTTGATGCAGCTACAGAGTTCACGTCCTATGGGTGTCCCTTTCAAAGATAGGGACTCATCGAAACAGAATCTTGGTCTCTCAACATCGCAAACAAATGTTGTTAGTCCTGCAGTTGATTTGTCTTCAAGTGACAAATCACAACCAGTTAAGTCTGTCTCTAAGCTAGATAATTCACTAAGTCCCCTTTCAACTTCTCATGATGCTAGAGATTACCAAACTTCACAGGAAATACCTAGTAATATTGACGAATCAAAGGTTAGAGATTCAAAAATAGTACCGAGTACAAAAGCTTCAAACGATGTCAAAGGTGCTGCCAAGACGGATATGGAGTCCTTAGCGTCTTCAGTGTTGTCAGCCTTTGATGTATCATTATCGTCGGAAACATCCTCGGAACTGACTTCCAAGATTAGTATGTCCACATCAGCTGCTTTTATCGAAGAAAATAAAAGCCCTTCCACAGAGAAACCACAAAGTACCAATGAACTGCTCAACTTTGACATCAGTCAGTTCGAGGAGGAAATGCACGCTGTTCTCTCAGGTAGTCAAGACAACTCGTTGAAAACACCAGTTAGTAAGACTATAAACACGGAAAGCAACATGGGGCAGTTTGCAAAGGAAATTTCTTCTTTTAGCATATCAGAAAGCGATTTCCGTAAAGATTCGGTGTCTCCTAGACCAAGTGGAGAGAAAAGTATCGATTCTGATGACGCTAAAAAGCACAGTGACACACCAGTTAGGCCAGAAAATAGTCCACCGTTTTATGAGCCGATGCTTGATGCTGAACAGAAATTAAAACACGTAAGTGGACAATTGGTAACAGAAAGGGCAGGAGACATGGGAGTTATTGAAAAGCCTACAACAGAAACTCAGAATGTGCCGAAAGGTAAAACGGATGCAGTTCCTAATGACGCAGAAGTAAAGGACTCTTTACTAACATCAGATTCCCTGGGTGATAGTCACACAAATGAAGGAAATTCGGTTGGTAGTGTTAAAAGTGATTTTACTGAGTCAGGAAAAAGTAGTGTTAGCAAAGATACTGAAAAAGAACATGATATTTCAGCTACTGAGTTGGAGCAGAAATCTGAGACGTTAAAATTAGATGAAGATGCATCTGTAGGCTTAATGCAGAACGATTCATCCGTAGAAAAAGCAAGTGATGCACTGCCAAGAGACTCAGATGCAAAAAAGAAAAGTAATGATATTCCTAATAATATATCGATACCCAGCATGGGAACCACAGAGATTACTGTTGATGAAGCTGCCAGCCCTTCACCATCAAGACCGCAGTTTAATAGACAGGAAGGAAGGCTCTCTTTCTATCAAGCAGTTGAAACTGCGGAGGAACGACGGGCCTATCTGGAGGACTTGGATGAGGCTGTGGAGCAAATGCATCAGCAGTGCATGGACCTTTGCAAAAGAATTACAGGGACTCCTATGGACGGATTTACTAAACTGTGGAATGTGAGTAGAGTATTAGTTTTCGTGATGTTTTAATGGTTTGACACTTGAATTGTTTGTTGAACACGGGTGCTTGTTAATAGTATGGTTACTAGAAAAGGGGGAAGCAAAATTTTGCTAATGAGTAAGCCATGCCCCTTTCTAAAATTCAAAGACCGGCTCATTTGACTGGAGGCCTTCACTTTGATTTTGTTAGTTTGCAAACTCCTATCACAATGCATATTAAACTGACCCTCATTTTTGTTACGTTATCCTTAGGTTTTGTATGAAAATACTTGTCGCACCTCACCTGCTTCCCGAGGCTTCGTAATGAAACAAAGATTTGTAATTCTTCAAAGTTACTTATAGATGGCTAATTGTCAGGTTAACTGTCAAACAGTGAGCTGGATGGTTAACTGTGAAATCTTATCTTTACAGTACTTCTTTTGTGTAATACATGAACTGAAAAGTTTGCCTCTTTTTTATACCTATAGCGCAATTCCTGTATAAGAAAAGGGGAAGAGGAAAGGCTGCATTAAATACTAATAATAAGCTTAAAATTTATCTTGTGTATCATTTTAAGTATTTCATCTGGTACTTTTTCAGCTATTTTCCCCAGCACAACAGAAATTTCATTTTCTTGTCTTGGGTTTGAATCTAAGCAGATGTCTCTTCTGTTTGTCATATTTCCAATTAACTCGATGTGTTATGACTTCTGATTCCTCATCTTTGGATTTTTAGGACTTGGCACAAGTTGAGGAGCTTGATTCTTGCAGCTTCAGCGCAGAGGCGGGAAAAAGCAACGTGAACAAAAACCGATACAGAGATATTCTTCCGTGTAAGTATTCGCTGATGCTCGTTTTTAGCCAAACCTATTATGATACAATGAAACAGTATTTCATCTCCTTGACGTAAAGTTTGTAAGATCCTGAACATAAATTGAAGTTTTAGGTATGGTTAAGAAATTTCTTCAAGCCTATAATAAACACATCTGATTAGATGATGGACATTTGAAGTTCCAGTCTGAGATGTACGGTGACTTGATAACTTCTCTTAACTATTCTCTATACTCAGTTTCTAACCCTTTCCCCGACCTGACATTCAAATCTTCCCTCGTATTTCGTCTATCATTGCAGAATAGTGACGTGTAGGCAATTCCGGCATTCATACTTCAAAATGTTTAATACCGTATAATGAAAATTTTTTTGCTTACTTTTTCAAGTTAATGACTTGAAGTTTTTGCTAATGATAGACGAAAGGAAAACATTTTGAAAATCTTGTTTCTGCTTTATGTTCTTAAAAACGAATCGCATACTTAGTCATGTAAATCCACCTTTCAATCATTTTTTCCCACTGTGCATTTTTGAGACCGTGAATTGTTATTTTCCATACCTACAGGGGACCATACCAGAGTCCTTCTTAAAAGTCTTCCAAATGATTATATCAATGCGAATCATATTGATGTGAGTATAAATCTGTTCTTCTTTGCGTTTGCAGCTCAAAAAGCAACGTTATGGATCATTTGAAAGTGTTAGAAGAAAAGTTCTGTTATACTGTTAAGAATATTTTTCAGAAGCAATATTTTCCTAACATTTTTTCCGCTAGATTGCTTTTCTTCAGTGACCTGCCAAACCTAATCCAATTCCGGGTCGTGCTAGTTATATACAACATTTTAAAAATACTTCATGTAAATATCACCACAGCAGTGCATTCCCAATAAGAAATAGTTGCTTTCAAGCCAGGTTTCTTCTTATGAACCTTATAAGCTCTCTCAAAAACTCTACTTTAAAAACTCAATGTAGCCCTTCACTAATTTTACTTTTTGTAAAAACCTGTTGTACTTATATCAATAAGAACTTCCCAAAAGTAGCGTTCAATTACGCAAAAATAATTGCACTCCTTTAGAGATAACTCCTTATCAGTATTTTTTAGAAGAGGACCTCTGATTTTTAAATCTCTAGAATCTGCTTTTTCAATCTTTGTTCGGATTTCAATAGATAGTTCAGTCTTTTACTATGCCTATAAAACAAGATGCCAAACATTTGCCCCACTTTTAGAATCTCTTTTTTAGAATTTTAGAATTTTTTATTTTACTCAACCAATGACAATATATACCCAGTTATCATGGTAAGCTGAAAAGTATATGAAGCTACAAAGCAATCTGAGGTGAGATTTAAGCGTCTGTTTTTGTGTTTTCCTATCAACACGAGTTTCTTCTACCGTAGAACCTTACGCAATGTTCTCCGAGATACATTGCCTCTCAAGGACCAATTCCCCAGTGTTTTGAGGACTTTTGGACCATGGTGTGGGAGCAACGGTGCCCTGTGATTGTCATGCTCACTAATGAAATGGAAGGTACAAAGGTAAGTCCATTTAAGAGTCAACGGATTTATCTGCTACCCGTCAAATGCAGGTCATGTAAAAAGGTTTCTCATTACAGCTTCAAAATTTCGGTGTCAGAGTCGTTGATCATTTATTAAATAGTTACTTATTATCAAGACAGACAGAAATGAAAAGTTGATTATACCTAAAAAAAGAAATGCCTTTCAATACTTATTTTTGCCAATAATACATAAGATAATACATTATAATACATTATAATGAATTATACATTAATACATAAGAAGCCAGGCTTAGATGTTGCTGTTGTTCCTTCGTAGCTCAAGTGTCATCGCTACTGGCCTAAAAAGTTGGAGCAAACAACGGAATACGGGGCGTTGTGTATTTATCTTAGTGAACAGGAAGCTGGTCCGTCATGGAGAAGGAGAACGTTCATAGTTTCTAATCGTGAGGTAGGACTTACAAACGGCCTAGTTCTTTGCAGCTCTCTTTTGTTGGGTTATTGAGTTCCTTATTTCTTTTAAAAGGATTTGCTCTCTTTATATTCTGTGAAAGGTTTTTCGTGACGCCTGGTTTCATTATCCTGCGAACTGTAACTTTAATATAAACTCCCATAGCTTCTCTGCAAAATCTTGGATATGCTCTAAAACCCAATGTCATGGCATTTTATTTAAAGTGTTTTCTGGACCTATTTCAACATTTTCGATTATTTGCAGCTTCTTATTTTTTAAAATTTATTTCACAGACAAATGAAGCAAGGAAGGTCGAGCAATTACAATTCACCTCGTGGCCTGACTAGTAAGTTCATTTTTACTAACGTCGAAATATTCAATTCTTTGATTTCGGATGAATAGAAAGCTTAACAATCGGAGCTTTAAGAGGCCAAACAGGTGATTTTACACTTGTGTAATTTTCATTTATCCGAAATTCAGCATTAAAAATTCCCGGACAGTACTCCCTTGCAAAAAGTTACAAAGAGCTCATTTGTCAAACGGCTCGTTTCTCTCACTTTTGATCCAATAAACCCATGAAGGCAAATCTTTAGAATCAGATATATTATCGTGAAAAACTCATATTTTTATTTTTTCTTTTGTTTTTATTCTTTCTGTTACCTTAAATTTGCCTTTTTGCATTTTTTTATTTGACTAAAAACGACAATCCTCCCCTTCTAATGACATTTAATTTGCCTTTTAGTGGGATACCCGATACACCATACGATCTTCTAGCTTTCAATGAAGAGGTTCGAAAATGTCATCATTCTGCGGATCCAGCAGGAGCTACGCCATTGCTATTACATTGCAGGTATTGTAGACAAATGTCCTTTGAAACTACATTCTTTTTAAAACATTAACGTTCAAAGCAGCTGAAACATTAGACAATATGAGATGATTGAGGCAATAATTCTCTGAAGGCACGTTGATACTGAGTCACGTTTTTTTTCATTTTTTCAGCTAAAGAAGTTTTTAGGCTCTTTGTTCTGACTTTCGAATTGTGCTGCACTGTTTTGCCCAGTAACCCTCTATTTCCATTAGAATGTGTAAGTTCTTCAGCTGACCGGTTCATTCTTATTTATTTCAGTGCCGGAGTTGGTCGCACGGGAACATTTGCTTGCATTTATTCTGCAATCGAGGAAATAATCGGTGGAAATGGCTTGAGTATGAATTATTTTTTTGGTTGCTGAAAGTTCAGTGTTGTATTGTCAGAATCAGTTGTGAAAGACAGATAGCCTCTCGTGTTTGAGCAATGAAGAAAACACTTTGACCTGTTGAGACCTAGGGCTCACCCTTACCCTGCCAAGATATAACTAGTTTTTTAGCGATATTTCCATAACCCAACATATTCCGATCCATTTCATGTTTCAGTCTTATTTTGGCGATAAACAGTTGATAAAGCTTTAAGAATCATTGTATTTTTGCAGTTGAGATACCTGGGCTAATTCGGAAGCTTCGCCAGTGCCGATTTCACATGGTTCAGAAAAAGGTAGTGCATAAATTATAACTGCATACATTATGTGTGTCATTACTTACATAAATATTAAGGAATCTTCGTGCTACTTCTTAACATAATTTCTTAGATTTAAAACACGTTTGAAAAAAGAGTAGTCTCCATATTAGATGGAATCAAAATGGTTCTTTGGCTCTGGTTAGGGCCATGACTTCGTAATTAAACTCTGCCAAAAACTGCAGTGTTTGGGATGATTGGCAGAGCCCCATCGGATCATCGACCGACCGTTTACATAAAGATGTGATAAAAACCGCTATTGCGTTGGTTTACACCCTTGCAAATGGCAAGCGGGGTATCTTTTTTCTTAGTTTGGAGTTTTCGATCAATATTATGGCATTTTATACAAAAACTGTCAATAGTAAAACATTTGTATTTCTTAAAACGTTTGCTTTTTTCAAAGCTATTTCTAAACTTTGTACAACCAAATTATTTTTTGCTAAATGAACTAAAATGTTTAGCTTGTGCCTCACTTGTAAATGATTGTGAACTTTTCAGCAGTGGTTTACCAAAGTTTTTGTAGATGCTGGTCACTATGACCAGATATTTTTCATGTCTGTTGTCCCCAAATATTATTTAAATATATAAATATCAACCACTGTCACTATTATCGCTAGATATTTTTTTATTTCAGGAGCAACTCGTGTTCTGTTACCAGGCTATACTATGTTACGCTCAGCAGTTCCTTGCTGAAGGTACCATATTTTCTCGTTTTATTCGTTCCTTAATTCAATCCTTTAGACTCGAGAGTTTATATGTAAGCGGCTCAAATTAAGCTGCTGGAAAGTTTTTCAATCTCTTAGCCAAGCAAAACTCTATATGTGTTTGTCTGAATGAACACAGCTCCTGCTTATGGAAATCAAATATTACGTGTCAGTTGTACAGTTTATATATCCGAACTTAACCCCAATTCAACTGAATCTCTGAAAGCTTCCCTTTTTAAGCTTCTATTCCTCTCTCTTACAGAGCAAATGAAGGAGGAAAAAAGTGACAACTCTGGTGAGGAGGTAAAACTAAATGAAGATGAAGGATCGCCTTACGCGTTTCTAGAAGGTGGGAGTTCTCCAATGGACCGCGTCGACCAGCTATTAGAGCTACCCCTGGATCCAGTAGTAACAAGTAATGACAAAACAAGTCAGGAAGTAAACACAGAATCGAGTGAAAGTAATGAAGCAGAGGGCCTGTTTGCTAATAGAAACTTAGAGGTGTCGGAGCCTATAGATAATTCAAGTAGCAGCCAGATGGAAGATAGGTTAACAATCGACGTGACTGCCGCAAGAAATGGTTCAGAAAACGGTGCCTCTCGTGTAGATCATTCGACTGAGGACATTGATGCCAGTCGTGAAAGAGCGGACAGTATCCCAAAATTTAAAGTCAAATCGGATATTTTCGCACATAAAAGCCCACCTCTGAGTCCGGATCCGGGAGCGGTCTCATCGGACGATAAAGTATAGGAAATTCTTTCGAAATTAAATTATAACAAAGAGCTTGAATGTACTTAAATATTGTATAATCTCGATTCCCCAATGCAGCGTTAAGCTTCTAAAGAAGAGAAATTCTTTTGTATTAAATGCCTGTAAATGTAGCTTTCAAAATGAAGTTCAGATTGCTTTAATTTTGAAAATGGTAGTCTTACACTCCCAGTTTCAAAGTGGTTTTTAGGCCCAAAATATCAAATCTGAAAATGCTTCCAAAATCGAAAAAACAGCTCAGAGAAAATAAAGGCTTCGTTTAAAAATCAAGAAGACATCAAAGCAGCCTTTAATGGAGGCAGAAATTTAATTTTCAATAATTTATCTATGCAAGGCGTCTCAGTTTTCGGCGATACCTAAATTAGGGTTTGCTTTTTGTAAGCGAGAAAATATGTTATTAGAATAAATATTTAAATTTTAAAACTTGTGATATTTCTTTCTAGCACCAAATTGAAGCACAAAATTATCAGTGGAGCTGGGGTACCAGAAATTGGGAGGGAAAGTGATTTTTAGAGGAAACAAGAGAACAAATGCACTGCATGGTCTGCTTCAGAGCCTCTCTTCCCTACACTTTCTTTTTAAAAAATTCCGTCCCTTCTTTCCTCTCCTGCCAATTAGGTTCTGGTACAAGGGACAATGGGGTGGATGAAAAACTGCTTGTTTCGCTTGACTGAGGTTCCATGTAGTCAGGGCCTGCGGTAACTAGATGCCACGTAGGATAACAACATCGCTGGAAAATTAGCTAGCAACTTGAATCAAAGATAAACAACAGCGAGAGAATCTTCCCCTACATATTGCAATGTTTTCACCTTTACATAAAACATGATTTTTATAATTTTTTTTAGAAATATCGTGCTATGTGAACCATATGCATCATTTTCATTGCAATTTAAGCTTTTTCAATTATTTATTTAGGTGTATCAGTTTTAAAAACGTGAATTTAGTATTGATTAGAAAAGCTGTACAATTTTCAGTTTGATATGAACGAGTAACATTTCAAGTACCATGAAGTTAGCAAGAAGCGAGTTTTTTTGTTTTTTCCCGTAACAAATTTTAAAATTACTTAGACTTACCACTTCCGATAAGTCAAGACTTTTGGACGGTCTTCATGTCATAACGGTTGCATTAACTCGCATATTGTTGTTTTTGTATTAAACCCAGGCAAGTTATTTCCTGTTGTAATTGCTTACAGCGTTTACAAAATGAAAATCATTTAAAGCAAGCTTTGTGTTAAAACGAAAATCTTTCCAAATTTCACCTAGCAGTGCGGAAAACTAGGCTTCGTGCATTCTCGCTCTGAACATCGTGTCCAAATCTTTTTACCGTTGTTAGAAATGCAGGAGTTCATAAACAATAGAGAGTTAGGTATTTTGCATTGATGCTGCAATTTGCTAAACCCCAGGACGACACTAAACCCTCATGAGAACTGTAAACATTAAGACAGTCAATTGCTGTTTCCCCTGAGTATGGTCACATAAACCAAAGCATCTAGGATGTGAAGACTCTGCCATTTGCTGTCTGATGCTGAAGGTATTCAAAAGCAGCGATAAAGCTGAACAGAAGGTGCCCTTGATTTCAAGGTTTAGCCTGTATTTAAGATGCAAGAATGTGCAAAACAGTAATGCATGAAAACTGGTAAGTTTGCTTACCGTTCAGTTAATGCGTTAAATCTACAATTCTCCGTTCTGGATTGATAGCATCGATTTTGCATCTTGCCAGACCTTTCTCATAAATGGACTTCAGATTTGAAATCTTTATCTTGAATAAGTTAAGTTTGAAAACTTCATGTCGTTTAGATCGTTCGGTTGCGAGTTATTTTGTTTTGAAAATTTAGATTTGACCAGAATTTCACTACAGCAACAAATTCCATTGAAATTTATATGAAAAGCTAAATTTTGAAAATGGGGTCATCCAATACAAAAACAGAAAATTTCCGCCACAGACTAATTTCAACATGAAAATTCCAATTCTATTTAATGATCCATTTTTGGCAAAAATGTGAAGATAAAAGTTGGCCATAACAGAGACATGCAAGAATTGCAGGTATTTTTCTTGTATTTTAATGAGACTGTAAAAGTGGGAATCTGGTGACACTTCAATAAATACTGAAAATTTGTTGAATTTTCGATTTTGTTGACTGATTGAAAGGAAATAATAAATTTCTTTAAAAAATTGGAAATTACAGTTATTCTACACCAACTGTAATCCTTTGATCATATTTTAAAAACAATGTTTAAGTACTACATGCAAGGGTTTTTTCACAAAAATGGTTTTTGTTTCCAGATTCTTGCTTTTGGTACATTGTACTTTTTGACACTTGCTTTTGGTACTCTCCCATTGTGGCTGTCAAACCATCCCATTCCTCCACTTTTGTTACGACAATCAATCCAGCAGCAAATTTTTCATGATCAACTTGAGTAGTGGGTAAAGCAGAAAATATCTCAATTATGACACTATTTGCAAAAATGAAGCTGCATTTAAGATAACCATTTTGTCTCTTAAGGGGGTTTCTAGAAATAAGGAATACATAAATTCCCAGAGCTGCTTCTAATTCTACCCAACATACATATAAGCAGGCTATCATTTATCTGGTCTTAAAAGTTTCAAACACACATTAGCGACAAATCATAAACAAAAATTCACTGTTATGCAGCTGGCATATTTAGTAACACGCCTTGTCCTTCTGGTAGGTAAACTACATTTCTTGATTTTGAAAGTCTATCAGCTATTTCCTCTGCAGCTTCAAGTTTACGCAGCTCAACCAGGCCTTCGCCAGCCTCTTCAAATGCAGATGACAGCAATGAAGCACCCTTGGCATCTCCTTCAGCAGAAATAATTGATGCTTTTTTCTGTTGCTCAGCCTAAAACATTGAATAAGTAGGATTAAACTTTGTTCCAATACACAGGCTCATAAGGATGTGCACAACCAGTGCCACATATAAGTAACAAAAAGGAGAACTGAGGCAAAGCCTTGGTTGCCCTGCTAAATGCATTGCTACATGAAGGAATATACATACCTTCTCGACCAAGAATCTAGCTCTTTCAGCCTCTTGCTGAGCTTTAGGGGGAATCAGAATATTTTAATTAATAATGAGATGAACTTTGATCATTTACACTGTAAACAGTATAGATATCAAACAATTGAGGATATGAATTTGTTCAAAAAGACAGCTACAGTTTTACATTTTTTTCTGTGTATATGAAGTGGGGTTATATCATTAACAGCATCAATACTAGATAACTTAAATTTAGGGAGTCTCAAATAGTCTACCTCTCCTCAGAATATAAAATGTCAAGTAATGACCGAAAAGGAAGCAAAGATTAATAGGCAGGTGCAGATCAAAAGTAATGTGAGAGGAAGAATGGTACAAACAAAGAACAATAAACATTATTTCCTCACATATAACTTTTGATCAGTAACTGGACTAGAAGTCTTGCTACCTATTTGTTCATTGTATGTAACAATGTATAAACCAAGGTTCACTGTATAAACCAAGGAGTGTCTGGAAAGGTACTTTAGAATGACAGTATGTTGCTAATTTTCCTTCACATTGCATTCAATCAAAACAACTTTATATTTTTGAAAATACGCCCCGAACACCACTAAAAGTGTTTCCCATTAATTTCTAGGTTATATTTACCAAAAAAGAACTAAGTCATTTTTAAAAAATTTGTGACCCCAAACCTGACAAAGGTATCATCTCTAAGATCACATAAGTTTCCAGGATGTGCCTAAAAAATAAGGAGGGCAATAAAATCTAAGCCACTTACCAACTTGCTTCATTTCAACAGCCTCTGTAAATTCTTTTCCAAAAGTCAAGTGAGTCTAGGGTATAAAACATTGAAATCTCAGAATGCTTCATATCACAATGAATTGGCCTTTGTCATTAATACACATCTTGCACTGATTATTCATGAATTAAAAAAATCATTATAAACAGACAAGGAAGATGGTCTTTTGTTCAAACTACCCATTCTTTGCGAATCAAGGGTATTTGTAACAAAATATTGGGAAATGAAGTATGAAATATTTGATGCACTTCAAGCATACCCTGGGCTTTCACTCTCAAAAAGTAAGGTATGAAACCAAAGATTCATGTTATAGCAACTAATACATTTTTTAGGGCAGCCTTGGAGAGCTTTAAAGTTTTACAAGCTTACCAGCGAAATATCATCAAGCACTAGACCAAATGAATGTGCTCTTTCAACCAGTGCTTCTTGAACTTTTTGAGATACCTATAAAAAATAATAGTTGAATTAATGATAAAGCAATTTATGACACATGTAAAATACTACAATTTACGATAATAGTTCTTGGGGAGTCTGCATCTTTCGATGAAAAGTCAAACGATATTTGTGAAATATATTACAATCATATGGGAAACAAACAGTAAAATCAAATAACTTCATACACTTTTGTCCAATAATGATTACTTAAAATACTAAATAGGGTTGCAAAAACATTCAAGAAACTGTAGCAAAACTTTGTTTATTCCATAATTTGTTTATTCCTTGAAAATCTGTCAACTTACCAATTCTCTCTGAGTTATAAGTTCGCTGGCATCAAACTGAGCCTGAAAAAAATTTGGATTGTCATTTTCCCAAGAAAACAAAAGCGTGCAGAGTGACACAAAATATCAAAAAATAGACTGGCAAGATCAAATTATCTTTGGCATCTTGTAATAATTCGTCTTAGGAGGGCTCTCAAAAGCAATAGTTGTACCTAAAGATTGAGCTTTTGGTCATGAAAACCATCAGCAAAACTGCTGCAAAAATAAATCTTTGATGCAATCCAAGGATCTAAACCAATGAAATACACGATAGACTGTTGCAAACAGTGATAGTATTAGCATTTGTCATAGTATTTGTCACTAGTTCTTGTCATTAAATGGTGTCACTATTTAATAAAATTATTGGCCATGAAATTGTTTTACTCTGTGCCTCATAGTTGCAACATTCATGAAATGTTTACAAAGTTTGATAAAAAGTGGATACTCACAACAATAGCTTTCAACACTTCTGCGGTAATAGATGGAAGAACCCTCTCATCATAATCTTCACCAAGAGACATGTATATTTTTGGTAGCTGTGATGCAACTGGTCTATACAAAATCCTTAGGGTGATATTTACATTTTGGAGATCTATGGAAAAAATGTACAAACAAACATATACACAAATGTTTTCCTGTAATCATATTATAGAGTTTGTAATCCTGTAATAGAATACTTTGGTATTAGGTAACATCAAGTGAAAATGAACTATAACAATAACCTAGAATGAACTCCAAGAATGATTTAAATACCCAATCAAAGTGTGTTTTGTTGGTCAAATCTATGCACATCATGACCATCATATACCACACTTCCTCTAATGAGCGCCACCCTCTGATAAATGAAACCCATCATTTAACGCCACACCTTCCAGCCAACCATTTGTAAAAAACATTGCCCACTTTTCTTGGCATTCTTCATTTGACACCTTTTTCATTTTCTACAATGTTCCCAAGCCTAAAGTATTCATAAAGTGTTGCAGTGGATTTTATATTTGATTGCATTTTTGCGTTTAGGTGCAATTTATTCAGCTTATTTATGTTTTCTATGTTTTGATATATGAGTTTTGTGTGTTCTATGTCACTTGCTTCAGTCATATCAATTAAGTGCCTCACCTTTACTACCCGTGATTGTTGGCACATTCCTTGGTCGACTTCTTATATCAAATATGATTGGCTTTTGCACCCATGGAATAAGAAAATGAGTACCCTCCCCACTCACATCAGGTTTTACACCTTGAAATCTGTCAAATATGACAGCTCTGTGTCCACCATCAACTGAAAAGTAATTAATATTATTTTATTATGGTAATTAACATATATACATAATCTTAACATATATCATATACATAATAAGTAACTATACAGTATTAACATATACAAAGATCAATTACATGTTCCTGTCCATTTCTTAGCCAGATTGATGGTGCACTTTGTCTGAATTTGCCAGATAAAAATTTAGGGGCAGGACAAAGTATCATATGTGACTAACAGTTAGTCATGGTCATTCCCTAATTGTTAAATTGGTGTTCCTTGTTGGTAAAGGGTATGGCGCCACCCTCTGATAAACGGTTTTATTACAGTGAAAAGGGTATGGTCTTTAACATTTTTATTTGGCCCCTCTCCCTTACAGTCATATGACTGGTGCTGCCACTGATACAGCTGAATACTGAATGTGGCATCATTGAAACCTGACTAAAATTTGTCCCAAGTCAATCCCAGGCATGCATGGCTGGTTTGTTACAATAAAGAATATTTTAAAAATCTGGCACCTTAATACATAACAAATATCAACAGAATACATATTTGTCATTCCAGTTTTGCATTTTTGTTAAATACCTCAAGCGTAATGGATGAAATCTGGGATGGTTTCAAAATCTTTTCACTAATGCTTGTTATTTCGAAATTTAATCAAACTACACAATGTGGTGATCTGATATATAGTGGTGATTCAAAACGATTAAAAAATGGAGCAGAAGATCATCATACAATGAATAAATTTCGCTTATGTTTAAAAATCATTCTAATGCAACATATGAAAGATGATGCAATGGAAAATCACCATATGGAGCCCTCAGAAAGATAGCATGTATGTCATATTGTAAAAATTACGAAAAAAGCCTACCATTATACAAAGCACTATTTAAGACTCCTCCAGCTATAGCAACACCAATGCCGAGCTTTCCGATCGAATTTAACAGCCTAGCCGTCATGCCGAATGTGTTTTATAATATTAACAACTGGATCTCTCGATGGAGGGCCTAGCCACATGTGATCGAGGAGGAATGTGCCCGAAACATCATGGACAGCGGATTTAGTTTGCGCATGCTCAGAAGCGTACAAGGAGGACCATTCTTGCCATGCGTATCCTTTGCAATCCCAAGTCGTGTAAAGATGGTGAGCGACGAGCCTTCGTTTTATTAATTTAATTTTTCTCGAAAAATAACCTCTCCGATGTTTGAAATAAGTTGTAATCCCCCTTTCCTTTTGTTTATGTATCTTTAGAAATGTTTTTTGTGGCATGGATTACCAAGAAAGATTGAATATTTCACTAGACGCATCTGAGTATAGTTAGGCCTAAAACTTTCTTTCAAGGAAACTTCAGTGAATGTGAAGTCTGTAAGTATAATTGTGTAACGGGCTACGGCAAAAAAAATTAAAGGGATTTATAAACCGAGATATATATCGATCGATGAGAGGTTCAAGCAAACTAGGCTACAAATAAATTTAATGGATCTTTCGATTAACATTCACGATTTCTAAATATTCAAAAGATTATTCACTTGTGTTAAAAGTTCAAACTGTTAATCCTTTGATGTAACAGAAAAAAAATGTTGAAAAGAATGAACTTATGAAATCTGTTGGGTTTACTTTTTACTGCCCAGTATACATTCTGAAAATTTTGCTTGCAACAGGTTCTTGCTAAAACTCACCAAAATACAATTTTAGAGTCTTTGTTAAGGTCTGTCCTTGCCGCAGATCATTATGCCATGGGTCTGGAATGCAGACTGGCTGCAATGGAATTGTAATTTTCATCCTGCTATTTGAATCTATGGTATTTGCCCAGTTACAATTGAAAGTTTCTGACAATTTGTACATATTGTCTTCACAAATGATAAGTCTTATGTTTGTTCTCAATCGCACTTGCCATGGCTTTCCAGTGTCATAATGAGTTGAGCGTAGAACAAATACTGAATTGCACTTCACCAATCTCTGGTGACTTTCTAGTCACATGGAGAAGTTAGAGCTGCTACATATTTTCTATTATGCGTCTATAAATTAAGTTTTTAAATTGACTGTAAACATCCTATTGCAACAGCAAGGTTGAAGCATTTGCTTTTGCTTTTGCTTCCTAGACTCAGAAGAGAAGGAACAACGGGCGATCTAAACACGGCCGCGGCCATGTCCGCTATGTCAGGTGCACAAACTGTGCCAGATGTGTGCCAAAAGACAAGGCCATCAAGAAGTTTGTTATCAGAAATATTGTTGAACAAGCTGCTGTAAATGACTTGAAGGAAGCATCAGTTTATGCAACAAGTGGAAATGATGCAGGTATCTTTGGTTGTGTTAACAACTCGTTGTGTTTTGTTTTGTAAGGATCCGTCTACATTATTATTCTCTCAAGTAAGTATCTGAAACTTTTAAACCAGTAACTTGTGGCTAGTAAATGGTAAATTTTTTAAATGTATGTTTCAAAATATTTGTTGTCAGGTCTGGCCATGAGTATTAATGTCTAAATTGGCAAATAATGGACATAGGTGAACAAAGTTTGTGATAAAATATTTGATAAAATATTCAAGTTTTTTACCACCAAAAGATTGTTTGGATAAAATATTTGTCGAAAATTATTGAATTGTGTTGTCAAAAGCTGGTTATATTTATAAACGTAACTGTTTATTATAAATACTAAATTAGACGTATCAAGATAAAAAAAATTTTGTGAGCAGTGGTGGTTGTAAAAATATTAATGAAGCAAACCAATTTTTGGTATCTCTTGATAGTCAACCAATTATTTGTTACAGTCCAGTTCCAAAATTATGCTCTTGGAAACAGCTCAATTCCAGTTCAAATTAAATAAACTTTGAACTTATATTTGGAGCCACAGGACTTGCATCAGTTCTTATTTGTTTTTTACCGTGGTTATTTCTGAAGACTCTGAAATTAAGCGATCAGTTTTCCAAGACAGTAAATGATTCACACCTCTTTTATAGCATACATTCTGCCAAAGTTATATGCAAAACTCATGTACTGTGTGAGCTGTGCCATTCACTCAAAGGTTGTAAGGAACAGATCAAAGACTGACCGAAGAATTAGGACGCCACCCCCAAGATTCCAGCCAAAGGTAGTTACCAAGATGCTCTTTTAATGTTTTCATAGCTTGGTAGATATTCCCTAGACAATATTCCTGCTGTGTTTTATCAAGTTTGGTAGAGCTGTTGTCATTTTCTAGTTTCACTAAGTCTAGAGCATCTTAGTATAAAAGAAAGTAAAACAGCAAATAGCCCTGTTTTTTTAGCTAAATTTAGACATAAACATTTATATTGCATTCCTTGTTTAATATGTGAACAGGTCTTATTTAATGAGCTTGTACATTTGTTCTCAATCGCACTTGCTATGGTTTTCCAGTGTCATAATGAGTTGAGCGTAGAACAAATACTGAATTGCACTTCACCAATCTCTGGTGACTTTCTAGTCACATGGAGAAGTTAGAGCTGCAACATATATATTTTCTGTTTTTCGTCATTGAAATTAAGGATATCATTTTAGTAAGTCTTTAAATAAAATCTAAACATTTTGTTTGGGCACCAGATATTTTGTAGTAAGATGCAAATATCCCAACTTAATCCTCTCTTACTTGTCACATCATTAAACCCTAACATGACATGTTACCCTAACTTTGTAGGCAATCTTTCTCTTCCAATATAGATTTTGACTAAGTTTTAAACCCCAACCTGACAGGAATTGATGCACATAAGACTATTCTATTTGTATTTTCTTTGTAGGATCGTCCTCCAAGACCTGCACCAGGTGGTGCACCAAGACCCATGGGAACTGGTGCTACTGGTGGTGCTGCAGCCTTTGGAAAAAGTTAGATATAAAAAAATTGAATTCATGATATGATCTCTTTCAAAATTGTTGTCTTATTGTCTTGAGCCTTGTCACTCAGGTTCTTAACACCTGTATATCTTCTTTTTGATAGCATGTAATGGATAAAACATTTGGTTATCACCTGGCTTGTGCTCAGTTTTGTGACAAAGTTCCTGATATCTTTTATTGACCTAGTATATGGTATTATAGAAAACAATGCCTAATTATAATTGGCATAGACAGCATTGTGATGTGAGCTCCTATAAAAGCTGGTCCTATATAAAAGGTACCATGGTAAAAGTATAAGATATGGTTAACTTGCATTCACAGTTATTGCATAGATAAGAGTAAGCATACCAACACACACTGTTCTGCAGCGAAAATAGTGTAATGCTATTCATTTGGACACACTGTTCAAAACTTCTAGTGGCTATGAAAGCATAAAGTGAAATACATTTACCTGTTTCTTTCTTATCATTCCAAAGCTATATATCTGTTTGAGTTCTACAGAATATGTATATATGATATTTTTCATTTTAAGTTTTTTTGATTATGTTGTCTAGGCTATAACAAACTTTCTCCTTGACCTGAAAAAAACTTCAGTACCTGGTCTAGTGTTTCAATAATTTTATATTTGGGTATGAATTGTAGGTCAAACAGTTTTTTGCACCATCAAGGAGCATTCAAATTTTTATCTCTAAAATGTCTCAACTCAACCTGCATAAAGAGTTTTCCAGTGTTTAACACGATGTGATTCCCTATGATGAATGCTGTATTTTAAAGATGATTCCCAGTACAACAAGACATTGTTTCTGATTAAAAAGTAATATTAAATGTAAATGAATAAGATGCCCAAAATTCCTACATTTTGAGAAGCAGGTATGTGACGAAATGTGCACCTTGTCTTGCCTATGCGCATGCCGAGCAGTAATGTGCCTCAAACTGAAACGCCTGGCCAGTGTGGAGAGGGTTCCTGCCAAATTTATGATCAAACTCTCATAAAAAACCTCTGCACAAAGGTCACCTCCAATCAACAGTAACTTAGGAGTGTCCCAGTGCCTAATTTTACCTCCTTGTCATTCACATAGTAAGAAAGCAAAAATTTATATATTTTCCACCTCCCTCCCCCTTGTAGGCAGTCGTTTGGTGACCTTTACCTCCTGTGTGTATGGTGCTCTTTAAGTAAACCATGCTGTTTGATGATTCCAAAAGATACAGCCCCCCCCCCTTTGTAGTGCCCTTGAACTGGAACCTAAATTCTACTTTGCCTTATACCTAAACCTAAAACCTAAATACTACTGACCTCTAATCACTGTTTTTTGTAATCACTGTTTTGAATTGTTAGTTTATAATCTTAATACAAGTTGCATGCTATCTCTAGCTGTTCCTCTACACTGCTCAAAACCCTAGATGAGTGTATTTCAATGAATTACTCAGATGATATTAAATACAAGGAAGATCTTTCAAAATACAAAAACACATTTCAGCAGGTTTTGATAAATCATCAGTCAATTATACCTTATTTTAATTACAGCCATAATGATGCTTTTAATTACTGCATAACAAATATCTTCTATTACTCTGCAATTCTGATAACAACAACTTTAAAACAAATTTTCTGACTTGCTCTGCTCTTAAAGTGATATCAATTCCAAGAAATTGCCTAAGAAAAATGCTAGTTTAATAAATTAGGCATTTAAGTTTGTAGTGACCTTCAAATTATATATTGAGAAATATGTTAAGCACCATAGTTTTTATTATCTCTGTATCAAGTTATTTTAAATAAATGTTCTGTCCAACTGTACTTCATCTGATTTTAACTCGAAAATGGCTCAGGGTTAAATCAAATGGAATAATGGTTTGGCCTCAATAAATTTGCTGCTATAATGCAACAGGTGTACTCTTAGCAAATTTCAACATCTAAGTTTTAACCTCAAAACACAGATGGCATTTCAATATATAGATGGCATGCAAAACCCAAAATATTCTCTAAAGGAACTACTCAAGGTGATTGTTCTTGTCTTGACTTTTCTTTAGCTGCTGCTTTGGTGTTTTTCTTGGTCTTTTTCCTATCCCTTTTCTTTAAGTTATCAATGTTTGCTTTAATAAATTTGCATATGCCTGCAGGTCAAAGAAAAATTTATTAAATGCCATTAAGAATAAAGATAGAACCCTTGACATCAAAACTATGGCCAGAATACTAAACACCATACAAGCTAACCAAGCATTTTAATCAAGTATGCTAAACATAATTCTTAGACAGGAACCATGCCAAGGGGGATGAGGGCCATGATTCCTGCAAATTTCTGTTTTGAGGGTTTAAATATAAATTTAAGTGTTAAAGATGTTTATTTTCTTGAGGGCCAATTCAATTTAATTTCATGAACCAATGCCAAATACACTTTTCTCAAATACAAAATACAGATGAAGTTACTAAATATAATTAGACTACCCTACCTTTTGGTGCCTAAGAAAATAAGTTGGAATAAGTAGGTGGGGTGGAGTAGCTGGGGGTTGGGAAATTCCCAGAATTTTAATAGCCAAGGGGTGGAGAAAAGCAATAATTTTTTAAATATTAAATTTTCTTATAGAATACCGTAGAAACTGTAATAAAACAAAATATATCAGATATTTTATTTTAAAAATTTAATAGCAGGGGGTTGGAATAAGAATGTCCTGGGTGGAAAAATCAAAAAATTAATTGGCAGGAGGGGGGACATCTATTAGGCACCAAAGAGTACATTACATTAAAACACTTCATTGCAGAATTTTCTTTTGAATTTATGCCTATGCACTATTTTCTTATAATAGATCAAAGTGCAAGTGAAGTCAATTCAGCAATACTTCATGATGATTTTAAAATGGTGAAAAATAATAAAATTGGTTTTATTCAAAAAAGGTCATATGCATTTTAGAATGCTAGCAACTAATTTTTCACTAATAAATGAGACATCATTATTTGCTTACTCAACAAAGGGACATAATTCAAGTATCTACAAGTCATAACCATAAGCATATCTTACCATTTGGAATTTGTTTACATCTTTGTGCATCACCTTGGATTAGATATAAATAACAGTTAAAATGAATTGCATTCACAATATGACACAGAAAATAACTTCTTTGCAATTATGATAAACAAAAATATGTGTATATTGTCTGTTTTCATTTGTGATGATGCCTTTAAAATGGACTTATCGGTACTATCTCTTGAGGTATGAGTATGAAATAGATAGCTTCTTTTAACTATACGACCAACAAAGAAAAAACTTCAAAAGAAGAAGATGGAACATGTGATGTTAGCTCAGAGATGGCTGAGTATTAATAATAGTAATAATAAGAAGACCATATTTATACAGGTAAACTTGTTCAGCAAAAATGAGTTTGCTGCTATCAATCAAGTACCTGTGAAACTAATGTACCTACGATATAAATGTTACAACAACAAAGTTCAAAAAGTTATTACAATAATTAAATCTAGAGAAAAAGTTAAAAATCAAAGCTAAATATTGTATTTAGTTGTTGTAGTAATGAATCTGCAGCTACTTACAACAGTACTTAATTTTCTTTTTCCATTTGTTGCTCTAAATAAGCACCTGCTTTCTCCTACAGTCTCATGAGGCTTGCTGGCTTCCCCTGCCTTTGTTTTTGGTTTTGGCTTCGTTTGTCCATTATCTTTGTAAAATTAACAATAATAATTACCACAAATACTGATAAAAAATGGATTCTGATAAATTCTGCTTATAAGAGTGAAACAATTTTTGTAATGATGCCAAAATATACTTATATATGGTAGCATTGAATGACAAAGAATTCTAAATATTTATGATGACAGAAATACTAAAATGAAAAATAATATGTATAGGGAATAATTTTAACCTTCTTTGCTTTTAAAGATGTCCTGATATCTGTAATTTTACTTCATTTTGTTGTAAGGTGTATAACATTTTTATTGTCCATGAATAACTTTCATTAAAAAACTAAGGAGTCTAGCTTTATTTTTAAATGGACCAAGACCCATTGTCTCCATTTGCTATTAGATGACTTTAATCTGTAACAACTTTGACAAAATGAAAATCAATACCCTAAGGAGCTGCAAAATTGAAAGGTAACCAATTCATAAAAATGTCAATATACAAATGTATCTGTTGAAAATTACTCACATTTTTTTAAAGTGACGAAAACAGAACCTGAAGACTTCGTAGATGCAAACAGTTGAGGAAGTTGGGCCAGAAACTAAAAGGAAAATATTTTTATCCCACAAAATTTTATTCCATTTAAAGAATGAAAACTAGCTTTCTAGTATTTCTAAACATGAAAATCCTGAAGTTTTTACAGTCATATACACCCTTTAATCAAAAAAATGCATTTTCCAAGTTACACTGAACTGCAGAAAAAATCAGTTCACATTTTTATAGTTCTTAAAAGATGATAAAAAAGGAAGGCCAAGATGACCAAACAAAATTCAAAGAAAAGGTAACAACCATAGAGACTAGTAACATGGGGCAGCTTCATGAAATCTACACAGAAATGGTTTCCCACATGGTTGGTTCTGGGAAGGTAGATAGCATGGTGATTGCACTTTAATCATACAACATAGATCCCTATCATCAAAATAAAATAAGGTATCATTTCATCTTGCTATCATGCACCAAGTATGACAGGGATGTATGATATGGTGGAGAAACGGTTGGGTTACGGCAAGGTGAAACAAATAACTTTTCAACCTTCAATGGAATTGAAACCTTGACCTATGCAAGCTATAAAATAAATGCAACTTGAAGGTAAATAAAAGCTTCCATGAAAGAAATCAGGAAGGCCTATAGCCTGCAACTTCAGTAGCTGTTTTATATGTTTCTTTATGAGATGGAGAAGGCAAAAGATGAAATTATTCCTTTATTTATAGTGGTTGCAATAATCGACATTGTGAGCTTTAGGGTTTTTGCCTTTGAAATTAAACCTAGTTGCTCTGGTTCCGGGGGAGGGGGGGGGGCTGGGTCCCTATCATGGCTCTACCCTTGACCACGAGGGACGCCCCCTAGTCCCTAGACTGCCTGCTGGGTAGTGTTTATTCTGTACCCGCCCCTGAACAACTTCACATTCATAAACGAACTCTGAGGAATAATGCCACATAAAAAATTTGCATGATCCCCAAAACAAAAATTAAATATCAGAAACCATTTTTTGTGCATTTAGAAGTAATATGCACATGAGCAAACTTTCTAGTCTTGCATCAGGCACTGAAGAAATCCTTCACACTCACAGAAAGATTCAATAGTGAGGAAGAAATCAAAGACAAACGAAACCCTAATGCTATTTCATCGTTTGAATTGAGCTTTGTGAGAGTAAAATTTACCTGATACACAAAAACATTTACTCTATCAATCAAACTTGTATGAAATATAAAACTATTTAATGCTTTAATACTAATAGCAACAAGGCCTAAAAACCATCAGTGGAAAATTATTAGTAGCTGAAAAGGATTCAAAAATACATCAATCGCTGAAAGCCTTCCTGAATCGCTTACAATTTACAACTACAAATAGTTTTATCGGCTCAAAGTCTTGGGCAACTTACCGCATCATTTTCTAGAAGTACCATCTTTGTTAGTATTCCTTTCCTCGAATGAAAGGAAAGAAGACGTATGGTGCTTACAGCCTCGTACCGGGCTCGAGATCAAAAGAACTCTGAATATTTTCAAAATGGCGACTGTTCTCTTTGCGACTGGAGAACAAGCCCCAACACAATTGCGTTCAGAACTTTCAATTCTGAATCGAATTAGCGATGAAGAATTTCAAACACTGATAGATATAGTTTTCAATTTCCTTCTCGCTTCAAAGCAGCCTGAAGTCGTTCTTGAAAGGCTCGCGGAATTGTCTGGAGAAATTGGAATCGGAATTGGAGCATTGAAGAACTCAGTTCGTTCCTTGCTTTCTTTGCTTAAAGCGTGTGGAAGCCGAGGAGTTACATCTAAGAACCTCAAGCAAGACTTGGAACAGCTAGGTATTTTCCTTCTATTGCATTTTTATCATAAAGTTGATGTGAATGAGAGACGTAGAGAGAAGCTCTAGATTTCCCATATGGCGTATGGCTCGAAAGCCCTATTACAGAGTTATTTTCATATGTCCATCAGCTCTTTTTGTTTAATGATGTTTTATGAAAAATTGTAAATTATTTTCTTAAAATCGTATCTTGAATTTACATCTTCTATTCACTAGGTATAAGTGTAATTAATTGATGAGAATTTTCAATGAAATGAAATCTTTGTCAGGTCAAAATAGAAATCTAGATAAAAATAGATATATTTAAAGCAAATTTAAAAATGGACAACATCTAGTATTTGCTCAGGATGTGCATTTGATCCTCAATTACTCGATCAATCATTAAACTTCATATTTTTACAGGTTTGGAAGAAAGCAAATATACACTTATTTGTGATAAGTGGACTGCCAATTATATTGCAATATGTCGATCTATGGTTGGAATAACATTTATGATCAACCAGCTTGTTGACATGGAATGGAAATTTGGTGTCACTTCTGCAAGTAGTGAAATTAAAAAAGTTGGGAATTCATTCCTACAGTTGAAGCTTGTGGTCAACAAAGGGAACGATGAAATGGAGGACATATTCATGGAGCTTAGTCTTCCACAGTTTTATATGTTTCTTCATGAGATGGAGAAGGCAAAAGCAAATTTAGATTTGCTTTCGTGAGGTTTTGGTTTAAAATTTAATGAGATATTCTAGTATAAGCAATATCTTCTCAATCAACTATTTAAGAATGAAGTTGCAAAGGACCATGCTACATTATTTGATCATCTTATAGTAGAAATCAAGATTTTTGACTAAAATTTATGTTTGCACCTACGCTGAACTTGAAACTATTTGCTTGCATATCTCTTGCATGTTTTTGGTTTTTTACGCACATGCAGAATATCCCATAAAAACAGAGTTTCACTGGTTCCCAATGACAAAAAGTTACATTATTAAATTGATAAGTAGAATAGCAATAGAAATAGATATGTGTTGAATCATCTGGGGAATCAACAATCCATGTAATGACTGAAATCATTGAAATCTCTGCCAGTTTAAGGTAGCCAAATGTAACTTTCCTTCACATGTCATGGTGAGCTGTGAATGACCCTTCTAAACTAGACACTGCTCTGCTGCAAGTTTCATTCATTCTTTTGATTTGATTGCCATGTATATATTATGAATTTAAGATCATTATCAACTATAATTTGAAATAATTTATTTTTGTCAAAAAGCAGTCCTCTTGTTTGAGATTATTTTATATTGAAAATATCATTTGTATATTTCTTATATCCTGTTTACATGGAGCATAAATGGTATTGGTATGGAAAATGGCTTTGAAAAAAAACCAACATTTTATAACATATTGGCTTAAAGCTTTTTCATCTGACACTCCTCAGATCATAAAATGTCAGGATAAGGGTCCGAAAGAATATGATGAAAAGTATATACCCAGTGGTAGATCGAAATAGAGCAATCAGAAAAATGCAAGCACAAGACTGGTATAGTTGACCAATCAGTGCTGCATGCCTAGAGAAAAAATACCACTGGAGTCCAAGAGAGAAAACAAACTCCTTCTGTCTACACAATGGCAGCTTTTTTGTTTGTATGTTGATCGATTCCAAGACTGCTAGATGAAAAGACGCCCAGGCTTTGCCAATTATCTGAAAAATGTTGTCATTATAGAGTTTTTCATAATCACTTGAGTTCTGCACAATCATGGCAGAATCCCTTGTTTTAACAGTTTGAGGACTCCTGGAAACATACCCCTATTTTTTCTTAAAAGGGGTAACAAGTCTAACCCTACCAACTGTCGTCTAATCGCTCACTTCTCCCTGCTGACCTAACAATAGTTAAAAAATTGGGCTAAGACAATCCTGTTAGGTGTAAGCTTACCAGGTTGTCATTTCACGTAATCGCAATACCGTATGTGACAGTCGCCGCAAACAAAGTTTTGTGGAGAATTAAAAAAAGGTGTAGGTGTTGTTTAGAAACATTTTTCATTTCACTACATAATTTTTATTCATGTTGTCCCAAATACTTCTATTAGCAGCTCAAAATTTCACAAGCATCAGGGACCTTTTTTGAGAAAGAAACACCCTGCTGTAGTAAAGACTTACTGTAGTACAGTGACAGAAATTTCTCCCACATAAATAATTTTTTGATACAGAAGGCTAAACTTTTGTCAAATGAAGTGATTATGGCCAACCGTTGCTCCAATGTCAGGAAAAGGGGCGATTTGACAGACAGGGAAATGATACATATAAACTGGGGTGTGAGAACGGGTTGGTGTTGGTGGAAGTGTCACAGACAGAGACAATGTAAGAGCTGCTGGGCAGGAGGGGGCAAAGCCCCATGAAAAAAGGTAAAACAAGCTAAGGGCGGCATCCGCCTTGGGCGAAAATACGAAAATCAGACAATTTTTGGTCAAACCCCCTCCATCAATTCAGGGATTGAAAGTTGGTCAAAAGGCTTGAAAATTGATCTCTTCTCCATAACACCCCACCCAAAAAAACGTTCCTCACATCCCTGTAGAACAGTTTCTGTCGTTGGGAAGTTGCAATAACGTCATCTGCTGGTAAACGCAACATCCTAGTTATGCAAGTATGAACCTTTTGCAATATTTTACGTTACTCTCAGTTAGCCCCAAGCATGTCGCTTTTTACAATTTTAGAAAATTAATTTTTGAAAAACTAGAAATTCAATTAAGTAAAAGCTAAACATAAAAAGAGGATTAATGATGTTCCATTTCTTAATTCTTCACGAATTTTGACAAAAAGTAGAGGGTAAATCCCCTCAGCCTCCATGTTCTGCGGTGCTTGACTATGGGCATAGCGGAGGCTAAATGTTTAGTATGGGTCTTGTCCGATCAATGGCGAGGTGGCAGGGGGCCATGGCCCCCTGAATAGGGGCGCCAAAATTGTTTGCTTGTAATATTAGGCTAGGAACATCAGAAATGATCGTGCATGGGTAGAACACTTCGCTGTAACTTGCTGTGAACAATCTAATAAAATATTTGATTCTACAATCGAAGCACGTTGCGCTGCCATGACCCAATCAACATTTGTGTCATATGTTTTCGTTTTAACTATGTACGTGGCTTCATGTTTATCACGCCAACTAACGAAGATTTTACGCATGCCAAAAAATTTTTCTATTAGTTTGCACTCAGAACGCCAAAAAGCCTGCGTGTACGCCAAAGATCTTCGGGCCAAAGTACATGGAATGCACCCTGGAAATCAATACAGCAGCTTCTTGTTATTAACATCGAGGTGAACCAAAGGTCACCCTTTCTTTCTTTATCCAACGCACGAATCCTCCCCTCCAAAATTTTTTTCTAAAAATCAAAAATAAATGTTTTTCTGAGCATCGTCGAACTGACTATTCTGAGCGGTGTAGTAATTTGTTAAATTTTAGTCTGGGAGATGCATTTTTAGCCATTCTAGAAGGCTTGATTTCAAAGATTTTCTTCCGCGTCGGACCCAACCATGGTGGGTCCTCCTTTGTCACCAAAATTGATCCTTAGCCCCAGATTCAATTTTGTGGCGCCACCTCTGTCCGATTCAATAGTGCGATTCAATGCTTGAAACTTTTTTTGAAAGAACTACTACTTTAAAAACTACTAGAGAATAACAAATTCGAACCATGTTTGTATATCATACATCATAAATGCGATGACACTAGGCCGATAAAATCGCCAATATGCAGTGGCGAAATGGACTAAGGTTAAAAAACTATGGGGGCCGAAACAAAAATGTGCTCTACGTTATTTTACTCTGAAGCTGGTTTTCCGGATATAATAAACGAGTAGCCTGTATGAAACATCGGTGTAATTAAAGAAAATGTCTTTTGATTAGTATTTTATGTTTTGCCTACCGTATTTCCTCGAAAATATGCCAGTTCAAAATAGCTTGATATTTTACCGAACCACGATCGAGAAGGTCAAATGTTAGGATTACATAACTTTTCCATTCATATTTGCATTCTTAGTCAAATATTTATAAATTTTGGATTCAAGTTGCAAAAATCGATTTCCCTTCTAGAAACACATGCTTTTATATAACCACGATATATAGATAGGGCGCAAAAATCGACTTGGCCACCCCAGGGAAAACATAGCCACCGCGCCACTGTGTGCGATTACTGTTGATTTGTAGAGATAAAATTGCCCGAATGGGCCTGAAATTCGATAAACTTTGCCTCATAGGGGGTCTTCAGTCCCCCTACCTCTATGTCTCCCAGGCATTAATTTAAGGAATTTTCATCACTGCACAAAACAGCGTAAATTGCCGATTTTCGGGGCCCAATAGGGTGTGGCTAGGGGTATGGCTAAGATTTGACTAGACCTCTTTTGGACGGAACAAAAACGTTTTACATTATTTTCAGGGACACTTTCAGTGTAACTCAGCCTAACTACAGCTAATACTGATTATGTATACATCTTACCAGAAAAACCCTTTGCAACATAGTTTTTAGCCACTTTTACTGACAGAAGAGATGCTATATTCTACATAAACGTTTACTTTGTTTGTAGAAACTGTATGTAAGCATTCTATCAAGTTGCAGATAAAGATTTGTTAGTCTATCCGGGGGATAAATGCTCGTTTTTTAGGAGAGCCTTGAAAGCCTACTTTTCGGAATATGAATCAATTGTATATATAACATTGGTAATACAGGGATGGCTCCACAAAATTGAGCCTGGGGGGCTAAGAACGACGTTTAGTGACATAGGAGGACCCACCATGGTTGAGTATGACACAAAAGAGCATTTTTGAAATTGGGCCTTCTAGAACGGCTAAAAATGCATCTCCCAGACTAAAATTTAACAATCTACTTTACCGCTCAGATAAAACAAGTCGACAATTCTCAGAAAAACATCGATTACTGATTTTTAGGAAAAATTTGGGAGGGGAGGAGTCGTGCTAAAACTCTAGTGACAGACGTTGGGGAAAGAAAGGAAGGGTAATCTTCGGTTCAGAGTGCACATCGATGTGAATAACAAAAAGCTAATGTATTGATTGAGCGAATTTTACTTCCTAAACAGAAATATGCATCTTTTTTGTCACGAGTATTTTCAGTAGGCCACGTTTATACATCCAAAATGTAAATATTGCAATGATATAGAAACTAGAAAGTTATCTACCGAATTAATGCAAATCATAGAAAAATAATAGAAATATACCTAAACAAGTAAGCAATTTGTTTTCAAAAACAAGAAAAAAAGAGGGTCAAACATTTTTATCTCTGAAAAAGAGGGGGGGCTTTAGCCCCAAGTGGCATCGTGCCTGAGATACATAAAGATATAATTTATTTGGTAATCATAAAGAGTAGAAAATGGCCAATGAAACCTAACAGCAAGCATTGATGCCTGACTTGAAATATCGTTTCAGAAAGGGATGCGTAAACTCATGCTGAGTTACGTGATTTTATTATTAACGTTGGTTTTAGTTGAGTTCCACTCGTAACTTGATTCCATTCTCTCATTTGATTCTCGAGTATAGTTTGTATTCATTTGTCACAGTAGTGTAATTAGCAGTATTTGGAGTATTTCAAACTGAAAAGTGAAGTAATTCATCACTGCACATTTTTCAATTTATCACTGCACATTTTCGATTCATCACTGCACAAATTGGTAATCACTGCACCTTAAATTAATCCTTGATGTCTCCTACGCCTACAGGGGCGTAACTTGGCCAATAGTTTTGGGGGGGTGAAAAGGGCTTCTGCCCTGCAGACCTCGTAGCAAAGGTTTGTCTATAGGTTACTAGTGAAAGCTTTACCAGTGTACACTGGTCTTTACCAAGGACAAACTTCTAAGCAATAAAAACAAACTTGAAACTTCATTGCCTTTGAAATTTCTATTTCTCTACGTGAGCGTAAATTGTTTTTTTATATTCAGTTCATTTAATGTTGGTTTGCAAAATCAAGCTAATAAACAGCTAAATGGGGGGGGGGGGGAAGGTTACATGATGTAGACAGCGCAACAAAATTTATCCCAGTAGTGCTAAGAGTCGAGTTTAGTGAGGTAGGAGGACCCACCATGGTTGGGTCCGACGTGAAGAATTTTTTTGAAATTATACCTTGTAAAAGGGCTAAAAAGCATCTTTCAGACAAAAATTTAGCAAAATACTATTGTGCTAAAAAAACTGATTGTTTATTGAAAATATTATTGTTTATTGGGAAAAATAGGGAGGGGGATGTCATGCTAAAACTCTAGTCAGGGGCGGATCCAGTGGGGTGCGAAGGGGGCTCGAGCACCCCTCAGATTTGAGAAAAAACTTTTTGGGGATTAAAGCTTATTCTACCGCAATTTTGTTTATTATTATTTAAACCATTTAAATAATACCGGGAAGTATGCACGTCTCCTGAAATTGTTATTTCCGCTTCAATGCCCCGTCTCACAACTGTTCAACATTGTTATTTCAGTCCATGCATTGAAGTGTTATGAAACTCCCCCTGGTTGTCCTGTATAGCATTCTACAGACTCGGAAAGCATTGTCTCCTCTTATATCCAGCCACTTAAGGAACCCGTGGCCTGTAAATTATACGAGCTTCTGCACCCGTGGAAGTGAATCTAGCCAATCACGGTGCCAGGTCGAGGGGTTCTAAACTTTGGCGCGAGAACCCATGGATTTCAAAAATCCAAAACATCAAAGAATACCGACAAACCAGGGGGAGTTTCTTCGCTTCAATCTACAGTCAAATGTATAAGTGGTTTTATGACCAGGGGGAGTTGAGCTTGAACAGGGGGAGTTGAGGTTGACCAGGGGGAGTTGAATTATGATACAGCACGCGACGAATGCTTAGGCGCAAATTTGCAATATGTTTTCGTGGATCTTTTGACGATCTTTACCTGATGCTCGATGCTGTAACGGCAGAACTTGTAAACGCTGTGGTTTATATAACAGAACGGTTTCAAGTTTCAACTCCGTGTTTCACGTCTTATTCATAGACCATGAGGTATGATTTATATTCAGAGGATAAAGCTTGCCCGAGCCCTTGTTATTCTTTTTTTAATCATTCAAGAACTACATAAAAAACATCTCAAAAACTTGCCCTTACTATTATTGACCAAAAGGGGTTTCCTTTTTATACCTACTTATATTCCTGTGAATCCTTTTTTCTCTAAGAATTTCAAATACATAAAAATACTCAAAACGCCAGGCCCATAGCGAAACGTTCAGGGCCTTCTTTGTTTGGTTTGAATGCTGTGTTTGAATCCCTGTGTTCAACTTTTGCACTGCACTTCAAGGGCTTCATTCCACCAGCCACGTTATTTTTTTCGTCAAGCTGATCAAGTTCTAATAAATGGCTGCAAAGAGTCAAAAATTAAATTTTGCTTTGAAAATTTGTGGGCTCGGACCTTTTGCCACTGCGGGCCATCATATCATCTTTGACTACAGTTTCTATACTTTGTACCCTAAGTGAATATAAGAGGGGCGAGCTGCAAATTGCGTTCAATTGGCATAAAAGCTGATACCAAAAATTACTATATAAATCAAGGCATCCAGGCTTTTTAGTTTATGGAAGGCTTTCATTTCATTATGGCTTATTAGCAGGGGTACGGAGTTTGTGCATAGCAACACCCTGGGTTACCAAGCCTTACGTTTTAGAACCCCTCAGAATAATTTCTAGATCCGCCCCTGCTAGTGTTCGACGTTGGGGAAGGAAAGGAACGGCAACCTTTCGTTTCAGATTGCACGTAGTTGTGAATGACAGAGGAAGATGTTGTTTTGATTGGGAGAATTTTTTTTCCTGAACAGAAATTTGCAGTTTCTTGTATCAAGAAGGCCATGTTTACACATCCAAAATTAAAACATTGCAATGATACAGAAAATGATTTACTGAATTAATGCAAATAAAAGAAAAATAATAAAAATATACCTGAAAAAGTTAGCAATTAGATGAAACAAAATCGGTATCTTAACGATTTATTATGTTTTTTAGTTCATGCACTGTTAAAAAGTAATAGAAAAAATGATAAAAAGATTCCTATCTTGACCAAATTTAGGGACTTCAGCCCCTTATTCCCCCCCCCCCAGTGACGCCGTGCTTGTCATGAAAATAATTTACAACTTAAATTAATTTGCATGAGTCAACCTTGCCCTCATAAACATATGCATCAATCATTGCATCCATTGGTTATGACTTTCGGTAAGAAATGCTTTCGCTTTGCAAATAACGGAGCTTTTCCTTACATACCTGTTCCGTTCTCTAAAATGCAATGTCAGGAAGGTAGGTTCATAACAAATATGATATTTTCATTTCAAAATTCCTAAACGGCTCTTCACGAACTTTAGAGGTGGCATTTCTGCGTGGCAATAAAGCTCTTCTTGGCGCCCTACGAAATCTTCAATTGCCCTGCGAAATCGACTATTTTTTGGATTGGGGGGGTGTCACACCCCCCACATCCCCCCGGTAGTTTCGCCCCTGTACGCCTATGTTCTCATCCATTCTAACTGATATGTACTAGCCTGGTCTCTGACACAGGCTAATCTGTGCTTGACACTAACTCAGGGAACTCAGGGCTCTATCTGCCCTGCGGGGCAGGTCATGAGGACAACATGAAGTACAATGGCCTTGATAAACATCAGCGAAAGGAAGTGCTCTGAAAGTTGTGGAGGGAGGTCGATCTGTTCATGCTAGAGCTTGTCAGAAACACTGGAACAAGACATCGGCATCGTTATGGTAAATATCAATACACCATGTATTCGTTACTTTCTTTAAAATCTACCCTGTTTCTTAATCAGCTTTTATTTTTGTTCCTTTTTAGCTATTTGCCAACACCTATATTAATTTTCCGCTGTTATTGTCGTCAGCTGCTTGAAATCCGTAAATTGAAAAGACTTTGCTCTCTGTTCTAACCTTGAACCTTAACTACAAGCTTTCCTTTTAAAAATCATTGATTTTGTAACTTATGGATTAAGAACAGAAACAAGATTTGTAATTTCGACATACAATCTAAAATGATGTAGTAGTTTGTGTGCTAGACAGCATAGTTTGTCCTTTTTCGACCAATTCTCGTGTGTGATGAACAATTTCAGATATGCAAGTTGAAAGGAACCGTATATTGCGATTATAAACTGCAGTAATGTTTTGTAATTTGTGTATTTAGTACAAAAGCTGTAACTGCATTACGTCACAACTACTTTCCTTATTATGAAATTATTGGACGAAACTGTTTGCATACAAGGTGAACCAGATATTCAATACCCTATTATTAATAGCTTTGAATTACAATTTCTTTAGATTCCCAAGAATATTTCGTACTAACACACAATATTTGAATTTCTAGAAATATGTATAAATTCTAATGAAAAAGACTGCAGTTTCTTGAATTCTTTGTAACATATGATCAAATCACATCTTTGAAAATATATGAATCATACTTTGGAGTTGTAACAATTCACACCCTTACTCTCTTGTTATTGACTAGGATTTATTTCGATCAACTATCTTTGAAGAGTCTCTCACACCTATTGAGCCTCAAAGAGTCCAGGTTTAATAGACTCTATGAAAAAAATTAATTTTCGTTTTGTTGAACAATGAGACAGAGGCTGTTTTTTCAAGGAAATAGGATATTGTTTTGCATCATCTTTCTTCTTAGGATTTACTTTAAAATCATCTCTATCAAAGGATCTTGTTTTGAGACTATAATTCGTCACTGTTGTTCATGGGTATAGCAGAGGCTAATCATTTAAGGACAAGGGGATTTTGTTTGGGTCTTGCTTGGGTCTAATCAACCAAAATTGACCTGAAATTTGATAAATTTTGTCTGACTTGAGGGAAGCACCTGTTTACTAATTTTTTTCTAATTTAAATGAAGGTCAATTGTGAAAGTAACTTCTCTGTTATCCTATCATTCTTTGAAAAAGGAAACTTTTAAGAAGTGGCCAATACTAGTTTATTAGATTAAAAAACCATTTATAGCCTCTGCTAGAATATTTACAAGTGTGACTCTCATTGAATAAGTTGCTATAGTTTCAAAAAATATGTTTAGAAACCCTGTCTTTGTTCCAATCAATGTTGAATGCAATTATCTGTTTCTATCTAGGCTGTTCTGTTGAATCAGTTGGTAAGGACACAAGCTCAATAAGTCCCTTTCCTTCCATACAAGTTTTTAACTTTCTGCTATTTAAACTTCAAATTTTTACCTTTTAGGTAACTGTTTATGAAATTAAGTTAACTGTTGTATGGTTAAAGGGACTTTTAATGTAGTCTATGGTTTTTTATATATTAGAGTTTTAAATGTAAAAACTTTTTAATGATTACACTGTTGTATGGGTTGTAGACTAAACAACTTCTAACCCTTTAACTGATTAATAAAAGTAGTTTTAATAGAATCAATATTGAGCCAATCTTCAGGACAAAGCTTTGAACTTCCTACATCATTTTTCTTCTCTTAGTAAGAGGTAGGGATTATTGGGATTTTAGGAGACAGCTGCCCCCGCAAATCTACACAACTTATACAACTTAACCCAGAAAGTTTAGTTGCAATTTCATTTCACATTGTAAGTAGGCTGTTATTTGCTATTCAAGCTCATCTTCAAATCTAATCTATATTGTATCAAGGTTTCATGAATGGCATACCAAGTTGCCCAACAATTTAGAAATTTGTCATCATTGGCCATTCATGGTCATACTCATAGCCATTATAAGAACTAGCTTGGTAATCAAGGACTTTAAAAAAGCTACCTGCCTTGCGTACCTTAGCATACTTTTGCATACTTTTCACCTGGGATATTATTTCAATAACCACCTGCACATTTGCAGTCTATTGTATGGCTGTATTTCTTTTCATGTTTGCAAATTTGAATTATTGACTGCATTTCTAATTGCTGTGCTTTATGAAAGATTAATGTGATTGAATCATTTCTCTGTAAATTTCACAAATATTTTTGAAAATTTATTTTGCAATTCATTGTAAATGTGATTAAGTATTATGCCATAATCTTGCATCTTATTATACCCTAGTCTGTTAGAGTAGTTAAATCTATAATTAGCTTTAAAGCCGGAAATAATCAAAATATTTTCATCCTTTAATCAACTTTCTACTTTAGGATCAGGGAGTAAATTTTTTATGAATGAGATTAGCAGATATTATTAAAAATTTAAAAAGTACTTATAGGAGTATTGTGACTTTTGTTTGGCAGGGGAAGGAGCAAACATTAACAAACAATTCAGTCAAAAAACCTTCTGTCAAACATTGCCATGCCTTGGAAGGTTTTTCCAAGTGAGACGTAAAATTGTTACTTACACGATAGAAATTGTGTTTGTTGGATAAAATTTTAATGGAAACCTAGTCTCCCACCACATGAAAATAAAGACTTTGAAAAAACTTGAGATATATTTGGTAATTCATTAATGCCCATTGGGACTTTTAAAGCTCAAAGACAAAGTGAATGAAGAGGGTTAAGTATTATAAAAGTTTGTTATGTGTATCTTTCCAAGAGCCTTTTTTTGTGTTTCGTTATATAGAAACATTTTTAATTTGAAAGCTTAAACTACGGATTACAGCCACAGGTATTGTATTTCTTATTGAAAGCCTTTGGAGAGAATAAATGTTTGCCAAGTGTTATGTTACGATGGTTAAAAAGGTGACCCTAGATAAAATTTTGAATAGGAAGGTCCCGTGCCACAAGAAAGATACTCAGAAGGGCCAATCATATGGCTGAACCATGATATCAAGTTCATGTCTTGACAAACTGTCGTTGCATAAGCATTATTTAATATGCCTCAAGGAAGCTTGTCTAAACGAGAAAGTCTTGGCGGTGTTAGGACTGTCATTGATTTACTATTTTGAACTATAGCGTTACTTTTCCTAAGTCATCCTTTATGTTCTCGAGTGAGGTAGTTTTTTTCATTTCTCAGGTTAACTCAATCTGCTGTCGTTACAAAGAGCTCCGAGGTTAATTCATTCTGAGGTCTTGGAAAGTTTTGTGTTTAGACGCAGCTATGGGGCAAACACCCTCATCGTCGTCAAAAAAGTTTCCTGAACCATTTTCTTCACGGTCAAGCTCGATCCGTTCATCTGGTACCTTCAGAAAACAGCTAAAAATTGGAACACTGCGCAAGAAGATTGCAAAAACATTGAAAGGCGGAAGAACTCCAGATTACAGAAGACACATGCGTGAAGTGCTGGAAACATGGGACCTCAAGGATGTGAGTTACCTTGTTCAAGAATATGAGGCATTGCTTGCTCTTAAAGACATTATAACTATGTCGGAAATGGCTCGTGAGTCGGTTCCGTCGTTGCGTTCAGATCTTAGTTCCTTATACGAATCAAAAATGCTGACGGACGTTTTATTGGAGTACAAGGGTGCACTGATACCTGCTCATAGGCCGATTCTTGTTTGTCGCTGTTCATTTTTTGAAAAGAAGTTATCAAGTATAATAGACGTTCGTAAGCCAGTTCGTATTGATTTGGAAGTAGAAGGGCTGACCGTTTCTATGTTTTCATTGTTGATTAAGTACCTGTACACAGGAGAGATGTTCCAAGGAAAGCTAGATTGTGAGGAAATTTTCAAGAAGCTGGGAGAAAGATTTGGTGTACCTAATGTTTTAGAAAAGGACTTTAAATCACTTTTGGAAACTGGTTTAGTCGCTGATGTAATCCTAGAAGTTCCTTCAGGTGGGAATTCACCATCTCATCGATCGAACGATGTCAGTTCTTTAGAATTTAAATGCCATAGTGCTATTCTGAGTTGTCGATCTTCCTATTTCAAGGCATTAATTACGCGCAAATTCAGAGACGACCCTTCCTCCATCAGCGCGCAGAGACCGTTGAGGATTCTATTGGACGAAAATATAATTCCGCGGCAATATATCCGAGTTTTGTTGCAATGCATGTACTTAGATTGTGTTGATCTTCGATCCATTATAAAGTGGAAAACAGCTGATGATAACAATGGAATTGGTGGTGAGACGGATAAACTTTTATCAACCCCAGAGATTGCAATGGAGTTATACGAAATTGGGAAATTTCTTGATTTTCCTGCTCTTTGTCAAGGTAAGAAAAGTATCTGAGTTGTTTGCATTCGGGGGTATGAAACATCGGTTTTGCTACCGATCACTTCTTGTGACATTTAAGCCCTACGCAAATCCGGAGCTGATTTAAGTAAAATGAGATCTAGACAGACATTGAACGTTGGTTAATAAATTTATGGGTGCCTTTTTGTATCTTTTGATTTCTGCTTTTTTGCAACTCCACTTGGTTGGAAAATTATCTCCGTTATTTCGCTTACAGAGTATTTAATCACAGTTGATATTTTTTGCAGCCTGCGAAGACATAATAATCGAAGAAATATCCAGTGCTTCTTTAGTTGGAGTTCTGGAATGGAGTTCACAGCCTTTTGGCTCACAATGGGTTCACAGACAGGCTTTGCGCTATTTAAGGGAAGACTTCGTTTCTGTTGCAAAGTCTACAGCATTTATTGCAAATTTACCCAAAAAATATTTCATCGAGGCAATAAATAATGATTTATTGCAGGTGAGTTCACATTTCACGTTTAGAAATGGTTACATCCACACTCCATTTAAGCGCTTCATCCCTGATCTTTGAACGAAATTTGGTTTTTAGAAACTGTTATCTTGTTTGCACTCTACATTCTTGTTGTCTTGTCCATTGCTATGTATTTAGAACGCATTCTAGATTTGCTTGCTGCTCTTCTCGTTTCTTGTTATGGCTCATGGCATCTTAGATATAGATATTTGAAATAATTCTTAATTGCTATTGTTTTCCAGGCAAGCGAAGAAGAAGTTTTGTCAGCTGTTGTGCGTTGGGGTGAATGGCAAGTTTCCAAGATTATTGACAAGCAAAGTAAGGGGATATGATTATATTTCCATGTCTGTTGTCCAACTCACTCAGAGTATAGTTAGAATGATTTTTAATAAGGTAAATGTCTTTCCGTACACGATTTTTGGAAGCAGGCAGCGCTTCTAGTATGTGAGCGTTCTTCACCTTTAATTAAATAGTAAAAGGCTCATGGAAAAATTATAAAGTTATTTTGATCTGAATTATAAACTGGTATTTGTTTTAGATGGGCTGCCCACAAGCTCTCTAAATCGCCGAAGTCCTAAGCGAAAAGACATTAATGATGAAGACTTATACCAGGCCATCAAAGACATTTTACCCTTTATCAGAATAAAGCAAGTTATACCAAAAAGTTCGGTCGTACTTCAAATGGCCTACCACCGTGGATTATTGCAGAGGCCGCTTGATGTTGCCACGGGTGATAGCGACGCCATATTGAGCACCCACTGGGTGCGGTCATGGAAAGGAAGGCATCATGGGAATTATGTGCGTCCGAGGCTGTTTATCCCATATTATGAAGAGGCAAAGGTAAATTTATCATAGAACATTGTTTGTTAGCACCTCGAGTTACTTAATGTATGGTAATGCAAATCGTACCAGTCTTTGATAAACATCCGTCTTAGTTGCCGGTTACTCAAAGAGGAAGTGTATGTTGCATCCTTTCAACGAGGACTCTTCTGCCTATTTGATATATGAAAAAAAGTTTATATGGAGGATGTACTTAGGTTGATTGTTGAAAAAAAATTCATAGTCAATTCCAATGCAGAAGGCTATAACATCAGAAACGCCATCAACCATTAAAACCTTTAGAGAAGGGAGATCCCGTAACCAAATGAAATGGAAAGAGGATAATTGTTTCTGTAACCTTGTTGGGGAGATGAGATGCAGCAATTGCTTGAGTATGAAATGAGTACCCCCGTTTTGGGGCCATTGCACATGCGTATTATATATTCTGAGTCAAAGAGGCATAGAACCCCCCGAGAAAGGAACAAACAGAACTTTGCGATCGAATTTCAAAACTAAGTGAGCGGTCGGAGCTTATCATTCACATTGACATGGGAGTTTGAGCATAGCAGAAATATCTTTCATACTAAAAACCTGCCTGGATTCTCTGTTGTTTTATGGTTTTTGTTTGTATTAAGGCTCACTTTACTTCCAAAGGTAAGCAAAAACATCGAGAATTTTATGACGCGGCCTAAGTGTTTACAGAGAGTAGACATTCGATGAAAACAATACAACCTGATTTTAACTGACCTCCGACACTAGAGCCAGGCCAAGGCAACTAAAAGAACAGACAACGTACCTTCAATTCAATTATTCAAATTTTTGAGGTGGAAAGCTTCGAATTTTGATCTTCCCCTTTTGACTACATCTACAAAAAGTTTCGAGGAAACCCCTAAATGAAAAATAAACAAAAATACGTCCTTAAATTATATGCGTAAAACTCCTCAGAAATTACTAAAATTACTGTTCTCGACATGTTTGCGAGATCTCGTTGTGTTCCCTGGCTTTTGGTGTTGAGGATAGCCCGGGATTTTTTAGGAATAATTCGTTAGAATACGCATGCGTCCCTGCCCCTCGACGTTGATTGGCTCGAACAAATCATTAAGCCTTTTGTCTCAAACAATAGGAGTGAGATCTCATCTCCCCAACAAGACCCCAGATAAAGATACGGATAAGAACAAATATGAGATATGATGTTTGTTTAAGTTTGGCCCCTTTTTCATTAATTGTTTATTCATTGTATTCTAGGCCTTCTTAAGCGAGAGTATGATGGCTGATGCGAGCTCGACAAACTTGCGAGCAGGTAGATTTACTGCGATGCCTGATATTATGCCGACAATGGATGCAGCTGAAAGCGAAGGAACGATGTCAGACCTAACCCTGGAAAGATTTAAGTCATATTCTGCTGATTTCGTGAGCATTGATCGCAAGGTCATAAAAAGAATGGGAAGAAGAGAAAAAGAGCTAAAAAGGATGCATTCGTCACAAAAAGCACTTTCTCTGTTGTCAGGTATTGTGAAAAAAGTTATATTGTGAAAGTTTTTGGAAATTTATGAAAAGAAAGAATGCACCAAGAAAAGTATTTTACTTCAAGTATGGCGAAGAAGTTTTTTGAGATGTTTTAAGGAAGATGTTTATTTGTCTTACGTAAGCAATTGTAAAGGACTTAAAATTTTGAATAATGTCTTAAAAGTTTCTGGGAGAATGTTTGAAGATGAAGTGTAGAAATATATTTTATTTCTCAACCATCAATCGAATTCAAGCTTTACAGATAAATTAGCAACATACTTTTCCACGACATTCTGTTATTTTTCTGGCACTCGCGCCTGTGAAATAGAGAGTAAATAACTTTCATTACATCGCCACTTGACTTTGTTATGCTCAGCTTAGAAATAAAAAGTGGCATCCTTTGTGCATCTTACGAAAGCCTTGCTTACCCTTAGATGGCAACACACACGTGGTGAACTTCGAAATCCAAAAACGAGTGATGCGTGAGTTTGGGTATCCTGATTCTTTTGCTTGCGAAGTTTTCAGACACGCCCCAGACATCATTGAGGACTCCAGCAGCAGCTCGGGGTCATCATCATCAAGACATAGTACACTTTCAAAGGTATCTTTGTACCCATTATCTTATTATTTGCAGCAAACGGTGTACCCATTACCCATTATCTTACAACAAGTCTTTGTGCCAAAATAATGTCCCTCTGCTTGGGCAGTTCAATAAAATGCCAGTTAGAATTGATTTGGAACTTTTTTTTAAGTGCTTCTTCGTATGCTGTAAGCAGTTTTGATTGTCCAAATTCGGGGGAAAAAGCGGGATTCAAATTTACAGGGGCAATGCAAAGTAAAAATTGCAAAAACGTAAATTTGTCTCAACAAATTTGTCCGGGATTGTAGCTTTGGAGAATGTATTTTAGAACAACATAACTTCAAAATCAAGGTCTGATCATAAAAATTTACAGTGGTACAAAAGCCAAAAATGTTTGAGAGCTCCTCTTTTCCCAATTGAAATGAAGATCACGAGTATCAGACAAAAATATCAGAAGCTAAATCTGTTTTCCCTTCTTTCTCTTCTTAATGCCCTGTTTGTCAGAGTCTTCAAAAAATGGAATTAAAAACCTGTCCTTTGTTTCCCTCTCTTTGTTACAGGAGACACTGGCACCCAAAGTACCTTCTTGCTTGATAATTTTCGGCTTTCCAGCTACTTTATCATTTGTTTCTGCTCCTTGTAGATGGGTACGACTCAAAATGATGTTGCGGCTGCGGCAGCCCCCGACGTGACCATACCTGCAGGTGAAATGTTCAGTCGCTGTGATGAGAATGCATAAAATGCTTGTCAGTATTTATGACCTTACCTGGCTCTATACCTGGCAACCGCCCCGTTTGTTGTTTGAACTTGTAAATCTGTCAAAATTCGTTGTTGTACAATTTTTTGCAAAGGTTTCTATTTAGTTCCAACTGTCGTTGGCCTAGCTTTAGTAATTTATAGAAGTTCTCAGCTTTGCTCTTATTAGCAGACATTTATTACATCAAAAGACTGTGAAGTACGATATTTGTATATTTACAAAATTTGTATACTAGGAAAACCAAATTCATAGCGCTATTTATGTAAATTTAAATGTTGATAAAGAGTTTAATATTGTAATAAATAAGTGAAAATTATCCAAGCGGCGAACTCAACTGACGGTAGCTCTTCTTTTTATGGATGTTACAACATACACATTCCTGTGCATTTGACATTGGTATAAATCCGCATTTCACGAGCAAGTTTTCCATGACAATTTTTCGAGCAGTTAATTTTGCTCGTGTAGATTGGGACAAATTGAGGAAGAATGACAATTTTTCAGTTGACAAGTGTAATCGTTTAAAAGCTGGCGTGCCAGTTTATCAGCAAGTTCACTTGTCAAGTAGAAAATTGTTATTTGCAAAACTTGTCCGTGTAGATGACTTTACAAGTAAACTTGACAAATTTGACTCAATTCCAAACCTTTTCTTTTTTACAATTACTTGTTCGTGGCTGTCATGGCCGATCAAGGAACATCAATGCTTTTAGATACTCTGCAAGCCGTGAAAGTCTTCGGAATACAAAAGCAGAACTTTGTAAAATCGGAACATCAAGAAGAACGAGCATTGGCAGTATGAGTAAGGATATGCAGGTATTAAAAGAAGAATTTCCAAGGATTTCTCACACACAAATAAATGTATCTTCTTCATTAAAGGTGCTATATTTTGCAAAGGAGCTATCATTTGTTGGGATTAAATTTTTTGTTTGAGATTTGAAATAATTCATCGGCTTGCTCGGTAATTTCGATTGAGTTTTCATAAATAGGAGTTCTGCTAGCACTCATAGTACTTCGGGTTTGTAGAGGTTCTGGTAGCATAGCTACATCGCCGTTAAATACAACAAATGTGACTTTGCCAGCAACAACCTCGTCTTCTCGAGAATTTGTTTCCTTTTTTGTTCGGAAAAGAGGCCAGATTAGAGACCGCGCCTTTTAATTGAAATTGATGTAAACATTACAGAAATGACTTCTGATAAATAGGAAGTTACAGAAGCCATGTTTAGGAAAGGCTTCAGTACGTTGCTGAAGCAGAAGCTTGTCAATAATGTACCAAAAAGATGCGCATATCTTAAGCTTGGCAAATATAACAGTTGGAGACAATCACAGGATGGAAGGAGAGTCAAATTTGCACTGGTTATGCTTGGTACAGTCGCTGGAGCGGGAGGCCTACTCGGTCAGTTTGATCGCGTTGCTTTTCGATTTCATTGCTCGTTTCATACGAGATTTGTTTCTATAAATAGTGGAATATAACCTTTGGAATAATTTATGATAAGGCAAAAGTTGACCTTGTGTTTATGAAATTTCGATCCATTGGTAAAGGACTCTGTCTTTGAACATCATGCAACAACCACTCTTCGTCTTATATCTCATGTTTCTGTAATTTATAAGAATACCTAATTTTTTATAAAAAAAGTATAAATTTTTTAGTTTTTTATTTATAAATTCAATAAATTTTATAAAATAGTTTTTTATAAAAAATAATTCTTATATAAAAAAGGGCGTATTTGTAATTTTTCTGACAGGAGTCTACGTAAATTATGCATCAAACCAAGCCAAAGATGACAGGAAAAAGAAGATAGTTGTCCTTGGTTCAGGTTGGGGTGCAGTCAGTTTTCTTAAACACTTGAAACCAGATTCTTATGAAGTGTCAGTGGTTTCTCCATCAAACTACTTTCTTTTTACACCATTCCTTCCAAGTGTCACTGTTGGAACAGTTGAGGGTAGAAGCATTGTTGAACCAATTAGGAAGATCATCAGAAAATACCAAAAACAAAGTGCAGAGTTTTATGAGGCAGAATGCATTGGTGTTGATGCAAATGAAAAAAGAGTTTATTGTCAAGACACTTCAGGTTCGTTTGCATATCTTTTTATTCTAGCTTGGCTCCTTGGAAAAATCTGATGCAATTTTTTAATATTCATTGTTAACAAATGTTACAGTCCTGACAGTTTTCTTTATTTAGTCATGTTGTATTTATTCAAGAAAATATATGCATTCATTACCTGATATATTAATAAAAATGGTTTTGAAAGGCAAACATTAATAGCTATTGGTAATCTTTTTGTCTAAACTTTTTCAGAAATCCCAGGTTGTACCAAAACTATAATTGGTGAGATGTTTCAGATAATTTGACAGAGCTCCATTTGTATTATACCACACTGATACTGAGACAGCCCTTATGTATTACAGAATTGATTTACTAGTTATTTTCTAAATTCACAGGGATTATTGGAAAGCAAAGTGATTTTTCGTTGGATTATGATATTCTTGTTGTTGCTGTTGGTGCAGAGACTGCTACATATGGTACCCCAGGGGTGAAAGAGTACACACATTTCTTGAAAGATATTAAGGATGTTCAGAGAATAAGAAGCAACATAATGGATCACCTTGAAACAGCTGCATACCCAGGCCAAGAGGACTCAGAAGTTTCCAGACTCCTGCATTTTGTTGTTGTTGGGGGTGGTCCAACAGGTTGGTTCTTTTGACCTTAATTTCTTTGTAATAGGTTGAAATATCAAACAAAGCTGAAAAATGTGGACAATCTTTTGGTGGTACAGAATAGAACTTGAAAATGGCTTTGAAAAAAGCAAACATTTTATATCACATTGGCTAAAAGCTTTTTTGTCTGACACTCCTCAGAGCATAAAACCTCAGAATAAGGGTCCGAAAGAACACGATGAAAAATATGAACCCAGTTGTGGATTGAAATATAACAATCACAGAAAGGCAAGCACAAAGCTCCAATGGTAGTCTTTCTTTAGGCACACAGCACTGATGGACAAATATTATGGTCTTGTTCTTGCATTTTTCTTATTGTCCTATTTTGATCCGCAACTGGGTATATATTTTTCATCGTGTTCTTTCAGACCCTTATTTTGACGTTTTATAACATTCTGAGGAGTTCCAGACGAATAAGCTTTTAGCCAATATGAAATCAAATGTTTGCTTTTTTCAAAACCATTTTCAAAAACTGAAATAAGAATAAGTTGTCTCCTCTAGACTTATATTTGAAAAATGTTGCTTTACAGTTAATTTGTTAAACAAATTGGTCAAGATTTTTGCAATTGTATTTTAGCTTTATTATCAAGACCAATCAATATTTTATTCCATTGTCTTCAGTTGAGCAAAAAGTAAACATTTTTGGAGGTGAGATTGTGACCGTAAGAGGCTAAGCAAATCTAAAATCAATTCTACCGGGGAAAGATACTTCTAACATTAGCAGAAATCAGGGTCAACACTACTAAATCAGAACTATGAGAAGAAATTTTATGTATGCCAAGATAAGAGTCATGTGGTCAGGAGAGCCTTTTAAACCGAGTTAAAGATTGTAGATTCAAAAGATTAGCTAGAATGCATTTCAATTCATCTAAATGTTGTGACAACAAGTATCATATAGCTTTGGGAGTCCTCAAACACCCTTGTTTTGTTTTGCTTGATTCATTTGGCGGATCCTTTATCTTAGGTCATGTTCCAGGGCATTTTGGGTTGATTCAAATGTATTGTCTGCATATAAATATGTTCCAACCTCAATGAAACCAACCATGAAACAAATTGTTTTCTGAACTTTTAGGTGTGGAATTTGCTGCTGAGTTGAGAGACTTTGTTGGCAGTGAGCTATCAATATTGTATCCAAAAATTAAAGATAAAATAAAATTGACACTTATTGGAGGATATCGAGGAGTTCTTAGCACCTATGATCAAGAGGTCTGTAGTATTTGCCAAGTAGTAAAAATTGTTTTCCTTAAAGTTAGCTTTTACAAGTTGCCTTTTTCCGTTTACGTTATTGGCACTTCTTGAAACATCTTTGCTACAAATTCATCAATTGATTAGTTAAACAACTGTAAATTGTTTATTAAGAGGTGGCTTAAAAGGGAAAGGAGCTTTATCTAAATGTGCACTGGTCCAAGGCATTTAGAAGACTGACTTATTGTCCCTGAACTCTTTAAAGTGGCATTAAATGAAGAGGCATTAATATATTTGAAAGAATGAACTAAAGACAAGCCCGGCATTCTGAAACTTAATAAACTCACTGTCAATGCATCCAAGTCAATGGATTGATTGTCATGTTTTGAAATCTTTTTGTTTTTATTAATTGGTTGGGAAGGAGCAGGGTAATAAAGAAGCGAGGTTTATCTGAAAAGTGCAAGATTATTGGAAAGGGGTGTAAAAGAAAAGACGCTTTATACAGAATTCGCTGTTATTCTTTAGTCTTTACATCGAAAAAGAAGCCATTTTGCAAATGTAAGTAGTGAATGATTTTTAATGGGAAAAGCAGTCACGAAAAGAGATAATGGAAGTTAACTGGCATATTGACATATTTCATTTGACATATTCGATTCATATTGAATTGACAGCATTCATCTCTTAAGGTATTTTTAGTGATTACAATCTGGCCAAGGCAATCTTTCTCACAATTTTTACTTCCACAGAGTATTTATGGATGCCTAAGAAACCCTTCTAGAATTGCCCCTTTGCCTAACTGAAGCTAGTTTGTGATAATAATTGGCAGTGCTTTTTCTTATCTAGATAGGCAATTATGTCGAGGACAAGTTTAAAGACGATAATATTGAAATAGTGCAAGGGGCACGTGTTTTGGAAATAAACAGTAGTGATATAAAATTGAGAGACGGAAAAACAAAGGAGACAGTGGACTTGCCATATGGTATGTGCGTATGGGCTGCAGGAATTTCCCCTCGGCAGCTGACCAAAGATATCATAAAAAGTATTCCCGGACAAAGAAACAAGTAATTTTTAACATTTTTTTATCTAACTATAGCAATAAATTTTTCTCTCTATGCTTTGGGTCTAAAAATCATATTCTACCAGCTGTGTGTCTATTTTAGAATGGTCTTTTTTTTGGAGTGAAGACTCCCTCTTTGACTGAGGTATACCATTTTGTCACGTGGGGGTTTATGAAAAAGAACAATCCAACATAGCAAAAACTGTAGCTCTAACCGAGCATAATCTTTTATTACTGGGTATTTTTGCTGTAAGAGCGTGTATCTTACAGCAAAGAAACCAACTAGGTGTTAGAAATTTTGCAGATCCCTCAATGGTTCAAAAGAGAATGCAAGTAAAAACGGCCATCTCCAACTTTTAGTGTCTGTTTAGCAGGCTGTCATTCCCTAATTAATCTACATTCTAATTTAAACAATCCATTCTTTTCTCACCAAACGTTAGAAGTCAATCAAATAACTGTTGCCCTTCATGTATTGCTTTTAGAAATGCTCTTTTAACTGACGATTACCTCCAAGTTAAAAATGCTCCGGGTGTGTTTGCAATTGGTGATTGTGGCACTATTGAAATGAAAAAGTTAATGAGCGATGTTACTGATCTTTTTGAAAAAGCAGATGCCAACAAAGACGGATCCCTGTCAATGGACGAGTTTCGTGGTAATTCTTCTATTTTTTTCTGTACCTATGTTACTTAAGGTGTTGGCTAAATGGATTAAATCACTGCCAGGATAAGTGTTTAAATGTTTCTCGCCATATATATTTATCTTTGTTTATTGTCCGTCTACGTTTTTGTTAAACAATATAGAACAGTTTACTGTAAAAAAATTTATAACCCTAGTTTTGATAAGAACCGCTTTCAATTCATTTTGTAGATTAAAAATTAGGTTGGTTTCCTAGTCTGCATCAGATTCATTTTCACCATCCAATAATGCAATCACTCTTATTCCAAGATATGTTTTCTACGCAGAGATCATGGAGCAAGCTAAGAATCTTTATCCTCAAGTCTCGCTGCATTTTTCGACAGAATACAACGAGTCTTTGCAGAGGTCAGTTAAATATTAGAGTTTTTAAGCTTTGATTGCGTATAGAAGCCTACACATGAAGTTAATTTGTTGTCAATTTTCCATTCATACGATTTTTCACTTCAGTGAAACAGTGGTCTTGTCCGGGTGTCTTTGATATCAACCAATTGTCATCACACCTATGCTTCTTCTTCTCCCCCTGATAGTTATTGATTGGTTAATTCTAAAGATTCCCAAACAACACCAGGAATTCATCAAAACAGATAACTGGCGCAATTTACCTTTACAAATTTAAGAGCTCATTGTTATTGGAAAAAAATATTTTAAGAATTATATTTTAGGTAATCAGTTATTGTTGATCGTTTGAAAATATTCCATTAAAACGGATTATTTCTTTGCCACATAATAATCTGCTACTCTCTTTCAGTTTATAGGGTCCAAATTACAAAACTCTGAAAACATTTTTCTATGGCATTTTAACTCAAGAACTCTATTGCATTTTATTTGAGTTCTTTTTCAAGCTTTACCGTCACGGCCTCCTCAAGCAGGTCCCTTCAAACAGAAAACTTGTTACATTATACAATCAACAGATACTTAAGGGTTTGAGCTGTCTTCAATAGGAAATTGACCAATCAGCGAGTGTGATTCCATTCACACGCTTATTGATTGGCTAATGTTGCTTGACAGATGGCTTAAGCCGTTTTTATAGATATCGATTGCCTTTAAATTTTCAGAAAAATCTATAGATACCCGTATTTTGCAGATGATTAATTGTTACCTTAATCTGTCGCAGGGCGTTTGAAAAAGCTGACGAGAACAAAGATCAGCGATTAAGTCTCGATGAATTCAAAGGAATTCTAGCAGAGATAGACAAAGAATTGAAATCGCTACCAGCTACTGCACAAGTTGCTACGCAGCAGGGCAGGTATCTCGCAAACTTTCTATCCACCAAGGCGCAAGGTGATGTCGGAAAAGAGGCTAATCAGGATCTTGCGGCTCTAGGTGCTGTTCCTTTTGCCTACCGTCATCTAGGGTCATTTGCATATGTGGGAAACAACAGAGCAGTGCTAGAGTTGCCCCTTATTGGATCTTTCAAAGGTTTTGGAGCAATGTTGTTGTGGCGAGCAGCTTACACAAATGAATGTGTTGGCATGCGAATGAAAGTCTTGGTTGTCTTTGATTGGCTGAAGTCAGAAATCTTTGGAAGAGATACATCAAGGATATAGTCACTTTTATGACTGAAAGCTTGTACAATTTTGTGACCTTATTCTTATAACTTTTATGCAATTCGACGCACTTTAGAGGGCTTGGGGAAGTAAAGATTATAATACCACATTGGGTTGTACTAGAATTGTAATAAGAGGCAAACGATAAAAGTGTCAACAGAACAAAATTGCACACAACTAGAAGTGTTGGAACTTCCTACTTATATTGCAAAGTAGGATGACAAGAAAGTCATTCAAATTTCATTAAGTGCTGATGTAGGATGGCTGCCGACCTGGAGGTTGTATGGGAAGCCGAGATTGGGGGCTTTATCCCAGTTTATTCCTTTACAATATGAACATATGAACGAAAACTATTGTGCTCCACTTATTAAAAATTTGTCTTTTTGGTAATGTTTATGAAAGGTACTAGACTTGTTCCCTTTAATGTCTGAATGAGCAACAGGCTCTTTGAAGACCAACTCTTCACCATGTTTGTCACTATAGTTAAAGAAGTGCCTTTTTACTTGCCTTTTGTTGCAATATACTGTGCATCTGTGCATTTTAAGCATCAAACATGATGCCAAGATACGTAATGTGTGTAGCTTCTCAATTAAAGTTATCTAGATATTTATCTTGCATTAGTTTTTAGATATCATATTGAGGAATGACGTCAAAACGTTGAATGATTACGGATGTTCTTAAGAGACGCAGACTTTTTTAAAGTAAATGGCGTTTCCGAAAATGTTTGACGGCAATGGTAGGGGTTCTCTGGGTGTGAACTACGTCTCTTTGACTTTAAATTGCCCCTTGTACTTGGCCATTTCTTGTAGCTTGCTTTCAAGATGCAAGTAATTTGATTAAAAATTCCCGCTAAAGGCAGTCTGTCCCCTATTGTGCTCAACTTTATTTTCACGGGAGTGAAATTCAGGCACCGTCTAGCTTGATCGATCATTAAACGATTTGAATCAATTAGAGACAACTTTAATTCACGATCTTTTGAATCAAATGGCTGTGTTCCCGTTGAAGTGAAGCTGTGGCTAAAAAAATTTTGTTCCCTGTTTGGTTTGTGTGACAGACATGTCAACACCAAAAGAAAATGCCTCCAGTATCATCATTTTATTCCAGTAGCTAAATCTTCTTGCCATTTCTGATAGCTTTTTGCTCGCAGTTTCAAATGTCGTCCACTACTAGTGGCTAGCCAGGCCAGCCAAAGAGAGCAGCGTAATCCGTTAGAGTGGGAAGACCAATTGTTTATATTAGCCAATCATTGAGGGGACGGACTGCTTTTAATAGGCGTGATATCAAGTGTGGCCCCACAGTTTAGGGATTTAGTGCCTGTCATATGCTCAAATATAACGATTTGTGTCCTATCGAGGAAATTTCCGACCCAACTTCGTTGAAATTCCTCTAGTTAGCGTAAAATGAAACGCAAATACTTCATTCTGCACTAACAAGAATTTTCTGGTTTGTATTAAAATTTATGTGCAACATAATCTGGAAAATATTTCGAGACTTGTGACAAAAATATTTCTTTTAGCGGTGATCGGAAATAGAAGTTTCTTCCACTTCTCCGCAACAATTCTTTCTTTACCACCGCTGCTGTCTACAATACTTTATCCTCATTTTTGCATATATGGAACAGCTAAATAATTCCTTTTCACTGCTAAAGTGTTTTGAAGGGGAAATTAAATGTTCGAAGCCAATATCACTTTAAGAAATACATTGGAAGCCTCAAGAAGCTTCAGTTTATTGTATTATGTGATAGCATTTAGTTATTACAGTCTTATTATTGACTTTATCAAACATTTACCGAAAGAAATGTCACTTATTTTTTATCGCAAGGAGTTATTAACATTTGTATAATGTTTTGAGATTTAACTTTGTGTATACTCTGTAGGTTCCAGGTGAATATTGCAATAGTATCATGAAAAGTTTGCTTTCAATTCATTTCTATGCCCTATTTGAAATGATCATCTTTTTGTCATTGTGAATAGTGCTGGCATTAACAAAGGCAATCAAAATAAGCAATAAGTAGAGTTTCTTCACAGAGATATGCCCAAAAAGTGTGATTCTTCTTGCAAAAAGTTGTGCTAGGGCAAGGAGATAGAAGATCTTGTTGGATTTTGATCAGTTAAATGATGTCATCAATAATTTCCATCAATGTATTTGCAAAAATGTCACCTGGCAGATTCTGAAGGTTCGAGTCCGCCTTTGCAAAAAATCAGGGTGAATTGGCTCAAAAAAAAGGCTCTGACAATTTTGTAGACAAGGGCCCGAGATGAGTGATATGGGCTGTAATCAAGTGATGCTTTTTACCAGTGCACTGCCCTTTCAAAACTGACGTGACGTTCTATGTTGCATTCTTAGTCAAACATTAGGATGACACTTATGATACTTTTGTATGCTTCATGTGCAAGGTAAATAGGGAAAATGAGTCCTTTCTGCTTTTTTCCCGTTAATTTTGATGTCAAAAGACCAACAAGCAATACAGAAACAGTCCTATTTTAAATATAATTACCATCGACCCAAACACTTAATTTTGTCTAGATTTAAACTAGCTACGGCGATTGCCCGAAAAAAGACAGAAGGTTTTGACAGATAAATATTTTTATCGGAGGAAGGTTAAGGACCTTTCTGGACACTGATATCGAGATTCGCTATATTGTAGTTCAACCGTAGTTCTATTTACCCCCATAACCACTTATGGTGAGTGAGAAAGGCTGCATTAAACCGTACTTTTGACATTACTTAACCAAAAGATATTGCCCTGATGGCCCTTAAATTTAATTCCAAGGATCCTTACATACAATCTTGGACAAAGCTGGTTTAAAATCTAAACACTGCCCGTCCATGATTTAATCTGTGAATTTATTAATCTGTGAATTAATAAGTTCTGTGAATCTATTAAGTTGTAGAGAAATATAAGAAGTAAACTTAAAAAAATTCGCAAAACTTTTGAGAGGGCCTACAGGCAATCGCCCATACACGTCTTTTTTATACAAAAGTATTTTATAAGAAAGTTATGTTCGTTTCTTCAAAAAATTATGAAATTCATGGATGGATCTTTGAAACCTAAGAAGCTGAAAAATGGTTGATTTTCAAAATTTCAAAGAACTGCTGTGCAAGAGTTTATTACTTCACTTTTGACAACAATGTGCTCAAGAAGAAATTCCTAAGGTGCGAGGAATTGATCGTGTTGAAATAATTTGTTTATATTTAATATTTAATAATTTATTGCTATAATTACATAGTTAAGTTAGTTCTGGTTCTGTTTTTTGGGTTTTCTTAACATGTCCAATCACCTTCTGTTTGTTGGGTTTTCTTCGATATTTGATGTAATGGCGTTGAGGGTTTTTTGGAAAAGAAAGCATATTTTAATGCTAAAATTAGAAAATAGCTAAGAATGCCTGAAGCCTGGACTGAAAAAACCTTTCATACAAAATACTTGTAACCAGATCGGCCTGTCCCTAGGGACAAGGGAAAGTTTTAACTTTAAAATAGAGATGATAGGAAGATTAATAACTTATTGCATCACTCTGATTCAACTGCTAACCCCAACGACCACTCCCTTTTTGTTGGCAAGAAGCATTTATGTACCCCTCTGCATTTTTTTGGCTACGCTCCTGGAAGTGACGGAAGTGACTATGACCCGAGATTCTGATTCAGGATGTCATTGAGAAATTTCATTTAGAACTTTGCATTGTTTCAAAGGGGCCTTACAAATTCCATGTGTGACCGCGCCTTTAATTTGACCAACCAGCTACCGAATGGATATCACGTGGTCCGTATTTGTTGATGACGCATTTTCAAGTTGTTTGTGTTTCACCTTCTCTCTACTCAATAAGGAAGCATTCATAAAAGTGTGAATCAAGTGGATTCTAAGACTGGTCTATATCATAGCAATCGTCAGTTTTCCTAAGTAAAGGCTTGTTTTTTCATATAGAATATATATGTCGGTCCAAGAATCAATCCAAAATTTACAGACTTTCGGTAAGTAAACCTTCGGGATTCTCGATTAAATTTTCTTTAATTTAGGCCCTCTTTTCGACCATTTCCAAAATGGCCGACTATGTAGATTTTTTGTGATCTTTAGATGCATTTGCCGATGCTGCTGATGCCGCTGCTGGAGGAAGCCTCAAGCCGATTCATATAAGGATACAGCAAAGGAACGGGAGAAAGACATTGACAACAGTTCAAGGGATACCAAGTGACTACGATCAAAAGAAAATTGTCAGGGCGTTCAAAAAGGTGAGAAATTGTTCACGATTAATGTTTTTCTTGCTTTGCTGTGATATTTTCTTCAGATCAAAGTCATGAGCAGATTTAAAAGTGAAAAAAGTTGATGTATGATTAAAAAGGAGGTGCTCGACAGTTATTGTTGCGTGTGTAACTGAATTCTCGGTCAATCGATTACACCCTTTCTATGTGTGTGTCGCACGAAATATTGAAGGATATTTGAAGTTTAATTAATTGTGATGTTAACGGTTATGATGTTAAGATTTTTGGTTTTCCAGTTCCTATTTTGTGTCTGGCTTGTCATCACATCCGTGTATAAAAGACTCGTCATATTATATCTGATTGTGTGTGATGTTTGCTTTTTATTTCCAACTATGCCAACCATGTTAAGGTTTATATTTACCTTTTATGTTTTGCAAGAAATCTTTTGTTGATAAGGAAATTGATAATTTTATTCATCGTCAGGGTTATTGTAATGTCTTTCGTGCAGCAATATGCCAAAACAATCTAACTAATCTTTTCATCTTATTTTTTTGTTACAGAACACTTAATTAGCTTTTTAATTACTTAAGTTTGAAAAAAATTGCCCTTGTGATACTTTGAAATTCACAAACTTCAGGAATTGCTAGTGCTTGATGGAAAACTGCTAAGGATTGTTTAAAATCAAATATTTCAAGAAATGTGTTTTATGAAATCTGATGGTGATATTTTCTGCATTTCGTTATAATTATTTCACTTATAACAATATATTAAACTGTACCCTCCATCAAATGTGTTTTTATTATTCATTTTACCTGACACTGTTATAACCAAATACTCATTCTAGTTTTATTATAAATAAACTATAAAATAGTTAGTAATTTAGTATTCTTGATTTTGACTCAATGGAATGATTTTTTTGTCTAATTCTTAACCAAAATTCCTTTTAAAATAACCAAAATAACCAAAAATTTGTGTAAAAGCTCTTATATAATTTGAGTACCTTTAAAAGTTTGCCCTGTGGATTTTTTCAAATGACTTGGAGCTGCAATTCCTTAGTTCTACTTTCTCATCATAATTTGACAAAGCTAGTTCATATTGTAAAGATTAGATAAGGAACTAAGCTAGTCTGACTAAAACCCTTCCATTTACCTCTTTTTGCACCCCAATTTTTGGTGGAATGAGCTCTGTTGTCAGAAACAAGACCACCTTTGACAAAGCAATTATTGTTCAAATGCTCAAACAATAGGTTCTATCAATGCCTATAGCTGAGAACAATTAAACTTGAGGCCAAAAATAGCTCATGCATAGATCAAATAATCACTTTGCCTTGGGAAAGGGCATACAAAACACGAAAATTGGTGAAGGAAGAGTGGTTAGAAATCACACTAAAACATGATACAAGCAACAGCTCATTCACCTCAGCAAGGATTGCTCTTGTCAAAGGTGGTCTTGTTTCGGACAGCCTGTTCAACTGAAAATCGGGATGCAAAAAGTGAGGTAAATTGAGGGGTTTTAGTTGGACTATCTTAGTTCTTTATTTTATCTTGACATTGTCCCATTGTAAGAATTCCCCCATGCAAATAATCTCACTGGAACTTATTTGAGGATTTTCTTTTATTGAGTTGAGCAGATGATATCAAAGTGCTTTTTCCTTAGAGCTAATAATAGATCGTTTATTTTTTTCCAGGAATTCAATTGCAATGGAACTGTGATAGAACATCCAGAGCATGGTGAAGTCATTCAGTTACAAGGTGATCAGAGAACCAATATTCAGCAATTCCTCTTGGATATACAATTGGCTAAGAAAGAACAGTTGAAGGTGCATGGTTTCTAATGGATCATGCTACTGACGTTCATATTTCAAAGACTGCTTTCAGCTTCTCATCAACAATAGATATAAATATTCATTATTTCTGGAGGACTTTCTTTATGCTTATTGATTTTAATCTGGCATGATTTGTCTTCTGATTTTTATAAACAACAGTTTTGAAATCATAAGTAATTTTCATGTGATGTATAACAAGTAATAAACAGCTTTTTCTTCTGTATTTATGTGTTAACATTTCTTTGAAATATTTCAATATTTGGTAAAATGCATCACCTGCTGCATATATCAGATGGTTTTTATCGGTCTCATTTCTTCAGCTTGACCTTCCAGACTAAGGGGGCAGGGGGACTGAGGAGGGTCATCAATTGAAAAAATTATGGATGGGTTGTCATACCACCCAGAAGCTATGCCCCTGCCCCTAATTGTCCATAGCATAACCCTTTTTGTTTAGCATGTTTGTGTATGCATCCCCCCTCAGTTTTGTGCGCCGCAAAATCTATTTGCGTTCTGTTTTTGTATTTTGGACCTTTAGTTGTTTAAAAGAAAGTGTAGCCGACTGTTTTTTGTGGACTAAATAAACAATTTTATCCAGGGTAGTTAACTATGTTGGATAAGACTTTCTGTAAATGGGTAAGACTTCAATGGAATAAGTAATTACTTGGAAATTTCAAATTTAACTCTACATCAGGATTCCCTAGCCAACAAAAGAGGAAAAGTTTCTTGGTCTCCTTTTAATGTGTATTTCACTTTCTTATTCTTCTGGCTAACAGTTTTTATTCGCTTCATTGAAGAAAGGAAGGACATTATCTAAATTTTGTATTTGCTGCCCCACAGGCCCTACCTAAACTTTGGTAACTCTTACAGCTTTTCAAAAATGTTATTTGATTATAACTGTTTTAGGCAGCGTTTCTAAAAGTTATTATTTTTACATTTGTATTCTCAAACTAATATATGGTTTAACAATTAACATTCAAATCAATACGTCTGCCCTGCCCCCCCCCCCCCCCCCCCCCCCCCCGGATTAATCTCAGTCCCCATAACGAGGGTACAAGGAAGCTAAATCGTAACCCGACACTGTGTTATAACCTGCACAGGACCTTTTCCTCGTGTCTCCTGTTGAAAGTTTTGAGTCTGCATGTAGGCTAGAATGCCAACACCGCTACGATACCGATGACATGGACTAATGGAATTGGCTGTTGATGAGAAAAAGCGCTTAGTTTCTCGGGAACAGTTGAAATTGCGCTTCTAAAAAATTCCAACATGGCCGACTTTGCAGCAAACTTGAATACAAATCGCCAGTTCTCAACTTCAAGGCCGTCAGTTTTCGACTTACTTGCTCAGGATTCGCTAAGAGCTTCACTGCAACCTGCATTCGACTTTGTTCTTAAAACTTTATCAATAAAATACCCTGAAACTTTGGGAAAATTCGAAGCCTACTCAGATGAAGTATTTTATTTAATGCTGGCCGTCATTGAAAGGCACTTTATTTGGAACCACGACGCCACATTTTCTGAACACTTCTATGGCCTATCCAGAGTAAATGTGACTGGAAAAGAGACGTCTGCAAAAATTACCTTGTTTCAAAAAGTTGCTTCCCTTTTGTGCCTAATACTCTTACCTTATTTGAAAAGAAAGCTTGAAAATTCATACTTAAAACTAAAAGAGCAAATGGTTTATAATGGACCAGGCAATGAATCCGAACCTTTCCCGTATAATTATGTAAAAAAGTTTTATCCATATGTACATGCTTCCACAGAAGCAACTAAGCTGGTTTTAACACTTTCCTATATTGTAAAATTGACTGATTTTCATACATTGGCACACGGGTGCTTCAAAATGGCACTGAGGTTCTCTGGTGGATTCACAGAGAAACAAGCAGATAACAGCCCAGTTGTAACGGGAAATGGCAATAGGCGGATGCTGGATATTCTTAAGCAATTGCCTTGCTTGCTGAGAAATGGTTTTTCTCTGGCTACGGAGTATGCCTTGCCAGTGACTGTTTTCTTTTTGAAATTCCTGGAATGGTGGTACTCTAGTGAAAATAGTCCACACCATACAATGATGTCAAGGATAATACCTCCTCCTCCAAAGGAATTACAGGTAATTATGGACAAAACAGGGCCATTGCAAAAGCCTTCAATCTCTAAAGTGAATAAACTTTAGCCAAAAATTTAGCTCTTTATGCCAAAAATTTGTAGATTTAACAAAAATCTGTAGATCAATCACTCAGTCTTGACAAGCTAGCTAATTGTTATTGTTTGCCAGTTATCAATTATGTTATTTTATGCTTGTAAAATGATAACCCATAGTGTCTACCTTCCTACCGTATTTCCTCTAAAAAATGCCGCAGCTTTTATTACAAAATCCAACTTGTGGAAGCTACGTTTAATAGAGGGTGGCATTTATCAAAGGACAGCATTTAACACAAAATGAAAAGTGTGTGAAATCAAAAATAATAAGAAAATTCCAATGAAAAAAGATAAAAACAGACTTTAAACAATGTTTTCTTTTCCCAGAAAACATGTAATAAAGATTGTGTGAAAGATTTTTCAAAGCTAACAAAAGATGTGTTCATGTTATGGAAATATCAAGGAATCTATTGGATCCTTGTCTCCCTCAAAGTTTTTGTCTCTTTGACAAAACAACTTTCATAGCTTTCAAATGTTACTTCTTGTTTGGTGTGTTTTCCAATGAACGTTTTTTAAAAATGGTTGGCTGAAGGTGCTGCGTTCAATAGAGGGTGGCATTTATCAGAGGGTGGCATTTATCAGAGGGTGGCATTTATCAGAGGGTGGCATTCACTAAAGGAAATACAATGCTATTATTATTACTGTAAGATTTGGCATCACAATTTACATTATCCATTTTCCATAATCTTATTTTAGAATAAACGTAAGGTATGAAAGGGGAAGAGAAACATGATATAATTAAAGAGCAGAGTCTATTCTAAAGACAAATATAAAGAAATGTGAAAAGAATCCAACAATATAAAGGAGCCAAAACCTCTAAGAAATCAATGAAAATAACAAGGACTCAAAGAGAACACACTTTATGTTATACCAAAACATCCTTCGTAAGATTAACTCTGATAAAGTTTCATTTGATCAGCATTTTATAGAGCCAAGCCCTTGCAACATAATTTTAACAAAGAATAACCAGCAACTTTATGTGAACTTTACAACTTCCTTAGTCTGTAAATTATGCATACAGGCTAAGTTTGATGTATGATTGGCCAACTTAATGTAGAACCAACTTAATTTTGGAATTTCAAGATCCTTTTTGTCTATCTCTCATCTTTGGTTGCCACTGAAATCACATAAAAGTTGTTTTAACAGTATGAAATAACATCTTTTATCCTCACTACTTTTTTTGTATTAGGAAAGCTGCAGTAGTCACAAGCTTCCTCCAACATCTCTGCAATGCCCATTGTGCTATAAAGTGCATCGAAATCCTACAGCCTTATCAAGAAGTGGGTACGTTTTCTGCTACAAATGTATATACAGGTTTGTTTATGACAATAGATGCTGCCCTGTTACAAAGCTTGAGTGTAGTTTAGATGATTTAGTAAGGTTACATTTTTGATATGAACAATTTTTGCTTTTCTATACCCATTTGAATTAGAGAAAGGATTAACAAGAGAAAGGATTAACATTTAAGTATATTTAGAAGAAACATTTTCATTAGTTCTATTGTATGCAGTTCTGGTGCAGCTTTGTTTGTGTTGTCAGTATTTAATTATGAATTAGATTCCAATTTGCACCATGAAGCAATACCACTGAAAACTGTAAAGCAGCCAACCCTTGTTGTTTGAATAACCCAATAGGCAAGCTTACTAATATGATTTCAGTTCAGGCAAATAGTTACCTTGTCACTCCAAATTCATGCCTATTCTTTATTGATTTCAGAAGCCAAACCCATAGGCACATTTACTTAAATTTTAGAGAGAAAAGTTGAAATTAAGAATCAAAATAAGAGTAGTTTATTTCACTTTTTTTAATTCATTTTATAACTACCTGCTTATGAATACTTCTTTAGAAGGTTGACAGAATATCATGTCTTATTTTTTCCAATGTTTAAAGATACAAAGCTGCATAAGTAATCTCTTTTAGCAAATTTAAATATACGTTTGTTACAGCCATGGACTTGTATTTGGTTAGGTGTTTACCATTCCAAAATCCCATTCCAAAATTAATACATACATTTAATCTCATGGGCTAGAATGCAGGAAAGTATAGTACATAAATTGTGCAAAATAATGTAGAGTCCATTGCTCAACCCCACCCATTATTTTATTGCTTCATTCAAATGACAAAATTGCCTGAGTTGTAATACTTTTTTAAAAGTTACCACATTCTCTAATCCATTGGACTCTTATTTGACTAATCATGGACGGTTTTGCAGTCAAAGCAGAGCAAAAACATTTCCTTGCTTACCTTTTCTCTTTCAACTGTTTCCCTGCCTGTCGAAGCCCTTTTTCACAATGCCTTTGGGCCAGGGGTGGAGTTATGGGGTTGGTAATAGATGAACTGAATTATATTTTCTCTGCTGAGTTTGGATAAATTTCTCCATAAGAGCCAATGCTGCACCACAAAAATCATTACTTGAGATCTATGACCCATTTCTAAATGACAGGGAAGTAACTCAGCACCAAGGAAATGCTCAATGTTAGGGGCTGTTCAGTTTTGCAAGTGATCAAAAGACAGATGTTAAGAATAAAAAACACATTTCTCTAAATGAAGTAAAAACTCTTGTAAAAAGAAGCGCAATTATAAAAAATGTAACGAATAGAGCTTGTATGCCGTGTAATTCTTGCTGATTTGCAATATGAGCTAAATTTACTCTTGTTGAAGAAAATCCGTTTTCCTGAAGAAAAGATACTTTCTTCATCTGAAAAAAATTAAATTTATTCGGAATGTTTTGCATTGAAAGACCCCTTAAAATGTTATTTGATATTTAATATGTTACCACAAGTTGTAGGCAAAATATTGATTCTATAAATTCTGTCCTTGCGAATTCCATTGCAAAATAAAGGTCGGGGCTGCACAGGTGAGGCCACTTTTATGCAATGCATTGCAATTGGACGGCTTATTGCCTTTTCTTTTAGCCGTTAAAAGGCGCGTTGATAGATTTGCGATTATATCAACACGAGAGCCGACGAGAGCCCCTTTCATCACCATTGCTCATCCTGAGCTCAGTAAAAAGGTCTGACAGAAATATTTTGATCTATTTATATTGTTTATAAAAGTAATTTGTTCCTTAATTACTGTTAACAAGTCACCAATGACTAAACAAGGCCAAAAAAGTATTTTTCTTAATCTCCACACATCCATGGATGTGCTTGATAAGCAGATTCACAGGATCTGTTCTTTAGGGCGAGGTCTACCCTTCTCTTTCATATCCAGCCGTTGCTCGTGAATTACCTTCCCTTGCGACGAAACCAGTGAAAAAAACTTACTGGACATTCCACTGATGTTTAGTTCTATCGTTTGCTAATACGCGCTTCGTGTTTAAAAGTTATCGACCGATAACCTATCATCCTCTGGCCACGTTAAGTATATTCGTTCATATCAGTTCATATTTTAAATAATGTGGTAATAGACTATTAACGTTATTACCACTGTCCGTCGCCTCTGCTTTGGACATATAGAGCTAAAAATGCATACAACGATTTTATGCTGACATATTGATGTTCTCCTTTTTTCTCTAACTTCTTGTGGGGAATCCAATGCCGCGTTGGTATAAATGTATATTCTCTGTGACACACTGAATAGAATCACAAACAAGGTGCGTCTCTTTCAACGCTATGATAAGGTCGTTTTCCAGCTTAGGCCCGTATAGTTATTCTCCAATAAAAAAAACAATGCGTCGTGTTTATGTATCCATCGAATTTCACATAATAGATCTGTAGTGACCATTGTCTAAACGTAATCATGTCCTCCATTGTGATTCTGTCATTAACACTTTCCATTGTCTTCGTATCCACGTAACGTAATAAACAACACATTTGTATCGTCTCTCATTATATTTGTATACGCCCTAAATTGTAATTAGTCAGTCAGTAAATTCATCAAGACGCAACGGTCACGCAATATCGTCTCTTGCTGGCTCCGTGTTTTCTGCACGTTAAATCAGACATAAAAACGACAGCATTCGCAACAACAAAACCAAAATTAAATATAGGAACTTCATCAATCAGCGTACCTATAAATGGTGACCACGACGTGACCGACTGGTAGGTTCTGCACTGTCGTTTTTACTCGTTTTATGTCCACCGTCTCAACGTCAACCACTCGCAAATTCCTGGATTCATCACGCTACAACTGCCATCACGCATACGTTCAACGCCTACGCTGGCTCACAAACAACGTCCTGTTGGCTGTTCCGATGCACCCTGGATTTGTGATGTCTGTCTACTTGTTTCAACCCGTTCTTCGTGCAATGTTTTAATCTACCTCATCAACTAATCCCGCTCCGCCAGCACACTCGACCAACACTGTCCTACAGCACAGAAACTCTCCAACAGCACCACACCGTTCATCGCTTCGCTGAAGTACACACAGAATCACACAAATGCCTTCGTCAAACACAACATCAAACAGGTTCGGCAGCACACCCTACAAAAAGCTGGTGTTTATCACGCTAGGTCGACAACATTCCGCGCCCAGAAAATGTTGCAGCACACACAAGGCAGCACCTCAGCACTCATTTCATACAGTGCCATCACCCGCCTTGCAAGCATCCAAAGGTTCCTGGTCACCCTACTCACAAAACCTCGCCTCACATCGCATCGGAAACATCATGGTTCCTGGTCATCCTTCGAAAACCTCGCAGACACAAAGGCAAGATTCGTCAACATGAAGACACACAAAGTTTCACATTCACGAACATGTACAATCATTTGAACATTTAACGCAACTATTCTTTCGGACATTTTACTAACATTTTTTTTCAAACATTTTAGATAACATTTCATACATTTTATCGTTCGCTTCGCTTCAACCCACTCGCTCTCTAGGGGGGGAGCTCTGTAGTGACCATTGTCTAAACGTAATCATGTCCTCCATTGTGATTCTGTCATTAACACTTTCCATTGTCTTCGTATCCACGTAACGTAATAAACAACACATTTGTATCGTCTCTCATTATATTTGTATACGCCCTAAATTGTAATTAGTCAGTCAGTAAATTCATCAAGACGCAACGGTCACGCAATATCGTCTCTTGCTGGCTCCGTGTTTTCTGCACGTTAAATCAGACATAAAAACGACAGCATTCGCAACAACAAAACCAAAATTAAATATAGGAACTTCATCAATCAGCGTACCTATAGATCCTCAACTAAAAACCGAATCCTACAGTAAGCTACTCTACCCTTTTATACTGTTCAACAAGAAATTTCTAGAATATACTCGTACAACATCACGTGTGCAGGTATACAATTTGGAATAAGCAAGTTACAGCATGTTACGTAAGGCTTACTCTAGAAGTTTTTACAGCGTGTTCTACTTGCAAGCATTATTAATAAATTACTCGAAAGGTCCAGTTCACCACATTGTCCCTGTTTTGCATTGTCATTGCAATTTGCCTTGAATCATCATGCTTTATTCCTGAGAACTGCAAGCTTTCCGTCCATTCTTCTGTTTCTTATGCACCAAATACATAAAAGCACTTGTTGTCCAAACATACTCGATTCCAACAGGTTCCAGTGGTCCAAATACTTCAATTGGTTTCAGTGGTGCATGCGTTCTGTTATTTGGTTCTTTTCATTGTGCACAGAGCGAGCAATTCTGTAAATGTCTACTGATATCCTTCTTTATACCTTTCCAGAAGAAGGCCTGTCTTATTTTTGCGATCATTCTCTGAAATCTTGGATGTGCAGCTTCAATCTGGTTCTGGACAAAAATCTTCCCCATTTCCCGCATTTTGCACAACCAGCTGTTTTCTTACTCGTATCAGTTTCCCCTTCCGAACAGGAGTCCACAAATTGTACAGCAATTCGTCTTCAATGACATATTGATTCTTGTGTCCCTCTGGCTCACTCCTGTCTTCTTGTGGGTGATTATCGCCAACACGTAAACGAGACATTATTTCTGCACACTCTTCGTCTCCTTTTTGGCTGCTCATGACATTTGTTGCTGAAATGACTGCAACTTCCACCTTCGTTTCTTCAACAGGACATCTAGATAAGAAGTCAGCGTTACCATTGCATTTTCCAGGTCTGTGTTTCACCTCAAAAGAATAGAGTTGGAGGTCACACATCCATCTTTCCATCTGAGCACTCTTTGCCTTCATTGTTTGCAACCATTTGAGGGGTCGATGGTCCGTCACAATAACAAATGTCCTTCCAAACAAATAATCGTGGAAATATTGTAACGCCCATACGATCGCCAAGCATTCTTTCTGAATCGTTGAGTAATTTCTTTCACTACTTGACAGCTGTCTGCTTGCATATGCTACCACTGTTTCGTCATCGACAAAGTTTTGCGCCAACACTGCTCCCAGGCCATAGTCATTTGCATCAGTATAAACCACAAAATTACGATTAAAATCTGGTAGTCGAAGGACAGGCTTTTATCGCCATTGAGCACCAAAAATTGTCATTAAACCATTTATTAAGAATAGCTGCTTCCGATTCTAAGTCGTCAGTTAGTTCATTCATATCAGTACTTGACAGCCAAATTGTATTATCATCTGCATAGTTGCATATGTTGTTTTTGCTCAAATGCAGAAAAATATGGAGGGTGATAGATTCCAACAATTATCCATTTTTGTTTTTTAAAATTAACTTCAACGGAAATAGTTTCTATATCATTTGCTGCGTTGATATTTCTTAATTCTTTAGCTGGTATATTTTTATTCACATAAAGTAGTAATCCTCCAGCTCCAATTTTCCTATCACGTCTAAAGGGCTTCCTAAACCCCTCAGCAGAAAACTGAGATGTTGGGAAAGGATTCGTCTATTTTTGTTTCTGAGATAAGAAAAAAAAAATTTCCTTTTATGATTTCCATAATACTAGAAAGTTTATTAGGAACAGAATTTATGTTAAGGTGTCCTATAATTATCTTTTTAGGATCTTTTATTCTTATTGAACTGAAATTAATTACTTAATTTAAAGCGCTATCTATTACTTCGACAGAGCGCTCTTAATTTTGAATTTCCTCGTTTAAATCATTATGTTCTCCGTGGGTTATAAATGAATGATTAGCTTTTTGACTATAAGGGCATGAAGGCTCAATCATGGTTAAACTGTGCATTATCTTACCCACTTGTCATGTTTGCTGCAGATGGTTAGTTATGTTTCTCGCAAAAAGTATGTTCCCTTGTCTATATGATGATATCGTCTAAATGCACCAGACAGTGTGTCCAATGAAGTCTTGTTAGAACGTAGTTCATCAGCCTTTGGAAACAAGCTGGTCCATCGACGACACCAAATGACAAGGTCTGAAATTCCCAATGCCCCTGCAAAGTCGAAAATTCAGTCTTTTCCTTATCTTCATCTTTTATTAGGATTTGCCAGTATCCGCTTTCCAGATCAAATGTGGTGAAAAACTTTGCTTTACTAAGTGCATCAAGGGTGTCATCAATCCTGGGAATAGGGTATGCATCCTTCTTTGTCAAATTTCTGTAATCCACACAAGATCTTACTGTTCCATCAGGTTTTGTGACCAAAACAACTGGAGAATACCATGGACTTTTTGGAGGCTTTATGATGTCTGCAACTAGCATCTTTTGTACTTCTTCTTCTATGATCTTTCGCTTCGTTTCTGGTACCCGATATGGTCTTTGCTTTATTGGAGAAGCAGAACCAGTGTCGATACTGTGTTCCATCACCATGGTTCATCCAAGTTTTGTCTGACCAACAATCTACTTTCGTTTAAAACATGGCACAAATGTTGTTGTTCTTCCGTGGAGAGATGCCAAATGTTCAGATCAGAATGCCTTATTACTGTCATTGCTTTGTCCTTGACTTCTGCTTTCATCTCCTGGAAAAGTTCCAACTCTGCTATTTTATCTCCTTGCTTCAGTCGAACTGGACTCTTCGTTGCATTCATAATCTCAAGTGCTACTCTCCCGTTTTTTCTACATTTGGTCAGCACACTTGTCACGTGGATCTTTGTTGTTGATTTTCCTGGTTGTCTCTCAGCAAACAGAAGCAGTCGTTCTCCGTCTCCGTTTATTTTGGCTTTTATCACCATGCTGCGTAACCAGCGTACACGGAATTCCTGCGCTGTGACATCTAAACTAGAAATTCTATATCCCACTCCTGTCACCAGTTATGCCATACCCAACCACGTCCAGTATTTTCAGGAATGTAACAAAATAAAGAGAAGATAAAATCCTAAAGTCATTCAAGTGTCGATTTGTTTTTGAAATTTTTAATTGGCATCAACGATAATCTCAGGTCTTTTGTCTCTTCCGACTCTTCAGGTCTTTTGTCTTTTATTTCAATTTGCATTTGTCTTTTTGGTCGATAACCTAATAAATATTTGAATCGTCCCTCTATCCATTCTTAGTTGTTACGTGCAATTAAAAACACTTTTCTGCATTTAGAGGCAACTGCTACTGGCTGGACTAGTTTTAGATTCGATAAATGTCATCCTGAACTGGTTGGCTGCTGCCTGAGGTTTTTCGTTATAATTTCAAATCGTCGGCATATATCTTCACAGAACTGTTTTCAATGCAACCTGGTAAGTTGTCAATACAAATTAAAAAAACAGTATGGGTCCAAGGACGCTATCTTGGACGAAATCAATGATCTAATTGAGTACATTACCTGTTATTCCAAGCAAAGCTATCTTAGAAAGAGGTTGTTGATGGGGTACGGAGGCAAATGCCTCTGTGAAGTGAAAGTAAATTACATCGATGCTGTTATCGTTCATCAAGAAGATAAGTCCATTCTTCTGAGACTTATAATAATTGTGTTACACTCTTAAGTTTTGCTCTGAAACCATTTGATAATTCGCTCTGATAGTCGACAAATGTGGCTTATAAGGTTGATCGGTCTGTAATTTTCTTTATCGTGTTTCAGTCCATAAGATAGGAGTTATATTCGCCCATTTCCATTTCTAAAAGATCATTCTTGTGCTGAGGCTGGATTTGACAAGTAATCACAACGGAAATGCAATAAAAAAACTCAAGGTCAAGTAACTGAATTTGCCTCACGTTTTGGCCACAAATTCCATCAGCTGTTGTATCTTCAAAGATTTCTAAAATAGCAAGTCTCTTTGAGATAAATGCTGGAAGTGTTTTTACCTTAGAGAGGAAAGAGCCTACCTTGTGTAAGTCTGGACTTCTTGATTGGAAATTGGAAAAACTGCTCATACGCTTGATCTTAGCCCCGTTGCCGGCAAAAAGTTGTTATGCTGTTTTTTATTTGTATTCTATCCATTTATATTTCTTAATCTTGCTGTTTTCCCCTTGATCTTATTTTTGATCATCATTCTGACGTTTAGTACTCTGCGGAAGGTCAAACAACAAATATTTGCGTATTTAAAAGAACTCATTTATCACTTCGGTAATCCTTTTGTAGCCAATTTACTTTATAGCATTTTGCTTTGAAGTAGTGTATTTTAAGCAATTTTCAAGGACATAAAGTTTTCATGGCAAGATTATTTAACAATAAAAGCACATTTCTAAGTTCCTCCATCACTAGATGTCTTAGCCACTCCCTGGTAGCAATTTCGATTTTGTTCCAGGTAGAGTAGAGAAAAGCAGATTAATGCTGTCTCTTTACTCACATTGTTCTTTATTTAACTTTGGTAATCTTCATAGTTTTCGATCTTTGTTTTGATGTTTTATACTCTGGAAGTATCAGACGAAAAGCTTTCGTTTGTTTCAATAGATTTGCTTTTTTCAGAGCCTTTTTCTGTTATATATTTTCACAAGATAACTTCTTGGGGTGGGGAACACTGGTAGGCCCCAAACCAAGTTCCAGAGACTCACTCGAAAAGTAATGAATTCGATGATGTAGGTTCAAGGCTCCGATTTTCCAAAACAACTTTAACTATATACACGATAATGACTTTATACACAATAATAAGTAAATTTCCTCAGTAAGATGATAAATCCGTGATCAGCGAAAAGGTTCTCTAGGTTCACAACTCCGCTTCCAAAAACATAAAACAAGCATATATTTCTCTATAATAGAAATGTCAATCAAGATTAAGTTGATGGTTATAAAAGTCAGGGGGGTATCTTAAGGATAACACAGTTTCTCGACATTTTCCACTTCTATATCATCATAAAATTTTTGATAATCATTCGGCGTTTAGTTCTGGGTGCAAGGTCAAACAACAAAGATTTATGTATTTCGAAGATTTAATGTATAATTTCCGCAATTTACTTTCAGAATTTTCTTTTTTTGCAGCATATTAATGCTTATTTAAACGTGTATGCATTTCGTGGCAAGTTCTTCAACAATAAGGCACATTTCTAAGTGTTAAACCCAAGCGGTCTAATTCCTGTCTAGCAGCACTTTTTGTTTCAGTTAGAGTTGCCAAGACAAGTTTGTAATAAGTTGCCTCTTTAGCAGATGAACCAGTCTTACACGAAACAAGGCTTATCCAGTTTCTTTATTGATTTGGCTATGACTTGTTTATTTTCACTTGAGGTTTATTTTTGATAACCATTCTGACGTTTAGTACTCTGAGGAAGGTCAAGTAACAAAGCTCGACATGATTTTTTTTCGCCAGACTGTTTTTTTAGTTTCGTCTTGTACTTCTTTATCTTTCTTGTGTGAAAGCTTTCAAAGTCATTTTCTAGTTGAATATATTTACTGCTTACAAGAATGTATAATGTATGATGTATATTTGCTGCTTATTTTTTACTAAAACTAAAATTCATTCATCCTCAAAATGTCATATCTTATATTCAAGGTTTATCTTTTGTTTGTCAGATTTTGTTTCATCATTGAACATGCATTCCATATTACTAGAACTAGCAACTGCTTCAATTACACGTTCTCTTCACTTGTTTGTGAAAATCCTATCTTCGTGATCGTAGAAGATACAAAAATTACGATCTTTGGCCTATTCAAAATCTAACTGTCGTAGAACACCTTTTTTTTAGAAAATATTAGCAATTAGTGCAGTCAGTAAAAGGAGTATGAACTGTCACTATTTTTCACCAACCAGCAAAGCTTTTCATTTATTCTTCATAGTGGATGCCAATTCACTTAAATCTATATAGCGAAAAAAGAGGTATATTGACAATAGATGACTGATACCTGTCTATCAAGCTTGCAAAACATTGTCCCTAGTAATGATTCTTGTGGTGCAGCATTGTCTCTTACCTTAGTCCCTTCAAATTTCGCCTGTCTTTAATTTTCGCCCCGGAAGGGGGCGAAAATTAAGGGGGGCGGATTATGGAAATATTTGATGGGGCGAAAATTAGAGGTAGCAAAAAATTAAAGGGAACTTAAAAAATTTATTTTCTCTAAAAGAACCTTAGTATTTAGGCCCTTCAAGAAAACTTCAAGTTACCATCTTTGCGCGCGTCAAATTTTTATCCTGCGTTGATTGCTTTCATTGTTACAGTTCTCATTTAGTGACTTTCTGGAAATATATCCATACTGAACGTCATAAAAAAGATTTCTCAATCCTTAAAATTTTGACAAAGATGATAAACTTATGTCTTTTTAAGGGGCCTTACTATAGTTCAAAATAAAATCCATTAATCTTCGATAACGATAATATTGTCCTCTCCAATGTCTGAAGGGTGATTTTGTTCTTCCATTTCCAAAGTGCTCTCCTCCTCAGGGCCATATTCATCCAAATCATCAGCGGCCAATCTCTCCTCGGCTTCAGTTTGGTCAGAAGATACTATCATCTTCTCTGTCTCAATATAGTAGTCTTGCAGATATTCTTTCATTGGCGACCTTCTATACTTGTTGTCTCGTACACGACCTTCTAAAGCGCTTCCATAATTCAAGAAAAAATGGCAAAAGCGGTTTTTCAGCAAAAAGTTTCCAAGCAAAAAAAGATTTTTCAGAGGCCCGAGTGTAGTTCCATGCCGCATGAACGTTCATTGCTTGGAAACTGATTAGGTCAAAGCTTTGAAATTTAAAGTGTTTGGGGGCGAAAATTAAAGAGGGCGAACTCAGCAAAGAAAATATATTTCAGTTTACTTTGGTGTCTTTCATTTTGCCAATTTTTGTTGTTAATTTTTTCTTCATTGCTAATTTGCTATTTATTTATTTATTTATTTATTTATTTATTTATTTATTTATTCATTTATTTATTCATTTATTTATTTATTTATTTATTTATTTATTTATTTATTTACATCTTCTTATGATGCTTCTAACTTTGGCCAAGACAAGCGATTGAAGTTTCTCCCTGAATTCCCATTTCCAATATTCTAACAATCAGTACTCAGACGAAAATTTCAACCTGCACAAATAAGCTACAACATTAAACACGATCACTCTTCTGCCTTATTCCAGGTGTCACATTGCTAATAAAACATCAATTTTGCATGAACTCTCACTGATCGTTTAATGTTTCATTCTGTCTGATTAAAAATCAAAAATCTAAATAGTCATTTTGTTATCTGATAAAATGTTCCAAGATAAAAGAGGCTTAACTTTTGGTATGATTTGATAATTTACTTTGAAGTTTATGCATGGGCTTTTATAGTACCGTAGTATCTACAGCATACAATTTTCATTATATCTTCGTTTCCTTTTCTATGGGCTGTTTGATCTAGCGTTTATTTCTAATTCTGGTTGTTTTTGGTTTCTATTGAAAAGCAGGTAGTGAAGCTTTGTATTTAGCATTGCTTTAAGTATTTCAGTTTTGTGTAGATAAAGTTTTATTTTTTTGTGTTTGCATAGGAGGTGATTCTTACAGCAAGTATCTTTGTTTTCTTTCACCAGCTGATTTTTTCACACTTGCATTCCTACAAATTGATTGGACTGGCCTTCTTGGCCCTTTTGTCTCTTTAAAAATCGCTTCATTTCCCTGATTCTCTTTTACCGTTTCCTTGTAGACGGCTGTACGCCAAATAAAATGGTTTACTGCCCCGTCATGCTTTTATGACGGCTTTCTTGATTGCTGGTGCCTTTGTTACGTACCTTTCTGCCCACTTATATATATACTGCTCAAAAAATATACCACAGCCCATATGAAAATTCTTCCAAGCTTTCAATCATCTCAACAGCAATGATAGCGTTAATTTTAACTTGCATCTAAATGGTTCATAACGATGACATCAACATAAACATCCACCTGCAAGACATCAAGTTTGTTATACAGTTTTATTTTTACGTATTTTGAGAGAATTGCATAACTTTACTCGGTCACGCCCTTCAGACTCTCGGAAAACGTGGGAAACGTCCTTTTCAGTATTCTTGATCTATTTTGAAACTTTTGGAAAAGCAACTTTCTCAAGCAGCATTTTACGTAACGGGAGCTTTTTGCAAGAACGAAAATCGAAACCGACCTGATCAACCCCCTCCTAAAGATCTTTCAAAGGAATTCAAGAAATTAGAAAATCGACCTCTGGGAAAACTTGGGTTGATATGTCCACCCCAGTCCACCCCGTGGCGTCGCCACTGGTCCAATCCCTGATTACAATTTTATACCTTTTTGTCCATGACGTGTTATTCATTCCCCTCATTTTACTTTATCATCTTCTAACCTTGAAGTTCAAAGACTTAGACCGTTTTTATTAAAACCAGTCCAATTAGCATAACATTTTTCAAAATTATGCTTGCTACTTATTACACCAAGCGTTCTCCGAACCCCATATCCCGAAGGGCGAATCACTCTAAGAAACTCTCGTACACCTTTTGTGAAAATCCTGTTGTTTTATCTGAAAATCCCCAGAAATCCTTTTGATTTAGGCAAAATCTCGTACGCTATTTGCAAGAGTGAGTCGCCCCTCGCCATATCCTATACTGCTTTACATGTTCAAGGAGTGGTAATGTTTTTTGGCAGATAACTTTGGATTGCAGTTTATTCGACCATGACTCCTTCAAATAAGCTTATTAAAAAGTAACTCAGATGTTAATTTTGATAGTAGTCAACATTCATGCAAGTATTTTATATCTCGCGTCTGTTAAATTCATCATGTTTTTGGAAAATGTAAAAAAACTTGTTAATTTGTTTGAATATACTTGTATTTATTTATTTTCAAAGTAGTTTTAATGTCTTCAAAATATGTAAGTTAATGTGAACTTTGCGAGTTATTACTACTGTAAATGTATTGATTGTATTTTTGTCTTTCAAAAAAATGTTTACCAGTACTGTAGTTCTTCCTCTGTCGCGTGAATCTTGAAAATCAATCAATTTCGCATCACAATTGTCGTCACCACCATCATCATCATCATCATCATCATCATCATCATCATCATCATCATAATCATCGTCATCATCATAAGCTTCAATGTGATCATGACTGAAGTCCCTCTGAACGGGTTCAGAAACCCAGCTCAAATTTGGTAATACCTTTTGGCCATAATTTCATATACAGAACCTAGCTGTGTCATCAAATGATTAACAAAGTCAAGAAATGCAAATATTTTCATGCATAACAATTATCATACTTTCATTTACCTCCATGAAGTTATTCATGCCTAAAAGCCTCTCATTTTCCATATTTCTGATGTCCCTAAAAACCTAAATTCTGCTCTTGTTTTCATAAGCATATCAACAAGCGATTTTATTATTTCCGTTCATCTAAAATAATAAAGTTATAGACCTACATATTTGTGTTCTGAAAGCCATTACAGGGCCCGCGCTACCGGAGGGGGGGGGGGAGAGGTGGCCATGTCCGCCAACTTTTTTGCGAAGCAAGTAGTTGCTGTAGCTGCAATAAAAGGGGTCAGAAGCCTTGGCCTGCTACATTTTAGCCTTGGCCCACACCCCCACTTTCAAATTCGTGGCGCCGGCCCTGAATTAATTCAATTTTTTTGAAGATAAATGAACTTGTTTGAAGCTGTAAACTTTCACAGTTGTAAACTGTTGTTAAGGGCCCCAGTAATCCATTAGAAAAATACAACAGTAATCCATTAGAAAAATTAATTCTTTCGCTTACAATATTTCAGGGAATGATTTTGCACGTAGAGGTATTTCATGGTGTTCTTTCAGGTTATGTGGCCATAAGTAAGAAATTATAGAGACAGATTTTTCACGACGTCACATTGCGGTATTCTGTTAGCAAGCACTAATTTTTGAACAATGTGTCTTTGAAAATTTTCTTGCATGTTAGCAAAACAGAGCAGATTCTTTCGGCTGACCATGCTACTAGAAATGTCATGCAAGACTTTTATTAAGTGGTGGAAATTAATTTTGCAGGTAGTGGGGGGGGGGGGGGAGCAAAACCCACAAAAACAGGAACATTTGCCGACAAATGACAGATGCGCCAAAATCTGTTTTTGACGGACAGGTAAGCAAAAGCTGGAGGGTGCTTCCCCTATTCTACACGACCGCCGTTTATATTATTGCCTTTATTAAGTGGTCTTAGAGGCAGTTAATAGAATATGGTTTTAGAAAACCAATGTTGAAAAAAGAACAAGATTTCGAACTCGGGTCTCAAATGGCAAAAAATATCTGGTTTGTCCAAGCTAAACTGAAAACAAGTATGTTCCTATATATGAGTTTCTATTGTATACTGAGTGATTTCAGTTGTTCAAATATAAACATGTATCGTCGACATATAATTCTCATGACTCAGCTATACTTGGACCTGCTCTCAATCTTTGACCCCAGTCATGTGTTATGCTACGATTGGTTGAATTTCATCCAATAAGATCTCCCCTCGTAACCATTCCCAGGCCTTTTCCTTGAATTTCGCGGTTCAAGTTCAAAGCACGCAGCAAAGACAAGATTACTCGTGTGTTTCACTTCATAACAACTACTGCAAATGGACAATTAACTGAATTTTATTCATATCAAATGTTGAAAAGCCTCAACTTTAAATTCTAATTTTATGATGGGGAAAAAGAGTCTTTGTGTTGCATATTTTTTATGGCTCTTCTTCGGCGCACTGGGACTGCATCACTTCTACTTAGGCCGCGACAGACATGCGTTTATTTGGTGGTCAACATTTGGGGGAATTTTCCTATTCGGCTGGTTTAGAGATCTCTGGCGAATCCCATCGTATGTTGACGATGCAAATGAAGAACCAGACTTCATGGATGAGCTGACTCGCAAAATGAGGCTTCGAAAGACACCACCTTTTAATGTAACAAGGTTTGCCGGACAAATGACTGTTGGCTATTTTTATGGAATACTCGTAAGGCTTGCAATCCCAGAAGAAGCACCCAAGTCTATTGTTGCATTATTGGTATCCCTTGGCATAGCAGTAGGTGTTCACTTAGTTGGAAACGTTGGAAGAGAGAAAGGAAGCTTTCGATATCCATTTGTTGGTTGTTTTATAGCCTATGCGATTTTGAACATTCTTACTGGAGATGACGTTAATTACATGTACTGTGCACTCTTTGGATCCATGGCGTTCAATTATTTCCGAGAATACAGACAAAAAGTAGAGAAAAAGAAGACCACTTGTCACAGAATCACAATTCTAGCACTTAGTGGACTTCTGATTTGCTCTCTTTGGTGTTCTTTTCTTTATTTCAATGCCCATATTACAACAGAAGAAGGTGAAAAAATCAAACTCCGTGACTCTGTTAATCACTTCTTCAAATCTCCTGCCTGGTTAGAATTCAAGGAAACATTCTGGGGACTATACGAGGAAGCACAAAAACAAGGATGGAGAAATGTTTATGATGAACTAGTTAAAGCTCTAGATCCAAAAGGTGAAGCTCATGCATTAAAGGTTCTAGAACTGTCTGAAAATGCAACTGAAGCTGAAATAAGGAGGCAGTATAAGAAATTGGCTGTAAAATGGCATCCAGATAGGAATAAAGATAATTTAGAAGAAGCTCATAAGAAGTTTATTGAAATACAAGATGCTTATACATTATTATCAAAATCTAGAGGTGAAAGAAAAGCCCGCAACCAGAGGTCAACAACAAATGAACGGACAGAGTTTTAGCATTCTTGTTGTAAAAAATATATTTTCAATTTAGTTCAGTGCCCTCCATTTTAGAATTGGTGACGCATGCCCTGTAGTTGATAACTATACAGGTAGTTATTAACAAAAACTATCAATTCTCAGTTGCTCGTCACAATTAAGATACACCCTGATAGAAATTATCATTGATGGTTGGCTGTTTGTGTGTGTTGACAAAGAATTTAATGACATGAAATAAACTAGATTAGACTAGGGAAACACAAGTCAGGTATAAAGCCATTTGTGTTGTCATCTATGATTTGTATTTTAAAATAACAGCTATATAAATTGTTTCAGCAAATGCTAGAAACTTTCTATTGAAACAGCTGATTCATCATGAAAATTTCTGTTTGCCAGTGGTACTTATTTGTATGTTACAAATCGGTTTGCCTAAACCATCTTATAAAGGTTAAGAGCAAATCACTCTAGTTTCAAATGACCAAATATGCCAATAAAGGGGACATTAGAGGGGGGACATTAGAAGAACTAAAGGATTTTACAATAAGTATTCAGTGAATCAACATCTTTGTATTGGTTAAACAAACTAAGAACAAGTTAATCAACTTTGATGGTTTTAAATTGTACGTACTAAACCATAAGCTATCTTGAATATCTAATTTTTACAAGGACAAATTTAATAATAAATGTAAACAACACAAGCAAGTTTTGATTTATGAAAGTCTTATTGTTTTAATTTTTTGTGCCAGTTTCTAAAAGAGATTGGAAGAGTTTAAAAGCCAGTTTGATAGTGTTTGAATAGCAGTGAATTTGTGAGAAATGGATTAGTGGAAGGTGTTATCTCTGGCTGTTACTTAAAAATCCAATATAAATTATAACAGTTTTTATGGAATATGTTCCTTGTTTCATTTTTGCTTATTGTAAATATTTTTAGCATAAGAAGACCCTGGTTTCAAATCATTAATAAATTGAGTTTTAAAACCAAAAGATAGAGAGCACATGATCTGCTTGACTCATTATTGTACAAACACTTACTTCTAAAGATTCTTTTTGCTTGATTTGTTCTTTAGGTACCCAAACTTAATTGTCCTATTCAAACTTTTTGACCATTGGCTGACCCCTTGCTATAAATTTGAGAATTGTTTTATAATCTCCTGTTAAGTGTTTGACTGAATAAATAACTTTATGCACAGGTGTTCAAAGAAGGGTCTGAAGAGCTACTACTGGCTTAAGATATAATGTTGACATTTTGCACATCTTAACTCACTTTAGTAGTTTCATGTATTTTATCTGTGTATGCCAAATTGAGTACAAACAGACAGGTTCAGGCATGGCCATTGCTATGGGGGTTGTGAGGGATGTTACACCCCCTTGAAAAAATTCCTTTGCATAAGGAGATGGGTTTTGTCATCTAGGGGTGCTTACTTTGCAAATTTTTCAACTTTTAAGCTAATAAATGATGGGTTCCCTTTATTTGTTTGCAAATGGGACCTGGACAGCCCCTTTAAATACAATAGCTAGTGACAGCCTTGGGGTTAAGTTATTGTGACATTTAATGCTATACATAACTAGCAACTGTCAAGTGCTATTTTTAGACTTGGGTACTAGGTCCCAGGCTAAAAAATTATTGTATCATATTTGCATCCAACGGGAAAACCAGCATGAAACTTGAGTCATCTAGATAATTTTATGCACTGTAAAAGATTGGATGCAGACCCTTGCTGAAAAAGGCCACAAAATTCCATTGTAGGCTATGCAGGGCTCAAGTGGGAAACGCCCAAACCCACTGAGCTCTGATAAGTACTAACCTTGACGATTGATACCTATCATAGATCTATGATACCTACGTTATACCAGTTTCCTGTTACCTAGCAAGCAAGCCTTCGAAGCAAAGATGCAATGAAAGGTGAAAGATGCCTTGACCCCCCAGTCTTTAGCCTTGGCCCCCCACGAGAGACTTCCGCCATTTGTGGCACCATTTCCGGCAAGTGAGCCCACTCTCTATTCTGTGTCCACCCGGACAAAAACTATCATCAAACACCAGTGGTTACGGATAAGCAGTTACAGGCTGCGGGTGAGCATTGTTCTGAGAACAATCGATTCAGTTAGTGTTTAGTTCCTGTCCTTTCTTTGCGGATTAAAGCTGTTGCTTTGGACGAGACCGGTCTATTTGCTTCTTCATCTCGCAGCCGCTGACGTTGACAATTTGCGAACCTCAGGTAACAAATCAGGGTATTTTATGAAATAACTAACATTTGTTATAGTATCATTATCTTTCGCTGAAAAATAGCATTTATATTTTTGAATTGGAGCTGCAGGCCTGCAGATTATGGAAAGCACTGTCAATTCGGCCACGTGTATTTTATGCGAACCTCTTTAAGGCGTAGCCCTGTTCTGTTGTCCTTCAGTGACTAAATCATAGTTACACTGTTTTTAACTCTTTTTCTGAAACTCACGGCACGGTAATGGTATAGGACTTGTGGTGGGGGCTATACAAGGAATGTGGTGCTCGGTCCCCTGTTCATGGTTCGCAAGTATGGGGGCCTAGAGAAAATTTAACAATCAAAGCACAAGATTTTTGCTCTAAAGTTTTGCAAAAAATTGGGGGCCCTGCTGCCACGACCCCCGCTTCCTTCGTCGGAGGCCCTGCTGCTCGCCCCCCTGCTCGGCCTGCTCGTCGGCCGGGCAGTGGCAGTGTGGAATGTATCAGTTTTATGGAATGTATTTCATTTTTTGAGAATTATGACATTTTGAAAATTTTTTCTCATTTTATTATTCGATTTAAATTTAGTTTTATTCTTGTTATTTTGTATTAAGAAACTAGAAGTATTTTGAATCAAAATAATCTTACACACGCACACACAGATATCACATGAAAGTACAGTTATCATACAACCAAATGACTCCCAATAGAGAAGGCCAATTTGACATGATTCAATGACAGAAATTTTCAGTACTGAGCCCTACTAGCAAAAAATTCTTAGTGAAAAATTCATGTCGTATTGTATTTTTACACGAATATTCCAAAAAATGGACACAAATAAGTTATAAGCATTTTAGACCAACGATCAGCTTGCAAATGGAACTTTTTAGTGATGAAATGAACACAGTGGATATTCTGAGTGGCCTTCACTCATCTTTTGCTACTCTAAGGTAAGAAATCACCCTCCTCCTTTTGTTTTTTGTTTAGAATTTTTAAAGACCGTCTGCTCCTAATCCCAACCCCCCTGTTCCACCGACATAAGGATTCAACTGAAGTTTAAATGTTACAAATGTTCTGGCAATCAAGTTCAACCAGACTTTGGCATCTGAAAAGGTTGGCTTCATGATCTCCCCATGTCTTTCAAATTTTTAGGGAAATCTTTCAAAAGATTTGAAAATTGTCTATCTTGCCAATGTTCTTTTAGGCAGGGCATTCCTCTCAACCATCGACCGCATTGCCTAACCTTTGTTTTCTCGGCTGATTATGGAACAATATGGTATAACGAATAATTTAAGCCCTTACAACATTTTCAAAAATTCATCAAAGTCACGTTACTGATGACGTCAAAAAGGTTATGTTTCCTAGACTCAAAACCATTGTAACTTCTTAAGTATACGTCTGACGTCAATATAACCGCAAGATTCGGGCTCGCCTGAAGGAAAGCTTTCCAATGATATATATACATCAGTATTTTAACGATGTCGATGAAGTCAAATCATTCTTTGGATATGTCCAAAAACTGTATAATTTATTAAGCCCAGCCATGTCGCAAAAGCCCAGCCAGGTGGAAAATCCTTCTTGAATGCACAGGCGCATCACTTCACGCAACATCGAAAACTTGTTGGTCTGCAATAATAGAGGCTGTTAAGCCCATTGCAAGCAATCTACCTGGTGTTTTGAAGGCTCTTGATCAACTGGGTGATACCCGTTTATCTGCAGAAGCAATGGAAGTTTGGTCTATCCTATTGAATTATTTCAAATCCTTCAAGGGTTTGATCCTGCTCACATTGTGGTACAAGATTCTCGTTTCAATTCACACCGTTAATTTGCTGATGGAAATGAGCATTTCTACTATTGACGAGGCAGTAAAGCAGCTTGATGTGCTTATTGAAGAAATAAAAGCCATCGAGATAATTGGGATGCCATCATGAATGAAGCAAAATTCGTTGCTGAATCGCTTGACATTGATTCAGTTTTTGAGTCAAGGGGAAAAAGAAAGCGTAAGGCTGACAACAAAAACGAATCCTGTGGATTGTCCAACGAAGACGAATTCAAAATAAACGTCTTCTATGTTGCGCTTGACTCTGTCTTGGGCAGGATTTCACTGAGATTTCGAGAAACAAGAAACATTGCCTCAACTTTCAGCTTCTTGTGGCGATACGTGGAAATGGAAGAAACTAAATTGAGCAGCACTGTAAAAAAGTTTGCAGCCAACTATGCTACTTATGTTTCTCCGGATCTACTAGAAGAAATTATTCAACTACGACATCTCCGTCGATTAAAGTTTGGAGACGTTTGTTTGAGCCCCTTAGATCTCCTTAATAAGCTGAGAAGTCTGGGATTAATGAGTCTCTTTCCAAATCCTTCATCGCGTTGAGAAATTTTTGCTGCCTTCCAGTTACTGTTGCGAGTGCAGAAAGATCTTTCAGCAAATTCAACCTCGTAAAAATTTCATGAGGACCACAATGGGACAAGTCCGGCTTAATAACTTGGCTGTGCTATCACTTGAGCGAGACATTGCTCGAAAAGTAGATTTGCAAGATGTTATTAATACGTTTGCTGAAAGAAAAGCTCGCAAAGCTATACTCTCGGACAGTTACAGACATTAAAGCTTACTAGAGTGTTACCTTGCCTGTTAACATAATTTGTTTACTTGATGGGTATTTTGTTTGTTAACGGTTATTTGATTTATTATTATGACTTCCCTGATTCAAAAATTACCATTTTAAAAAATTGAAGACTTATTGACGGGCCCCTATCTGGCGCAGGGCCCCTGGGCAGTTGCCCCTCTTGCCCCCCCTCTCGGTGGGCCTGGTGTTAAGTGATCTCTTCGTAACTACTTTGTGATGCCATATTGCTAAAACCCGTATTGGAGTAACAGTAGCGGCTCCACGGGGGGGGGGGGGGGGGGGGGGACACGTCCTCAAACTGCCTTTACATAGCCAACAGTTAGTTATGGGCGCTCCTTTCAGGTAAAATTGGCTTTCCTTGTTTGTAAAAGGGCGTTTTATAGTGCTAAAAGGGGGTGGCCTAATTTTTTTTGCCCCCCCCCCCCAGAGCGTGTAACAGGATCGCTGTATACTTTTGTAACCTCTTCCCTATGTAAGTATTTAATGTATGTAGGCGTAGTAGCCACTTGTCACTCAACCATTGTATTTAGCATTTCCGTTTTAAAGAATATAAATAGATTGATTTTGTAGTTAAAGCAGCTTTTTAATAATCAAGAAAATGTGAGAAACTATGAAGTCTTCTTCGTCTAAATCCTAACGCGACTCGAAGTACTGTCACAGAATTGGTGCAGGACCCGCTCGTCTTTACCATCGATCATCGATCCTCTCAATGTCATACGAAGAAGTCCTTGGACTTGTCAGTGGTCTCGCCTCCGTTGTCAAAGAACAACAGATCACCGCCAAAGATGTTTCCTCTCAAACTCAGCAACAGATTCGAGAGCTCTCTAATGCCGTCCATGAATTATCGCAATCTGTTCGCAACAAAGAAACTACAAGCTCACCCCTTCGTCTACCACAGCTCACTCTCCTTGAGTTTACAGGCCGCGATGACCTTGATCGTTTTGCCGAACAACTCACAAATGTGCCCCCCTAGCCCTCCCCTGGCGCCACTACTGATTGTTTTGTTCATTGTATAGCTAAAGATTGTATTCTTAACAAAAGACACAAGGAATCAAGATCCCTTTCTCACAGAAGCAAAATAGTGTACTGACTGCATCTGCAGTCTTCTCTAAGGTACATATTTCTGAGGTTTCAATCAGCATGGTCCTTGAAATTTCCCATCTAGGCAAGTTTATGGAAGGTATTCTCAATTGAAAGGGTATCAACAATTGTTGAAAAGGGTGTGGCCTTCAAATAGGGTGTGGTTGAAAATGTGTTTTGCTTCTCTATCATTTACCAATTCTGACATGGGTATGACGTCCACATGGTGCTCAATAGGGGAGTGTGAAGAAGGCTCGTTTAATCTACTGTTTTGTGGGCACATGTATCTTCTTCTCGAGCCATATCATGTGCCGTTACTGATCATAGGACAGCCAGTGTAAAACTATATGAATTTTTTTCATTGCCCATTCCAGAAAAACGTTAACCAGCCCACACACTATTAGATAATTTGTGATTTGTTTACAAGGGCTTTTTTTACATTGATGTTTGAATCCAATGCTATCTTAAAGTTGAATATCCTAATTGTGTCGAGAGATTTACATTACTTGCTAGCCAATGGAAGGTCTTCCCATCCTCCAACTTTTGATGCTCAAAAGAACATATACTGCATACTAAAAGTCTTTGCGCTTCAGTTGGGTGAGTGTTCTAAAATTTTTACTTTTGTTTATGCAGGTCAGTCTATTACAAAATGCCACAATACACATTGCACTACTTTAATGTCAGGGGACTTGGAGAGCTGATCCGCCTCATCTTTGTGCAAGCTGGGCAGGAGTTCACAGATCACAGGTTTGAAATAAATGAGTGGGCTGAAGAAAAAAAGAATAATGGTGAGAAATAACATCTTGTTATGGTGAAGGCAAATAAGAAACTGCTCCATCTCAGAGTTGTTTCAAGTTACATAATAATAAAGGAACATTTGAATTGATTGTGGAACTGAGTCCTGGTAATATAAGGTGTGGGGCCGCAAGCGCATGCCTCCAAACATGCCTAAAACTTTAGAGGTGTGCTTTCCATTGCATGTGCAGTTCTACTGAATTACTATTCTTTTTCGTGTTTGTTTCTTTTAATTTCTTGTTTATTTTCTCTAGTGATTTATAAAGGTAATTTTTAATTTCTTTCGTGTGAGTTATATTGATGGGGTTTCTGGAGGCATTTTAACTCTTTAAGGCCCGGTTCCCATTACTCCGTTTTTGTGTCTTCGTTCTCTCTCTGTTCTTTTCGTATTTTCTTGAGCACAATGCCCCGGGCCACTCTGTTTTGGTCTAAACGATAACATGGATGTTTCCATTACTCCATATTTATCCGTTCTCATATCCTTTGCTCGAGCTCTTTTTTGAAACTGAGATTGAATGACTCTGTTTTTGAATGCCTCTGTCTTTGATGTTCCCAATAAAACAACGTGTCTTCAAATGATTCTGTTTTGGATGACTCCACTTTGAACAGCGTTTTTGAATAACTTTGGTTTGGTATCAAATGACCCTGTTTTTGAGCGTATTAATGGAACTCAAAATAAAACAGATCCACTCGAATCCGTTCTCACACGGAAACGGAGTAATGGCAACAGGGCCTAAAAAACTTGTATCCTTGATGTTAAATTATTTTGTTTCAAGAAGCTTCTTCTAAAATTCCATAAAATCATTTTGATTTTTGAAAACCTCAAACGCTTTTTCAAACAGTGATACAGACCTTCTTCATAAAAATCGTAAGGTCTCGCGAGTTATCGCACGCCATTGCATGCCATCACATGCCTAAACTTTTCGAGGCGTGCGATTACCAGCAAACCCACAAATTTCATATTACCAGGACTGGGAACTCCAGATTGTCACTTGGGAAAATAGCACACAGAGTTGCACAACAAGAATAGCAAATTAATGAGAAAAATGATTCAACTGAAATCAATGCCATTTGGAAAGCCTTGCTTTAGCAAAATATTTTCCTTAGTTACTGCAATTCACATTTTACCTCATGCTTAATAAATCAACATGTGATGTCAGTAAAAATGTTTTTGGCTATTTTAATTTTATTTTACCATTATTGTCCAGCCAGCATTAGCAGACAACGCATCTCATAAAGTGAATAGCAGGGTGGGGAGGTAACTTATTTGGTTTGAGATACCCGAGCATGCCATTATTTAGAGATACCTTTTTTCTGAAAAGTGCAGATTTATTGGTATCATTTTTTTAAATACATTGCGGAATAATAGGCAACATTTGAAGAAACATGTCGAATTATAGGTAGCATTATGGGAAAATATTGCAAAATAATTAGGAGGAAAATTTAGCATTAGGCCTAAAAAATTAATGTCCAGCTAGAAGTGACAATTCTGTAAACTATGCAAGGTTGCCCTTTAAAATATATGCCTGGACTTTTCTGTCTTATGCCCATAAACTGAACCTAAACTGATTTCTGTTGAAATCAGAAGAGGAGCACATGTCTTTGTCTATAAAAACAATTGAAAGTCACTTAGCTTCTCTCTTGACATAGAAGAGAAATAAAAAAAATTGGGGCTTAACTTTGAGCAACTGAAAGAGCTGAAAGTGCCAATAACTATTTTGATGGAACATTTCAGGATATTGTAGAGCCAAGAACCGTAGCTGATGGGAATCATAGGTCCCAATGTTTAATGAGCATATTCAACCATTGGCATAAAGAAATCCAAGCATAACAAATTTTACACTAACAACTTTGATTTGATGCCTGTCAGAAACCTTGATAACAGAAACCTTGTTATTTAATGGCTTTTGGGCATGTCAGCACAGTTGTTGCATTGTCTTGGATTACATATTGAATTGAATTGCTGTTTCGTGAGCAGCTGACTTGCATGAGTGGTTTTTCTTTATGCTCTTGGAATAGAGTGATTGAAAGTATCAAATATTTGATTTTGGGGCAAATTATTTAGCTGTGTCGTGAAAAATTTTGTGGGTATAATTTTAATCATATTTTTGGAATCTTGGGTCACGTTTTTCAGACATGGGTAGAATTGTGGGTCCATATTTGAACTAAAATGGCACAATCCTGTCCAAGACTAGGCTTAGTTACCCCCAATCCCGGCGAGGAATAATGTCTGCTCAGACTGTTTGCTAATTTCCGACTTTTCTAGCATCTCGTTATCCATTTGGATGTGCACCATCTCTTGAGATCGATGGTAAAGTCTTGCCAGAGTCAATGGCCATTGCAGGATATGTTGCTGGAGAGCTTGGTGAGAGAATTGAACCTTTTGTATATATTAATGCTTTAGTGGTCAAGAAATTTTTCTTTTTAGCCAATGACAAATGTTTTTGTTGTGTGTAGATGCAAGAGATGGAATATTTTGATGGTCTTATACCAAGAGGTCAAAATACATATCTAAACTTAACAAATAAATAACATGTCACATGAAAATTGACTTAGCAATTCTTATTTATTTACTCCATCTTGCATTTTCTGTTTGTTTTTCGATTATAGCGCCACTCTGTTGTACGCAATATTCCTTTAGAAGTGTTTACTTCTCGGTTTGTGGGGAAAGGACAGGTGTCTGTTAGATGGAGGGGTTGATTCAAAGCTATACTTTTGTTAGATAATAAACGTCAAGCATACAATTTTGGAAATTTGATAGTTGCCAGAAGTGACAAAACCTTGAAATGAGAGTCGCCAATGATTATTTACCAATGGGCTAGAGGCAGAATTTTTATCCTGCAAATTTTTTTGAAGGTTTGGCAGGTAAGGATAATTTTGAGAAGGCTTGGTGTGATGCCGTTGTTGGCGTCCTCAAGGATGTCAAAAAGGAATGTCAGCCATTTAACCCTTTCTACAGAACGGAAACAGACGATGCAAAATTGGTAAGTTTTGATAAGCTATTTGAAAATTTTTAGCTTCAACTGAATCTTCTTTGTGCCTTTTTAACCCAAATAGGTATATCCGGTGGCCTAATTTCTCTTGTTTCAACCAAAAGGCAAACATATTGGTGAAAGAGCACCCCGTTTTCCGTAAACAAAACATAGTATTATTTACAAAGATCTACCTATCTTTTCATGCATCATATTTATATATCTTGAAAGAGATGCTGCTTATTAAGAACTGTTTTTTATGAGCTGCAGAATGATTTACTAGTTTCTTTGCCCCCGTCAGAGTCTTAAGCCTTAAGAAGTATCGCTGAAATGCAGAAATACACCTAAGATTATTCCTGGAAAACTTTCCGATAACCAAAACATTTTTGTATTAAAGGAGCAACTCAAAACTGAAGCATTCGCAGGGAAAATTGCAAACAAGCTTGCAGCTTTGGAAAGCACGTTGAAATCAAATAACAATGGAGCTGGATTCTTGGTTGGAGATCAGGTATGTATTAAGATGATCATTTAATCACCAAATCATGTATAGAGCTGTGGATCTTGCCTTCAAAGACGTCTCAAAATGATCATTTTATCACAACATCATGTATAGAGCTGTAGATCTTGCCTTCAAAGACGTCTCAAAATGATAATTTAATGGCGGTATCAATTATCATTTATGTTTTCGATTTCTCCCTCAAAAAGATCCATTGCAGTGTAAATAGGAAACTATTTTGAAACATACTAAAGCATTAAGCCTGACACTCTTCAGAGTTTATAACGTCAGAACATTGGTCGAAAGCCCTACGCTAGTTGTTAGTAAACCAGCTTAGTTTTTGCCTAAAAAATTCTTGCAACTTAATCATAACTTGACTTCCAAGAATTACTTATGGAGTTCGATCCAATTCAATATGTATTTGGTATTACAGGTAACGTTGGCAGATTTGTCCTTTCTGGACACTGCATGCATCATGCTCGAGATGAAACCAGGATGTCTTGATGCAACACCATTGCTTAAGGCACTGTATGATCGGCTGAATGCTCTACCAAACATTAAGAAGTACATAGAAACCCGTCCGAAGACTACCCTGTAGATGCCTTTCAAATCAAGACTGAACTGTATCAATAGATATCGAGGATATATTTCTAATACCCTGTCTTGTTCGTAGGTTAGACTTTTGCTGTGATTTCATTATTAGATACCGTAGATCAAAGATGTAATCTCTGCATTTTTATTCTGTCAACTAATCATAACCAAGTCAAAACTAATCAAGTGTAAATTTCTTAGCTTTGGCGCTCATTTTTAACATAAACAAGCGCGCGGGAACTTTGCTCTGGCGAAGGGTTTGCAAGCACATTTGACATTTTGAAAAGAGCACGACGTCCTAAATGCGGTGAGCATAACAATGATGTGAAACGACAATAAAACAGCACCTTAAAAAATGCTGATAAAACTTCGTATCCAGTTGTTAATCTATCTTTCATAAATCCATGAAGCTATTTACCATAAAATATTTACAGTCGTTATGCTAGAAGATTCTCTTTGATTCTCTCTGAAACTTGCCATGAAAATAACATTGAACAGTTAGCAATAAGAACGCAAACCTACGAGGAACAGTATAAGGAGAGTGGAGGGGGAGGAATTTGAGAGTCTTATTCGAGAGGGGCTTTTGGTTACCTTTAGGGGGATACGCAACAGGTATTTCAAGAATAAGAAGTCTTTAGGTTGAGTGAGGCTCTGGGAAAAGGTGAGGCCCTGGTGAGATAATTTGTAAATTTCAAGTGCGAGACCCTTTAAAATTTAAGAGTGGGAGCCTGGAGAAATGTTGAGAGTGAGTCCTTCAAGAAGGTTTAAAAATGAGGCCCTGAGAAAAGGGTGAGGCCCCAGGGGCCTGGCAGTTAAGAAATACTTCAATTACACTCTTCAGGCTTAGTGAAATACACCTAGCAATTATCCTACAGCTCTCGGAGACCTTTGTTTCCAGTTTGTTACTATGTTTTGATACATCTTTACATAAAGAATTTAAAGGTTTTCAAGATGGTCGTAAAGATGGATATCGATGTAGTCTTCGTTTTACATGTTGCTTGAAGTTGTACGAAGCAGCAAGAATTAATCCTTTTTAATTGCCTGTTAATTCGATGTCACAGATTTTTCATTTGACCAGCGATCAAATGGAAATGTCTGTGATGCAATTTTTTCAAAGGCACCGACAAGCTTGTCGCTGTCCTGGGTAGATCGGGAACTGTTTGGCGCGCATTTTATCAGTGATCTGCCTTCATTCAGTTTCATTTGTTGTTAATGCAAGTCGAGAGCGAGGAAGATAAGAGAGGCGTCCCTGAGGCAACATTCATTTTAGCGCCCCTGAGGCAACATTCATTTTGGCGCCCCTGAGGCAACATTCATTTTGGCGCCCCTGAGGCAACATTCATTTTGGCGCCCCTGAGGCAACATTCATTTTGGCGCCCCTGAGGCAACATTCATTTTGGCGCCCCTGAGGCAACATTCATTTTGGCGCCCCTGAGGCAACATTCATTTTGGCGCCCCTGAGGCAACATTCATTTTGGCGCCCCTGAGGCAACATTCATTTTGGCGCCCCTGAGGCAACATTCATTTTGGCGCCCCTGAGGCAACATTCATTTTGGCGCCCCTGAGGCAACATTCATTTTGGCGCCCCTGAGGCAACATTCATTTTGGCACCCCTGAGGCAACATTCATTTTGGCGCCCCTGATATTTGATCAGCAGGAGGGCAATTGCCCCCTTGTCCCCCTGCGAGCACGCAACTGCAAAGATACACCAGTAACATTTTCTTTCAGTTTGGGGGAATAGTGTAGTGGAATTAGATATAAAAACTGTCTAACCCGGATAAAAATAATATAAAGCTGTAATTTGGCACAGATGTTCTATACTAAGTTGGAAATTACCAGAAAAAAAGCCCCATCAATTGGACATTGGGAATTCCTTATTTGGGCAAATACCATAATGGCGCACTGATCAGTAGTGGTTCAAAATTTTAATGTTGCTAAAACCACATAGTATGTACATCTTTTGAAAGATACTTTCATGCTGAATATTTTTTATTTAACATACGTACCCTTAGAATATGCAAATTTAGTGGTGATTGGGCAGAAACAAAGTGGGACGATTGAATATTGAAAAGCGCACGGAAAGAATGGCTGATACTCTTGCTGAATATTTTCATTTTATATCGCAAATTCTATCGATGCAAAATCATTAGAATTTTGCCCGGGCTGACTCAACTCGGGCCCACTCAGCCCGGGCTGACTCTAGTGAAATTTTTTTTACTGCAGCAGCAAATTCCGGTCAAATCTAAAGAAATATCAAAATATTCAAAACAAAGTAACTCGCGACCAAACGGTCCAAACAACATGATTTTTTCATTATAAACTAATTTAAAGTAGAAGATTTCAATTCTGACCGTTTTTCAACTTTTTTCATTGACATCCTCCATCTAAGTAATTTTTGTTACTAAGACGTAAAAAACACTGCCAAATTCAGTGCAAATTCAAAGTGGCTGCACAAAACTACAGCTTGATGCTGGGCCAGTAATATTCCCTTTATGCCCTTCTTTTCCAGAAAAAGAGATAACTTCCAAATTACGTATAATCCCAAAAATTGCAAACTTTTCAATTGAGAAGTGCGCACATGAAAAAGAGGGTGTTTTGAGAGTACCTAGGACCCAAAACCCGGAAACATACTTCAACGTGGTTCACTTTTTCCCGTGTTCTGCATTAAAAGACCTTCGTACCCGCAGTTATTACCAGCAAGAATATTTGTCTGCAAGGCACAGGGTAGATCCTTGCATTTTTTCTCCAAATGAAGATGTCATCAGTGTTTGCGGAAGAACATAATTTTAGGGGAATTTTGTGGTAGATTGAGGAAATCTGGCATTTTCTCAACGGAACGAGGGAATTCTACACACTTGCCGGACGCAGATTTTCTCAAAATAATACACAGATTGCAGAAATGTCCTAATGTTTAGCGGGATTCTTAACCTCCTCCTTGTTGGATAGGATTTCATCATCGTATTTTTTGATCTTGTTAATATATAAGTTGTTCATAAATAAACATATATACATTCAGAGGTGGCGCCAGAAATCTTCCGACAGAGGGGTTAGAGCTTCCAACAGGGGGGCTAAATTGACTATAGTATGCAGTTTTCGTATGTTATTTTGTCAAATTTGCTCCGACAATAACCAAAAATTTTCTTCCGATAGGGGCTAGATGCTTCCGATGGAAGGACTGTAGTGTCCTAGCCCTCCCCTGGCGCCACCACTGTATACATGTTATTGTCCAGTTGCCCCCTATCTAAGACATAAGAGCTTTCATTTCAACCAACAAAAATTACAATTTAAGTTATGTATGATTAATAAAGAATAGAGAAACGAGTACATGAATTGGGCTAGATTTACCATAACCTATGATACCAAGTCATTAAATTGATGAAATTGAAAATTTTCAAAAAAGAACCTAATGGTTGGGAAGGGATCTTATAGCAGAGCTAATTCATAGACCCCTACCCGGCCGATCGGGCCGATCCAGACATACCAACTGAGGTTACCAGTTCTTAAATGTAACTGCTATAAGGGAAGAAAGAGCTGCTGTCAGAAACGCAGAAGGATAGTTTGGGAAAATAGGATGCTATTTATTGACCAGAAAGTACTTATTTCCACATTGAAGGGCGTGTATGTTGAATAAAAGTTGTACTGTCTGACAGTGTAAAAGACAGCATGATACTGTCTTTCAGAATATGTACATATAATATGGTTTTAGCGACAACAAAATTTGAACCCCTGCTGATCAGTGCGCCATATGGGATTTGCCCAAATAAGGAATTCCCAATGTGCAATTGATGGGGCTTTTTTCTGGTTATTCCCAGTATCATATGCAACCTATGTGCCGAATTACAGCTTTTTATTATTTTTGTCCGGGTAAAATCGTAATTCCACCACACTAATCAGCGCCTGAGTGGGAAACGCCCAAACCCACTGAGCTCCTGATAAGTACTAACCTTGACGATTGATACCTATCATAGATCTATGATACCTACGTTATACCAGTTTCCTGTTACCTAGCAAGCAAGCCTTCGAAGCAAAGATGCAATGAAAGGTGAAAGATGCCTTGGCCCCCCATTCTTTAGCCTTGGCCCCCACGAGAGATTTCCGCCATTTGTGGCACCATTTCCGGCATTTGTGGCACTCAATATTCTGTGTCCACCCGGACAAAAACTGTCATCAAATACCAGTGGTTACGGATAAGCAGTTACAGGCTGCGGGTGAGCTTTGTTCTGAGAACAATCGATTCAGGCAGTTTTTGGTTCCTTTCTTTGCGGATTAAAGCTGTTGCTTTGGACGAGATCGGTCCATTTGCTTCTTCATCTCGCAGCTGCTGACGTTGACAATTTGCGAACCTCAGGTAACAAATCAGGGTATTTTATGAAATAACTAATATTTGTTATAGTATCATTATATTTTGCTGATAAATAGCATTTATATTTTTGAATTGGAGCTGCAGGCCTGCAGATTAGATTATAGAAAGCACTGTCAATTCAGCCACGTGTATTTTATGCGAACCTCTTTAAGGCGTAGCCCAGTTCTGTTGTCCTTCAGTGACTAAATCATAGTTGCACTGTTTTTAATTTTTTCTGAAACTAACGTCGCGGCATGTAGGTAATGGTATAGGACTTTAAGTGGGCACTTTACAAGGGATGTTGTGCTCGGTCCCCTACCCTGCTCATGGTTCGAAAGTATGGGGGCCTAGAGAAAATTTAAAGGCATTGAGTCATGGTAAATACTGGTTATCCGCGGGGGGTCTGTCTGTTTCCATGTGATAAGTTTGTTTTCATGTGAGCAGACATTCTTTGTCGAAAGCGAAAGGGATTTGAAAAGCCTTTGTGGCATTTGAAAGGTACAAATGGGGGAAGAAGTTTGAAATCTTTTGTAGAGAGCAAGAGAAAAGAGAGAGAGAGAAAGAACCTTTAGAAACGGCAGAACAAAGAGCACTTACAACCAGGGGCGGATCCAGATTAAATTTGAAGGAGGGGCAGTTGGTAGTGGGGGCGCTGAAGAGATTTCAAAAATTGGTTACGAGAGTACGCTGTATACAACAATTTCAGATATCTTTTCAGAATAAACAACAAAACTTTGAGGTAATCCTTGAAGCAAATTAACCTATCGGTCCAAGAACCTTTTTCATCTGATTCTCATTCTTCAAAAGGGGCGCACAATTTCCAAAAAGGGGCACCAGACTTGCTTCAACTTGTTGAGGGAGGGGCAACCTTAAATCCGCCACTGCTTACAACATCGTGTGTGCAGTTTGCTTGACAGATCGCGGCAGTTTGCTTGATCAGATTAGCGAAGCTATCATGATGACTCAGCAATTTTTGCAATTTGGGTATACGCTTCCTGTTTACCATGACTCAAAGCCTTTAACAATCCTATCACAAGATTTTGATTGTTTTGCTCTATAATTTTGCAAATAATATTTGTTTAAAAATAATAATGTTTAAAATTGGGGCCCTGCTGCCATGGCCCCCGCCCCTTCGTCGGAGGCCCTGCTGCTCACCCCCTTGCTCAGCCTGCTGGTCGGCCAGGCAGCAGCAGCAGTGGTTTGAAATGTATCAGTTTTATGGAATGTATTATATTCTTTGTGAATTATGATATTTTGGAAAAAATTTCTCATTTTATTATTCCGCTAAATTAAGTTTCTTACTTGTATTTTGTATTAAGAATCTAGAAGTATTTTGAAGCAAAATAATCTTACATGCGCACATACACAGGCACATACACATGCACACGCACACACACACACAGATATCACATGAAAGTACAGTTATCACACAACTAAATGACTTCCAATAGAGAAGGCCAATTTGACATGATTCAATGACAGAAATTTTCAGTACTGAGCCTTACTAGCAAAAATTTCTTATTGAAAATTTCATGTCGCATTATATTTTCACACGAATATTCCAAAAAATGGACACAAATAAGTTATAAGCATTTTAAACCAACAATCAGCTTGCAAATGTAACTTTTCAGTAATGAAATAAACACAGTGAATGTTCTGAGTGGCCTTCACTCATCTTTGCTACTCTAAGGTAAGAAATCACCCTCCTCCTTTTGTTTTTTTCAGAATTTTTGAAGACTGTCTGCTCCTTATCCCAACCCCCCTGTTTCACCGGCAAAATGATTCAACTAAAGTTTAAATGTTACAAATGTTCTTGCAATCGAGTTCAACAAAACTTTTGCATCTGAGAAGATTGACTTTATGATCTCCCCATGTCTTTCAAATTTTTAGTGAAATCTTTCAAAAGATTTGAAAATTGTCTATCTTGCCAATGTTCTTTTGTCTTAACATTTCTACAAACTTGAACTGAAAGAAAAAATTCTAATTACAGCCACTGCAAGACAGTAAGAGTCTTGATATGTCTTTAAGTCAACAAGACAACACAACAATGATATGTCTTTAAGAGGACAACAGTTTCTTCATTTTTCCTCAAGAAGCATTAAAATTTCACAAAAATTGCTAAAGCCAGTTGGAACAAAAAGCAATTCTTCTTTTCAAATACTTCCAGTCTTTAACAAGCACTAAAGATTTTTACAAATGATTGACTTATTTTACTAGGTACAAGCACACAGGTCCCATTTTCAGCCTAAAAATTGCATATTGATGCTTTGAAATAAAACTAGTTGCAACACAGAACCTCAGCACCTCATGTCCACAGTCTTTGTTGTCTTTAGTAGCTTCCTTGAAATGCAAGGTGCAGTATATGTCTTTAGAAACTCTAAATAAACATAGAAAAGAGACAAAAATTTCAGAAAGGGTATCTTTCTTTGAAGACTCCTAAAACAGATTGTTTACCCTGAAACCATGCCATTTTAACACTCTTGTTTAGAAACTTCAGCAACTAGAACCCATGTTGAAGTTCAGTTAAGGTAGTAGTGATGTGAATGTTATTTTGAAGTGTTGCAATCAGAGGCAGATATTCAATGTTTTAACCAAGAATTAAGCAAAAGCTCTTGCCCAACAACCTGGCATTTTCTGACACTGGTTTCAATCATCCAACTCAATCAGCTAATCAGGGTAGGCCCAGAAAACCTATCCAAAACCATACAAAAGACACAAGGAATAAAGATCCCTCTCTCACAGAAGCATAATATGCCGTGACACGCCCAGCCAGTGGCCCGCCAGTCTGCGACATGCCCAGCCAGTGACCTGCAGGTCTGCTACACGTCCAGGCAGTGACCAGCCGGCCTGCGACATGCCCAGCCAGTGACCTGCCACCCCGTGACATACAGAGCCAGTGACCCGCAAGCCCCCCAACCCCAGTTGCAAATTAGCAAAAAACGAACTAAAGTCTTCCTCAACACACAAAAACCCCCTTACACAAAACCCCAACACATGGTATGCCCCCCAAAGACCTGCCCCTGCAGAGACGTGGCTCCTGCACAAAGGAGGCTCCTGTCCGAAAGAGGCTGTTGAGTGCTCCCCCGCAGAGGCTGCAAGAACCGTGCCCTCTGCCATCAAAAAATTCTTCAAAAAAAATGTGCAAAAACACTCGCACTCCTACAGAATTAAGCGAAAAAATCACTCAAGCTTCAACGTGATTTTTACTTGCACTCCTGTAGCAGGTGCTAGAGGACGAGGAGCAGAAGACGGCGAAAGAGGAGGACAATGCCCCCAGCAGAAACGTGGCTCCCACACAAAGGAAACTCCTGCCTGAAAGAGGCTGTCTTGTGCTCCCCCGCCAAGACTGTGAGAACCGCACCCTCTGCAATAAAAAATTTCTTCCTTAAAAAGAATATGCAAAAACACTTGCACTCCTACAGAATTCAGCAAAAGAATCACTCGTGCTCCTACGTGATTTTTACTCGCACTCCAGTATGTTTAAAATAGGGTGTGGCTGAAAATGTGTTTGCTTCTCTATCTTTAACCAATTCTGACATGGGTTTGTCGTCCACATGGTGCTCAATAGGGGAGTGTGAAGAAGGCTCTTTGAATCTACTGTTTTGTGGGCACATGTATCTTCTTCTCAAGCCATATCATGTGCCGTTGCTGATCTTAGGACAGCCAGTGCTAAAATATATGAATTTGTTTCCTTGCCCATTCTAGAAAAAAGTTAACCAGTCCAAACACTAGCAGATAATTTGTGATTTGTTTACAAGGACATATTTTCCATTGATGTTTCAATCCAATGCTATGTTAAAGTTGAATATCCTAATTGTGTCAAGAGATTTCCATTAATTGCTAGCCAATGGAAGGTCTTCCCATTCTCCAACTTTTGGTGCTCAAAAGAACATATACTGCATACTAAAAGTCTTTGCGCTTCAGTTGGGTGAGTGTTCTAAAATTTTTACTTTGATTTATGCAGGTCAGTCTATTACAAAATGCCACAATACACATTGCACTACTTTAATGTCAGGGGACTTGGAGAGCTGATCCGCCTCATCTTTGTGCAAGCTGGGCAGGAGTTCACAGATCACAGGTTTGAAGGGACTGAGTGGGCTGAAGAAAAAAAGAATAATGGTGAGAAATAACATCTTGTTATGGTGAAGGCAAATAAGAAACTGCTCCATCTCAGAGTTGTTTCAAGCAACATAATAATTAGAAAACATTTGATTGTGGAACTCCAGATTGTGACTTTGGATCTCATAAAGTGAATAATGCACACGGGTGAGAGGTAACTTAATTGGTTTGAGATAAGGGAACATTCCATTATATAGGGATACCTTTTTTCTGAAAAGTGCAGAATTATTGGTATTGTTTTTTTAAATACATTGCGGAATAATAGGCAACATTTGAAGAAACATGCAGAATTATGGGTACCATTATGGGAAAATATTGCAAAATTATCAGGAGAAAAATTTAGCATTAGGCCTAACAAAATTGATGTCCAGCTAGAAGTGAAAATTCTGACTATGCAAGGTTGCCCTTTAAATATATGCCTGAATTTTACTCTCTTATTCCCATAAACTGAACCTGAAATAAAGATTTCATACCCTGATTTCTATTGAAACTTGAAGAGGAGCACATGCCTTTGTCTATAAAAACAATTGAAGTCACTTAGCTTCTCTCTTGACATATAAGGAAAATAAAAAAAGTAGGGCTTAACTTCAAGCAACTGAAAGAGCTGAAAGTGCCAATAACTATTTTGATGGAACATTTCAAGATATTGTAGAGCCAAGAACCGTAGCTGATAGGAATCACAGGTCCCAATGCTTAATGAGCATATTCAACCATTGGCATAAAGGAAATCCAAGCATAAAAAAGGATTACACTAACAACTTTGATTTGATGCCTGTCATGAAACCTTGATAACAGAAACCTTGTTAACAGAAACCTTGTTGCTTTTGGGCATGTCAGCACAGTTGTTGCATTGTCTTGGATCACATATCCAATTTGCATGGTTTTTCTTCATGCTCTTGGAATAGAGTGATTGAAAGTATCAAATATTTGTAATATTGAGATTTTGGGGCAAACTATTTACCTGTGTCATGAAAAATGTTTTTTGCCTTGCGTAGTTAGGGGTATAGTTTTAATCATATTTTTGGAATTATGGGTCACGTTTTTCAGACATGGGTAGAATTGTGGGTCCATATTTGAACTAAAATGGCACAATCCTGTCCAAGACTAGGCTTAGTTACCCCCAATCCCGGCGAAGAATAATGTCTGCCCAGACTGTTTGCTAATTTCTGACTTTTCTAGCATCTCGTTATCCATTCGGATGTGCACCATCTCTTGAGATTGATGATAAAGTCTTGCCAGAGTCAACGGCCATTGCAAGATATGTTGCTGGAGAGCTTGGTGAGAGAATTGAACCTTTTGTATATGTTAATGCTTTAGTGGTCAAGAAATTTTTCTTTTTAGCCAATGACAAATGTTTTTGTTGTGTGTAGATGCAAGAGATGGGATATTTTGATGGTTTTATACCCAGAGGTCAAAATACATATCTAAACATAACAAATAAATAACATGTCACATGAAAATTGACTTAGCAATTTTTATTCATTTACTCCATCTTGCATTTTCTGTTTGTTTTTCGATTATAGCGCCACTCTGTTGTACGCAATATTTCTTTACAAGTGTTTACTTCTGGGTTTGTGGGGAAAAGACAGGTGTCTGTTAGATGGAGGGGTTGAGTCAAAACTATACTTTTGTTAGATAATAAACGTCAAGCAAACAATTTTTGAAATTTGATAGTTGCCAGAAGTGACAAAACCTTGAAATGAGAGTCGCCAATGATTATTTATTAATGGGCTAGAGGCAGAATTTTTATCCTGCAAATTTTTTTGGAGGTTTGGCAGGTAAGGACAACTTAGAGAAAGCTTGGTGTGATGCCGTTGTCGGCGTCCTCAAGGATGTCAGAAAGGAATGTCAGCCATTTACCCCATATTACAGAAAAGAAGCAGACGATGCAAAATTTGTAAGTTTTGATAAGCTATTTGAAAATTTTTAGCTTCAACTGAATCTTCTTTGTGCCTTTTAAACCCAAACAGGTATATTCGGTGGCCTAATTTCTCCTGTTTCAACCAAAAGGCAAACACATTGGTGAAAGAGCATCCCGTTTTCCGTGAACAAAAGATAGTATTATTTACAAACATCTACCTAAACTTTCGATGCATCATTTTTAAGTGGCTCATTTCTCTGGATGTTAAGAAGCATCATTCAAACACAGTTAAAAGTCGTGTGTTACTTTAATGTTTTGGCAAAGCTAGTGTTACATTGTGGTTCTTTTGATTTAATCTAAGACATATTCCTGAAGAGTGAGTTACTCACAAAGCAGGCTTGTAGAGATAAATCATGTAGTCTTATTTTCTTCAACTCTATGATATATATATGTATATATATGTATTTACGAAATTGATATGTTTGCGAAATTGTTTTCTTTGAGTTTATATATATATATAATCATAAGGCAAATGCTGACAGGAGGAAAATTCTTTCCACAAGGGTGCTGCCCAATTGTATCGAACTACTCTTGGTCGGTATATATGTTGAAAGAGATGTTACTTATTAAGAACAGTGCAAACTGTTTTTTATGAGCTGCAGAATTATTTACTAGTTTCTCGCCCCCGTCAGAGTTTCAAGCCCTAAGAAGTATCGCTGAAATGCAGAAATACACCTAAGATTATTTCTGAAAAACTTTCCGATAACCAAAACATTTTTGTATTAAAGGAGCAACTCAAAACTGAAGCATTCACAGGGAAAATTGCAAACAAGCTTGCAGCTTTGGAAAACACGTTAAAATCAAATAACAATGGAGCTGGATTCTTGGTTGGAGATCAGGTATGTATTAAAATGATGATTTAATCACCAAATCATGTATAGAGCTGTGGATCTTGCCTTCAAAGACGTCTCAAAATGATCATTTAATGGCAATATCAAATATTTTTTATGTTTCTATGTGAGCATCATCTCCTACAAAGATCCATACTAGCCTCGATGATTTCTCCCGCAAAAAGGTCTATTGCAGTGTACAAAATGAATTTGAAGTTGGCTTTGTAAATAGGACAACATTTTGAAACATACTTAAGCTTTAAGCCTGATGCTCTTCAGAGTTTATAACGTCAGAACATAGGTCGGAAGCCCTACACTAGGAAATATATATACCCGGTTGTTAATCGAAATAGGCCAATCATAAACGCGAGCACATGACAGTTGAAGTTTGCCAATCAGTACCACATTTTTAAATTTTTTACCACAAAAAAGTTGTTAGTAAAATCGTTTAATTTTATGCCTAAAAATTTCTTGCAACTTATACATAACTTGGCTTCCAAGAATTACTTATGGAGTTCAATCCAATTCAATATGTATTTGATATTACAGGTAACATGGGCAGATTTGTCCTTTCTTGACACTGCATGCATCATGCTCGAGATGAAACCAGGATGTCTTGATGCAACACCATTGCTTAAGGCACTGTTTGATCGGCTGAATGCTCTACCAAACATTAAGAAGCACATCGAAACCCGTCCAAAGACCACCATGTAGATGCCTTTCAGGTCAAGACTGAACTGTATCGAAAGATATCGAGGATATATTTCTAATACCCTGTCTTGTTCGTAGGTTAGACTTTTGCTATGATGTCATTATTAGATACCGTAGATCGAAGATGTAATCTCTGCATTTTTATTCTGGCAACTAGTCATAACCAAGTCAAAACTAATCAAGTGTAAATTTCTTAGCTTTGGTGCTTGTTTTTAATATTAATAAGCGTGCGGGAAGGATGGGGTAGGTGTTGTAGCAGAAAATCTGATATTAAAAACTTTGCTCTGGCGAAGGGTTTGCAAGCACATTTTGACATTTTGAAAAGAGTATGACGTCCTATATGCAGTGATCATAACAATGATGTGAAACGACAATAAAACAGCACCTTAAAAAGTGCTGATAAAATTTCGTATTTAGATATTAATCTATCTTTCATAAATTATGCTAGAAAATTCTCTTTCGATTCTCTGCATCTTGCCATGAAAATAACATTGAACAGTTAGCAATCCTACAAAGAACGCAAACCTACGAGGAATAGTATAAGGAGAGGAGGAGGAATTTGAGAGTCTTATTCGAGAGGGGCGCAACAGGTATTTCAAGAATAAGAAGACTGCCGGGAAATAACTAGGCAAAAAATGACTTTGATAAAAACCTTTCAATAAATTTATCCGAAAGTACATATAAGATCTTTCTTGCAAAAACACCATAAGCAAATTGCCTTCCGTTTTAAAATTCTGAGATGATAAAAGGAGGGATCATTAAAGAGGGTGAGCTTAATCGATAAGTTGCGGCAAATACACTGAATCACTGACAAAACGATCACGGTGGCAATATGGGCTGTCATAAGTGGCATATGTACCACAAAATTGTTTGATTACTTTCTCTTGGAAGCCTGAATTCCAAGAATAATAACTGTCGACATTTAGAAAATATTCAAATCGATATAGTAATGCCTCTCCTTATTTCATAAATAACTCAACGGTTAGATTTCCAACTTAAGTTGGATCCAACGTGGCCAAATTTATGATGCTGATCATCAATAATCGACAGCACCTGTATATCTGCGCAACTGTGGGCATTGATGTGCGACACCCTCACCCAAAGCTAATCAATGCTAAGATTGTCCAACGCCGTCTATTGTCTCGTTTTAGTAAGGCCTCTTGCTGAAAATGAAATGCAACTGTGTGTCGTGGCAAATTATTTTTTACCACTAAGATGTATTATGAACCATCTGTACAGTACAAGACGGGTGTCTTGCCGCCACTGTTTAAAATTTTTTCCTCGTGCTCTCAAGGCATCTCTGCTATTATTTCGAGCTTTTTCCCTGTTTTTGCTAACTAAAGACAAACACGATTGAAAAGTTTTCATGATAAACGTAATCTGCTTGCTCTTGCCTGCTTTGACGTTATCAATGGTGCATTTCTATTACCCCGTCTTATTCTTAAAACTAAATACAAACATAACAATTGCCATTGTTTAAATTAAGATTGCCTTTCACAAAAGAAAATGGTTTTGAATGCCTCTTTTTGTTAAGTAACTGTATCTTGTTTCCTACATCCATCGCACATCGACCAGTTCAGTGAAGACAGGTTGCAGACAAGTCTCCTCTGGCATCTCTTTTGCAACATTTTCTACCCTAAGTTCAGGTATGTTATAAGAGTATTTTATTTAGGCATTTAGCATAATGCACTCTTGCAAAGAACAAAACTCTTTGTTTGTAGCCTTACTTTGCTAATGCTAACACGTAAAAAAGTTACCCTAAAAGGGAAGCTGCTTCATCCACATTACTAAGGAGCTAGGTAGAATAAGAAAACTATGAACTATTGCATGTCTCTCGACCTGAAGGTAATGATGTACAAGCTATATTTGATTCTGTTTATAGATGTTCTTACTTTGGATGTTTTAGCGTCATTCTTTTTAACAAGCAGGTCTTTATGCCTCCATACTTACTCATATAAGAACTGTTCGCAGTGAAGTTTATGAGTGATAAGCGCAGTTTCATTCCATATCTTTAGAAGATTTGCTTATGATATATTTTAAGTAGTTTAGGAACCTAGTGTTGGAGGATTAATTTTCAAAGCTTTTTATCTTTCACGTGAATGTATGGTGAAAAAATGTACGTAGGAAGGGTGTAGAGGCTAGCGGATGAAAGTTGCTTAAACTCTGCTCCAAGTTCCTAAATATGGCAAGTACTATCTATAACAAGGCAGAACTGCAGACTAAATAGGGCTTCCAAGGATGACCAGGAATGAAATAGGGCGATGTGATGATTGCAGATGTATCAACGCTCTTACTACCAGCAACTATGGACACATTCTATAACGCTCATCTTTCACTTATTGAGGGCCTTTAAACATCTCTCATTAGGCATGTTCTCGATATGAATAAAAAATAGTTTGACCAAGCCCTTATTTTTTAAAAAAGCTTTTGTTTTATCGTTTCTTTCGCTTTTCTTCTGCTGAGTCACTGTGTGGCTTCGAAGTGGCCCTTTTTGCTCCGCAGCCTCAAATCAAAACCGGTATCACGGCGTTTTTGACTAAACTTTTTGGGTTGGGGTGGCGTAAACCTAAGAACGCCTCAATACACAGATGGGTACTATTAGTAAGGGGCACAAAATAGTGCCTCGAAGGTGGCATCGAGTGCAACAAGAATCTGTCGTTGTGAAACACCGAGCTGCGCGAAAGGTAGATTGAGAAGTCTTCTTTAGCGTTACATGTATTGTCAATTGCTGTTAATGCCCTCCTCTCTAATGGTTACAGCTTTAAACTATTGAAATTTTTAAAAGCTGATAACAGGATAATAAGAACAACCAACTTTTACAAATGGGCATGTACAGAAAGAATTCCTTTTACATGTATAGGCGGGTGGTCATATTCCCCGTAAAAGTTTGAATTTTTAGGCCGCTATGATAGCTTGTGCAGCCTCTTGGGAACCTGATAACAAGACAGTTTAGACGATTTCAACCGACAGTACACTGAACAAGACCAACCTGGTCATGTTCGGTGCTCCAAAATCTGTTTCTCTCTTCCCCTCCCTGACATTTTTGCGATGTTAGAGATTATAAGAATATCCTTTCATGCCATAGGAATATCACTCCTTACCCCTATCCCAACACTTCTGATCATTGGTCGATGAACCATAAGTATTGCGCTATAAAAATCCGTATGAGGTATGGGTTACGGAGCTACGGAGCTAAGAATACTGTAGGGGCACCATTGAGGGGGCAGCTTGGGGGCAATAACAGATAATCTATAGAATAAATACAATTTAATTGAGTGCTGATAGGGGCTAGTTCAGGGGTGTGGCTTCTAGAAGTTGCCTACAGCACGGCCCTCTCCAACCATTTTAAGAAAGCACCTCTGATTAGGAACCTGTGCTTATGGCCATTATGCTTCAATCGACTTGCCAGGGGCCGGATGCACTTGCAGCATACACCTATCAGCATGACGATGCTTTTTTTATTTACTAACATCTGTGGTCAAGATTTTGAATAAAAAAGATCGTCTTCTTCAGTTTCTACGGTCAAACACGGGGTACGAGGTTCTGTATAACTTATTTTTACTTATCCCTCAAAGGAGCCGATTCAGATCGCCAGAATTCAGAACAAATAGATCAAAGCTACGGATGTTTTGCATAACTTCAATAGATCTAAAGGCGGCTTAAATTTAAATTGAACACTGTATTATTAACTTTAAAGTACAATATTTTCTCGTGCAAACAAAACTTAGTTCTCGAAGCTTCTATATGAACTTCAGTAACCATAATTAGTCAAACATGGTAAATGTTTTTAGATCTATAAGAATATTGTTTTTGAAGATTTTTTTTCTATATTTTTCTATTTTGTTGATTATTGCGCTATCGTGCGTTTTATTTCCAAAAACTCTGTTCTTAGTGGTTTATTTAATCCATCTGGATGTCTAAATTGAAAGGGCATATCTTATTTTGTGTTATTACTTTTGTTACAAGCAGTCTACTGTGGCTTAAAAAGAGAAATTTTGTCATGTACAAGGAGTTCCTATCAACTGATAAGTTGCAAGCTGCTCATGATAAATTCCGATCTCAATAATTTACAAAAATTAGTTTGCTAACCGAGAGAGAATCTAGGCTTCTAAAAGCACGTTTCTAATTTGCCTTCTTTAATGTTGGGAAAGTATGCTAGATTTTCTGCTTATCGGAAATCTTTCTTGCAGCAAGACCCCTCCAGGGGGTGGCTGAGCTCAATTTTAAAAAATTCCTTTTGGGGATTCGAGTCCCACGAAGTCATGCGCCTGTGTTAAGACATGCTACGAGCATTAAATGATCTTTGTCAATTTTATGATATTGACCAATTAATTAGAAAAATGATAGAAAAATGTCTTTAAAACCAGATGAAATTCATTTCATGTTTGCTGGTCACTCAATCTTTGGCATGCAATAGCTTTCTTGCATAATGAATAGCTTTCTTCCTACTTTTTTGCTTAATTCATATAAACATGAAAAATTTTTTTGCGGTACAGAATTTGAAAATGGCTTTGAAAAAAGCAAACATTTTACGACATACTAAAATGTATCGATCATGCAGTGAATTTCCTCAGTTTTGAAATTAGGATCATGTCTTCAAAACTAGAAAACATCGTTTCATCCTTTGATTTATTTTATGTTTGCTGGTTATTCGATTTTTTGGCAGCCAATCTTATCTACTATTGCAGATAATCCCAGAACTCCAAAATGCCTCAGTACAAATTGCGTTACTTCAATGTCAGAGGAGTGGCAGAGCTGACTCGGTTGATCTTTGCACAAGCAGGAGTGGAATACACTGATCACAGAATTGAGATGAACGAATGGGCGGAAGAGAAGAAGAACTGTAAGTTTTCATTATTTTGATGTTATATTTATTTTCCTTTAACCAGCAATGGGTTTTTTTCAAATCATTAATTAATTTTATCTTTAAATTACATAAAGGCCAATTGTCCAAAACCAACTTTCCTCACACATGTACATCCCCGCACATTTGCATTAAATACCAATGGCGCTCAATTCACAAAAATTATATTGATATTGCCTCCTATTGAGAGTGAGGCCCTTTTACTTTTTAATTTTACCTATAACCTATTACTCAAGTTTACTTTGTAACACGAGGCCCTAAAAACCGCGGGGCCCTAGGCCATGGCCTAATTGACCTTTTGGTAAATCCGGCCCTGTGTACCAGCCCTTTACATGCAATATTGATACCTCCCCTGTTTAAGGATCTATTGAGTAAGGTGTAAAACGCTCTGTCACTGTTACTCACACAGCTGTCCTGTATCCATTGGGAGTGATACCCACACTAGAAGTCGATGGCAAGATTCTCCCGGAGGCAATTCCACTGGCAAGATACGTCGCTGTAGAATTCGGTGTGTTATTCTTATTTCAGTACTATTCGATTGCTTGATTTGAAGAATTATTTAATTTGAAATATAACTGTGATAAGATATGTTGAATGAAAGCTTAAAAATTTGCTTTATTTTAGTGATCAAACAGTGTCCAGGGCTACAGAGAAGTCCCAGAGAGTGACTCAAATTTTTACATGCGGCGAGGTCCATCCGTAGTTATCAAAATTCACCTAAAAGTATCAAAAAAAATTTAGCAGACCCATGATTATCAGCCAAAAAGTATTGAAATTACTGTATTGTATTGAAAAAGTATTGAAAAACCCAAAAGTATCAAAATTGATATGACATATTGTTGTTTTGCAAGTCACAGAAATTTAGCGGGTTTCCTATAATAATCAGTTTGAACACATCTGCTCTTTTATTCCAGTTTTTGATATTGTTATGTGTTAGTTGAACCCATAAGTATCAAGTTAAATCAAGTACCCAAAAGTACCAGATCATAGCGAAAGTTCTTACCCATAATTATTAGATGGACTCACATGTATATAAAAAGTTCAAGTGGCCCTGAAGAGTAAGAAGACCTTGGGGAAAGTTTAAGATTTAGGTCTTGGTAAGTGTGAGGCCCGGTGGGACGTTTAAGAGACAGGCCCTTGAGAAAATTGTAAGAGAGAGGACTTGAATGAAATTTAACAGTGAAGCCGCGGGTAATGTTTAAGAGCCCTTTGGCCCTGAAAATTGTGATTAAATACCCCAATCACGGTCTTTAGGTTGAGTGAAGCTCTGGGAAAAGGTGAGGCCCTGGTGAGATAATTTGTAAAGCATAATTTGTAAGAGTAGGGGCTTGGAGAAAGATTTAGAGTAAGTCCTTGGAGAAGGTTTAAAAATGAGGCTCTTAGAAAATGGTGCGGCCCCAAGGGCCTGGCAGTTAAGAAATACTTCAATTACACTCTTCAGGCTTAGTGAAATACACCTAGCAAATATCCTAGCAGCTCTCGGAGACCTTTGTTTCCAGTTTGTTACTATGTTTTGATGCACATTAAGAATTTAAGGGTTTTCAGGATGTTCATATATCGATGTAGTCTTCGTTTTACGTGTTATTTTACCATGAAAAGTAAGGCCTCTTAGAGGCATAAAGAATACAGAAGAGCATTTTAGAGAAAATAAATGATACTGTAGAAAAAGTGAAAATATTTTGCTTGTTATACATAGCAACGTTGATATTTCTTTCTGCTTTCAAAATTTAATTATACTAGTAAGTTTTGAGTTTTAACCAATGTTCCAGGGCTCGAGGCGAGAGTTTTTGTATGTTAAGCTATAACTTGCACGATAAACTTTTAGGTTTAAGAAATTCATTTGAACATTTTCATTTGGAAACGAATTCTGATCAATCACATTTCATTGTATGTCAGCTTTGGTCGAAGAAAAGACCTATTCAAAAGTATTAATTGTGAAACCTAAAAGTGTGACAAACTCAAATTACTTTTAGGAAGATAAGGAACAACTGGTATTCAGATTTGCCGGTATTATTGAAGAGATGCCGGTATCCTGATAACTAGAAAGAGTTTTGACATATTTTTTAAGGCACCCTAGACTTCGAAGCTGCATTTTACTTTATGATAAATGCATCGTTTCTCTTATGCTCTACTTTTAATGTTTTAGGCCTTGCTGGAAAGGACAACTGGCAAAGAGGTTGGTGTGACGTCATTGTCGATGTACTGAAGGAGCTGAGGGGTGATTTTAAGCCTTTCATCCCTTTCTATAGAACGGAAAAGGATGACGCTAAGTTTGTAAGTAGTTCGGTTTCCCCTTTTTACAAACTGTCGTACTCAAGTTTCAATGCTGATTTCCCTTTTCTGTATTTTTATCATTATTATCATTATTATTATTCCAACATTGCCATCCGTACTACGTACTACATATTTTGTTGCAAAAATAAGCCATGGACAAATCCGGAATTACATCCTTTTTAACTTTAGTTGTTTTACTTTTTTCTCAGTTTTTCCTTTTACCTTTTATCTCAGTTTTACGATTGTTATAGTATTTTCTTGTAAAACCAGGCTAGCCAATTGCAAATTACCTTGTAATAGTGAGATTTGTAATTGTAGTTTAAGTTGAATTGAAAATGGAATGTTTCCTTTATTATTATTATTATAATTATTATTATTATTATTATTATTAATGTTAATGTTATCATTATTATTCATTATTAACATATAATCCTATAGGAGGAGCAAAAAGCACAAACATTTGCGGATCAAGTTCCAAAAAAGCTTGCAATTTTGGAAAGATTTTTAAAATCAAACAACGAAGGAAAAGGATTTTTCATAGGCGAAGGGGTGCGTATAAAACTGATGTACCAAAATATTTTTCAATCCATATTCCTCAATACCTTATTCTGAAAGTATCTCCTATGCATAGACATTTATTTCTTTATCTGCTATTAGATATGGCAAAGTTTGCCATGAACCTATTTTGTTCTCTGAGAATCAGAGTCTCTTTAGAAATGTCTTTTAGACCGTTGACTGTAAATGTTTTGACTCGATCTTCAAAAGGGTAACTTCAAAATTAAATGATGGACATTTGTAGTTTTCTCTAAGCATGTAAGTAGATGCGCGGTGACACGCGGAAGAACAGTTAACGGTATATACAATCCTTTTGATGATTTTTTCATTGTAGCTAACGTGGGCTGACTTGTATTATATTGACAACGCCGGGATCCTACTAGAATTAAAGCCTGGGTGTCTTGATGGAACACCTTTGCTCAAGGCCTTATTTGATCGAGTGCATGATCTTCCCAACATCAAGAAGCATGTTGAAACACGTCCAAAGACCTTCATGTAACTTTCATGATTTAATTTAACTGTCAAGATATTTGTCAAAGGTGGAATGTATATACGTTTCTAGCTTTTAAATTGTTGTTTGCTCTTGTATTAAAGACTCTTCTGCCATTTTTATGTTAAATATTTTGCAAACGAAAAGAAGAGAACTCAAATAATTTCGAACTAGTATTCAGCTAGATGTTAAAACATCTGCCTGTGGTGAACTCAACTCACATATCGTGAACCTGGAATCTGAGAGAGCTTGGCCATTAGTCGTGATTTCTGGCATAGTCCTCATGACAGCACTGAAAAGAAAGGATCCTATGGGTCCTAGGGTCTGGTTTTCCAGGATACCGAAGAAAATACCTATTGTCTGCAGTGTCTATCATATTCAGGTCACATTTGCATCACACATTTGATGTGATCACAGAATGTGATCGTGTAAACGACCTTACAAGTTGCTTGAAGTTGTACGAAGCAGCAAGAATTATTCCATTTTGATTGCCTGTTGATTCGATGTCACAGATTTTTCATTTGACCAGCGATCAAATGGAAATGTCTGTGATGCAATTTTTTCAAAGGCACCGACAAGTCTTTGCTGTCCTGGGTAGATCGGGAACTGTTTGACGCGCATTTTATCAGTGATCTGCCTTTATTCAGTTTCATTTGTTGTCAATGGAAATCGAGAGCGAGGAAGATAAGAGAGACGCCCCTGAGGCAACATTCATTTTGGCGCCCCTGAGGCAACATTCATTTTGGCGCCCCTGATATTTGATCAGCAGGGGGACAATTGCCCCCTTGTCCCCCTGCGAGCACGCAACTGCAAAGATACACCAGTAAAATTTTCTTTCAGTTTGGGGGAATAGTGTAGTGGAATTAGATATAAAAACGGTGTAACCCGGATAAAAATAATATAAAGCTGTAATTTGGCACAGATGTTCTATACTAAGTTGGAAATTACCAGAAAAAAAGCCCCATCAATTGGACATTGGGAATTCTTTATTTGGGCAAATCCCATATGGCGCACTGATCAGCAGGGGCTCAAAATTTTAATGATGCTAAAACCACATAGAATGTACATCTTTTGAAAGATAATTTCATGCTGAATAACTTTTATTTAACATACGCACCCTTAGAATATGCAAATTTAGTGGTGATTGGACAGAAAAAAGTGGAACGAGTGAATATTGAAAAGCGCGCGGAAAAAATGGCTGATCCTCTTGCTGAATATTTTCATTTTATATCGCAAATTCTATCGATGCAAAATCATTTAATGTGTGAATAAGATTAAGTATGATAATACCCATTCAGCCCGGGCTGACTTAAACCGGGCCCACTCAGCCCAGGCTGACTCAGCCCGGGCTGACTCAACCCGGGCCCACTCAGCCTGGGCTGATTCAAGCCAGGCCCACTCAGCCCGGTGTGACTCTAGTGAATTTTTTTACTGCAGCAGCAAATTCCGGTCAAATCTAAAGAAATATCTAAATATTCAAAACAAAGTAACTCGCGACCAAACGGTCCAAACAACATGATTTTTTCATTATAAACTTATTTAAAGATGAAGATTTCAATTCTGATAGTTTTTCAACTTTTTTCGTTAACATCCTCCGTCTTAGTAATTTTTGTTACTAAGACGTAAACAACACTGCCAAATTCAGTGCAAATTTAAAGTTGCTGCACAAGACTACAGCTTGATGCTGGGCCAGTAATATTCCCTTTATGCCCTTCTTTACCAGAAAAAGAGATAACTTCCAAATTACGTATAATCCCAAAAATTGCAAACTTTTCTATTGAGAAGTGCGCACATGAAAAAGAGGGTGTTTTGAGAGTACCTAGGACCCAAAACCCGGAAAATAGTTATGAAAAACGGAAAACCAGGACTTGGAAATTAGAAAATCCTGAGACAAATATACACTCCCCTCACGAAAGTATCCGGACAGTTTCGAATTCAGTTGCGAATCTGTTGTTAGATAAATTTGTTTACAAATTTCAAAGTCAGTTTTCATGGAAATGTTTTTATCAATTTCCTCGAATTTTTTCTTAAAGTTGTTTTGGCCTTTGATTTATTTATTTGTCGAAAAAAAGTAATCTTATCGATATGTAAGCAAACTCTGTGAGGATTTTTCCTCAAGATGGTAGCGACCGAAACAAAATAATTGACTTCTGTGCAGCGTCTAGAAATAATGTTTTATCACAATGATGGTAAAAAGCTATCATTAAATTGCTAATATCATTGAATGCCCAAAGACTGCCGCTTTCGAGATATGCAAAAAGATTTGAAAAACAAGAAGTCGAAAAAATCTAAAAAATTGTTCACGGTCAAAATGAGCAAGAGCTCTCGCGACACCAACGTCTGAGCGTTCCGCCCTAACAAAATTTGCATCAAAACTGATTTGCATCATTAGGCAAAATTGCAAAAAATGTTTATAAACAATAAAACTTTTAAAAGCTGTCGATAAATATTGCAAGGAACATGATAAAGAATTGTGAATGTACCCTCGTACCGACCGATTTCAGCAAGACTTGCAGCGGAAAAGAAATAATATGGCTTTATGGCCCTGGACTGAGTGATATGTCTGCTTTCAAAGAAGTTTTTGATCTAGTAAAATGTTACCAAATGTCATCCATGTTTTATAATCGATCGGTGGCAGCTCCATGCAAACATTTTTCCCAACTGAAAGTAAACATGCTGTATTTCTCTTTATTCAACAATATTTGTGTCTCAAGAACCAGTTTGTAAAAAATTACCAGGTTTTTTTGCCCATTTTAACTGAGTCCAAGTCACCTGACTTTGCTGTTCTCCGCTTATTTGACATCAGTTGATTTGCGTAAGGCTTGTAGCGCAAAGGCTCCTCATTTTAACAAAAAATGATAATAGATAAAAAGCGCAAAAGTTCTGCAGCATTTTGATGTTCTGGATTATTTTGGAAGGGTTTCTCAAAAAATTACAATCGCCAAGTTAAAAAGTCGTTTTCGCCAGCCTAATTTTGTTTTTGTCTGAAAGCGCAATCGATCTTTGTCTGAACTGTCCGGGTACTTTTGTGAGGGGAGTGTATATGTACTTCAACGTGGTTCACCTTTTCCCGTGTTCTGCATTAAAAGACCTTCGTACCCACAGTTATTACCAGCAAGAATATTTGTCTGCAAGGCACAGGGTAGATCCTTGCATTTTTTCTCCAAATGAAGATGTCATCAGTATTTGCGGAAGAACAGAATTTTAGGGAAATTTATCGTAGATTGTAGATTGCGGAAATCTGGCAATTTCTCAACGGAACGAGAGAATTCTACACACTTGCCGGACGCAGATTTTCTCAAAATAATTCACGGATTGCAGAAATTTCGAAATATTTAGCGGGAGTCTTAACCTGCTCCTTGTTGGATAGGATTACATCATCGCATTTTTTGATCTTGTTAATTGTAAATTGTTCATAAATAAACTTATATACATTCAGAGGTGGCGCCAGAAATCTTCCAACAGAGGGGTTGGAGCATCCAACAGGAGGGCTAAATTGACTATAATATGCAGTTTTCGTACATTATTTTGTCAAATTTGCTCCGGCAATAGCATAAAATTTTCTTCCAATGGAGGGACTGTAGTGCCCTAGCCCTCCCCTGGCGCCACCATTGTATACATTCTATTGCCCAGTTGCCCCCTATCTGCTATTTTTTACCAGAAAGTACTTATTTCCACATTTTAAGGGCGTGTATGTTGAATGAAAGTTGTTCAGCATGAAACTGTCTTTCATAATATGTACATATAATGTGGTTTCAGCGACATCAAAATTTGAACCCCTGCTGATCAGTGCGCCATATGGGATTTGCCTAAATAAGGAATTCCAAATGTCCAATTGATGGGGCTTTTTTCTGGTTATTCCCAGTATCGAATGGTACCTATGTGCCAAATTACAGCTTTTTATTATTTTTGTCCGGGTAAAATCGTAATTCCACCACACTAGAAGGAGTGGGAAAAATATGAAGAATAAAACTTCAGTAGACAAGAGTTACTATAGCAACTTGCCTGGAAGCAAACACGAGGTCCTCCCCGGAACGAGGTCTGTAACAGGTTCAGTGGAAGATTTTAGATAATGGCGGTCGGTATTGTTGTTTATGGTTGGTTTTCTGTCTCCATGGTTTGAAACTCGCTTTCAAAGATGTCGTTATTTCAAGCTCGAGATTGGTGGTCAACCTATGCAGGGAATGATGAGGAATTTGACGCCGGGAACCTTTGCATTTCCAACATTGACAATAGTGTCCAAGCTTACGGTATGCATACACTTTTATTCTGATGCTGCTGATTTGACCAGACAAGTTAAACAAACAGGTCGCTGGCGTCTGCAATATTTGTAAGATCTATTGCATAGCATAGAAGGAAGTGGATTCATGTGAATGTATTTTTCTGTATGAAAAAACTCACTTAAGCAAAACAAAAACTGTGCACCATAATATAATATGAAAAAGTCGATTTTTCCGTGTGATGGCTGTGTTGAAATTTGGATTCATTCAGATTTATAATTCAATATTTTCAAGACATATCATTGTTTATGCGAATCGAAGAGATACATTTTTTCAAATTTGGTTAATCATCCCAGTCATTTGTTCAAGCTTTTAAATATGCGGCGTTCTTCTTTATATAGCATTTAAATATATTACCTGTATTCATAATGGAAAAATATGTCTGTTGCAAAGTAGGCTCGCAGCAGATATATCAAGAATGAAAACCATTTGTTTGGTTATTTGATTCACCATGCTTGCTACTGGATGTTGTACCAAAGGATTTCTGTTTGAACAACTAGGCTTGAATTGCAATTATGAATGATCACATTATTTTTTAGTTTTATACATATACAAGTTAGCCATATATCCACTGAATAACTTTGATGCAAAGTTGGAGATCTCTGTATAGATTTGCATATTTTTGAATTTTAAAGTGCATCAAAAAAAGCAAATTTTGATGTGTATCAAGGAAACTTCTGCTCCATGTTTGTGAATTTGATCAAGCTAGGAGGAATATGATTGGATTTTAAGGCAGTGAATATGCATTATCAAGTTTTTTTAAGTTGATAATAGAACAATATCACCATCAACAAAATATGAAAAGAAGAATGTTTACTAGAAAGAATTGGAGGTGTGCCTAGTAGTGAACATTGTTAATTCTCAACTCAGCTCATCAATTGACAAGCTATCCAAAACTCCACCCATTGTCAGAAGTGAATGTTTTCACAGATAAGATCCCAAAGAAAACTTATATTACCCCTTTTCAGTTCATTAAATCATTACATGTTCTTTCTTGTTTCTCATTTGAATTACAATGATTGCTAATGACAAAATACAGAGAGCATATGTTTTCAATGTTTTTTGTATGTGTAAAAATAGATGTGGACTGAATAGATTTAAACTCTGTGATCACTAAAAAAGGAAAACAAATTATTGAAACTGCATAATGAAGCTTAATATAGCAGGTGTATTTCACAAAACACAAGCTTGAACTTCACTTTTGAACTTTTTAACTATTTTATATCAATCAACTTAATGAAACTATATACATTTAAAAAGGGTTTGAAAAATGCAAACATTTAAAATATACTTAAACCTTTTTAGTTTACCTCTCCTTACTCAGAGTATAAGAAGTCAGAATCAGGGTTGAAATGATAAAGATTGAAAATATATACCCAGTTGTTGATTGAAATACAGCACATATCTGGTATAGATACCCAACTAGTACCACATGCCTATAAAAACACCCCTTGAGTCTTAGGTTGAAAATAAACTCCTTCTGTCTACAAAACAGGGACACTGTGATTTGTTTGTAGATAGTTTTGATGTAATGCATGAACTGAAAACCAGGCTTTAGGTTCAGAGAGCTGGCCTCTCTCTTCACTCTTTAGTGAATGTTTGATGATGAGAAGGACTTGGTCATAGATCTGTGGCCTTAAAAATTGAGTCTGCAGCCCTTTCTCACACCTTAACTTACTCCACGTAGTAAGTTGATAAAGGAGTTGCTTCAGTTAGTGTCATCATTTTGTCATCAATTTTACAGTAAAGAGTATCTGCTTAAAAAATCCAATTAATACAAAATTATGAGGCAAATCATGTGATGTGTTTTTTACAAAATGTAAAAGAAATTGATTTTCAAAATGATACTGTGAAATTTTTGCTGCCTGCTTGAGACACATTTTTCTATTAGTAAGAATTTTGCAGTCTTTCTAGACGATTACAGATGAGGAAAAGCAAAAACTTTTCCTTATCTGTTATGTCACATATGCAACATTGGTTATGTCAAGGTTATTCATGCTGAGAAAGCCAGACTCTGGTTGATGATATTTGTAAATTTTCTAAACCATGATACCATGTAACAGATTACATTTGCCCTGAAAAATTTCTACTTCTGAATACTTTGCATTCTCTATTTCCTTTTATTTGTTTAAAAATTTCAAGTTTGTCGAAATTTGCCAACATTTAAAAGTTTCTCTTATTGACTAATTACAATAAAACATTCGCTCATAGATAAAATCATTGTTGGAAGTTTTCATGGGGTCCTGAGAATTTACTTTCCAAGATCAAATGGCTTTAAGCCAGAAGATCTCATGGTGGAAACACAAATGCAACAGCCAATTCTACAAGTTGCTGCAGGAAAATTTTTGTCGTAAGTTCTTTATATCTACCTGCTCTTAGAGAAAAGTTTTCTTTTTTAAAGGGAATTCATTTCTGTATGTATATAATAATTTATTGGAAGAATCTATACATTCTACTCTTGATAAGTGGAACCTCCAGGAAACCGAAAAAAGTTCAATTTCATCAAACGTCTTCCTTGTCTGATTTCTCTGGAGAACAGGGCATTTACAAGTAGAGAAAAACATAGGGGGAAAGGAACAAAAGAAAAGGCTTTATAAGAGTTTATGTTCCATATGATGATTATTTTTAAAGCAATGTAGTTATGCAAAATAATCTTTTATACACGCTTGTTTTAGAGTTTGTGAAAGTTTGACACAAATTTGTTTTAGAGATTTCCCTCAACTGCTTCAAATATTTCAGCTTTCTTTTTTACTCAGTGTGAAACAGTATTTCAAGCAACACCATATTTCTTTGCTGTAGCTATACAGCTTTGGCCTGCATCAATTTCTTTTAAAGCCTTGTATTTGTTGACTATAGTTAAACAGGCAAGCCTTTATTTCGAAGACTGCACAGCTGCCATTTTTTAAATGTGACTGCTGATATCTTTTTTTTGTTTTCATTACTTGATAGCAATCTAATGTTTGCAAGAATATTTGTATACTCATAAAGAATATATTGATTAAATTGACACATTAATTTAATCATGATTCAAACGTATTTAAGATGATTTTTTTAAAAGTTCCACTTATGTGAATAACTATTGCTCATGGGACCAAAAAATGGTTCCACTTATCAAAAGTTCTACTTATCGAGGGTTCCACCTGTCCAAATAAAATAAGAGAGGTTTTTCAATGCAAATCCAAGGAACCAGAAAAATTGGTGCCACTAAACGAAGTTCCACTTACCCAGGGTTCCACTTATCGAGAGCAGACTGTATATATCTAGGCTCTGGGTAGAAAATGTAAATGATTCTTACACATTGATCAAATGATTGATCACAGAAACTGAAAACACACTTTGTGCCTATATGTTTTATCGAATGTATGAAATTTTATTTGATAGAAACAATACAAGTTTTCATAATGTTTTGACACATCAATTTAATTATGTCCATTGTCAGCTCTAGAGAAGGCTCTGAAATGTTCTCTCTTAACCTGGATTAGTTTAGAAAATTGGTTTTGATTAATTTATCTAATCTTTATAACCTGGTTTAGTAAGTACTTGTAGTTTCACATTAGTTATACAAAGGGAAATAGAGGTTTTGCACCAAAAGGAACTGTTCTGATTGCAACGGGCCTTTTTAAAATAAGATTATTTTAAAAATTCTTTTGTTATGATTGTAAAAATATCCCTGGCCCCCGCACTTTCCAACCTGCGTCGGTGTCCATGTGCAATCTTTTATTCTCTTTTTAGTGGGTCAGAGAATCTTTATCTAGCTTTGTTGCACCCACGGAAGCTTGCAGTCTATTCTGTGACAGGTGATGAGTTTTTTGTTTTCAATACCTGCTCCTATTCATTGTTTGGTAAAGTTTACATTTTGTAAATTAGAACTTCAAGAGAACTTCAAGCCAAAGTTTTACTTTCATCTACTTTCTGCAGCATGACTGCAAAAGCTATTATTGAATAATTGCATTTTTCATAGAATCTGCTGTAACATCTACCAGTTTAGCACATTGATGAGCAGTTTAGATCTTTTGGCAAGTCCAATTTGATGCAAATGTCTAGGACTGAGACAAAAATGTCTTTTATTGTAATTTTTCTAGAGATGTCTTTGTCTTTGATTGTTATATCACAAGCACTGATGAAAAAATCATTATATCATGCCAAGGGTTAATTAAATATTGAATCATACATCAGCCTTGTAAGTGTTTTTTTGTTATGTATCATTTCCCCATGGAAATAAAGGAGGTATTTTTGCATGAATTTAAGTAAGACAAATAAAAAATATTTTTGACTTGTATACGGAAACAAAACCAAAATTATTGGGAGGAAGTGTAACGCCAATGAACGATTTTTATTAATTCATGTTAACAGCTGTCACTGGCTCTGTGGAACATGGAAGCTATTACTCTGTAAAGCTGGCATATGAACATATTTTGGAAAGAACTTCCCATAGCATGACCCACGGTCCTTTTGGTGGAGTTAAAGGTGTGTAATTCATCTTGTAGAGTTCTCTGTCAAGAGCAATATTTTGTAATATTGAAATAATCGTTAAGTGTTCGACTTTTTTCTAAGTGATACGAAAGTGGCTGTGCTTGTATATAATTATGATTTCAATGGATTCGAGAATGAAGTAACAGCACTGAGCGTTGTGTTTTGAGAGATGAACAAATTATGAAAAACTTCCATTCTCATTCATACACATTTCAATATACCCATTTATATTTCAGAGATAATAACATTTTATATTGAAATACATTGGCCACCTCTTGAACTGATTTAGTTACAAAGTTTTGTTCGTTATATGATATCAAGATTAAGATTAGAACGGAGAACTCGTAGTTCTTAGGGCCATAGATTTTCATTATCATATCTTGAGTTTTGTTGTTAATAATGAGAGAGTGAGTAAACTGCAACTCATTACCCTGCAACTATTTAGTAAAGGTGAACCATGACAGTCGTTAACATATTCAGTACACTCTTTATGGTTGGTTCGTACTGAAGTGTTTTTCATAGCTAGGGTTGCCATACCCTTCTCTGCACTTAATGCCAGATGACCCCTGACGCTCGAAATTTATTGTCTTTATCAAGCGAATTTTTTTTCTAGGAAAAGATTTTATTTGTGTCCAGTCAATGGATGGTGTCCTGTCATTCTTTGAGCAAGAGACGTTTACTTTCAGCCGGTTTTTGCCTAACTTCCTTCTTCCTGGTCCCGTTGCCTACATTCCAACAACCGATTCATTTGTCATCTGTTCCTCATCCAGAAATGTAGAATGTTACAAGTAAGTGCCATACATGTTATTTATAATTTCCTTTTGTTTCGCTTTTATAATTTCCTAGAATTATTTCGCTTTTTCCAAATATCCAAATTATTTTTTCGCGAATATCCAAATATCCATTTGTATGTTAGTGGACGTGATTATTACTAATCTATAAAAAGTGAAACGGCATTTAATCAATAAGGTAGAGAGAAAAAAGTTGTTATACTAAGAAATTATAGATTTCCACAGAAATATTGGGCTTTGGGTAGAAAAGGAGCTAGTCCAGAACCTATAATAATCAACATTTTGAGCCTTTATTTTATCATTCTAATCAATCTATTTTCTCTATAAACATATTCACATACAGGTTGTATCTAGTATTATTATAAGAGTAAACTTTTTCGAATAGCTAGTTGGCTATTAGAGTGAGGGTATTTTAATTTGATTATTTCCTTTACCAGATATCAAACGTTGGCTGTCTCATCTGACAAACTGACACCAAAGTCTTTATCTGGAAAGAAAGTTGCTGTGAGTGATTATTAATGTACTCATTTGTATTGGGTTATGTTTTAAATGAAGGTTATTGGTGCATTGATCTCTAAATGGTAGTCATTAACTCAATTGCGCCACAATCTCAAATTCTGTCGTAGCATTTTAGCAATGTCAATATCATGTAATGGCCTATAGCTTCATTTCTTATTGCTAAATTGCAAACAAAATTGTTATTGATTGCAAATTATTTTGATTGCTGTCCAATCAAAGGTTTCTTACTTCTTTGTTACTCTTCAATCTAAAATACCAATAATTTTACATCGTGGTATTTTTATAGAAGGCACTCGCACCTCGAATCCTTTCTTGTAATCTAATGTATCGTCTAAAAGGGTCCTTTCATGAAGAAATTTCTTTTTATACATATTCCTATATTTTTATTCATATGAAAGAAAATAAAGTTTAGTTGCATGTAATTCGAATTCTAAAATGATAACGAAGTCCATTTGAATTTGCTTGCAGCTGAAAAATTAGCATTGCTGCAGTTTTCAAATTTCAAGAGCTTTAATACTTTTTTATTTAGCCGGATTGGAGCACTAATATTGGAGAGAATGCGATAAGTATCAAATTTGTCGCTTTCACTGGATGCACTCCTTCAGTAATGGTACTCGGTATGCTCTTTAAATTGTTAAAACTTGCAATCTCAAGTTGTTAAAAACTAAGAATTTTATCAGATTTAAGAAGGGACTGAATGTAAATCGCTCTTTAAGTGAGCCACGTAAGTTTTCAGGGCATCCAAAAGCAAATTCAGGGCATCCAAAAGCAAAAGCTATTACCAAAAGCAATAGCAGTAACTAACTCCGCAAAATTATCACTCACTTTGATAAAATTATATCTTTATCTTTAGGAGCCTGAAAAGGCATTGTGTTAAAACCTCGAGAAAACCTAGAATAATTTCTACAAGGTATCAATCTAAAGGAAAACGATCAAATAGTCTTCCATGGTAAATAGTATTTCAACGTAATGCCCCGGCCAATTGTTACACCAATATTGTTTTTAAAAGGTATCTGGCTTTTGAAACTCATGGAGTCTATTCATCACATTGAAATCGTTTTCTTCTTCAGGCGAAAGATCGCTTTTCTCATTGCTTGAGAATGGAACTGTTCACTTTATAAAGAAGTTCGAATTTAACCCATCTTGCTTCTTACCATACGGGACTTGTAAGTAACACAAAATCCATTTTTTGACTATCTTGCCTTTAGTACACAATTTAAAAAACTCGAACCTAGTTCTTTAAGCACCATTTAAATAAAAATAAAAACATGATGCAGGTTGTCTGCATCCAACTATTTTGAGGATTGAAATCTTGGGATCGTAAATTCAAGTAGTAGTTGATTCTGTTATAATATTCTTAAAGTGTCTTGTCTACTTTATATTGTAATTCTCTATTCCGGTATCTTGCCAGTTTATAAAAGTTTGTTATAACCAGGGCTGTAGAAGAGGGGTCTCAGTCCCCCTTCTACTTTTCGAAGGGGGGCTGCACCCCTCCTCCTTTTCTGAAAAAATTCTAAAATATCATGGCTAATTTCCGCCCGGATCAAATCCTTGATTGAACCGACATTACTATTTGACATTTGCACTCATATGTGACCTCAATTGTCCCCTCATAACTGAAAACTCAATAAATGCTGGCAAAATTTTACTTCAAATTCTTTTATTTGAAAGATTTTCTACCCAAGTAAACATCGGAAGATGATTGAACTCTAGTAAAATGAAAAGGTAAAGAAATTGATATCGAGGAGCCATGCAAAGGAAAATTGAAACATTCATATTGTATAGAATATAGAGTAAGCTATATGGTCCCCACTACATTTTTTATTCTTTACTTGTTCTAACATCGAATATAGCTTTTCTATATGTCTAACTAAACAGTTAGGGAAGGCAAGCTGAACACTATGATTGGCACTCACACAAATTCCCTGCTGATTTACGAAGATGTATCTTTGGTATGGGCTGCCCAGCTTCCACATGTGCCAGTAAAAATCGAGGTCGCAAACTTCCAGTAAGTTCACTCTTTGTTTTATGATATTTTGTCTTTGTATAAAATGCCTCTATTAATTTTTATGGCATTAAATTGTGAATGATTTTCTGAGCATTACCCTGAGAGGAGTCGAGTCATATGTCAGCTGACTAGGGAGAATTATAATAGATCTAATTCATGTTTCGATTTTCAAGAAACAGATAATGAATCGTTGTCAATCTTAACATTACATGCAAGACTGAAAATCACATAGGTATTTTACTAGGCAAAATTATAAGTCATTGAGAATGAAATTTGAGAAATAAATATCTCTTTTTGTAGAAGTTACAGACAAGAATGGCCCTCCATAGCACTATGCTATCAAACCAATACCATTTGTAAGATTGTTTGTTATCCTGGTTCAATCAGGTTTCCAGTTGCGTTGATTGTCTCCAGGGTTGTTGTTCTCACAGAAACTCATATCCTTATATGTTTCTACTAGGGATCTGAAATCTGTTATCGTTTCTTTGGATGAGTATGGTCACCTACACTGCGCATATTTGGGAACTGATCCTTCCTTGTTTGTCGCTCCGCCTGTAGATGCAAGAGAAGTTAACTACGAGGTAAGCTGGCGTTTGTTCCTTTTGTCAATCACCTGCCAATCACCTATCCCCTGTCATTTATGCATCTTTTTTTATTTTTTTAGCCTTAGAAATGGTCATAATTCGACCTGCAAATTATTTAACCCCACTTTTGCTTTTTGCTACTAAAATTATGTTTACGAATAACTTGGAAACTTGGGAAAGATTTTTCCAAAATACACGTTCAGTTTGAAAGTCACTTTAGCGATCTACTTACTTTCCAGTCCTCTGCACACAATTTATTGTCTTTTTTCAATATTTTGAATGATCACGGGGCTAAATTTGCAAGGAGTACCTGAACTATTTCTCGAAGTAAATTAGTAGATGTAATGCTTTTTCAGTGCATTATGAAATGAGTTCAAAGAACTTAGAGTCCAAAGTCATTAATTGATGATGGTTTGATTTAGTACCTTGTCGTTTATTGATCAATTTTTTATTTATTTACCTTGAGAAAATTTTTCTTCTTCAATTTTCTAACTCCTCCATAAAATGCCAACACAAAATGAAGGGCATTAAGCTCCTTCTGAAAAATATGCCATAGACATCAGAAGGTCAGTCATGAGGTTACGTTCATCGTCGAGAGTGTGTTGGGCCGCTGGTGCAACCTACCATAAATCTCTAACAGGTAGGGGTTACTAAAGGGAGTCACATAATAACCCCAAAATCTGATCGACAATTAGAAGGGAATGGACAGGAAGTCTCTTTACCCAACTAATAGCTGATGCACCTTTCCTACCCAATAGCATCAAAAAACGCTAAACAGCAAAAAGATGCTTAAAGGTGTGAGAGATTTTAATTAACAGCCTAGTTGTATTGTGGCTTCACCAAGCAAGGTGAGACACACGCTATGCCAAAACGTTAAATACCCCTAGATTAACCAAGGGAATGAAAACGCCACGAAACACATCTCTTACCCTAGTTTTACAGATCAAATCCTCAGGAGGCCGAAAGACTCCCCTCATTGCCCATAAACAAGCAGAGCAACTATAAGCAAAACGCGAGGAAGCGTGACTCAAGAGACCATAACGAACAGCAAATAATAACATTCTCAAGCAAATTAGTTAAAACTAAAAAGCCCTCATGAAATTAACTCTGTTTGATTTATTCATCATTTTGAGCTTTTATTAATTATCATTATGTAACCTACTTCTGGCATCAATGGAGGGGAGGTATCACTGGCTTCTCTATAGTGCTGCATCGAAAAAAGCTCTGGCAAAACAGTTTTGTCATTATTTCATGCTTCGAGGTCTTGCTTTGGTAAAGATTATTTCTCCATTTGCATCTAGGAACTTGACAGAGAGATGAAAGTGTTACAGAGAGCCATCAAAGAGTCAACCTCTTGTAAGTGACAGCACTTTACATTTTGTTGCATTGTTCAAGTTGCTGTCCCAATGATATGCAGAAAACTATGATATTTTTCTATTAATTCGCAGAACAATCACTGGACAACTTTTGCTCCTCCTTTTATTCAGTCCTCTGTAGTTTCTACGTCTGTTATGGTTTTTTATCCAAGCACTTTTGTAATTGATAACCTGCTTTGCTGTGATATTGTACGGAAATATGTCAGTAGATAAAAACGGTACATTACTGTAACTTCTTCACCTTAAAGGCACTTAAACATGTCTTAATCTAAAATAGTTCCAGATATGCACTCTATATTCAGAAAACATCTCCTGAAACTTAGTTCTCTTTGATTTATTCAGCTCAAAGTTTGGTGACAGAAAAGAAAGATGAACTCCTCGTCAATGCTGAAGTTCCAGATCATCTTGATGAAGTATCGGTAAGTGTCTTAATCTCAAAATAATAATTTTTGAATATATTGTATAAGAACTATATTGTATTTTGTAAAGCAAAAGCTTTTATTTGATATTGCATAAATTCCCAGCATCTCTACAGCTAGGCCTCTACTTATAAATAATGTCATTATTAATGTTGCTTCGTAAGAAATTAAGGCAACTGTTTAAAACATTTTCACTGAAAGCTAGAATGAGCATGAGATGCATAAACAAGTTGGTTTAATAGATATTAAGCAAAAGAGACCCTAGTACAGATTGTTTGAAAGACCGTCCGCGACTTTTGATCCTTAAGCCCGAAGGCTAAAAACTAACTAACTAACTACGAATACGAACCTAATTTATACTATTAACGACGTAAACAACTTTAAAATATTGTCACTAGTTTGATTGTCCATTACGCAAGGGATTAACAAATACTGTCCTCTAAAAACACATTAACACTCTCTACTAACCAACCATTGTCCAATTTAACGCAAAACAACTTGCTCAAACAACTATTGTGTCCAGACGCGTAAAAGTTATTGTTCCAATCAACAATTACAAGAATGAAAGTATCACATGTCTGTCTTCTGAACATTCTCCCCCTCCTTGACAGCTATGCATGTCAACTGAAAATCCTTCATCTTGTGATATCTGCAACGTCACATCAAGAAAAATACATCCATTAACAAATGCCACCAGCAACCATTCAACAATGCTCCAAAAGGCATAATTTTGTCACTGGTCTCTGCAATAGCTTTTTTCCCAGTTGTACTTGTGCCACTCTCACTTTTCCATCTTTTCCAGGAAATACTTGGGTGACTTTTGCAAGGGGCCAATGAGCTCTGGGGCTATCAGGCGATATAACAATAACAATATCCCCTACCTTCAAATTTTTCTTCTCTTTGTGCCATTTTGTCGTTGGATTTAGTCCTGGTAGCCATTCTTTCAACCAACGTTGCCAGAAGTGCTTCACCCGTTCTTGAACACGTCGCCATCGTT